CAGGAAAAGGTGTGCCTCGCAATCCTGCACTATAGGGCTGACGTAGCGGACATGGGATTGGTACTTTAGGCTCATGCACACTTAGGGGTAGCCCCCACTGAACACAGTGGGGTTTAATTCTGAGCAAACATGCATAGGATTGCCCTGTGGATCTGGCAAAACCATTTATAGTCATTCAGAGTACTAAGGAAAATATTTGATATGCCAAATGCCCATTCAAAAACAAAATCAAATGCAAGTGCTTTACAAAAAAAAAAAAACTTTAAGGGGAAACGGCATTTTATGTAGAAACCACTGCCTAGCTATTAGTGTGGCTATAATCTAGCTCTGAATGAAGAGAGCAAATGTGGGATGTTGAGAATCAGTCAGTTTCCTGTGAGGTAACAAGGAAGTCTCCATTTTACATCAGTGTGTTTATTTGCTTTTTCAGATCTGTGCAGGCAATGGGTTTTACACACATCAAGGCAATAGTCTTCCGTTTCAACACATTTTAGGTAGGAACATGTGGAACGAACAGCAAAGGAACTTAGGTTTTTCCTGTAGTTCTCTCAGCTTCTGACAGATACGCATATGATTCAAGGCTGCTGCAGTGGTTTCAAAATTGCAAATTTGAAAGCCTGAAACAAACTAGATGAATTCTGTTTTTTATCCCCCCCCCCCCAGTTATACGAAGAGATGACAACAGCTGTAGAAATGCAGCCATTGTTTTTGAACTCTTTAACATTTCTGCAGGGGTTGCCCATTGTATACTTAAACTGGGGAAAAAAACTTTTCTCTAGCTTTTCTCTACAACACAGAATTTCTAGTCTTATCGATACGGAGCATGGTCTTCTTACTTTTGTCATTTCGCAAAGCTACCGAAAGCTCGAATGTGTGTGTTTTCCAAGGTACGGTCCCCTTTTTAGTAAATGGGTCTATATGTCCTTTGGAACATTTTTTTTTTTTTAATGTAATACGTTCCATATACTGTACGAGCAACTGCTTTAATTTGGCTTGCTGCTGACAGATTTTGAAGGTTACATCAAAATAATGTCGGAGTCCACGGCAGCGCAGATGAGAACAAACGATAATAATAATATTAATAAAAACTTGATTACTGATCAAATGGAGCCCCCGTGCATGCCATGAAGAGGTTAATGGAATAGATTTGATGCTGTGCAGATGCAGATGGAAGCAGATGCTACTTGAAACATTGCTGTGTAGGTGTTATAAGAATTTTAAGGTCTTATATATATATATAATAGATGTTCATAAATGTACCAAGCAAACACATACAAATATGTAAACCCCATGTCTGAAACCCACAGAAAAGTCCTGAAACTATTTTCTCTCCCAAAATGACCTCAAATATTTCTCTGCAAGGTCAAAGGAAATGGGAAATCTCCCCACTATCTCTTTCACAAATCCTGTCTTAAGGACACATTTAAGATATGAATAAAGTGTGGACCTGTGACCTGGATTCAGGAATGGAGTAGTTATCATAACAAGAGTGGCCAGGATGCCCAGGTAATCCAATCAGGTAACCTGGCAGGCAGGAAGAAACAACACACCCAGATTTCTGCCCTTTCTCTGATGTATTAAGGGGGTGGTCTTGGGCCACACCCCTTCTATGATGCATGTATGATGTTTCTGGGGGTGGTCTTGGACTCCAGGACAGGCAATTAAAAATGTATACAGCGGTAAAGGTAAAGGGACCCCTGACCATTAGGTCCAGTCGTGACCGACCCTGGGCTTGCGGCGCTCATCTCGCTTTATTGGCGGAAGGAGTCGGCATACAGCTTCCGGGTCGTGTGGCCAGCATGACTAAGCCGCTTCTGGTGAACCAGAGCAGCGCACGGAAACGCCGTTTACCTTCCCACCGGAGCGGTACCTATTTATCTACTTGCACTTTGATGTGCTTCCAAACTGCTAGGTTGGCAGGAGCAGGGACCGAGCAACAGGAGCTCACCCCGTTGTGGGGCTTCGAACCGCCGACCTTCTGATCGGCAAGTCCTAGGCTCTGTGGTTTAACCCACAGTGCCACCCGCGTCCCTTATACAGTGGTACCTCGGGTTAAGAACTTAATTCATTCTGGAGGTCCGTTTTTAACCTGAAACTGTTCTTCAGCTGAAGCACCACTTTAGCTAATCAGGCCTCCCGCTGCCTCTGCACGATTTCTGTTCTCATCCTGAAGCAAAGTTCTTAACCTGAGGTACTATTTCTGGGTTAGCGGAGTCTGTAACCTGAAACGTATGTAACCTGAAGCGTCTGTAACCCGAGGTACTACTGTATAAGGGCTTGCATGCATGGCTCAGGGTCCTTTCCCCCCCCCCTCCTGGGGGGGGAGACCCTCTTGCGACAGCTTTAATAAAGATCAGGCTTACTAACTACTTTGCTTCTCAATATTCTCTGGTTGGTCTCTGTTATTTTCTCCTACCGATAGAGAACCTACAAAAGGACTCTATATGGGCCCTTGGGTACCCCATAAGGGAAAAGGAGCAGTTTTTCCCCTCATAACATAGGCAAGGATTTGAAAAGAAAAAAGAAAAAAAATATGCCTATAAGCAAGGCAAAATTCTTCACAGGCAAGAGAACCCTGTCTGAAAACAGGGTATTATTAAAGACTAAAGAAGTTCTCATGCCATCAACTGAGGTACTGAAAACGTTGGTGGAGGGTTGTTTTTTCTGCCTCTGTGCTGCTGTTTCCAGGCATTGAAAACCTCCTTAGTTTGAATTGGGCAATACTCACCCACATCCTGTGTGGCTTATGCTATGGTAGCACTGGGGTTGCCTTCCTTCTCCCCCCACCCCCTTGCCAATGACTAGTTTGTGACTTTACCAACAGTGGTCCCATCCACAATCATATGTTTAAAGCACATGGTTTCGCAAGGCATCCTGGGAACTGCAGTCTGTTACAGGTGCTGGGAATTGTAGCTCTGTGAGGGGCAACTAACAGCCCCCAGGATTCTTTGGGTAAAGCCATGTGCTTTAAATGAATGGTGTTTCACAGAGGAGAAATTAACAGGTGACAGGATTACTGGAGGTATTTTTTTCCAGGGTGGAGGTAATAGTTTTAAGAAACAGGACATTAAAAAAAACGGTGAGGGCATCAAAACAACTGACAGCTGCAAATGTGCTTCGACAGCTGCCATTCAGGAATATAGATGCCTGGTATGCAGCTATTAAAAGCGCAGAATCCTTGACAGAAGGAAAGTTGCCCTTTGCATTTCCTTTTCTCTTTCCAAGCATTCCAGCTGTTCACAAAAATGTGCATCTGTACAAGGCCCCTGGAAATGTTTCTAAGGTATGTAGGTAGGTGTGTGTTTGGGACAGTCCAAAATTAAATTCAGAACAGATCCCAACTGCACCCAAAGGGCACAGTTTGTTATTTATTAATTAACTTTACTGCATTTCCATCTCACCTTTGTCTCCAAGAAGCTTGAGGTGGTGTACATGGTTCTTTTCCCTCTTCGTTTAATCCCCACAACAGCCCTGTGAGGTAGGTTAGGCTGAGAGGCAGTGACTAGCCCGAGGTCATCCAATGAGCTTCACCCCAGTGGGGTTTGAACCTTGGTCTCCCAGGTCCTATAACCACTACACATGCTGGCTCTATAGAACAGTAGATGAGCATGATCTTCAGATTTCCTGGTTTGTCTCAGCTGCCAGGTGAGATATATGACAAAGGATAGGATGCACGGGACAAGGGCTTTTCGGTGGCAACTTGTGGGATTCATTCGCTTGGCTTCCTGAATTCATATTTGTCTTTAGAGACACCACATCACACTACAATTACAATGTGCCTATGAGCTTGATTTTGACCCTCTTTGGTTTGATTATTCTCGCTGCTTCATTGTACTTTTTGGTGTTGATTTCCACTTGCAATGGAAGTTATATAGCTGCTTGGAAGGTATTGTATGGATAGAAAATCAACGTATGTTAATAAATATGTATTTCCCCATCTAATTACTTTTTTAAAAAATGTAACCGAACACTTCTGGCGCTTGTGAGTTAGGAAGGCTAGCCAATACAAATTAGTCAAATGTATTGGCAATGGTTAGTTAGATGTGTGATTCTACTAGATCTTGAGCCCTCGTAATATACCGTCAACATATTTTCTTGTTATTGATTAATGTGTGATTATCTCCACTTCTACAACATTTTATCTTTTAATCTCGCTGTCTGTAATAGTTTCATTGTTCCTGTTCCATGTATGTCAGGGGTATTGAATCTTTTTCATCTAGAGGGCCATATCCCCTTCTGAGAAGTCTTTTGGAGGCCGAACAGCTGTGGAGAGCAGCACCAAAATCAAAAGTGAAAGAAGCATTTAATGCCGTTTTATCTTTGTACAGTAGGCTAGTTTCCACACATACTAGCACAGAATGGTTTAAAAAGATGAGTGACCTAGAGTATATCTTATAAAGCAACTGTCTTTTTGTGCTTTTCCTGCTGCTCCTGCTGCTATTCTAGAATTATGAATGGCTTTTTGGCTGCTTGGCGTGCAGGATTTATATGACCTTCAAATTCTCTTTCTTCTGCTGCTTCCAATTCTACCGTTGAGAAAGGAAGCCTGGAAGAATACTGTTAGCACTGACTGCTTACATATTAATCTCACAAATTCATTGCTTGAAAGAAGTGAAAATATGGAGCAATTAAAGAATGGTATATGTTCAGCAATTAGAAAAGAGAAAGAGGAGCACCGTTTGCATTCGACTCCTGTTTTCTGTACATTGTACATCATATGACAAACAGACTTTGCATAGGAAGAAGTAAATTATATTGTGTAATTAGGGCTGGGAAGTCAGCACCACAAAGTAGGATATTAAATCAGAAGGCCATAAATAAGTGATGTTTTTATAATGTATCTCCCACTAATATAGATGGATTTGCCCCGCTGAGTTACATTAATGTTTTGATATTATGTCCTCTCAACACAGCAGTTTAGTGGATCGGGATGCCCCACCTGAAAAAACTACCTAACTTACTTTGCTGTGGGGAGTGCAACACACACTTTCCATTGTGTGGGCAGAGATGTCCCCTCACTGAAGTGACTAGGATAATCCTCGTAAGTGCAGTATGTAAAATCAACTCAAGGTGCTTCTAGATTGTGTTGATGGTCTGGAAAAACATGCACCTAAAGGCCTTTCCATATGTTACCCCTTAAAAAGCTTCTGTTTGTTCGTCTAGGGTGGCAACCACAGTAATGGATGGAGAACCCAGCACATGTCTGAAAACACAAAGTAAATGTGTACCTTGATGTTAAGGGGGAGAAAAAGTAACACACCAAAGACTAGGGAGCAAGTCCCATTACACAAGGTAGGGCTTACTTATCAGTAGGTATACTTAGGCTCACACTGCACAGGTGCAATTCTGCTCCAGTTGAAACCAACCCAAATACCACTGATTTCACTGCAGCAGCATCCTTAAGCCACAGATTGCTAGTGTTTTTAAGCGATCTTAACAGAAGGTTGCATGGTGGCCTCTTCTCTTTTTTAAACCACTGTGCGCTACTGTTTTAAATATGTCTGATCAAATAGGGCACCCTCCTATTTTAGAGTATGAACAAGCCATCAACTCCTCAGATATGGTTTTTTAAAAAAATTATGTGGAAATGCAGGTGTTAAGTCATTTCTGTCACTCTGTGAGGAAAAGAAGAGAGTGATGATTGGTGCGTTTTTTCAGGCTTGAGATAATATCATGGTCAAGATTAATGTCTCGTGCTGAGAAGTTTTGTCACTCGTTCAGGTACAGCCCATGTGTATGAGCACATTTGCACATGCACGTCTCTGAGTATTTTAGATCGCTCAGAGCAGCTTACAACAATTAAAATAACGGGCTATATATTTGGCCAGGGGGTACCTCATTAGTTTTAACAAGGCTACAGCATGAATAATTTCACAGTGTAGTATTGTGCAGCATTAGCATTCAGTTCTGTTTTAAAAAAATAAAATAAAAGCACACCTTTGCTGTATGCCCTCTACTTGTATTCAACTCAATGTACCACTGAGGTCCAGTGCCGAGGGCCTTCTGGCAGTTCCCTCGCTACAAAAAGCCAAGTTACAGGGAACCAGGCAGAGGGCCTTCTCGGTAGTGGCACCCACCCTGTGGAACACCCTCCCATCAGATGTCAAAGAGAAAAATAACTACCAAACTTTAGGGAAGTTTAGGGAAGCTTTTAATGTTTAATAGGTTATTGTATTTTAGTGTTTTGTTGGAAGCCACCCAGATGGGCTGGGTATAAATAAATAAATTATTATTATTATTATTATCCATCAACAACAAGGCCTCAAGGACCGCCTCTCCCCATATAAACCACCCCCGACTCTGTGTTCATCATCTGAGGCCCTTCTTTGTGTGCCTCCTTCCTGTGAGGTCTGGAGGGTGGCAATACGAGAATGGGCCTTTTCTGCAGTGGCTCCGTTTGTGGAATGCTCTCCCCAGGGAGGTTTGCCTGGCACCTTTATTATATATTTTTAGGCACCAGGCACAAACTCTTTCACTAGGCCTTAGGCTGATTAATATCCTACAGCCTTTTAAATGTTTTTTGGGGGAGGGGATTTTGTTGTTGCTTTTGTTTTAACTATTTATTTGTGCTTTTACCTTGCATTTTTATCTTATGAACTACCCTGAGATCTTATGACAGAGGGTGGTATTTAAGTCCAATAAATAGAATAAATAAATACTGTACTAAAATAATATTTCAGGGGGAACAAGGCAACAACAGCTACTTGCCAGCATCGTTTGGTTTACCTCCACTGTTGAAGGCCCTGTGGTTCAGGATACCAGTTATGGGAAGTCACAGGACAGGAGAGTGCTGTTGTGCTCATGTCCTCCTTGCAGCTTTCTCAATGGCATCTTGTTAGCTTCTGTGAGAACAGGATGCTGGACTTGATGGGCCACTGAGCACTTCTTATGTTCTGAAGCTAAGCGTTTGAAAAAAAGCCACCTCGTCACCTTACTCAAAGGACAACCAAGCAACAGCAACAGACTTTGGAGTTCTGATACAAGGTGTATAGTTGCTTGAAGCCCCAACCCACAGCCCTATGTGTTTGCGGGGGTCATAATAATAATAATTTATTATTTATATGACGCCCATCTGACTGTGTTGCCCCAGCCATTCAGGGCAGCTTCCAGCAAATTATAAAACCACAGCAAAATATCACACATTAAAAACTTCCCCATACAGGGCTGCCTTCAAACGTCTTCTAAAAGTCAGATAGTTGTTTATTTCCTTGACATCTGATTTGAGGGCATTCCGCAGGGCGGGCGCCACTACCGAGAAGGCCCTCTGCCTGGTTCCCTGTAACCCCACTTCTTGCAATGAGGGAACCTCCAGAAGGCCCTTGGAGCTGGACTTCAGGGTTCAGGCTGGAGTGGGGGTGGAAATTCTCCTTCAGGTATACAGGGCTGAAGCCATTTAGGGCTTTAAAGGTGAATTGTGCTGGGAAACGTCATCAAGGGAAGACATTTTGATCATGATCAGCGATTGTGGGCATGACTCACTGTTGTGGCAACAGCTTTCCACCTGCAACACTGAAGAAAAAGATGTGAGGTCCAATTTGTAATCAATGTTTAATCAAATGTAATTAATTTGTCATAGTGTTTTGTTATTTTAATTGGGTTGGCTCTGTTGTTGATTTAAATTATAATTTGTATTAAGATGTTAATACAATAATGAAAATCAGATATACAGTGTAAAATATTGTCTAAACAAGTAAGATAAAATAAACATTGGCGACATGATTAATTTCAGCACATATAACAATTCATGAGCAAACAGGGGACAATTAAGGATATAAAAGCTTAGATAAATTTTATAAGCTTTTATAGTCTTAATCGTCTTAGTCTGAGAAAACTAATATTTTCTCCTTTCTCTTCCAGGAAGGATAAACAAAAGAAATTATGATTGGGATAATACCATGACAGATAAGGTGCAAAACTAAAAAAATGAAGAAAAATGTGTGTGTGTGTGTGTGTGTGTGTGTGTGGAGTGGGGCTTTGTTTTTAATTATTGGAGCGATATCCAAATACTTCATTGAAATGAGACCTGTTGAAATCACTGGATTTACTAAGGCTTTTGATTCAGTAGGTCTACTCTGAATACAACTCATGTTGGATATAACCCTTGGGTTTTATTATGGAGTGGGGAACCCCTAGTCCACAAATCAAGAGCAGATCACTGGATTCTGCTTCTGGTTATTCCTCTCACCAGCTGCAGTCCCTTATTGCCTTGTACTTTTATTATATTTCTTATTTAGTGGATTGAAAAATGGGCAGGAGGACTATAGAAGCCTCTCGATTTGCATAGCTGGAATGGAGTCTAGGCTACAAAGGTACGAGTCACCTGGCTGCTCCACTCCCACCTGCCTCTGACTCCCATCAGTCACTGGCATGCAGCCCCAGAAGGGGGGGGGAGGTCCCCTACATGGAAATGTGCCCCTTGTGCCAAAAAAGGTCCCCAGCAACAGTTTTGTAATATGCCCCTCCCTAGTATCAGTACATATGAAGGTTGGTCTCCAAATATTTTTAACAATAAATGTTACGTACTGAAGTTCTCACCCTGGGCCAGCAGGCGGATACTGTAGATAGCTGCAAATAAGGGATCGAAAGTGACGTTCAGTGATTGGATAGTTTTAGAAAGTTGTTACAGTAACGTTGTACTGGAACTCTATATAAGCAGGCTGACTGAACCCTTCAGTTCAGTTCTGTCCTGGCCTGTGAATAAACAAGAGCTGTTTGAAGAATTGCTGTGTTGTCTGATATGTTCACCCACAACTTAACAATAAACAAGCACACAAGTAAGTCACTGCTGAGGTGTACCCACAATTGTGAGGCCTGCAGAGATTATAATGATGCTTCTCCAGCTGTTGCCATTGGCTACAGACTACCTGTGACATCACAAAAGTACATGGCAGCTGAGTGGATATGAACACTCTTCCCCAACAGAACACAGCAAGCAACAGCTTTGACGTTCAGTCTTCTTCCACCTGGAGGAGGTGAATAGGCAGATGGACGGAGATGATCATCTGGCTGCAGGATGCTATGGAGCAATTATCAGGCAAGTTCACTTGCAGTGTGGAATTGTTGCTTGAAGGCAGCTGATATCCATGGTCCAAGCTAGTGGTGAATGTCCAGTGGTGGACCTAGCGGGTGTTGGTGGGTGGAAGCCAATGGAGTTCTCATTTGGATGTTGCGAAGCTGAAACAGGGCGATGATGTTTGTTGATGTGAGCTGGTTGAAGTTCACCTTCGGAAGCTGATCGACAGAAGCCTGCGGATATTTGTAGGTCGAAGCCAGGGCACTTCCATGAATGAACGAGAGCAAAATGTAAGTGAATATGTCTTCTTCGTGAATATTGGCTGGCGTATGCTTCTGTCTGTGGAAAGGAGGTTTTGAAAGTGGGCAAGGCGAAGGGTAGAAGTTGGCAGGATGAAGTTAGCAGATGAAGTTGCCAGGCAGAAGCCAGTGGAGGTGCTTCTGGGTGATGTTGTGGGATGTAGCCATCCCCTTGTCACATCTGTCATTTTCTTCTTCTGGGGATCTCTGAAGCCAGGAATGTGCTTGAAAGCAATGAAGAGGGAACACAGGGCAGCCTGAAGCCAGCAAGGCTTTCTCAAAACACAGCCACCCCCTGTGAAAGCAATGAACAGAACTTGCAGAACAGAACTTCTATTCCCCACCACCACCACCAACTACATTTAGCGGTAGTGTCTATTCTATCTTATTTTCTCAAAGACGGATAATGGAAGGGCAAATACCTTCACTTGTGGTGTGAAACCGCCACCCCACCCTGATATTAGTATACATGAAGGGTGGACTGTACATATTTTTTAATGGTAAGCAGTTCGCTCCTAAGATGCCCCCACAATGGTCAGGCCTAGGGAGGTTGTGATGATGCTCTCAGCTGTTGCCATTAGCAACATGCTGCCTCTGATGTCACAAAAGGACATGGTGGCTGAAGGAGAAGAGGCAGTTATTAGGGGGAGTGGGGAAGGAGAGAAAAGCCCCAGGAGAAGGGCCATGTGCGCTCAGGAGGTGTCTGCCTTTGATGATGTGCCACGTCGGCTTGGCAGTTCGGCCTCCTCTGCCCCATCAATAGGTAAAGGCAAAGGTACCTTGCCAACAAAGGTCCGTATAGTAAAAGCTATGGTTTTCCCAGTGGTGATGTATGGAAGTGAGAGCTGGACCATAAAGAAGGCTGATCGCCGAAGAATTGATGCTTTTGAATTATGGTGCTGGAGGAGACTCTTGAGAGTCCCATGGACTGCAAGAAGAACAAACCTATCCATTCTTAAGGAAATCAGCCCTGAGTGCTCACTGGAAGGACAGATCCTGAAGCTGAGGCTCTAATACTTTGGCCACCTCATGAGAAGAGAAGACTCCCTGGAAAAGACCCTGATGTTGGGAAAGATTGAGGGCACAAGGAGAAGGGGACGACAGAGGACGAGATGGTTGGACAGTGTTCTCGAAGCTACCAGCATGAATTTGACCAAACTGAGGGAGGCAGTGGAAGACAGAAGTGCCTGGCGTGCTCTGGTTCATGGGGTCATGAAGAGTCGGACACAACTAAATGACTAAACAACAACAACAAAGGTAAATGACACCTGGATGGTTAAGTCCAGTCAAAGGTGACTATGGGATGCGGCTCTCATCTCGCTTTTAGGCCAAGGGAGCTGGCGTTTGTCCACAGACAGCTTTCCGGGTCATGTGGCCAGCATGACTAAACTGCTTCTGGTGCAACGGGACAGAAGCGGTACCTATTTATCTACTCACACTCAATATTGGGGCTATAGTGAGGGGAATGACGACACCTCCGCCCCCTAGAGTTGGCGTGCCTGCTCTGAGGTCCAAAGATATCTGGTTGCCATAAATTTGCCCCGAAGGGAATGCAGCCTTCAGGATGAAAAAGCTTCCACACTTCTGCTATACAAAGAGTTACCTGAGAGTACTTCTTAATAGACATGCATGGGATTCCTTTGTCAGTTTCTTGCATATAGGTCAATCAACACAGTTTTACTTAGAAGTTTTACATGTTTACAGTTTTACATTTTACTTAGAACTCCCACAAACTGACTCCTGGCACTTCCTGCATAAAGGAATGCATGCTACAACAGAAAATGTTAAATGAAAGATTTCTTTTCTGCCGAGTCATAGGATCAAAACTTTAAAATCCACCGAAACAGCTTTAGCGGGAACAGATAGTGATGGTTTGAAATTACAGAAGGAACACATTTCAGGATAGTTCTGCATCAGGGATTTTGTACAGACTTTTACTCAGTATTTGTTTGTTTGTTTCCAGACAGGTCAAGTAGAGCAATTAAATAAGCTATATTCAGATGCTGCACCAGACACTTGACACAAATGCACACACCCCATAAATCAAGGAAGTCAGCTGTATTGATTTCTAGCACCGCTGGCATTTCCCAACCAGCTTTAGCTGGCCTTTCCTCTGCCAACAAATTGCGCATTTAAACCTTCTGTGTGGGTAGACTCAATAATGGTTTCTTTCAAGTAATTCTTGTTGTTACAGACATAAGATCTGGCCCTGCCAAGTCAAGGTTATTTTTTCATGGAATATGTCATATGAGCCACCATGAAGACTGAAGCCCTTTATCTATCTTCTACACCCCAGCTAATTTGCTTTGCAAATGACCCGGGAAGATTGCCTCCATGCATTCGGGTCTTTCGATTATTCACAGGAACCGCAAAGTTATTTGTTTATTTGATTACAGAAAAGAATGGAGAGTGGAAATCCCACAATAACTGTGCTGCCAAGGGAAAATCTTTAGCAGAGAGGTTAAGCAAACTGTAGGCACAGGGGGAAATGGTGGACTCACCTGTGGGTCCCACTTTCTGTTGCCAGTCCGCCATTTTGTCTTCTTTCTTGAGCATGAGCAGAAGGTGCATTGGCTTCCCTCTTAACTAAGACTATGATGAGTGGAATGCTGGCTGAAGTGGTTACTGGGAAAAGGGACTCTAGCATACCCTCCAAGTGTCCCAATTTTGCCAGAAGAGTCCCGGAATTACTAATGCCATCCCAGCTTCTGGTTGGATCCTGGAATGTCTCAATTCCCCACCAGCACTGCCACTGCCAAGCTCGGGGGACGAGGATGAGACAGCGCTTGTCCCGAGTGACAATGACAGCCATGATGTCTGTGAGGGAGCATCCCATCGCTGCTCCATGGCCGCAGCCACTGGTCTCCTCCCTTGGGCAGCTTGTCTGGAGAGTGGATGAAGAGAATCCTGTGTTTTTCTACTGTGTATGATATGCCAGAAGCCGTTAGCCTGTGCATAAGACTGGGTAGTCCTACATGTGTCCCTTTCTTGCCTCAGTGAGCAAGCGGAACATGGGATGGGCAGCAAATCGCCTCCACAAGCTTTTGCAGAGGGGGCTCAGCGAAATCGAGGGCAGTGGTGGTGTTAAAGCTGCTGTATGGGGAAGCCCTGATTCAGATCCTGCCTGCCTGCCAAGCTATCCATGTGGCCATTCATCATTCTACAGTGCTACTCTGCAGGGTTGTTGTGAAGGAGGAGAACAGAGGACCAATTGCGCCTCACTAAACATGATGAATTATTATTATTATTCCAGCAATAGTTAAGTTTAAGAAGGGAGAGTGAGTGATCTGGGCTGTATGGAAACAAGCTACTTCTCCCTACCTTGCTTTCATTCACTGTGATTCCTACGTTGAAGGGGGTTGGGTCCCTTTCAACTCTACAATTATAGGTAGGTAGGTAGGTAGGTGGGTGGGTATATGCCTCATTTGGTTTAATGGTTTCTTTAAGTAATCTGGTGAACCGGGTTCGCGTCTCTGCTCCTCCACATGCAGCTGCTGGGTGACCTTGGGCTAGTCACACTTCTTTGAAGTCTCTCAGCCTCACTCACCTCACAGGGTGTTTTGTTGTGGGGGAGAAAGGGAAAGGAGAATGTTAGCCGCTTTGAGACTCCTTCGGATAGTGATAAAGTGGGATATCAAATCCAAACTCTTCTTCCTCTTCTTCTTTTTCTTCTTCTTTGGGAGGCTGTGTGCATGTCTTCTCAGAGGTAAGCCCTGCTGAGCCCACTGGAACCTCTTCCTTGATAAGTAAGTGTAGGATTGCAACCTGTGAGCAATCCCCATTGAACTCAGTCCCCACTGCATTGCTGGGGTTTGGACTGGATGGTCTTTAGAGATCCCTTCCAATTCTACAATTCAATGGTGAACTCAACAAGTCCTGCGGTTTATTTCATTTCATTTTTCTGCTGCAGCTTGCTTTTGCATGCATTGCTTTAGATCATTTTAATCATACCTTTGGGACAGGTTACAGTTTGATCATGCCTGAACTTCCCTAGAGGTCCAGTGGGTGGGAGAGGAAATGGGAGTAGGAAGAGAACGTGCTGTGCTAGACCTTAGATGGGTATAAATGGCTCATCTGTACCACAGATGAATTATGAGCTTTTGCCCCTCCCCCTGGTAACTTCTCCATCTCCAGTGGTGCAATTTGAGTTTGCTTTTGTGACCTATTTCCCCAAGTCCTGTGGGAGAAGATGGGTTCTCTTTTGGAATTAAAGGAGTTTTTTGGTGAGCCTGTTGCTGAAAGTTGATTTGGAGGCTGGCCAGTTTTTCTTCTTCTCACTTTCTCCAGGGAGGGTGTTAGATTTAGGACTAGCGTGCATGGATAGACTGCAGGGGGAAAAAGAAGTACCGGTACTATAATTATATTTTTAACAAAGTAATAACATAAAAGAGGTAGGGAGAGATAATGCCCACCTTGTTAGAGTTCAGAGGTTGACCGTATCATGAAAAACTTTAATAAAAAACTTAACACGCAAAGAGAGAGAGAGAGAGAACCCCCCCCCAGCAGTAACACTGATGTAGAATAGAATGTCCCTATTTTCATCTGAGGAATGTTGGAGGGTATTCTCTCATCTCAACCTAGGAATATGAGTTCCTCCTATATTATGTTTTTATATGTGTTGAAAGCCACACATGTGTTGGAAGCTGGATCTGGCCCCTGGGCCTTAGTTTGCCTATCCATGCTCTAGTTCATCATCCTCATTTCAAAAGCGTCCAATCAGATGCCTCCAGGAAGTCACATGGGCACAAAAGCAATAACTCCTGCTGAACATGGCGGTACTATACAGCCATCATGATTAAGAGTCACTGATAGGTCTATCCACATTAATTTGCCCAATCCATCTAAGCACATTCAACATCATCATCACAGCTTGTACCTGTTAATTATATACATTAATCATGCAGTGAAGAAATGCTTGCCTAGTTACAATTATTTATTTCTCTCTTCGTTGGTGCACGTGCATTTATTTGCCTTCTTTTTTTAGAAGCTGTAATCTTCAGGAAGACAGTGATTCAGCTTCTTTAACTGAGGTCAACCTAGTCAACTGAATTTGTGTTTTATTGTCTTTTATGTTGTATCTGTTTTTATGATACTGCTGTTTTCATGTTGTATTTCTTGCATACTGCTTAGAGCAGCCTTTCTCAACCTGTGGGTCCCCAGATGTTGTTGAACTACTACTCCCACCACCCCTAGCTAGCAAGGCCAGAGCTCAGGGATGATGGGAGTTGTAGTCCAACAACATCTGGGGACCCACAGGTTGAGAACCACTGGCTTAGAGGTTATTACAAATTAAGTGGTATAGAAATGCTTTTAAATAAATAAATGCCTACCGACTAACCTACACACAAGAGCTTTATCGAAAAGAGGTAATACCATATATTTTTGCTGGACCAGCTTTGTAGCTGTAGTTATATGGAAGCATCCAAAATGAATTTAATTCTTTGTTGGGTAGAAAAAATTAGCTAATAATAGGTATATAGAGAAATGAAAACTGATCTCTTATGCAATGGTTTCCATTTCTTACTCACTCTGACCTGTTTTTTTCCTTTCTGGGATATAATAGTATATGTGAAATCACAGCCTCTGTGTTTTGGTTCCTGAAATGGTCAACTTGACCTACAGACCTATGAACATGTGGAGGGATCTTTTGCAGGTTGTCTCTAGGGGAACCACAAGGTTCTGAGAGATCTCTTTGCCCAAACCTGATGGAATTGCTTTTAACGAAAAGCAAGCTTGTTTTCTCCTGCTCTGGACAGTAGGACTCGAACCAATGACTTCAAGCTACAAGAAAGGAGATTCCGAATAAACATCTGCAAGAACTTTGACGGTAAGAGCTTGTTCAACAGTGGAATGGTTGTCAGCATCCTTGGGTCGAAAGGCCAGCTGGCTAGCCCCCAGCTGGATTGTCTCCTTCCAGCTGTGCCACTGCGAAGGTCCATCAACCTCTGGCTCCGACATAAATCAGTGACTCAAGCCTCTCAGACTTGAGCACACTATATTCAGCAGTATAAACCACACAAACAGAAGAGGCTGAGGCTGTGGACACATACTATGAACTACAGATTTATTAATCATAAATCAAGACAAAGAAACACGTCATCTCTCCTTGCCGACTTCTCAGAGAGAGAATCCAAACAAAAGCCATACAGCGGAAGTTCTGCTTACGCCAGCAAACTGTGCAGGAATGTGAACAGACATGTGACACGTAACAATCCCATGTCTGCAACTAAAGGTGGAATGGAAAATCCCAACAATGGTCTCCCTCAGGAGGTTGTGGATTCTCCTTCCTTGGAGGTTTTTAAGCAGAGGTTGGATGGCCATCTGTCATGGATGCTTTAGCTGAGATTCCTGCATTGCAGGGGGTTGGACAAGATGACCCTTGGGGTCCCTTCCAATTCTACAATTCTATGCAATTCCCTTTCAGTCAATAAGCTTGCTGGAGACACAGTTTGGCCTTCCTGATTTTTTCCAAGCGTTCATAATCAGCCCCGAGACACCCTTTTGAGACACGCATTATTGATCACAACATGAGTATTATCAGTTTCTTCAGACTTCACTTATATCCTCCCGGCAAACCAGACAATTCAATTAGATGATGTAGATGAATGATCTGTTTTGTAACCATGACTTAATGAAATGCTCTGTCTGCAAGGACAAAGTGTGAAACTTGCTACGTACAAAGTGATAACAACCTGAATACCTCTGTTCCCTTGCATCATAAATAAAGGCAGCCACATTTCTTCATTATGTGTAACTTGTTTATAGCTTTTAATACTGTATCCTGAGCTAGGGGCCCATTGATCACTAGATTTCATATGCTACCTCACGTGCTGACCATTGTGCATGTAAACTCTTTGGGAAAAAACCAGAAGGGATTTTGAAGTGATGATGACATGAGCAGAGTCCTGTCTCACCCTCTCATCCTCACAACAAGGAATACATTGTATTGTCTGTTTGGTACTTGCCATTTATTCAGAATATACCATCTATTCTGAGGGGTGCCCACATTTAAATTACAGCTTTTCCCTTCTGACTGTACCTGAGTAAGGGCTAGGAAAGTTTTGGGCTACCACTTGTGCATTCTGAAGGTGGAAGGGTGGTGGTGTGGGATCTGTGAATTCTGTAGTTGGTGTTGTAGTTGTTTATTTTGGGGGGGCGGGACTCCCTAAACCCTAGAAATTAATAAATGGTAGGATTTTGATTGTTTGGGATATGAAGGGAGAATACAAGTCGCAGAGGAATTCCAGGGCTAGCCTATGCAAAAACGACCTGACCAAGTGAGGGCCATTAAGAAACAATACAAGGCCATTGAGGGCCATTGGCAATGCAAGAGAATTGCCTTCCCCCTTGCCCTGAGGTGTGAACAGAGACAGGTTTGGAAGGTTGCCAGGGTAGCTGTGTGTATGACGTGGCAGGAAAAGGGGGTCTCGTAGCAAGGGGCTTTGGGAAGAAGAAGCAGGAAGAAGGCTGGAATCCATCTTGGGCAGGCTGGCTGAAGGCTGGCTGCACTGTTGTGGGGTACAATCCCCTCTTTAAATTACCAAGCTGTAAGACCTGGACTCCCTTCATGCAGACTGAAAGTGTAAATAGGTGAATAAACCATACAAATTCTGTACCAACACTGGAGGAACACTCATGTCTTGTCCATGACTCCAACACATTTTAGATGTTTGCCAGCATGCTTTTTATACCTCGCATTCCACAAGTTTAGTGGGACCACCAGCTGGTGTATTTTCAGTATGGGATTGCACCATTAAGTGCACAATTTTATTCTGGTAATCCTCTATTTGGATGTATTGGAATCAGTCTCTAAATTCAGCAGTCCCAAGAGCTTGTGCCTATCTTTCCTTCCCTCCTTTAACTCCAGCTTCCTCTTCTGTCTGTTTAGATCAGCTTTCCGCAACCTGGTGTCCTCTAGATATTTTGGACTACAACACCCATCAGCACCTGCCAGGATGGATCAAGTTGGCTGTGGCTAATGGGAGTTAATAATCCAAAACATGTTAAGGGCACCAGGTTGGTGGAAATTGATTTACATAATAAGTTGTTACTACCAATCTTATGTTGCATATTGTACAGCACCTCGTGAAATTAAAGTTTTGGTTCCAATGGAATACCATGAACAACAATGGAAAGTATCAATTCCCCATCCCATCCCATGGGATGCCACAGGGGAGTCTTTCTGTAGGAAAGAGAAATACTAAAGGGTTGGTGCGTCGATTTTGGTCCTCCTTAGATTTGCTCCTCCTGCCAGAAGTTCAATCCCCACCCCCAGAAGTCTGCTTAGGACTGACAGTCCATTAATCAGCACCCAGCCCTGAATACAAATATATATGGAAGAGGCAACCCCTCATTCCTGTTCTCTACTTGGTACTGGGGCAATTCCCATGGCCAGCTACAGTTGCAGAAACAGCTGCATAATGAACAACCATAAATTAACTACAGATCTTTCTTTGCTGCCTTCAAAATATGGGAGGAGCAGGCATGGAATGGAATGAGATGTTTGGAATGATGTGTAAATTTGACAGGCTGATTCCCCCCCCCATTACATTTGCATAATTAGTATGTCATACTTGCATGTTATGCTAATAGCAGTTGCCTGGATTGGAGTCTTGTGTAGACGAACTCTAAAGGTGGTCCTGTTATACTTGCCAAATGTCCAATGAGTAGGACAACCAGCAGCATCCCTCTTGTGTAGAGTCTCTGCATAGAATGTCTCCAATGGCATTACTTGTTTGTTTTTAAGCAGGCATTGTGATTCTCTGCAGCGATTGCCAGATTTGGCCAACTCTCTCACAGACGCAGTGGTGCAGCCACTCCTGTATGGTCGTTCGGCTTCTGCAGTTTCTACAGCCCCCAATTTCTTGACTGGTTGATCCTCGCAGAAGTACCTGCCAAGACTGCAGAATGGCAGTCTGGCTTCGGAGAGGGTTGGACCTGGTTACTAAGTAGGCACTCTCAGATTCTGACGGCTGTGATGATCGCTATATACACTTCTCCAGCAGGAAAGGTCAGCTCAGTCCAAAGAAGGTTGGCTAATTTCCATGCAAAAGACAAAGAGGCTGCGGAAAATGTTGTCCTCCAGACACGAGATAGAATACGAGTCAGGGAATGTAGAGATTTTAACCGTTTGGACAGATGTCTGATCTGTACAGTCTAACCGGAATGGGAGTAGTTGCCATGGGATCTTAACATGTATATTTCGAGTTGGCAGTTTAACACCTTCATTATTAACTGAAACCAAGTGGAATTCTGATGAGAAGGCAGATGTTACTTACAGTTCAATCACCTTGATTGTGTTAAATATTTATTTTCCAGTCCTGCCTATAGGCAGTCAGACATTACTTAGCTGCCACTCAATTTTTAAATTTTTTTTGAAAAGGACCACTCAGTTAATATTTGAGTTTAATTAATTTCATTCTTACTTGTTCAGCAACAGCCATGGTTCTCCCAACCTCTGCACAGCTTTCTATACTTTCTGAAAACAAAGAGATGGGAGAAATGGGGAAATCAATGGGAATCAATAGTATGAGACAATCCTGCAGCAACTGAAAGCTGTTACCACATCGACACAGGTTGCACTCAACACACGTGCAAACGTGTTACCCCAGAGATGTGGTATTTCAAGCTCTCGGGTGCAGAGTCAGGCCATGCCTTATGAAAGTTGAACCATGTTTTTATTACTTGGATGGAGGCATGTGGATTAGCAAGAACCATTAAGTCCCAGTTAGGGTTCAAAAGGGACGCGGGTGACGCTGTGGGTTAAACCACAGAGCCTAGGACTTGCCGATCAGAAGGTCGGTGGTTCAAATCCCCGCGATGGAGTGAGCTCCCGTTGCTCGATCCTGCTCCTGCCAACCTAGCAGTTCAAAAGCAAGTCAGTGCAAGTAGATAAATAGGTACCACTCCAGTGGGAAGGTAAACGGTGTTTCCATGGGCTGCTCTTGTTTGCCAGAAGGGGCTTAGTCATGCTGGCCACATGACCCGGAAGCTGTACGCCGGCTCCCTCAGCCAATAAAGCGAGATGAGTGCCGCAACCCCAGAGTCGGTCACGACTGGACCTAATGGTCAGGGGGCCCTTTACCTTTAGGGTTCAAAATAAATTTGTTAGGGATTACAGACACTAAAATGGCACAAGAGAGAACAATGGTTGCACAGGTTGAATCCCCAGAGTGGGATAATAACAGAAAGTGACTTGATTAGTTTAAATAATACATAGACTATACAAATTCGGCATTGCCTGGACCAACAGCTTATCCTGGACCTATTTTTCTATGACACAGAAAAAAGATGGAGGAGCAGGGGAATATTACTGTTGCCGTAGAAGAGGTACGGGGAAACTTTGGGCATCCAGATGTTGTTGAGCAACAGTGCCCACTACCCCTGCTTTCTGGGGCTGATAGTTGTAGTTCTGTAACATCTGGAAGGCCACAAGTTCCCCAATCCTGCCATATAAGGAGCAGTGAGTGATGCAGATCTGGTAGGTGGCGCTGGAGGCCTGCAGGTGCACCAGAGAAAGCACAAATGGAAATGATGGGTTTGAGCCGCACAAGGACAGGAAACGCAGTGAACTCTGGGAAATGGAGCAGATAGAGAGAGATCTGTTTTGGAGGATCCCATGGATGTTCAGTGCACTTGTCTCCTAGTGAAACTTGGAAGGTGCAGGTCCCCAGTGGATGCAGCAGGGAGGAAGGAAATCCAGTTTGGTATAGTGGTTAGGTATTGCTATAGGTTTAGCTAGACCATAAAGAAGGCTGATTGCCGAAGAATTGATGCTTTTGAATTATGGTGCTGGAGGAGACTCTTGAGAGTCCCATGGACTGCAAGAAGAACAAACCTATCCATTCTGAAGGAAATCAGCCCTGAGTGCTCACTGGAAGGACAGATCCTGAAGCTGAGGCTCCAATACTTGGGCCACTTCATGAGAAGAGAAGACTCCCTGGAAAAGACCCTGATGTTGGGAAAGATGGAGGGCACAAGGAGAAGGGGACGACAGAGGACAAGATGGTTGGATAGTGTTCTCGAAGCTACCAGCATGAGTTTGACCAAACTGAGGGAGGCAGTGGAAGACAGGAGTGCCTGGCGTGCCCTGGTCCATGGGGTCACGAAGAGTCGGACACGACTAAACAACTAAACAACAACAACAAATAGTGGTTAGGTGCCACACTAAGACCTGGGAGACCAAGGTTCAAATTTCCACTCACCTATGAAGCTCATTTGTTCTTTATTTATTATTTAAACTTGGCTACTGCTTTTTCTACATAAGTATGCCCCAACAAACGACAGAATAGTATAGAAATGAAATACTAAACAGGAATACATATCAAAACATTAGTATGCTAAGCAGTCTAGTACCAGTTCATTGCAATTATAATGGCATAACATTGTGGATATGTGCATGCAACACACGTTTTGTAAACACATTACAAAATAATCAACAATATTTTAATATGCTCAGTATCTTAACGCTCGGTTTGCATATTTGCTAACTTTTGTTTTGATTTTATATCTTGATATAAAGAATGACAACATCCCTGCTCTCTCAGTATTCAGGTTACCATAAAGTTCTATTGCAATCCATGAAGTCAATGATAAGTACGCAAAAGGAAGTCTTATTTCACATCCTGAAACACAAAACTGAAGAGAATGTCTGAGGCAGAAATTCAAAGTCAGTGTTTTACTTTTTACCTCAGGACTCTTCTCTTGTTTCGTTCATCAGCAGCTCTAGACTGAGCCAAACTCATGAATAAACCCATCTCATTATTCAAATTGATGACTACATATCAGGCGTCTCGGGCTGTTTCTGCTTTAATAAATGAAGGCAGGAGGTTTCAGATATGGCTTTGTGTTGTGGTAGAATGGACGCAGCAGTACTTTTTCAGATGTGCCCCAACACAGGAAAACAGGGAATGAGATACAAGTAGACTTTGCTGTAACTTGTATGAGTGACTGAGCTCTTAGAATTGAATTCTAGTTAAGGGTCACTAACCAAACCAGTATAAATTAATCCTGCTTGTTTATTTGAATTGTAAAGTCCATGTGCATAGTGAACTGCAAGGATTGCGTGCAACCCTGTGCTTTTGGCCTATAGGGTTAAATCTGAGAGACCCACTTCAAGTCCCCAGTTGGCAATGACAGTGGCATGGGAAGCACAAAATTGTTAGGGGGCACAAAATTTCAACACCTGGTGCTGCCTCAATACAGTTGTGCACTTCTGTTGCTGGGCTCCACTGAAAACGGCTTCTCCATGAGAACCAGGGAGTGACCTCTCCAGATAAGGGAACAACTCTTCTTATCTTTGTGGCTGTGGTCTTCCAGGCGGATGCCATTAGGCAGTTGACTGCACATGCGTACTCTGTCCGTTTCCCTCCCTCACACTCACCTCCTGCGTGGCCTCGGGAGCTGGCAACCCACAGTATGCCACTGACCAGCGGCGTTCACTGGACTACAATGGGTTGAGTGCAGTCTTCTCAGCCTGACCACATTTCACAGGACAGTTACGAAGATACTAAGGGGAGGGCATGTAAGCCGCTCTGAGCTCCTTTAAGGAATGGTAGACAGGCGAATGGTAACCTTGCTCCTGCTTCTTGATATCTCATAGGCATTTGATACCATTAACCATGGTATCCCCCTGGACTGGCTCTGGGAAATGGGAACTAGGCCCCCTGTACCACAGTGGCTCCAATCCTACCTTAAGGAGAGTGCCTTTTAGCCCAGCGGCTATGTTATGAGGGTGCCACAGGGAACTCTCTTTGGTGCTATCTCATATTGACATTAAGCCATTGGGAGTGGTCTTAGGTGTTTCAGGATGAGGCGCCATCCATATGCTGAGGACACTTGGCTCTATTTCTCTGTAACATCTGTATCAGGAGAGAACGTGCAGTCCCTGGACTGTTGCCTAGACTTAGTGGTGAAATGGATAAGGAAGAACAAGCTGCACTTGAATCCTAGCAAGACATAGTCACTGGGGGTGAGCCGTCCCTGTATCTGAGAAATTGGTCAGTTGCCTGCTCTGGATGGGGTTGCACTTCCCCTGAAGGAGCAGGTTCACAGTTTGAGGGTGCTTCCGGATCCGGCTTTGTCACCGGAAGCTCAGGTGGCGTCCGTGGCTAGAAATGCCTTTTATAGACACTGCTGGACCGGGAAAGGCTTGCCGCAGTACATCATGCATTGGTTGCTTCAAGACTGGATTACTGCAATGAACTCTATGTGGGGCTTCCCTCACACTTGATCCAGAAGCTGCAGCCGATGCAGAATTCTGACTGGTGTAAAGCCTTGTCAGCATATAACACCTGTGCTCAGAGATCTGCACTGGTTGCTGCTTTGCTGTCAGGCCAAGTTCAAGGTGTTACTATTAGCATATAAAGCGTTTTACAACTGGGGACCAGTTTAGCTAGGAGATTGCCTTCCCCTATGTGCACCCACTCGACCACATGCTCCACTCACAGTGGGTCAAGATCAGGGTCCCTTTTTCTCCCATTCACTTTGTAAGAGCCATTTATGTAACTCAGAGCTTTCCAAACTGTGTGTCACGATATGTTAGTGTATCAGCTGCAGTGTGTATGAATGCTCTCTGCGCAAATGCTCTCCACTCTCCTTCTGGGGCTGAAAAGGGGTTAGTTTAACCTCCGGTTTGCTAGTAAAACTGAATTACTGTGTCATGAAATGATGCATGTCTAAAAAGTGTGTCACCAACATGAAAAGTTTGGAAAGCTCTGATGTTAATCATAACAATAATTATAATTTTAGTATTTATACCCCTTGGTTGCCCTAGCCACTCTTATCACCAGAATATTTGGCCCCTAGTCACAGCTTGCAAAGAGAGACTCAGAACCAAAAGGGTAAAAGCTGCCATCCCACTTAAGTGTGCCAAGGCCACAACTCCAATTGGAAAAGCTGGGTAATATTGTGATCTGGGTAAGCCCAAACTGGCTGGATTGCATGTATACCTCTTTGCAATAAGGTACACATGAAATGCAAATAACTTAATTCAAGCAGAACAGAGCTAAATGTACTCTTACTCTTTTTGAGCGCTAGCATACAGATTCAAACGTCATGTTTGTTCAAGGAATCACTGCGGTTATAAGGTTGCTCAGATCTTTCCTCCCTGCATAGGCTAAACTCGTGGAGGAGGAAATGGGACCTCTGAGCCACTGGCCCTGCTCCCAGGGTCAAGATGACATGTGCAAAGAGGTGATTGTGTACAGGTGTCACCCTAATCCTTTGCAGACGTCATCTGTCTGTCTGTGCGGAAGCTGCAGGGAAGACGAGTGGGAATGGCAGTGGGTGCAGTCCTCGCTAGAACTCCGTTCCGGCACCTCTCAGGTGGGCGCCATTGCCATTCTAAGAGAACGAGAGAGGTGTTCGTGGTGGGTTCCGGCACCTCTTTTACTAGGAAAACAGCACCGCTCCTGTCCCACTTCTGTGTTTAGCTTACAGGTAGATGGAGCTCCTAAATGGGTCAGAAGTTTCTCTGCCATCAGAAAATATGTGGCTTAATTTATTCTTGCAGTGCACCTTTTTCACCTTGGGGAAACGGTCTCCACTTTGTAAGCAATGGATGAGTTGATGTTTCTAAGAGATCTCTTTAAAAATGCATGGCTTAAACAGTCCCTGCTTAATGTTATGCCTCTGTGCAGTGCCTCTTTGATTATTAATATCTGTCTATTCCATAGCAGGCAATTATTTCTGGAAGCAGCGGGTAGACAACCATCTGCTATGTGTAGAAAATGAAAAGTCTATGGCACAGCCATACCCAGGCCATTCTGCACCAAAGGGTTGATTGAAAAGGTAGTTTATATGTTGTAGTCTTATAGCAGAGAACCTGTGGCCCTCCAGATGTGGGTGGACTACAGTTCCCATCATCCATGACCATTGGCCATCCTAGCTGGGGCTGATGAGAGCTGGAATTGGAATCCAACAATGTGAGGAAGGCTGCAGGTTTCCCCTCTGCTGCCTTATAGGATCGTATGTATTTACTTTAAATGGCTTTAACAGAGCTTTCATGTCTCTGTGCTAAGCATACTTTATTCCAGGAGCAAAGTACCAAGTGCAAATTACGTATTCATCTTTCCCACTCCCTGGGAGAGAGCTTTTGTTTTGGCATGTTTCTGTGATGGAAGTAAATTCACTTGGTGTTGACGATTTGGTGCCGTTACCTGTTACCGGAATTCATGGCGACGGTTCCTGCTCACGTCGTGTTAATAGGAACCATCGGCTCCACTGAATTCGACAGGAAGTAAGGCTCAGACCCATAACAGCATCATATGCAACTCTAGAAATGATAATTGGCCGACCACAGTGGCCTCCTGTGGCAGGATACTGAATTTGCTTGGAGTATGCTACTTCTAACATAAGCTAGTAAAGTGCCCAGGCTTAAGTTATGGCAGCTACACAATTCATACGGCAAATGTGGAAAGGTTTGATGATACACATTTTTTTATACATGCCTCTTTAAACACTATGTGCACACATCTGAGAACCCTGATTGGGCCAGGGACTTCAGACTTGCGTGTACAGATGCTTTTAGGATGCATGAATATGTATCTGCGTCAGCTGCACCTCAAGGCAGTAGGTTACCCTAGGAGATGCATGTCAGGCTGCAAGGCTCCAAGGGGTTGACCTGTGGCACCCTGTGCAATGCCAACATTTGCACCACCACCCCGCCTCACTTGCATACAATCCTGGCCCCAAAGGCAAGCTAACCACATGCTCCAACACTTATATTGACCCTGATTGGCATTTTCAGAAATTTGCTGGCCGTAGTCCCTGACAAATGCAAGTTGCCTGGAGTACTCCCCGCCACTTGGCAGCCCCTTAGATTTATTAGTACAGTGGTACCTCGGGTTACATAGGCTTCAGGTTACATACGCTTCAGGTTACAGACTCCACTAACTCAGAAATAGTACCTCGAGTTAAGAACTTTGCTTCAGGATGAGAACAGAAATCATGCTCCAGCGGCGCAGCAGCAGCAGGAGGCCCCGTTACCTAAAGTGGTGCTTCAGGTTAAGAACAGTTTCAGGTTAAGAACGGACCTCCGGAACGAATTAAGTACTTAACACGAGGTACCACTGTAATAGAGATCTGTCTTCAGCTGCCCATACTTTCTCATCAGCATCATCATCCCGCACAGTCCAGTCTAAATCATTATCAGTCTCCCAGGTGTCCCAATTCCAGTTATCAGGACTCCAGTCATGGGACTTTATGAGATTCCTGTGAGGGTCAGGCATGCAACCAGTGGCGTATATTTAAGGGAACAGTTGGGCCAGAGGCTCCAGCTGCGAGGGCAATGGGGGGGCATGAAGTGCACATGATGTCCTGACATTGTGCACGTGAGCATCGCGCCTTCCTCCCTAAGCTGGGCAGAAGCTTCCCGGCCTTTGAGAAGAAAGTGCCAGGCCTCTGACAGGACGTTGGAGCCCTCTTGCCTCCTTCCCAAATTTACTGGGAACATTTAGGGGACTAGACTTGTCCCCCTAGCCACTGACCGCACACCACTGAATGCAACCCCTTTTAACCTGTCTGCAATGTCCTAACACAGCAAATGGGGTAACAGCCTTTTCACCTGCTAAATCCTCTTTGCCCTGCACACCTCCCAATGCCTACCGCAGCAGCGCCTGCTATTCTTTAACAGCACTTATTTCATCAATTTGCCAGCATACTTTCTGCTGAGGAGCTCCCAGCTGTTTCCCCGTATCACAGAGTGCCATGAGCAGGACCTCTCCCAGCCCTGTCACTGCTTTCTGCCAACCTCCCAGTATCTGCATGTATTAATAATAATAATATTTTTTATTTATACCCCGCTCTCCCCAGCCAAGGCCTACTCAGGAAGGGTAACAAGCAATAATAAAAACAAGTTGAATGAATACAACTTAAAAACAAGATTAAAATACAACATTAAAATATTGAAACATTAAAATGTTAAAATATTAAAATGCAGCCTCATCACAGGAGGAGAAAGGAAAAAGGAAAAAGAAAGAGGGGGAGGGAATCAAATTGGCTCCAAGCCAAAGGCCAGGCGGAACAACTCTGTCTTACAGGCCCTGCAGAAAGAAATCAGATCCTGCAGGGCCCTGGTCTCATGAGGCAGAGCGTTCCACCAGGCTGGAGCCAGTGTTGAAAAGGCCCTGGCTCTGGTTGAAGCTAATCCAACTTCCTTAGGGCCCGGGACCACTAGGGTGTTGCTATTTATGGACCTTGAGGCTCTCTGTGGGGCATACCGGGAGAGGCGGTCCTGTAGGTACGAGGGTCCTAGGCTGTGAAGGACTTTAAAGGTCAAATCCAGCACCTTAAATCTGACCCTGTACTCCACCGGGAGCCAGAGCAGCTGGAAAAGCACTGGGTGAATATGCTCCCATGGCAGAGACCCCGTGAGGAGCCTCGCTGCAGCAGTCTGCACCTGCTGGAGTTTCTGGGACAGCTTCCAAGGGCAGCCCTGCGTAGAGCAAATTACAGCAGTCAAGCCTGGAGGTGACCATCGCATGGATCACGGTGGCCAGGTCGGGGCGGGAAAGGTAAGGTATTAGGGCCCCTCAATCTCAGCCAAATCTCATGACACTGGCAGAGTCAGCCAGTTCAATATTTGAGTCAATGGTGCCCAAACACCTGTGCTGAGCCAACCAAGGAGAGATGCAACTCAGTGTCTTGTTGAGCAGACTTCTTCTCCAGGGCAAATAATAATAACAATAATAATAATAAATAATTTATACCCCACCCATCTGGCTGGGTTGCCTCAGCTGCTCTGGGCGGCTTCCAACAAATATAAAAGCATAATAAAACATCAAACCTTAGAAACTTCCCTATACAGGGCTGCCTTCAGATGTCTTCTAAAAATTGTATAGTCGTTTATCTGTTCGACATCTGATGGAAAGGCGTTCCACAGGGTGGGTGCCACTATCGAGAAGGCTCTCTGCCTGGTTCCCTGTAATTTCACTTCTCACAGTGAGGGAGCTGCCAGAAGGCCCTTGGAGGTGGACCTCAGTGTCCAGTCTGAACAATAGGAGTGGAGACACTCCTTCAAGTATACTGGGCCAAGGCTGGTTAGGGCTTTAAAGGTCAGCACCTACACTTTGAATTGTGCTCGGAAACATCCTGGGAGCCAATGTAAATCCTTTAGGACCGGTGTTATATGGTACCAGAGGCTGCTCCCAGTAACCAGTCTAGCTGATTGGTTGTAGTTTCCAAGTCAACTTCAAAGGTAGCTCCATGTAAAGTGCATTGCAGTAGTCCAAGCAGGACATAACCAGCGCATGTACAGTTCTTTTGGACTCAATGGCAATAACAGCACAGGTGGAGGGAAGTTCAGTGTTCTTATTAATTAATAGCACAGACAAAGCAGTGAAATAGTCTTTAAGAAAAAATAGCACAGCATAAACAAGTTAAACTACTTCACCATTCTATTACCAGGAGCTCCAGCAAACAATAACAAAGAGGCTCCAGCTGGCTAGTATGCTCAGGACCACATCGAAACTCAGGAGTCAGACGCCATTTGAGAAATTTATATGCTCTAGACCTTTGGTGGCTGGATGCTGGCTGACCTAATATCTCAGTTCCTCCCACCTGGTAAGCTAAGCCGATATACAGGGGCCAACTTCATTTATCAACCCTGCAGTGCACTATTGCCTGCAGACACTCAGCCTACAGCTGACCTACAAGTGGATTTTCCCACATCCTGCTGCCACTTATCTCTGAAGCCCAAACAGTAAACCAAACCCAAAATCCTTCCCAGTCTCAAAGGTGCCAATAACCAGTGAGGGAAAAATTGTACAAACCAATACCTATCTCAAAATACAGGTTTCCCCCACCTAGGGATAAAAATCTGTCTGTCTGTCTGTCTGGGTTGGGGAGAGGGTACACAAAAATTCAGGGAAAAGATTTTTGATAAATCACAACTACAGAATAATTCCACAGACTGGATGATGCTCAGTTAGCCCAGCAGTGGGCAGACTTCTCAAGCACAAATATTTTTCCTACCAAAGGATTTTCTTAAAAGTGGTTCAACATTTACTTGCCATTGCCATGTAAATCTGCTGGAAAAGAAGGTGCTGGGACTGGAATCCCCCGTTTCACAGAAGGCTCTGTAAGGATCAAATACAACTTTTTTAAAAAGGTGTCAAAGGGAAGGTAGTTCTCTCCTCGCCCCTTTCAGTTGTATGTTTGTGCTGAGAGAGTAAGACGACACACATGAGATAATTTTACATCAGGATATGGGCAGTAACAGAGACAAGAAAACATTACGGAGTGGAAATAAATGTATTACTGTTTCAAAATCTTTCTATATATTGGCATGATTTCTCAGTGAAAGTGGTGGGTGATATTATGTCCTCAATACTCAAAATAGGAGGGAAGCGGCAGTTTTAGTTGAGAGCCCCTTCATCAACCCCTCCAATTTTGGTAAAGTAAGTTTTCTCTTGTAGCCTTCTAAAACTAGTAACTACCTATGGGGTCATCACAAAAAGTTAGGGGCTAGCCCCCTTCCTCTCTTTCAGACCCTCCCAGTGTCCCTTTTTTCCAGGGACAGTCCCGAATTTACAGAAGCCACCCCAGTTTCTAATTTGATCCTGGAATGTCCTGCTTTTCCTTAGGACATCCCTATTTTCATTGGAGAAATGTTACAGTGTATGGAGTTATGCGATCCCTGAGCCAAGGAGATAAGTCACTATTCTACCTTTAGAAGACACCTGAAGGCAGCCCCATATAGGGAAGTTTTTTTAAAAATGTTTTATTATGCTTTTATATATTTTGGAAGCCGCCCAGAGTGGCTGGTGCAGCCCAGTCAGATGGGCAGAGTATAAATAATAAAATTGTTGTTGTTATGGAATAGGATGTCCCTATTTTTATTGGAGGAAAGTTGGAACGTATGCTCTTTGCTTTGAGGCCTGAGAGTCCCTAGCAAATATCTCCCCCAAATTTTGCAGCTATCTCTAGTTTTTGCTTTTTCAACCTGGGTTTTCTGTATTTGTTCATGATTTATTAATAATGCTGTGAGTTTATTAATGTTTTATTGATAAGTTTTCAGTGAAATTATGGTTGCCCAATGTTCTGAAAATTTGAATTTTGAAAAGCCTTTCAAAAGATGCAGAATTTGCCAGATGACTTCTCTGCTATGTGAACATGTTTATATTAGCTGTTTGAAAACTGGCTGAATTTGCATATTCATGTGAATAAAAAAGTGAGATTTTTGTTCATATAACAAACAAAACATTCAACAACATTACTCTCTTCCAATAACACCCAATTCAATCACAACCCATCAGCGCTTCCTCAAACAAACAAACTGAAAAATAACTGGCCCCGTCTTCAGCAACCCATATTTCCATCAGTTTGTCATTTTAAAAAAGTTTTTTTAAAAAAAGTTAAAGTTATCAGCGTTGTATCGCAAATGCCTCCTAATACGCACATTTTTCTATGGTTTTGCCTCATATGATTTTTCGCAAATCATCTTTCCCTAATGCATTTCTGTGTGCTTTTTTCACTCATATATCTGCTTCCATACAAACTTCACCCTAGTATATGAATTTTTGTTCACACTGCATGGCTAAAGAGCTGCATTGCAGAATTCTTATAGTGAGCGAAATTTGAAAGATGACTAAGCTTTGGTTTGCATACTGTTTCGGAAGTGTGAATTAGGTAGGCTTACATTTAAATGCAAACTGAGTTGAATATCTCAAGTCTGGACTCAGTGGAGTAGTTGAGCAAACCACCTGGGGACAGGCCCCCGTGAGGGAACCAAGGAACCTCACAGATTTATTTTATTTTATTTTGTAAAACAGCTGTTCAGCATTATAAAAACATCTACAAATTACAGTTTAGCCTTCATTTGTATTCAGAATTTCTGCTTCTTCTTTGAACTCAGACAAAAGGCAGGATTGAAGGAAAGCGATGCAAGCAGCCACGACAGTAAAACAAAAAAGTTCCCACACGGCAGCAATTAACAGGATGCCGTTTAATATCTGTATCCATGGGCAACTGCGAAGTTGGGGACCGCCAACCTCAAAAACATTGGTCATGATCTCTGAGGCAAGCAGTAGTGAAATTATCGCTATTATTTTCGTTTCACAATGCATAATATTCCAACAAAATTGATTCGCTGGCAGAATGACTCACATTTGTTGTGCATTTCAAAATGGAATAACCTTTTTTTTCATATTCAAACGTGTCCCCTGTTGTCAGAGGTTGAAAGATAGTCACTTTGGAAGCACAAAGCAACACAGTCAAGTCTGAGCAATTGCCACCGTTATGTTAAGGATTTCGACCTTGCTGTCACAAATTTACATTCATAGTTTGTGCCTCAGGTAATGCAAAACAATGGACGCTCATGTAGGCAGCATGCCAGTCCGTTATTATAAAAAAAAAGGACAATGATTTTAGCAGTTTGGGATCCATGCCAAATCAGTCTTATTTCATTCCAGCGCATGCTAAAACAACAAGCCCTGTTTGTGATTTTAACAGATTTTGTTGCAAGGGTTGAAAAAATGTGTGCAGGGTGGGTTGTTGTTTTTTTATTTTAAAAAAAGAGTTCTCTCCTTACTTGTCATTTTGAAGGACAACAGAACTCTCAGATGTTATACTTAGCTCCTGGTAGCACATCTAAAGCAGGATTCATCGTTTAGCAGCAGGGCACATACATTGCAACTACAGAATAGGTCCAGGCAGGGAAAGATTAGTGCTGCATCTTAAAAACATCTACCAAATCTCTGAAGAGGACTTACTCTGTTTCTGGTCATTGGCAACAGGTCATGTGGTTACATAGTGCTCTTTGTATCATAAGATGCATTCACCCGCACCACGACACCCAAATAAGCATTGCTATGCAGATGCAGAAGGCTGCTTCTGTGCACTGAACAGCAAGCGCCATAACTGGAAGACATGTTTTGCATGTAGTAGTTCCAAGATTTAATTTCTGGCAGCAATGAGCAGTCCCGGATTAAACTCTGTGGAGGCCCCTAGGCAGTCAAAATTGGGCCCGGGGGCGGCAGGCGCCTCGCACTGTGATGTTCCACTGTGAGAACAGGATGCTGGCCTTTTCTTAGGTTCTTAAGGTAGAAAACATAAACTTGTTGCATGACTTTTTGCATCCATCTTTTGTGGAATCTGATCATGTCAAAAAGTGCACATTCCTGGGGAAATCTGGAGTTCTGAAGCAGCAACGCAGGGTGGGAGAAGGAGAAAAGTAGAAATTATTAACCCTGGAGTGGGACCAAGACGTAGTATAACTCATACACTCCTACTAGGAAGGCTCTTTAGGGAGGACAGTGTTTCAAACCACTTTCATGTCCCCTTCCTCATGGCTCCCAATGGTGGCCTAGGGGGGACTTTCTTTCTTTCTTGATCAGAATATTTATATACCGCTAACCTAACCTACCTTGTGGGGTTGTTGAGAGGATAAAATGGGGAGGCCAGAACTACTGAGCTCCTCGGCTGGAAAGGTTGTGCACATAAACGTAGTAAAGAGAAGATCTGTCTTCTGTTCCATGGCTGTGCTTGTTTCTTCTCTCTTCCCCCTCATTATTTCATTTTCCCTTTTGTTTTTCTGCTTTACGGATGATAAGTCTGAGACCAGGCATGGGTGTAGCCAGAATTAATCTTGGGAGGGGGCAGAATACCCACCTGTCATCTTCCTCCATCTGGTTCTATCTAGCGGATTCAGAATGAAATGTTTCAACAACACTTGTTTTAATAATAATAATGATTTATTTAGACCCTGCTCATCTGGCTGGGTTTCCCCAGCCACTCTGGGCAGCTCCCAACAGAATATTAAAAACACAATAAAATATAAAACATCAAACATTAAATTACTGTTTTAAATTACTGTCTACTGGGGTTGCCAACTTTTTTGCCCTGCGAGGCTCCTGCACTTGTACTACGTAGCAATAATAAAATAAAATAAAGTAATCTGTCACTGAGGATCCCAACACACACCCACACACCCTACATCCCAAATAAACTTCTCACAACCCTTAGGGTTTGAAAAAAATATCTTCTAGTTAAAATCTGATTGCTGGCACTAGTAAACTTGTTGCCTCAGGGTCAAGCAATGTGAAGCTTTGCTTGTGTAGATTATTTAAAACCATTTATAAACCACATACTTCCCCCAACAACGCCTAGGCATTTGGGGTGTTCTGCACCTGACAACAACAGCAAATAGGTTCTTATTTATCAAGAATCAAATAAATAAACAAAAAATCTCTCCTAGCCGAACGGTCTGTGAGTATAGAGATAAGCTAGATAGAGATGAATATGGAGAGAGAGAGAAGAGAAGCCAAGCACCAAATTGCTGCCTTTAAACCAGGCGCCAAGCAGACCCAGCAGCGACAGGCAAGACTCGGGCGCCGTCGGGCGCGCGAGGGTTTGCGCGCATCCCGCTGCCTGACGCCCCTGCAAGCCAATCAGAGGGCGCGTCCCTGAAGCACCTTGTGACAGGCAGAGGCGGCCTTCCCTCTCCTCGCCCCGAGCGAGTGAAGCTGCGAGGCTGGGCGGGCCCAGCTCGGCCGCTGCTCAGGGCGGGGTTTCGAGAGCGGCGTCCGCGATCGCGGTTTGTCACCGCTCCAGGGTTCAGGAGCTTATTTAAGCCGGCCACGCGCACACACACGAGCACAGGCGCGCGCGCGCGACGCAGGCAGCTGCTGAGCATCCTTAGCAGCAGCAGCAGCATCGGGCAGCCAGGGAGCCGGTGGGGGAGCAGCAGCAGCAGCAGCAGCCCGAGCCAGACAAAGCAAAGATGGCAGGGATCCTCGCTTGGTTCTGGAACGAGAGGTTCTGGCTGCCGCACAATGTCACCTGGGCGGATCTGAAGAGCACCGAGGAAGCCACCTTCCCTCAAGTGGAGGACCTCTACCTGGCCTTCCCCCTGGCCTTCTGCATCTTCATGATCCGCATGGTTTTCGAAAGGTGAGGCTGGGATCTGGGATCTGGATGCTCCTCTCTCTCTTCTCTCTCTCCAGCCCCACTAGCCCCTCCAGGGAAAGGGCTGCCCTCTTCTACTTCTTCCCATAGGCAAACAAGCTCACAACTCGCTCGTGTGGGGCTTGTTTTATTTGGGCCCCTGGGGTCTCTCCGCCTCTGGAGATGTTGGCTCTGGGGGTGGTGAGGGGGCTTTGCAGTTCGTAGGCAGACAGCCTCATGAGTGGGGATTATAGGGGGTGTACGGATCAAACTTCTCTGAAGAATAAGAGGTGTGTGTGTGGGTCGCCAGCATGGGTCCAATGTTAGCAGCATGGGTCCAATGCTGCCACACTGACTTAAAAAAACAACACCGAAACCATGCCCACTCAAAAGGCAAGGAGGCATTTTATTTTGATTAGAGAGGCTTTTCGAGCTAAGCTTTAGATCACCTTCCTGGTCACTCCTTCCCCCAGATGCTACCAATGCAGATGGTTTTGTGGTGGGCAACGTGCCTGTGTGATGGCATTCAAGGCAAAAATTCATTGATAAATGACCAGCAGGCTTGCTAGTATCGGATTGGGGGGGGGGAACGACTATGTGCTTGACCCTGCTGAAAAATCCAGTGTTGTTGCTGTTTTTGAAAATGGGAACACCACATTGATGGTTCCACCAACTTCCTTGAAATAGGCTAATCGCCTCATTTCTAAAATGAGGAAAGCAGGGTTCAGGCAAGTCTGCCTGGAGCCCAGGCCTCAGACCTGTAAACTGCTGTCTAATAGCACAGCTGTGAGTAGGTAAGCTGTGAGAAGGAGGTAAAATGCTCCGCACATACCCAGAGGTACACATACCTTTTACCTCATGTTCTGGATCTCTTGTACGGCATTTTGAACACCTCATGGGTTTATGAGTCCTTGGTCGAAATAATTCTGACAACACTATTCCGTGTGGAACACCTGACTGGGAAAAAACCCCACTTCTTAAAAAGGTCACTTGTATACTGGTGACATAGCTTGTAGGTTTTTAAGTAAAAGCGAATCAGTGTCATAAAACAGTAAAATGCTGTACACTTCATGAATACAATCTGATTATTAATTAAGCTAGGAATCTATCTGTTTTCAGTCCTTTGTTATACCTCCAAAATTATTTGCTCCAGGGAAAAGCCTGATGGTTAAGTTGACAATCTTTCCTTTATGCTTTCCCTGTTGTTCCGTTGAAGAGCTGTTTCCCTTCATGATAAACACAGGACAACAACACAACAGAAAAGAATCCTTTTTGAAAATGCAGAATAATAACTGCTGTGATAGTTAACTGAGAACACCTCTTAAATTTTAAGGTTGGTGTTTATAATGATCTACATAGAATATATCACTTTTCTGAAATACTAACCCAAACTGATCATACACTAAATGTCAGTTAATACAATGTGTGAAGATATTGTGTGGTAAAAATGTCTAGTTTTCCTGGAGGGTCATTTTGAGTACTTCTGCCCTAGCCTTTTCTCCCAAGATGGGCAACATTTGTTTACTTGTTTTGTCTCCTGGATTCTAAGGAATACGCTTTCCACACTGTTACATTCCTGCATTTTCCCTGTTGTCCTGCTTTTTAAAAAAGTTTTTTTTTTTTTAAGTGCTGTTTTGTAGTGATTTTTAGACCTATCAAAATAACAGCGCAAAGCTTTCAAATATGACATAGTGCTATTGTTTCTCCTGGTGTATAGTGGAGGGCTTGGTGATGTGCCCCTCCCTTTTCTACATTACCTACCTGTCTGTAATTATTATACCTGTCTCTATTGCTCCATCCTCTGCTGTGGAGTTCTTTAAACTCCTTCTGCGTTTAACCTGTGTGGTAAAGGTGATCTTCTATATGGAATGGAGGCAGGGTAGGGGGAAACAGACCTTATCCACTTCTCTTTTTCATTAACACATTATGGGATTGATTGATGGATGCATGCACGTAAGTCTTGAGAATTTTTAAAAAGAAGGACATACAGAGCAAAAGTTTTTGACTGTTGCCTAGACTGCAGGACTGTCTTAGCAATGGTAGCCTCAGCAACACAAGCTCTGACTTTCCTCCCTTGGTGTTGCTGGGTAAGTCTGCTCAGTACACCCATGGTAGGAGTGCATGATGGTGATGCTGCTGCCCATTTCATATTGCCTCTTTTCCTTCCAAGTGTTCTCAGTCTCCATTGCAAGAGACTGGTCCATTTGGATAGGTGAAAATGGAGCTTCCTATCAGTTCAAGAGAGGGGTGCAACTGTTGCTCCCCTCTGCTTGTTGCTGCAGGTTCTTTTTTCCTTGTCATCTCATCTCTTTTATGGGGTGAGCTGCAGCTATGACTGTCCTTCTCAACACTCTTTACCATCAATTGTCCTAAAGCACATACTATTGTCTTGGAGACTCTCTGAAGGAACTTTGGTCTTAAGGATCCTTCTTTTAGGATGACAACACTATAGTTTAAAAACAAAACAAAACCATGCCACCTGGGGTTTAGATAATACTCTAATGCCAAGGAATAGGACTAACACTAGTATGACATTAATAAAAAATAAAATAAACTGGTGTGTTTGTAACACAAAAAACAACTTTGCCAGAAGGTGGCTGTTTCCCATCCACAATATTTTGCTTTTTATTGCTCACAAGTATTCCCTATATGGAATGTCACAATTCTGCTCTTCCCTTCTACTTCAAACATCCAATAATCTCTTTTATTCTTCACCAGTAAAGAACAAACACTTTCTTTAACAATGCACATTTTTTAAGAGCCCAGAATTGGATGTACACTGAGCAATTTGATAACCTGATGCTCTGCATATGTTTACCAGGATACCCAGGCCAAATATTTATTTCTGAATCCTTTATAACTACCCTTTCGTTATATAGTGCAATGTCAATATATGGCTTTCACATAGTTCACATTATTGCTTTTTATAAAGAGAGAGAAGCTCCCGTTTTCTCCTGCCTAAACTCAGGAAAAACGTATGCAGAATTCTCACATTCTTACCATAGAGGCAAAATGTAGTACAACAGTTTTTTTGATAAAATCAGCTCATAAAATCTTGTACTCCACTGAGTTATGGAGGATGGGTTTAGTTACTTGCAGTTACACTTGAATCTCCGCATAATTGGTGTCCCCCCCCCCCCAGGAACTGGGAGAAGAGAGCACTCCTTGGGTTGCCTTGTGTGCCTGAGAGCCTTTCAATGGAAGCATGGTGCTTTGAGGCTCCATAGGCAATGGACTGAGGAAGTGGAACATAGGAAGGGTGGAGAATGAGATTTTTGGTGAAAGGGCTTGGGAGAGGGGGGAACTGAGGAGAGAACAGCTTCAAGGTGCTTAAAGGGAAGCAACAGAGTTTGGTCAAGAGAGAGTGACTTAAAGAAGGGGCACAAAGTAGGCCGTCCCCTGTCAAGCTGGAATTGGAGGGAACAGTTTGTAAGGATTTGAAGGGAATAATGGGTGGTAGAAAAATTGGAGTTGAAGAAAGAAGTCAATGGAAAAGTAGGACTAGGGGAAACCATGTGGCCTAGAGATGGGTTGTTCTGTACTGTTGGCAGGGTGACAGAGGAGGCCAGGGATACATAAGTATGCTAGGTTTAGAGTCTCTTGACTCCGAGGTGTCAGTATCATGGCAATATAGGGAGCTGGCAACCTCAGAAGGACAAGGGAGGGGTGTGACGCAGTAGGTAATGTAGTTTATTTGAACTAACTAGCCAATTCTAAGACTGCTGACTTCCAGGAATGTCTTCGAAAAGTGGTATAAAGTCAAAGTAAAAATGCTGTGAGTCCTCTGCCCATTATTGTCATGGCTTCTTCCCACAAAATCCCGCAAAGGAAATATGGGTCTCTAACAGACTTTTCAGACTCTCACAACTCTAATCCCCAGAGTTCCTTGAGGGAAGCAAATCCACCAGTGTCCATAGAGATTTGGCCCCAATACGTTCATTACATGTGATGCACAAATGCATGTCAGCCATCTCCCGTTCCCTGTTAGTTTGATTTTACTTTTAAATGAGAAGCAGCTTGGGTAGATGGGAATTCTGAATAGACACACAGAAGGTGGAAAGGTGTGTTGAACCCCCTTTGTCTACAGCTTCTTCACACCCATGCTTTTCAGATTTTTCCACCATGCCCCCCCCCATCCCCTGGGCAAGAGTTTGCCCTCTAAAATAAACATTTGGAACTTATGAATTAGGAAAGACCATGGACTCAGCTACATTAGTCAAAAAACTGTGTTTTGAATGCATTATAAACATGCACCAGATGGCACTGGAGAGTAAAAAAGAAATCTATGTGATTTTCCATAATGTTTTTTTTCTTTTGTTATAACGATTTAATTTATTTCTTGTTTATAGTATTTTTTCTGTGTGTGTGTAGATCCACCCCAGCAAAACTGTTTGGAAGTTGTGCTTAAAATGTTGTTTGGGGTCCTGATCTGGTTTTTTTTTGGGGGGGGGGGGACAAACCATTGTTTGCTGGGTTTGAAAGAGAGAGAAAGCTTGCATAAAGAGCCAATATAGATTTATTTATGCAAATAGATTCTTATCTTGCTATTCCATGACAAAGGCAACATAGAAATTCAATTTAGAACAATAAAACATACCAACAAAAAAAACCCCTGTATTGATTTAAAGCAGATTAGTTACTATTAAAGACCTAGGTAAACAGGATGGCCTTATCCTGGCATAAAAAAAAGATAGTAAGGACAGTACAAATTGAATTGTGCAGAGGGAATTCTACCTTCGGCGCTCCTACAGAAAAGGTGGGGACACCTGGAAAACTTGCTAGTCAAGGTAATATGGGAGAATGTTGTCCTCTTGTTAACTTTGACCCCATACTGTGACTCTATAGGTTAAAACCAGCCCTTTGCATTGTTCCCCAGACAAACTGGGTGCATGTGACGACCTTGTAAGTTTGCTAGTGAAATAGTTTCACCAAGAAGAGTCTACTTAACCGCTTGGCTGCCACATTCTGGATCAGTAAAGTTTCCAAATGTTTTCCAGAGGCAGCCCTTCGTATGCAGAGGATCATTTTACTATACTTTGAATTACGCTTGTTGTATTATCCTAGACACAGCATAGACAAAGGAAGCTATTCTGAAGTGCTAAATAACACGGAGATGAAAATGAGCTCTCTAATATAGCTCTCTCTGGGCTGGTAAACCTGTGTCTGGCCTGTTCTCTCTTCAGACTCCTCTCAAGACATACGAGTGTGCTTTTTGTTTATGTACAGGGGAGCATTCAGCCCCATGGGCTCCCCCCTTGGTCTGAAGGGGTAGTTTTACCACTTCCGTGTGAACTAGGCTTAAATATTGATTTTAAATAAGCTGATAGACTGCTGAGGTAATACAGGGGACTACATCACTTCAGGTTGTCGAATAGGCCTCAAAGCAGGTGCCAAACTTTACCTCGTTGACAAAGTCTTATTTAACAGACCCTTTTAATGGGGTCCTGGAGTCTGCTTATTAACTGACCCTATAAGAATATTCCACAAGTTACTTAAGCGGGTTTTGTCCTTTCAGAATGTGGCTTTCTGTGAATGGTATTTCTAAATAATATTCTTAGGTTCAACCTTTCCACCTTTAAAGGTGACTTAAGTGTCTTAAGACAGTGGGTCTTTATTTTGTAGGATAAGTTAGGAAAGTGATCGTGTTAACTTACTTGCTTTTATCAGAAGCATTTTTTGTTTTCTTATGGAGTCATGTTTGCATTCTTTTTACATATAAACGCTTAACCAAAATTTCAGGATGATGGTTTGACATTGGTTTCAGGTCATGGCTTGTCCTGAAGGGGGTAACCAAAGCTTCCCTGATAGAAACTATGGTTAATTGTGAAGACTTTGTCATTGCACCCAGGTGAGCCACTAAGGGAGAAGTGAAGGGCCTATGGGCCAAGGGCTAATTTATATCTCAACTTGTTAAACCAAGGTAAAGGTAAAGGTACCCCTGACCGTTAGGTCCAGTCACAGACGACTCTGGGGTTGTGCACTCATCTCACTCTATAGGCCGAGGGAGCCAGCGTTTGTCCGCAGACAGTTTTTCCGGGTCATGTGGCCAGCATTAATAAGCCACTTCTGGAGAAACCAGAGCAGCGCACGGAAACACTGTTTACCTTCCTGCTGGAGCGGTACCTATTTATCTACTTGCACTTTGACGTGCTTTCAAACTGCTAGGTTGGCAGGAGCTGGGACCGAACAACGGGAGCTCACCTCATCGCGGGGATTCGAACCATCTACTTACCGGCAAGCCCTAGGCTCTGTAGTTTAGACCACAGCGCCACCAAGATAGGTTCATTCAAACTTGTGCCAATTGGTTCTTTTGAAAATGCCTTGCTAATAATGAAAATTGCAGACTGAAGGTGCATATGCAAGGCAAGGTGTCCATTTTCAGTGTTTTCGGCTGGTTCGCAGACTGGGGCATACAAAAGGCTCACTTGTATCTCTGCTTATTACGCTGAGATATGTCTGTCGCTCACTTTTATAGTTAATACAGTTGTATATCAGTTGACATTTATTCACTGATTATAACCTAATTGCAACAGCTAGCAATCTAATGAGAATGATTGCTTTCTTTGCAGTCCTATGTATGATGACTTGGATGCAAGTTTCATTGAATGTAGTAAGCAGGCGTAGAATCAGACTCCGTGTGGCTTTACACAAAGATTTAATAATGTCTGTCCAAAGACACATGACGTACAATACACTTGACAACCTGCTTTGAGGATTAGAATTTCTTACTCTCTATTTGCAAGTCTCCTTTTCAGTGGCGTAGTGTGGGGGGTGCAGGGGGGGCCGGCCGCACCGGGCGCAACATCTGGGGGGGGGCGCGCGCTCGCACTCACAGCTCTCTGCCCCTACCTGGCTCACTCACTCTCTCTCACTGCAGTGCTGGCTGTACGAATCCGATCCGAGCCGCTGGGTCGCCACCCACTGTGGAGGGGGTGGGTGCCAGGCGTGCGGTGCGGAGAGAGAGCGAGGGACTATCTGGGGGAGGGACAGTGCAGCGGCCGCCCAGCGCAGAGCTGAGCACGGGAGAGAACCACACCAGACCAGACCAGGCAGCAGCAAGAAGAAGCTGGCAGCGCCGGCAGGTTAGGGGTTAGGGGGCGCAAATTACTTGCCTTGCCCCGGGTTAGGGGGCGCAAATTACTTGCCTTGCCCCGGGTGCTGACAACCCACGCTACGCCGCTGCTCCTTTTGACCTAGAAATGGATACAGCTTCTAATGGTGCTAATCTCACCCTATTTAGCAGGGTGTCTTCATAACCACCTCAGATTTCAGTATTATTCACCATAGTATTCCATTCAGTATTCTGCTTTTCATCTTTCCTCAGTTGCTTAAATCACTTAATGCAAATGTAGTAGGAACACAAAGTTGTTGCCATTTTGACAGAAAGTACACTCCTACATCTTAAGTAACTCTCTATCCATGTTTGTCCCAAAGTCCTGCTGAGTTCAGTGAGGCTGGCTCCAAAGTTAACATACAGAGGATTGTACCATTAGTCATTTTGTCAAGAACTCGCCTCTGCTTTCTATATGGAAGTGCCAGTATTACATCTCTCAATTACAACACTTCAAGATAATTGCTTTCCACAAATACCTAATTGGATGCGAGAATTGTGTGGAAATAAATTGCTTGGCTTTTTCTGTGGGCTTGCTTGCCTGGAAAAGGGAGTAGAAGCTCAGATAACCTCTTATTCCAGTTTTGCTGAGTTGTCAAGCACAAATTTTGACATCAAACCGTTATGAAACTGTTATCAGTTGTTATGAAGAGATTAGGCACGGGTTAGGACAGGGGTGAGCTCCCGTTGCTCAGTCCCAGCTCCTGCTAACCTAGCAGTTCGAAAGCACGGCAAAAGTTCAAGTAGATAAATAGGTACCGCTCCGGTGGGAAGGTAAACAGCGTTTCCGTGCGCTGCTCTGGTTTCGGTGTTCTGTTGCGCCAGAAGCTGGCCACATGACTCCGAAAAACTGTCTGTGGACAAACGTCGGCTCCCTCAGCCAGTAAAGCGAGATGAGTGCCGCAACCCCAGAGTGGACTGTGACTGGGCTTAACTGTCAGGGGTCCTTTACCTTTAGGGACAGGGTAAGACCAGATTCAAATCCCCACTCAGCTATGATCTTTTCTGGATAACATCGAGCCAGTCATTCACATAGTCTCAGCTTAACCCACCTTGCAATGTTGCTGTGAAAATGAAATTGGGAGTATGCCATTTTGAGTTCCTTGGAGGAAAGTTGGGATATAAATGTAATAAAGAAAGCAAATATATTTTATAAGTTTCAGCAGCTTGGGGAAGGGCTGGTGGGGGGAAATCACATTCCTAGGTGCATGAAATAGCTTGCTCTTTGTCATGCTAGGGACCTGTGGTTTGTTTTTGTTTTTTAAAAAAGAGAGAAATAATTTCATTGACATCAGTAGGGCTGATTTTTGAATACTCAGAGAATTGTCTTGTAAGTTTCAGTTTACCCTCAAGCTTTAAATAATTCAGATTCTAATGTCTGTTTACTGAGGCTTTACCAAATTATTTGTGATAATGGGTGTAGGTCCTTCTTTTTTTATTTTTTCCTGCTCTTAACCTTTGAACCTTAACTAAGCTAGTCCAGAAGCTTTTAACGGAAAGTGCTCATTTCAAAGGGAATGCAGCCCACAAATCCTTTTTAATGATAAAGTTATATGGGAGAGGCAGTGCTCCAGAAACAAAGACTGCAAGGCAGAGATGAGAGCGAGAGGCTGATCTTCAGTAAATCTGGATAAGTCTTTTTGCACAGTCAATAGAGGGGATGGAGGGGAAATATCTCTGTTCTTCATAGGGTGAGTTGGAAATCACTACTTAGAGAATGGGTTTCGTTGCAGCACCCTCTGTCTCTCCCCCCACCCCACCCTAACGTAATCTCTCATGATTGTGTCACTCTTGTGGTATTTGGGTTTCTTCCATTGTGATTGTCACACTGCTTCATGATTCATAGCAATCCTGCTGGATCAGACAGTTTGCCTAATCCACCACTCTTTTCCTGTAGTGACAAACCAGACACCTCTAATAAACCCACAAGCAGGACATGAAAACAGTAGCTCTCCCCTACTGGTAGCTCCCCAGTTGCTGTTAGGAAGCACAGATGGTGCCTGCAATAAAGTGTTGCAGCACGGAGCACTCCTGGTCGGGGTTCCTGCTAGCTGTGGCCCTTTTCAGGAGATTCTATTCTCCTCTCACCCTGTTCTCAGACCCCAAAGGGTCTGTCAGCGTTCCATGCCCAATGGGCACGTTTGGCCTCCGTTGGGTTGTTTTTTTAAAGTGTTTTTTAAGGACACTTTTTAAAAACAACAACAACTTTGCAGTCTTTGAGGTTTCCCGAAGCATTGTAGTTGGCTGTTTGCAACATACAGTGGTACCTCTGGGTGCGAACGGGATCCGTTCCGGAGCCCCGTTCGCATCCAGAAGCGAACGCAACCCGCGCGTGCGCATGCTGTCATTTTGACCGTCTGCGCATGCGTGAGCGGTGAAACCCGGAAGTAACATGCTCCATTACTTCCGGGTCGCCGCAGCACACAACCTGAAAATACTTATCCCGAAGCTACTTCAACCCGAGGTATGACTGTAATGATGTGGGTGGGTGTGTTTGGTGGGGCAAAACTCTCTCTCTTTCTCACAGGAGGCCTGCGGTTCTACATGAGCAAATGGGCAGGTGCTGGTTCGTGGGAGAACATGGGCAGGTGTTAGCTCTGCTCCCCTCCATCTAGGAGGTGAGGGAGGAAACTTTTGGCCACTTCCAAAGCTTTGACTAAGTCATGAGGCGAAAGATCTTGGGTGCAGCTGAACCCTTTCATTTTCTGAGTCTTGCGACAGGAATGAAGCAGTTCCCTTTGGTGAAAGAGGCAGCCCAACCCTGCTTCAACAGGGAAGTTAAGCCCCTGGCACTGAAGAGAAATGGAATGCGCTCTTTTCTCTCTCCCCAGCACCCCCCCCCCCCAAATACGTGAGCCCTGATCAACTGTTTCATAGCAGAGCAAGGTAGGCAGATTCTACTTCTCTTTCTTTCTAAGCTTAAACCTGCTGGCTTCTTAGCCTTAATGGTCAGCTTTGTATTTCAGTGTGTGTCTCCACCATTCGGAGGTGCATGCTTGGGATCCTGGGATCTTGACTCTTTTCACACATTAGCAACACATCCTGTAGAATTCTGTCCATGATATTTTTATCTGCACAATCAGAATGAATTTCAGGAAGCCAAAAAGTCGTATTGGAAAATACGGCTTTTGAGCAGTCTGCTCCCAAAATAGAAACTAGGCATTCCATTTTGGCGACTGAAACCCTGGTTTGATCGCCGTTTGGCGCCTAGCTTATATACCGCGAGTTTCATGTGTTGAGCAACTGCAGTTTGCGTAATCTGTATCAGCAGGCGTTGGGAAGGGCAGCGGTGGTGGTACTGGCAGCTCATATGCTCAGTCTTGGAGGCTTGGGAAAGGCAGTAGAGGACGTCAAAGCATCAGAGGAGGTGGAAGCTGCAGCAAGAGTTGGCTGTAGCCACCTGCCAGAGAGTGGGCCTTAACAGATGCCTGATGGTGCTGATTTCTGACTCTGGGCCACACTAAAATCAACTGTAGAATTGTGTTCGTATTGCACAGGAAGCTGCTTAATGATTTCATAGGATGTATGCAACAAACAGTTGACTCCTGTTTTGAATTGTAAACATTTTATGAATTCTAAAGGTGCTTCTTAAAGGCTGAATTATAATTTTGGATTGCATTACCACAGTATTTCACCCAGGTGATAAGAATGCTCTACTGGTTATATGAGATCTGCCAGCTTATGTTGATAAAAGTTATGCTAATTTTATGCAGCTTGGACACCCTCCCCCGAAACATTTTCAGTGTAGCGATAACAAAATGCCACCTCCTTCTGTTTATACTGTAGCCCCAATCCTAGTTCTACAATATCCAGACATATATTGGTTTGAGAAGAAATGTGCGGTAGAATAATTCACTGCAGTCTAAAAGGTGGGTGGTGAATCGTTCTTATCTATAGTCCCTGTCCTCCCTTTTCTGAAAGCCTATTCTTGTGCTTACACCATCCACTTTACATGCCAGCTAAAATCTGCAGAATTTACTACAGTGCAATGTGAGAGCAGTTCTCGTGGCACAACCTGCATGCTTATGACAAAACCTCTCTCTTTTGTTATGTGTTTAAAACATGTAGGCTTCTGCCCAGTGCATGATAACAAGAACAGCAGAGTGTGGCAGTGGCTACAATAGTTGGTTTTGCAAATCTCAAGGAGTTGCGTCTGGCAGCCTGACAACGCTATGATGCAAACTAAAAGATGGAGCTTCAAACAAGCTTCAACAAGCCTATGAATTAAATTCTAATCCCTAATTTGCAATGACTCTTTTCCTGTAAATAAATGAATGCCCATGGGGGTGTATCAGAGGATCAAGGTGACATGCTCTGCCCCCAACTTATGCACCTTCAATTGAATGTCTCTGCAGAACTCCTGTGTGAATGGCACTTTCTCTGCAATTGGGAACCCTGGGGAAAGCGATGTAATGAACCACAAAGGGGAAAGCCCAATGTTACAGTGGTACCTCGGGTTACAAACGCTTCGAGTTACAAACTCCACTAACCTGGAAGTAGTTGCTCCAGGTTGCGAACTTTGCCCCAGGATGAGAACGGAAATCGCGTGCCAGCGGTGCGGCAGCAGTGGGAGGCCCCATTAGTGAAAGCGCGCCTCAAGTTAAGAACGGTTTAGGGTTAAGAACGGACCCCTGGAACAAATTAAGTTTGTAACCCGAGGTACCATTGTATTCACTTTGTGGGCATTTTGACTGAGAGTGAGCACATTGCCCCTCTGTTCTTATTATGCTCTGCACACTTAAGAATGGGGCATGTGTGCGCAGCTGATTGTCACCAGAAAAGGACATTCATAGTGCAAAACCTCCCTTTTCAAATTGCAGCTTTCTCCCCTTTCAAGCTGCAACTTTTGTCCATGCCTTCATGTCTACCGGTGACAGTATTCATAGTATGGTGGAGTATGGAGAGCCTAGCCTTGGGGTCTTGCTCTGTGCTTGGGTCACCAAACTCTCTGACTTTTTCACATGCTAAAGCAGCCTCTTAACTGCTCAGCCAATCAGGTAAGGTAGCCTTACATATTCCAGACCCGCCTCCGTCCACCCTACATCCAGCAAACAAAGAAAAGATAATTCAAATACTATGCAACTGCCCTCCTCTTACATTTAACTTGTAAGCTCCACTCTGAAAATTCATTTCTTCATCATCTGTGTAAAATCTTATTTTCTATATGATTCGCTGGCAAGTTTCTTTCTTTCTTTCTTTCTTTCTTTCTTTCTTTCTTAAGAACCATACACCTGGCTATTTGGCATCTGCTGTCTTTTTGTTTTATCATCTTGTCACCTCTATTTAAAAAAGCAATTTCTCTTCTGACATCCCTCCACCCCTGCCCCTTTTCTCTAAGTGATGTAGTCACTGATCTGTTAACAAAAAAGAACTAAGAGCAGACTTGGTAAGATTAGAATTAGTGAAATAGACAAGAGACTACTGGTATCTGGTTCCTTCTTTTGCTTCCCACTTTCTACCTTTTCATGGAGCAATGTATGTCAAGGTCTAGAATAAATACTAAAAAGAAAAGAACAGAAATAAATTCTCAAGACATAGGTGAATTGACTGAGATTGGCCAGAGCCAAATCTAGAGAAAGATTTGACCTAGTTCTATCAAACTGTTCAACATAGCAGACTAAGTTGGTTATAAATCTGTTTGATTTTTTAATTCAAATGCCTGAAATGCAGCTATATTTCCAGTTAGACAAATTCACAATCTTATTTTTAGGGTGTACATTTGATAGGTTAGGCAAATGCTGGAACGAATATTTCAAGCTGTGCTTGTGCCAAGGTGCACACGCGCTTACTTTGTTACATTGGGTTTACTTCTCATTCTGCAATATTGTGCAGTATTCAGTTGCATATGCCCATCTGTGTTGCTGGAGCAGTGAGTGCGCACACTCCAGGATTTGCAACCGTTCTTTTCCTATTGCCTTTTTCATTCTAATTTAATTACAATTACAGGTCATGTTAAAATTTGGGTTCCGATAATCTGTTGGTTTATTGGTACAGATTTTGCTTTTTTGAACAAATTCATTTTTTGTATGCACAGACACAAAATAAATTATGCAAGAAATACCAGAAAGAGTGCTACAACTTAAAACGTCTCTCTCTCTCTCTCTCTCTCTCTCTCTCTCTCTTTTTACAGTACTTAGTATTTCTTGGTAGACTTATTCACATGAGATGGTTTTTCACAGTAAAACAAAAAGCATCTTGTCTCTCTGTCTTTCCCAGAGGCTCATTATAGTGAGTGACTTTCACCATCACTATGATATCTCAGGGACTTCAGAGCCAAATATCCACCACAGATTTGGTCTCTCCTACTATCTTTGCAATTGAAATATAAGCTGTAATGAACTAATTGTTTGCCAGACGATTGGTGTATTCATTCTCTTTCTCTCTCGCATACTCACACATTGTCCACAGAACAATGTCTTTGAGGTCTAGTCCAGAGGTTATATGTTAGTGGGAAAATGTACATATCCTATGCATCTGATTTCTTAGTCAAACCCCAAATTAGAAATACCTGTATTTCCTGTCTCATTAAACCAAGGAGAAAAGAATAACAGAGTATAAAGGTGATATATCTGGAGGAAGTTGTGATCTAATATGTCCTGTATCTTCATAATTATTCTGTGTACATCATTATTTAATTCCACTGTCCTTTAATCTTTTTCCAGCCAGTTCCCAGAAGACAGGAGTGTCTACTCCAAACTGTTGAGTGTCCCAGTAATTAATCTCCACATTAAACCACTGACACGAGGCAGTGAGATGAGCTTCATGATTATGATGCTCTATATTAGGGACTGCCAGACATCTGCCTTTAATTGGTTGAAATAATTAATTATGCCAATCAATTGATTAATATAATAGTACAGAAGGACTTGTTCCTATGGCTGCACGTATTACAAGTGGAAGATGAGCAAGGGAGATGAATAGTTAAATGTTTTGACTGACATTTCAGACAATGGAAACTTTAAAGAGGAAGGTCTGGAAAAGCAGTTCTCATTATTGGATCTCTAGGGCCCGGATGGTGGTTGGCCCACGTTCAAATTGGTTGCTGATTCCTAGTCTTGTGCATTCTGTGAGCAACTTTATTTATTTATTTATTTATTTATTTATTTATTTACCATATTTATAGTCCTCTCTTCACCCAAGGAAACACAGAGCACTCTGCCCCTTCTCCATCCGCCTGATCACTTTCGTGCATGCAATGTCCTTGTCGCCTGTGGCTAACGGCAGACTTCTTAGATTTTAAACTTTCTCAATTTGAAATTCAGATATTTGCTGAAGTATGCATAATAACTGGTTATAATTATTAAAACTGGGTCAAAGCTAATACAGCCAGTTACATTTTAATTGCTATTGTGACACACACACACACACGCGCGTTCAGGAAGTGTCCCAACTCTTTTTCGTACCAGCATAGAATCCAAGGAGGCTAATAACTTCTGTGGGGTTATTTATTCAGTCCAGGTGTATAATTCACAGCTTTGTCTCCTATATAGCGTTTTTGCCTGACACAATTATCTCACTCACAGGAGACAGAATTTTGCTTGGCTCTTTGTACACATGCAAAGATACTAAACAATAACGCTTGAAAGTGCAGATGAGTTTTGCTGCAATCCCATGCATACCTATTTGGAGGTGAGCACTTTTGAACATAGAAAAGTGCTACTTAGTAATTGAGGGTGATGTAGCAAACGGGATGATGTCACAAAAGTACACAAGACAAGTTAGACTTGCTTCATGCTGAAATCACTGATGATACATTTGGAATGCTTCCTGAGTAGGCAGGCACTTCAGAAGCAAGTACCTAAAAATCTCCAAAGGCTGTTTCTGACACTGCCAGAAGCTACCATGAAAAAAAAAGTTTTATTGATAAAATGTGGTTATTAACAATACCTATCTGACTTTACAAGTTTTATAGGTTAGCCCGTACACAATGTTGGTTGGTTTTAAATTGCCATACTGTATATTAAAAAAAACAAAAAAACCTGAAAACTTATGGCTTTCAATAAAAATCATTACAAAATAAAAATCAATACAAAATAAAAATCAATACAAAATAAAAATCAATAAAAAAGAAGCATATTGCCAATGGGATCTCATAAACGAGATCTCATGCAGGTATGTTCATTGCCATACATGAAATAATTCTGTCTTCCATAATATTCATTTATTAAAACACATTACCAAAGTGTGGATTACCCCTCTTCTCGCAAAAAGCCACGAACAAGAGGTCTGAACCTGGATTCTTTAGAATTCAAGTGAAACCAACAACAGAATGTTGCAACACATCATTATCCTATCTCCTGCCCAGCGTTGCAGTCACTAAATCCGTTCTCCAGGATACCATAAGACATGGCACCCTCCAGATGTGGAACATCAACTCCCATTGTTCCTGCTGGCCGGGGCAGATGGGAGTTGTAGTCCAACATATAGAGGGCACCACATTGGCTACCTCAGTTACAAGATGTAATAACATTCCACTCCTCTTTCCAGTTTCCTTCATTTTTCTTTTCAAACTAACACAAAATGTTCCTTTTTCTGTAGTCCCGTTTTGGCTCTAATTGGCACTCATCATTTGAGTTCCCTATTAGAGGGAGTGATAGTGGCACAAAATAGCAGATGTCAAGAAAATGACTCATATTTTTAAGGTACTTGTAATGTCAAATATAATATTCTCTCTCTCTCTATATATATATATACTTCCATTGTATAAGGAAGAGCATTTATCTTAAATCTATATGCCTATATGCCTACTGTATCAATTATGAAGCTAACTCTTATTCGTCTTAAAGGATTACATATGCATTTAGGGAGTATGGCACGCTGTTGTCTTGTCATAATTGTAAAAATCATGAATAGCTTTTCCAGCACTTTTCCTTCAGGTAGAAGAATTCCAAAGAAGGAGTCTGTTCCTCTGTTTGGTAGAAGAATAGTGAAATGCTGTTTTTCTCTTCCTACCCTTCTAAGCAAGTGTTTAAGGTAATAGTTGTCACAGTGGGCACACGGTGAATGTTCTGAGGATTCACCCATCCATGTTGGACCTGATTCATGGATGCAGGTAGCTTCGAATCCAGGTGTATGGAGACAGTTCCACAGGGCAAGTAGTTCTCTGTGCCCTTCAGCATTGCATCTTTCCACTATGTTGCTCCAAGTGCATCCATATTCATCACACCACTTTTAAAAAGGCATCTTTTGTTCCATCTTTTAAAAAACAGATTGCTTTATTTCTCTTTAGCCAGACCTTCGCTACACCCTCCCTCCCTTTTGATGCATAAAGTTTTATATGGGTTGTCCCTGAAACACAGTCTTCCCACCCACCACTGTGCATTTGCTGTTGTGTGATTAAAGTTGATGGAACTGCATGCACAGTGAGCAGCTTCATGCAAACAGCTTGAATCTTGGAGGAGTCTTGTGTGGTTGTGCTTCAGGCAGGTACCATGTGGCTCGTTGCACACCTGAACTGACTCTTAAGAGATGGAGTGCGTGATAGCCATTTGGGCCTATCATGAATGTTGCCCCCAAGCTGCTTTACAAGAGAATCCAGACACAGAGTAACTGTTGCAAGCATTTGCACCATCCTTTGGGGTCCTGAAACTCGTAAGTCAGAGGTGAGGCACTTGTGGGCCTCCCGATGTTGGACACAACTCCCTCCAGCAGCAACCGGAATGACAAGTGGATAGGGATAATGGGAGCTGTAGTTCAGTAACATCTGAAGGGCAATGGGATCCCCACCCGTACTCTACCCCCATTACCTGTGACTGTGGGGGATGTAGCATTAGGAGTACGGAGGGTCAGGAAGTCAGATTATCCTCCACCAGGGCCAGGGCCTTCTCTTTGATGCCTCCAACCTGGTGGAAAGCTCTGTCCCATGAGCAGGGCCCTGCAGGATTTAACTTCCTTCCGCAGGGCCTGTAAGACAGAGCTTTTCTGCCTGGCTTTCAATTTGAACTTAGTCTGATCTTTTATTCCCCTTCCTTCCCTCCCCCTCCCCTTTTTATGAAGATTACCTACTCTGGGATCCCACAGCTAATTCTTCCCTGGTATCCTCGCTGGCCCAAATAGGACTAACTTAACCAGCTTGCCCTGGTGATCATCTAATGTTTATTGGATGGATTTCCCCCCTAAATTGATTTTTGAATTCTGAATTTATTGTCATTCACGTTTTATACTGTATTTTATGCTTTTTGTTGTTGCATCAATTAAGTATTTTAAATTTGTTGTTAGCTGCCCTGAGTCTGGTTTTCTGAACCAGGAAGGGCGGGGTATAAATAAAAATTTATTATTATTATTATTTATTATAATCTTTGGTGGAATTCCTATAGCAAAAATAATGAGTCTCTTAGCCTTTAGTTTCAGATTTCTTATGTGAAAAGCACACTGGTATGTTCACTGAAGAAAAGAAGGAATAAATACTCAAGATGCCTCCTATAAAGCACTGATATGCTGAATTAAATGCATTAGAAATATTAACATCCAAACCAGCACAAATAAGCAAATGTTTCTTCTCCACCCCAATTGTTTTGAAAAACTTACGCCTAAAGAGCGATTTATTTTTAGATATTGCATCAGATGTTCACCAGCTGGCTGTGAAGTATTAATTTTTGACTTTGCAATACATCTGTATGTGCTTTTCTAAAATTGTGTTCTAACAGTTATGAATGTAGGCTTACAACATTTGTATCTTTTGAATAATTTCTGCCCCACCTTTCTATTCCGAAAGAGACACTCAACGTGTCTGACAAGGTATACAGTAGAAGCAACTCCAAAGATAAAAACAATTCCATCATTAAAGCTGCAATCCTAATCCTCTAGCCATGCTGCTGGAGGGGTTTTAGGATTCTGCATCTTTTGGCCTCTGCCAGCTATGCTCATTAGGGCAAGATACTACAAGTTGTAGTAAAGGGTGTAGGTGAAATGGCCTCCCTATGCAAGAGGAAAATAGGCTTGGACGTGAAAGGCAAGATTGGATGGAAGGCTAATGATTTGTTTTCTGCATCTGACGAGGACTACAATTTCCCCTTCAGATTTGGTGATTCCGATTCATACCTCTTGCATTGCTGCAGTCAGCAAACTGTTCCTGTGGCTTACAGCCTGGAAACGCTAGCAAGTTTGGAATGAATAGCCTGTTCTTTCACAGAGACTACGTAGTTCCCTGAAGTGCAACTACAATGGTATGGCTATGGCCATCTTTAGCTTTCTGCTCGCAACTGTTGTTCAAGTTGCTTGCTGAATTGTTATCTTGACCTTGCTCTCCAAAAAACCTCAGGATTTTCATACATGCTCCCTCTTCCTCTTTTATTCTTAAACAATCCTCTGAAGCAGATTGAGGGTGGTATTCAACAAATCTTTGCAAAGGGTAGACCTATTGCAGTTAATCAACCCAGTTAGTCATGGCCCATTTAATTTCCGTGGATCTACCTCGAGTAAAAATAGGTTGAATGCCACCCTAAGCTGCTATCCAGTCTGCCTGTAATGCCATAAGTAGTAGCTTGGGAGCTGAACCATAGGTGATTGCCTTCTCCTTTCTATTTACCATAGGTGATGCGTGAATGTGTGTGTCTGAGAGGTGGGGAGTTTCGGAAGTGACTTTTGGATATCAAGTATGAAGAGGAAAGGGGTGTAGGCAGGCTGCTTTCAGAGTGTGGCAGGTAAAATATGAAACTTTAGTGTCTGAATAGGTGGCTGTGGGTAGTAAAGATATAGGAGAGATGGAATAAGAGAGGTAGTGCTTTGGAAGGTGAGAACATGAGTGCCTGGGATAGCAATTGAATGGACATCTGGGGAAAATAGGCTATGGAGCAGGAGGCTGGAACTTTTAAAGTGTGTATTGTATCTATTAAGTACATAGTACTAACAGCTTAGTGGGTTAGACGGTCTGCAGTTACTTGTCATTTGCATCACTTAAACCTTGGAAGACATCAAAATACTGTGTAATTTTGGACAATTGTAACCATCTGTTTTAGCATAAATGGGTGCAATTCCATTGAAGTCTGAGCTTGAGCCACTTAAGACCCTCATCCCACCCACAAATGTAATCCTTGAAAGTGCCATCCCCATCCGCAAGCATTTGTGATTTACCCTACATTTAATATAAAAGCTACTCAGATATATTTGGCATATTTTACCAGTTATTTCATAAGCAGTCCTGTAGAAGGACTTGGCTAAGGACACAATGATATCTGTTGTGTGTTTGAATAAATGTTTTTTTCCATATCTAGAAGTCGGGGTGGGGGAATATCCTTGAATGCTGGACTTAATCTGGTGACCTGCAGTAATTAAGGAAAAAAACTCTTCTTTCTGGGTAACTGTATCACTTTTTAATTTTTATTTTAAAATCCTGATTAGTTCAGTTACAAATCCAAAACAAAAGTCTGCCCTTTAGCGAGCAGAATGTAGGCAATGTGAGGAAATCTGCTGTGAAACTGTTGGAAAAGGAACAGCATGTCTTTTTCAAAATACCAGTGGAAATGCCACTTCATATGAGAGAGACTCTCTCCCCATCATGCCCTCTGTTTTTCCATCCCTTTGCTCTTTAGGAAATCACATTATGTGTTAAATCTACAAACCTGAAACACCCAAGACAGACTTTGCAATAAGTGCAAAGTTGTATCTTTTCGTGGGGATTAGTCTAAGGCTGCTGATGGCCATCACCCAGTGACGGAGTTGTATTTACACTAAACTTGACTATCCTTCACATATGAAACACATCTCCCTTCTTGGAGATAATATGTTCAACAGCTTATGCTGCACATGATGGGCTTCTGCACATGGAGCTCAGTGGCTCTCAGGCACACACACCCCGGACCACTTGAAAATTGCTGATGGACTTGGTGGACCATCTGATTTTTTTGCCTGTTTCAGAATTGTAATGCACCATACTTGTCCTCTCTTAGTTTCTTCCCTTTTTTTGTGGCTGCATCCTTCATTCCCACCTTCCATTCCTTTCAATTGCCTTCTTAGCCTCTTTGCTCTGTGCCTTTCCCTATCTTTCTGCCAGCCATGACGTCAATAATCTAAGGAAGGCAAAGCCACCTTACTGCCCCATTACTTCTGCAGACCACCTGAATGAAGCTGATGGGCCACAGGTGGTCCATGGACCACATTTTGGTGGAACCCTTGTCTGGTTGGCAGGTAATTTTGAATGAACCTCACCCCTTTGCATTGCAAACAGAATTTAAAGCAGATCATATTCTGTGTCCAATGAGTCAAATGGAAAAGAGCTATTGGATTTTTTCTTTTGAGTTCCTTGAAGACTTATGAAGGTTGCAGTACAGTGGGGTCATTTATCTTAAATCTTTTAAATTGGAGGATTTAAATTAAAAACTGAGAAGACTTTAGATTGCTCAATAGCATCCATATTTGTGGTCAAAAAAACATTAACAAGCAGAATTGAGGTTTTGTTATCTCCCAGGGAACAACCTGAAAGACAAATGAGTTGGTGAAATATTGAAACAATGGGAACAATGGATGTGTATATATATACCTGTATACCTGAAGGAGCGTTTCCACCCCCATCGTTCAGCCCGGACACTGAGATCCAGCGGCGAGGGCCTTCTGGCGGTTCCCTCATTGCGAGAAGTGAGGTTACAGGGAACCAGACAAAGGGCCTTCTTGGTAGTGGCGCCCACCCTGTGGAACACCCTCCCTTCAGATGTCAAGGAAATAAGTAGTTATCCTATCTTTAAAAGACATCTGAAGGCAGCTCTGTTTAGGGAAGTTTTTAATATTTAATGCTGTAGTGTTTTTAACATGTGATTGAGAGCCGCCCAGAGTGGCTGGGGAGACTCAGCCAGATGGGCGGGGTATAAATAAATTGTTGTTGTTGTTGTTGTTGTTGTTGTTGTTGTTGTTGTTGTTATACACCCACCCACACCTGAGTGAATTGTGTCACTCATTGCAATGGAGGAGTCTGACCCACTGCACATAGTCGTGAGAGCCATTTGACAAAAAGTGGCATTCGGTTCTAGCTGATGTTTGGATGTGGCCAGCATGGAATTTAGCTTGCTAATGCAGGGAAGATGCACTCTATCTATCTATCTATCTATCTACCTACCTACCTACCTACCTATCTATCTATCTTTGGGAAGGAGCTGCATTTCCATAGGTGTTTGTGGAGAAGTCTATGTATGTGTTGTGTTAGGCATTAGGACTACAGATGAGATCTTCTGGGACTGATACACTACAGTGGTACCTCGGGTTACATATGCTTCAGGTTACAGACTCCGCTAACCCAGAAATAGTGCTTCAGGTTAAGAACTTTGCTTCAGGATGAGAACAGAAATCGTGCTCCAGCGGCATGGCAGCAGCAGGAGGCCCCATTAGCTAAAGTGGTGCTTCAGGTCAAGAACAGTTTCAGGTTAAGTACGGACCTCTGGAACGAATTAAGTACTTAACCCGAGGTACCACTGTATTTACATTAAAGCCTCCCCTGTGGAGTACAGCCTATGGTGACAGCCCCTGTGAGCTTGGTGCTAAATATAGACAGGAAACAAAGACAGTGGGGGGGGGGACCTCTGGACTGTGTGTTTAATTAGGTCCAGCATTTGGCCCACAAGGCCATTTACCTCAGTGCATGCCCTCCTACCTAACACCTAACATATGATGTGATGGAGACGCTCCCTGCAAAACTGACAGTGCCTGAAAATCCCAGTTAGCCTGATCACCAGCACCTCCAAATATCTGTCCCTCTGCCCATGCAGTTTGATTTCAGATTGCACAGAAAAGGAAAATGTGGGAATGTCACCTCTCCATCATCGCCCAGAAATATATATCTCCACCTTCCAGCAGTGGATCTGCTAATCAACCAGGATAAAATTCCAGCCCTGTGCAACACAGCAAAATCACCAGTTATAAATACAAAGTGCAGGGTGGAGATATAAAATAAGTAATTACAGCTAATTGCCAATTTGCACTGCATGCCAAAGTTGCAATGGTGCAAGAAAGCTCTGGCTCAGATGTAAACATGACTAAACTGTTGTGATCATGGGAACCAGTGCTGGCGTATAACCACCTCCTCCTCCCCAGTCGGCAGTCTCTTTACATTCACTGGAGGTCTCCAGGCTTCACTGATAAACAGAAGTGTTGTCAACAGCTCCATTCTAATATCTGTTTTGATTTTTGTTGGCTGTGACTCAGCAATGTTTTATTATTTAATTAATAAGTGACAGACTTCACCCCACCCTTGGATCTAAGCTGCTTCTGTATGATGGATTGCCAGCTATTTCACCCCACCCCTCTGGCAAGTCTCCCGCGCCAATAATGCTAACATGATATGCTGAAGCTTTCCCCAACTTGTAGGACTCAAAAGTTGGATGCGAGAAGCCTTTTATCAGCTGCTTGCTCATCATGGAGCTGATATAGGGGCCTGGAGTCCTGTCCAGGCATATTTGTAGGAGGCTCTGCAACTGAAGGCACAGAGCAAAACTGAAGGTTGCTTCCTAATCTAGCTACTTTGGGATATGAATTGAACATAGCTTATGTTAGACACTGTCCTTGCTTATCCATTTTGAATTCATCTGTGTTTGGCTTTTGCCACTGAGAGGGAGAGGGAGAGAGTCTGTTCTGATGCAGTGAATACCCAGTCAGCCAAGAGAAGCCTGATTAGAGGAGATAAATTTCTGCTGCAGCCCAGGAATGCCCTGGCACAATTTTGTCTCTGTGTGTATTTGGCTACTATGTGGTATGTGGATATTGCCATTGTCTGCTAATGCGGAAATGCTTTTCTTTTTGTATATTTGATGAGCTGATAACGAGAGAAACTGCTCTTGTCTCGGGCCACCTCTCTGTAAAATGAGCTTAAATTCCTATTGGATGTTAAGCTTTCTCTGTCTTTAAACCCAGCATTTGACTTGCTCTCTTCTGTTCATTAGTGTAATCCAGGAATTCCTCTGTAATTGTGAGCTTTTCTGTTTTAGTTACAAGCAACAGCAGCAGAGGTTAATATTCCGGGGTTTTTTTTTACTTCTCTAAATCTTCAGCTAGAAACACAAGGATCTGTGGAGTAAAGGTTCAGAAGTGGACAATCAGCCGCTGTAATACTCTATAATTATTATTTACAATTTAGCTTCTGCAACATGCTTTCATCATCTCTGAATAAGTTTGATGGCAGGGGGCCAGTTGAGACATACTGGGAAAACACATTCTCCTGCTATGTGAATGAGTTGCAGTGAGCTGTTTTGATTATCTGACCACTTGTGTCTAATGCCTTATTTTTCCTCTACTTTTTTTTTTTTTAACATTGTAGGTTTATAGCCAAGCCATGTGCCTTAGGCCTAAAAGTCCAGGCCAGTGGACCACGGAAAGCTCAGCCTAATGCTATTCTTGAAAAAGTCTTCACTGCAATTACAAAGGTACAGTATGCACCTAAAAAAATTGTTTACTTTGGGAGAAGGGATAGGTTTGTCATGAAATATGAAATAACTTGGGTTGGAGTGGGCCCCTTGGCAAAATGCCATTTGGTGGACTTCCTGATGGGCTTACTCTTTGGTAGCAGTGCTCTGGGGAGTGTCTGGCTCTGGGGGCCACCATTTAATGCGCTGGAGCGATGCTACATTGTGAGTGCTGTACGAAAGTGCTTCAAGACCCAGTCACCTAGCTCAAGGTGGCAGTAAAAAAGAACTGATTGATGTTTTATGGTGCCCAGTTCAATTCATCTCCAAGATCTAAGATTGGGATGTGGGTTGCACAGTATATATGTATGTTTATACACACACACACACACATACACACACACACACACAGTATATGTGTATATATATATATATGTGTGTGTGTGTGTGTGTGTGTATGCTGAACTTTCTGCAACCTTTGTCCTTGTCTGAAACTACTGATCAGATAGAAAGATTGCAAGATTGGAACAACAGTGTTAAGCTTCTGATTAGATATATTAACAAGGTACATGCACAAGGTACATGCACTATCGTGGAACAGAATCTCAAAACCACAAGGGACGGTTTGTTCTTGTTCTTCATTGTTCTTTGCTTCCAGGTAGGTCTGAAATCGTTCATACTTTTTTGTATGCCTGTTGGCAGATTTAGCGACCTGCAGGGACAGTTTTCTAAACCGTCGGTTTTAGACGGTTTTCTAAACCGTCGTCAGGTCGGCGGTTTGAATCCCCGCGGCGGGGTGCGCTCCCGTTGCTTGGTCCCAGCGCCTGCCAACCTAGCAGTTCGAAAGCACCCCCGGGTACAAGTAGATAAATAGGGACCGCTTACTAGCGGGAAGGTAAACGGCGTTTCCGTGTGCTGTGCTGGCTCGCCAGATGCAGCTTGTCACGCTGGCCACGTGACCCGGAAGTGTCTGCGGACAGCGCTGGCCCCCGGCCTCTTAAGTGAGATGGGCGCACAACCCTAGACTCGGACACGACTGGCCCGTACAGGCAGGGGTACCTTTATTCCACCTGCAAATCTCATTCTGATTCAATTCTTAACTTCAATGCAGCCCACTGCCCATGTATGGTGGCCCTCCAGAAGCTCAGTTAAAGCTTTCTGCTGTGCAACAGGAATTACTGCCTTAGAACAACAGACAGGATACTTAGAATCCTTCATTCACTCTTTATTATCATTTATTGCACCAGTTGCAGACCTTGGCATATTTAAGATCGCAACCTGCATTGCCAAGGAGTTTTTCCTCCCTGTTTGTAGAGTCACATTAAACCGGTGGGTCTTCCACCTGCTCCACCCCACCCCACCCCATATATGCACATTCTAAAGGAGTGCAACTGTAACATGTGATATTGCTGAACATACGGCTCAGCTCTTAAGAACATTCTTTACATGCAGCTGTTGAATATTTATGAAGAGCTTACAAAACTTGGAAGCTCTTTGTCAGAGCTGCTTTTTATAATAGCACTCTTAGTTTGTAACGCACCACAAATATTAATAGGCTTTATACCCAAGTAATATGCCTACATTAGGAGCATTATTGCAAACTTTAAAACACACACACACACATATACCTTTAATACATAAATTAAACACCAGATACGTGGGGTGAACCAATGTGGCCACTTCCTGCTTGCAGTATGTTTTTTTTTAGATAGATATCTTTATTGTCATTGTCCCATACAGAACAATGAAATTGAAAAACTACATAAAACATTCAAAAACCCCTAAAAACTCTGAAACCCCATTTTAAAATACACTATACTATACTATAAAATACACTATACTATAAAATACACTTATAATGCTGCGTTTAGAACCAGTTTTAATTTTAATGGTGCTTTTAACTTTATGCTTTTGTAACTGTATGTTTTCCGATATTCTGGGATCACTACCTAACTGATGAAGAACAGTCTGCAAATAAAGTTTAGTTATGGGCTAAAACAATCTTCTCCAACCGGGTTGAGGGAATGTTAGTCATTAGCTTGTAGTTACTAATTGACCTTATGCTATCCTGTCAGTAAAGGAGTGACTTCTTGATCCTTTCCCTGTTTGTTTGGTAGCATCCAGACGAGAAGAGGCTTGAAGGGCTTTCCAAGCAACTGGATTGGGACGTTCGCAGTATTCAGCGCTGGTTTCGACAGAGACGCAATCAGGAAAAGCCAAGCACTCTGAGAAGGTTCTGCGAAAGCTTGTAAGGAACTGTTCCTGCCTCCCACCTTTCCCTTTTGGGTCTGTGCAAACTGGATTCTTTGTTTTGCTCCACTGCTTATTTTTTATTTTTGTCCCACAGTCAAGGATAGGCTCCCTCCCCACTTGCTTCTCATAGTATAGCATTGCTTCATAACTGCAGTGCATGTGGATTGCAAAATCATTTCAAACACAGCTGAGAAAATCAGGTGTAATTTCTAGCTATGTAAAGGAACCAGGATATAAGGAGAACAGATTTGTCCTTTAGCTGGTTCCCCGCATCCAAACTCAGTGCTAGCTATTGTACAAGGCTGGCTCTGCAGCTATTGAGGTGGCCTGGGATTCATCTTAGCAGAACCTACTTAATAGGGTGATTAGTGTCCCTTATGCCAATTGAGGTAAAATTAGAGACCTATTGGCCGAATTTACCGTATTTTTTGCACCATAACACTCACTTTTTTCCTCCTAGAAAGTAAGGGGAAATGTCTGTGCGTGTTATGGAGGGAATGCCTACGGGTGGCATGCCTACGGATTTTCCTCCTCTAAAAACTACGTGCGTGTTATGGTCGGGTGCGTGTTATAGAGCGAAAAATACGGTAGTTAAACCCTGACTGCCAGTCAGTTACCTGCTTTAGCTGTATCTGTATTTTAGCTGTATCTTCTTAGCAGCTATAAGGAGCCAGACTAAACAACTTGTTTCCTGCTGCCCCCACCTAGGATGCTCTCCTGGCTTGTGATTTTTAGCCTCTGCCAGCCAAGAGCATGTTGTCAGTTGTGGGTAGGGATGTAAAATGGCTTATTGTTGTAAACAAAATCTGCCCTTTTTCGCTTATGGGGTCTGCAAGAGCCTGCATAGAGTCCTTACGTGGGTCCCCTATTGGTAGGAGAAAATAACAGAGGCCAACCAGAGAATATTGAGAAGCAAAGCAGCTAGTAAGCCTGATCTTTATTGATCTGTTGCAACAGGGTGCTCCCCTCACACTCAGGAAAGGAGGAGGACCCAGAACAAAGGTGTGCCTGCCCTTATATAGACATTTTAAATTCCCTGCCCTGGAGCTCAAGACCACCCCTCCATCCATCCATCCATCCATCCATCACAGAAGGGGTGTAACCCAAGACCACCCCCCACAAACATCATACCTATATCACAGAAAATGTGGTCTACAACAGAAATTTGAATGTTGTTGTTTTCCTGTCTGCCAGGTTATCTGATAATGCCTTATCTGATTGCCTTTCTTGGTAGTCTGCCCATTCCTTTGAAATGGTGATTACCCAATTCCTGTAACAAGGAAGGTTTTTTCACCTCCTCCCTCCTTGCAGAGAAACATTTGGTTAGCTTGGGAGTCAAAATGATTTCAGGTTGGTCTTCCTGTGCTGATCTATGTAGGTGCTTGGTTGGTACATTTGTGAACATTTATTATATATATAAGACCTTAAATTTTATTATTACACTATCATTACTTTGTTCTAGTTTCATTGATCTGCCAGGTCTCCTGGCTGCTGACCATTGGGTAGACTGTTACCTGTGCTTAGTTTCCATAGTAGCCCCATTATTAATATGTTGGGGAACGGATCAAATCCAGCTCTGGAAATGAAAATGGAAATATATAAAATGATTTGCCCTATGCCTCTCTTCTTGAAGTCTATTTTAAGCAAGCTCTTTTATTTTGCCTAAAAATCTCAGGAGCTGATCTCCTTGCGCTCAGATTTGTCAGCTGAATTCTTATCGCTTTCCAAAAATTTGAATTAAATTTCTATGCTAGCAGGTTTAATCAGGGCAGAATGAACACTTAGATCTAATATTTTAAGCAGATTTTGCTTTAAGTGAACCTGCCATGCTTCCAGACACCATAGGATTGGGACACTGCTGCTAAGTAGAAAGGTGGCTGAGCCAGCAGCAGTCATTTTTGCTGGTGAACTGGGGTGCTCTTATGCTGCGTTGGGGGGTGGAGAAGGGGCTGTACCATCAGTACCACCATTAGGGGTGGTGCCAGTCAAAATAGGAGGGAGAGGGCAAATGAAGTCCACCTCAGGGCCTCTTCCAACTAGACATTCTCTTCTCCACTCCACGCCAACAGGGCGAGGTACCATCAACTGCGCTATGGAGAGGGGACTAATGCGTTTTTAATGTGTTAGTATTGTTTGCTGTGATTTCATTCTACGCAGTGGTTGCTAGCTTGTAAGCTACCACAGAGGGATTTGTGTCCTGAAAGGGAGGATATGAATATGTGCAATAAATGTTGAAGGTAAGGGAATGGTGATTTCGAACCAGTTTATTTTTAGAATTTCAGGTATTAAGAAAATTATTATAAATTATCTCATCAGATAGAAAAACAGGTAATATACAACTCTTTAGGCAGTATCCAACATATAAGTTGGATAGAGAAATAAGATGAGGTTGTGAAGCACCTAAAGAACTATTCAATATATAATTTATAAAACCAAGGTTCATAAAACGTGCAGGAGCATAATGTGCTACTCGAGCCAAGCCCTCGCCTCTCAGATTATTCCGAGGTTACTGAAGGTGCCTTTAAGTTGCTATGATCTTGGCCTTGTAGGGAAAAGCTGCCTCTTCAGTTGAACACAGTTTCTAATTCAGGGCTTTTGTAATATTCATGTCCTCTGTTGTTGCTTCCTGCTTAGTGACCTGTAAGACAACGAATGAAAGTGCACTATGGCACTTTAAAATTTTAAAAAAACTTTGATTTGTGAGTAACAGAATATGAAGAAATCAACCATATAATTTTGAAAAGAAATTGGAAGTTTTGAGTCAAAATTTTTTTGGCCACTTATTTGCCTTTTTCATAACATGTAGTTAGGCTTCTGAAAATTGGAGCCCCGTCGCATTGAAACTTACTATCCAGAGACCTGTGTTAGTTCCAAATGTGCAACCTTTTTAAAGAAAAAGAAAGAAAGAACAAAGCAGCATTAGAATGCCCTTTTTGAGAACACCTGGAATGAGAATTATTCTCATGGTTTTGTGGCTTCAGTGTTGTGGCTTCTACCAGATACAGCATTTTGCATATTTATAAGCACGATGCACCTTCCTGCGTACATCGTGTCTTATGCTACAAATCTTTTGTCAACAGGTTGGCCAGTTTGGTAGCAGCGGCCTGCAAATCATTCACTCCTGTTTTAGTCATCACCACAATTACCCCGAGAGAGGTTAGACTGAGCTTTGAAAAGACTTTGTGCTTTGTGGCTAAGCAGGAATTTGCACCTGGGTCCAGTCTATAGTTTTCCTGCTCAGTGTTTCTAGCCCAAAACAGCCTATGGACATGATCTGGAGGCAAAATTGCTGGGGAATAGCCATACTACATGTTAGTCGATTGCGGAGTAGGCCCCCGAGAGACTGATGGTACTTATGAAAAGAGGAGAGTTGATGTTGTCTTGGCCCCTGTTCCCCAAACTTTATATAGAATTTGATGGGCAGCAAAGCCAATTTTGCAATACGCTCAAGGTGCCAGGGAAGAAAATGCCCTTTCATTTGCTTTCCCATCTCATCTTTCAATACTATATAGCAGCCACGTCCAACTTCCAAGAGACTGCGATCTACTCCCACTATAAAAAAACCAGCAGTGATCTACCCATTGGATTGATCAGAGTTGTTGAGCTTTTTTGGGGGGAGGATGAGCCAAAATTGTAGAGCTTATTGGGGGGGCAATGAGCCGGGGTTGGGGGGCCATGATCGACCAGGAACACCCTGGGATCGACCGGTAGATAGCGATCGACCTGTTGAACATCCCTGCTATATGTGGTAGGGGGAATTGCCTTGATGAATCCCTGGAGTGTTCCACACTAAACAGAACAGCCAGATCCTAATGAGGGCACTTGGAGGAAATGGCTGCTTTTCCTCTTCTCTGCACTAAAGAGGTAAACACGGCTGCTAAATGTTTAAGCAGGCGAGAAAGCATGAACCATTCCTCCCATACGTTTCACTGCTCCCTTGAACGTCTTTTCAATAATTAACTTGTACTCGACGTGGCCTTGTTTTCGAAAGCTTCTTTCACCTCCCCGATAACTGTTGTGGCTCAGAAGACGCCGCTTTTCAGTTTTAGAGAATAATCCTTCAAAACATGTGTTATACACGGCGAGTGAATTGCACGTGTTACTTGCTAAGGGGGTCTTACAACCGTGAGGGGCTAAGGTCTGGAAACATCTCTTTTACCAACTAGTTTCTGGGTTTTGGGGGAGGGTTTGTTACTGGGCCCCAGGTAAAAGGTGCAAGGAAGAGGGGAGAGTAAAACAAGGGGAGAGATTCCATTCATTCAAGTCCAGTGGCATATAGTTCCTTATCAACAAGTGCCCACAGAAGATGAAAAAGGTGAGGACATACACTGCCAGCAGCTTCCTGCAGGTGTTGTCCTTACCTTACATTTTTTTACCTTGCAGGTGATGTCCCTTTATCTTGCAATATACAAAAAAACATTTCTTGTGTCTTCTGGAAGCTGCTCTGTCCTCTTTATGACATGGAGTGTCATACTTCTTTATGACATGGAGTGTGTGAAGCAGATAACAGCTTGTCACCACTGCATAGCCACTAACATTGTCTGGGATTTTGTCTTAGAGAAGATTATGGAGATTTTTAAAATTTAACTTGTCTATATTTTTGCTACCCCCCCCCTTTTTGGGGGGGAAGAAGCTGCCTGATTACAATGTTTGTCATCTCTGAGAAAGCAATAGCCTCTTTCGTGGGCTGAACAGGTTTATTTGCTTTCATTCCTGTTCTCCTCCTCCCTCTGCCAACTTGGCACAGAATGTGGCTTTGTTACAGCCCTTATCGAAAATTAACAGACCCAAATACACCATTCCTCCCTCACAACTCCCACTGTATTAGAAGCACATATCAAGATGGAAAGTGACTTGCTTATCCCATTAGTCTCTCCACTGTAGTAGAGGCAAATTATCTGATGATTATTCTGCTTCTCTTGCATGAACGACATGCCAAACATGCTCCTGGGAGGAGAGGACCTGCAAAGCAAAGGAAGCAATTTGCAGGCTTCATTTAGGTTTCTCTAAAAAAAACCTGGATGAATCCTTCTACTAGAGTTTTGTCCCTTTATAAAGCGACTCCTAAACTTTATATAATGATTTGACTAAGCTTTTAAGATTACTTAAAACTTGATGACTTCGGTTTATTCTCTGTTATTCAGAGGACTGAGAATGTGCTGCTTTTGGTATCCCACACAACAAGGCATTTCTGGGGCAGGACTGGACAGGCATAGGACTCACTATATCCTGAGCCAGCCCTGCAGTTGGCACGGTCTAATCCGGGGCTCTTTGCTGCACTGTCCCAGGAGTGGGCATCAGTTCTGGACACCTGAATGGAGGTGGGGTGGGGGCTTTTCTTTATTCCTACAATATTGCTCTGGAAGATCACTTGACAGGGAAGGGGGGCTGTTTCTGGAAGTGGGAGAAAATCTACCGTTCATTTCAGCTGTAGGAAATACTTTGAAGTTTAAATGGCAGCTGTGACGTATTATATATGGTATGCAGTAATAGCTCTGTGACTTATTTGAGAAGCACGAAGCATGTCTAAGACTCTTCCTTGGAGCCCTGTGCTTTCCTTAAAAGATAAGTACTTTTGCCTTATCTCCTTTGCCATCCTCCTACTCCCAACCTTGATGAACTGAGATGCCATGTGGCTTCAGGCAGAAAAATTTATTAGTTGTGCCACGTTCCCTATTCCGTGGGAACATATGGAAAGAGATTAGTTACCTTCTTAAAGGCCTCCTATCTATAGCCTGCTTTTTGTTGTTGGATCAATGGGTTTTGATCTATAGGTGTGTGGCTCTTAAAGTGGCTTATTCTACATGTTGGGCTTTTTTTTACACAAATGTAAATTCTGTTTACTTAATAATGCCAACTGCTTTGGCTGCCTTCTATTTCTTTAGCAGTCACACTATACTTTTCTAATATTTTGTTGCATGTTTTTATGTTTTAAGCCACATGAGTAGCATAGTGCCCTGACTAGTGGGTAAGTCAGTGATGTGTGTTACTGGCACCAATGAAACAATATAAGTTGGCAAGTTGAAGACCAGAACACCTTCAAAAACAACCTTCCTGAACATGTTCCATAAGAGAATGCAGATATTCAGCTTCTAGCATTGTAACACCTTCATAAAGATAATAATAATACCATCATCATGCAGGGAGGAGAGGGTGGATTGTTCCAGCTGGCAAACAGCAAAGCTTCTGCAGACAGACTGATTGGAGTGTGATTTTTGAATCCCACCCAAAATATTTCTTTAATAAGATTGTCTAGTATAAACGTGCTCATAGGCAACACTTTCCACAAGCATACTTGAGACACGCTTTGCAGCCACAGTGTGCACTGAGTAAAGAACACATCAAAGTGTTAGAAAGGACAGGGATGATTTATAAGTAGCTTAAACATTTCACAGCTACCAGTATGCCCCAGTGATCGATACCGGAGAAAGAAAGAAACCCAAAGGGCCAACAGATCTCTCCACTTTAGCCTTGGCTTCAGAAATTCCCTATTCTGTGCTGTTGCTCCTTATGCCCGTTAAAGCTCCCTGCCCCCAAGGCAGCTGCATATCAGATCCTGTGCGTATCGGATCCTGCCATAAACATGCAGTGCTGACTTGGACCATCAGTTTCATCCTTGATGGTCTCAGTCTGTTCAGTTTCGGCTGAACATCCATCCAGCTATAAGAACTTTTTGTTTCTCTTAGCTTAGTGAAATCTCTCCCTGATCCTGTCAACAGGGTTGTTGAGGAATTGCTCAAAGCAAATAGCACACTTGCAAAATCCATCTGATTATCCGTTTGGCTATCTTTACTTTGTGGGTGAGTTGTGTTCTCCTCCCATTCTCATCCCCATGAAGGCAAGACACAGGGACTAATTAACTTGGAATATACAGTGCCCTTGGAGGTAGAGGTTGTTCAGCCAGAGTGATTTTCAAACAGTTGTTCTGCATTTCTTCGAAGAGCTGATGTCTTTATGTAAAACTACACAACTGCTCCCCATGCCTTCCAAAAGGCAATTCTTTTTGGTTAAATGGTAGAGAAAAGCGGATATAAAACATGGTTGATTTGCAAACCATCATAATGTTGACGAGTTAGATATTTTACTAACATTTTGTGGCTCACCTATCTACTTTATTAAATTTATTTAACTAATTTATATACTATTACTACATTTTAAGGGATGCGGGTGGCGCTGTGGGTTAAGCTACAGAGCCTAGGACTTGCTGATCAGAAGGTCGGCAGTTCAAATCCCCGCGACGGGGTGAGCTCCCATTGCTCGGTCCCTGCTCCTGCCAACCTAGCAATTCACAAACATGAAGTGCAAGTAGATGAATAGGTACCACTTCGGCGGGAAGGTAAATGCCGTTTCCGTGCGCTGCTCTGGCTACACGACCCAGAAGCTGTACGCCGGCTCCCTCGGCCAATAAAGCAAGATGAGCACCGAAACCCCAGAGTCGGCCACGACTAGACCTAATGGTCAGGGGTCCCTTTACTTTTACCTTTACTACATTTTAGCTGCTTATCAGTTAGGGGAATTCAAAGCCACCCAAGTGATTTTTAAAAAATCAAAAATCAGAACAATGAGCCCATTAAAAATAAAGCTAGATGGTAAGTGTAAAAACTGAAATGATATTAGCTGAATCCAATGCTATTTTGCTAGAAAAAGAAGTGCTGGAACTCACCATGAACACCTCCCTCATTCTCTTAGAATGGCAATGGCACTCACCTGTGAGGTGCCGGAACTGAGTTCCAGCAAGTTCCAGCTGGGAAAAAGCCCTGACTCAATCCAATTTAATCCCCTGGCAGAAGCTATAATAATCCAAATGGTGATCTTGCACTCACAGAAATGCTTTTGATCCAGTGGACACCTCTGCAAACAGCAGAGGATTAATGATGGCCATTTCACTCTTTGCCATGCCATTTTCCACCTTGTTTTGGAGAGACTTATAATCTGGAGCTAATTTTGGGGGAGGGGAAAATTGACCAAAATCCAAAGATGAGCAGCAGTCATTGAATAACCTGTTACTCCATCTATTTTCTTTAAAAATCTGCTTTCCGAATTGAGAATTGTACTGTAATTTAAATGCTGCATTTTGCAGGCATGGCTGAGTCGTGGCAAAGTACTTCCTTGCTGAGCACTTTTCCTGCATTTCCTCCAGATGATCAAGATCCATTAGTGTTTGCAAAGCCCTTCCTAGAAATACGCTCTTAGGAAAGAATTGCATTGAACTGACCTTGATTGAACAGGTGGCCAGAATAATTAGGCAGCTGGGAACAGCTGGAGAGGGGTTCATGAAATTTTATTTTTTAAGAAACATGTTTGTTCAACTGCGTGTTTCTGGCCTACTTATCCAGCCATACTATATTATTGATGGCATACAGCTACAAAAATGTAGTGTATTGTGTTGTATCTCTTCTCCCTCCTCCCCCAACCCTTGGGTTTTTGGCCTCACTAAATTTTCCTCTGATGATCTCAGAGATGCATGGTGAGTATGTTGGCTTAGGATAACACTGGTCTCAAGTGATGCTGTTACTATAAAATATTAAAGCTACTGTTAAAATCCTCAGCCAAGAAGAAAACCGGAAGCCAGTCAAGTCTCCAACCACATACCGTAATTCAATAGAAAGATTTTGCTTTGCATAAGTTACCTGCTACTTTGCATATTTTAACAAGAGCCTTCCTTTTGCAGTGGTGCATCTCCCTGTTCTTTTTTATATATATAAAGTGTTACTGATTTTCATAGTAGTACATAAAGTCTCGAACGCAACACAATCATCAACAAACAATGTAGGTCTGCTGAGTGTAAACACAGCAATAAATCGTTTGAGTCCTACAATCTTCATGGCAATCTTTGTGACAACACCACATAGTTGCGTGGGCCGCTGGAGGACAAGGAGTATCTCCATGAGTATTAACATAGCTGATAAATGAGAATCATATTGCATCAAACAGATCTCATTTCGCCCTATCTAGACCAACTCTCCTGTTTTGGGTCAGATGTTTGGACAAGGCAATGTTCCAAATTTGATCGTACTGTCCACATTTTGTGGGAGTCGTTTCTCCTTTCTACTATGTAAATGAGCTGCAGCCAATAACAATGCAAGCAAATCTTTGTTTGAAAAGAGCTAATATCTAAGTGGAATGGCTGATCGGTAAAGCTATTTATCTCTGAGAATACCTCCTTCTGAAACATTTGAGCTAGAGGAGCGCTCTACCACAGCGATCTTCTTTCGCCACATCTTTGCCAAAAGAGAGGAGGAACATTCTTTGCTAGATATGAGAGTTTACAGGAGTCCAGTGTCAACACAATATTAATTTTAGGATAGCTTTCTGTGCTCTCACAGAAATGGTATATAGAGGAGGGTTTGACCAAACTTTTCCCCACTGTTCCTAAGATTGTTTCCCCACACTTTCCTAATACCCTCCGATGTACCCATGGTCTGCTCTGTTAAATTCATGCAAATAGCATAAGTGAAATCCTTGTGTTGGGAGTGAAGTAGTAGCACAGTAGCGTTTGTAAACCATTAGGGAACAGATCCCCTCCTCTCTTCAGCTAATGCACATCATTGCCTGTGTTATTTGAAACAATTTAGGTTTGCATCCTTCAGTTTACCCCTTTATATGCTATGCAGTCACAGGCTGCCCCCTGTGGATGAAATCTTCGATATTGCAAATCCCTTTGATACTGCAGCGTTCAAAATGTTTATACTTACTGTTGAGCAGAATTTTGGATGGTCCAAAATGGGAATTATCGATAGTGCTTCTTCTCTTCCATATCAGTAGGTTCATTTTGAGAAATGGTTGTTCACCTTATGAATGGCTGGCTAGCAAAGGTATGATAATGGCAGTGCCTGAACAGCAGAAGCTGGGGGCAGTGTTTTGATTTGTACCCATGGTATATCATTATAGTTTGAATTAAATGTTTTAGCTAAAGAGCCTCGTAGTGCAATTTCAAATTTGGCATTCCTAGATCTCCCCTGACTCGTGGCCTATAAAGAGTGCTGTTGCAAATCCTGCTCTTCTTACCCATTGTGATGAATTTGTCCAATTCTTCCTGCCATTAAATAAACCACTTGTAAGTGATCAAGGCAAAGTGGGGCTATAACAGACCCTCCAAGTGTCCCTATTTTCCAGGGGCAGTCCTGGATTTACAGAAGCTGTCCCGGTTTCTGATTTGATGCTGGAATGTCCTGTTTTCCTTAGGGCATTCCTGTTTTCATTGGATAAATGTTGGAGGGTATGGATGTCCCTGTTTCCATTAGAGAAATGTTGGAGGCTATGCTATAAAAGGAAGAAAGGTTTCAGTAAAATGGACATCTTTATGGCCGCATTTCTTCCCAACCATACCAGGTTTCATTTGTTCCAGCTGTTTAGGAAAATAGCTTACCATAACTGTGCTTACACAGCCACATCCCAAAAGCTTCTATAACATGAATGATCAAACCACAAGTATATTTCCCTTGCATGCATCAAAAGGGCAATATGAGCAATTTTGAGTAGTGGATCCCTACACCTGCCATGTTGTGAAATTTGTCTTGTTCAAGTTTCAGCAGTTTTAATGCCTAGCTCAGGTTACCTAACATCAGTAGTGTGTATTATTGAAAGTTTACAAGCCCACAATTAACTTGAGTCTGTCTGCGAGGCAGGGAAGGGAAGATCTCCCAGGGTGGGAGGCTGGGAAAAGAAAGGGAAGCTCCTGTGTGGGATAATGATTAAGATCTACCTCTGATAGAGGGCTATCTCTATATTTTTTCTCCTTCCTTCCTTTCTCCTCTTTCTTCCTCTTCCTTTTTATTTAGATTAGTTTGGTTTTTAATGCATTGTATATTGAAAAGTTTTGATAAAAAGTATATCCAAAATATATATTTTAAGGTTAAAAAAAAAGCCCTGGATACTTTTTTAAAAAAACCCTTCTTATGAAATTACCCATTTACAGAGAGTTAACTTCAGTGATTGATGAGAACCTCAATTAGCAAGAGTTCTAATCATACATGCCAATATTATTTTGAAAAGTAAAACCATTTTTGCATTGGATAAAAGCCCTGGACATTTCACCTTCTTGCTGATTTTAATGCTTAAGCAATCATGCAAAAATTAATCCTCCCGCCCTTCAGCTGACAGCATCTTTGAGAGTGGGAGGATTTAGATTGCATGGGAAGAAAGAGTTTAAGAATCCCTCCCATAAATGTGGTTGTTCACCCACCTTTGCATGCAGGATCTGATGAAATTTGGAGTGTTCTCTCCCCAGTGTTGCATTAAAATAAAAACAGACACCAGACGTTCCCCTTACAGCTTTCCTGCAGAACATATCATTTGTGCCTGATATTACAGTACTTGTTTCCTATTCAAGATTTGCATATTCAGTATTTGCTTAAGAGGTTGTATGGGAAGCAAGACTCCTGGCGTTTGGACTTCCTGTTTTGCAGTGAACCCGGCAAACCGCCCTCTTGGGTGCTCCAGCGTCCGGGAGGGGTCCCAGGTGGAGATTAATGAGGGGTAAGGGGCATGTCTCCCCTAACCTTTTGAGGGTATCAAAACGGCACAACCCACAGTCTGTTAATGCCTTTTTGTGTGTGTGTGAGCGGGGATGGAAATCTCCATCTCCCAGATGAAAAGGCGAGGGCGCTGGGCTCATTGGCTCTGTCCAAGGACAGCCCCAGCAAGGTACCATGGCAAGCTGTGGAATACCCTTGAATTCGGACATAATTGGCAAGTGAAGAGGCACCCCCCCCCCCCAAAAAAAGATCTTGATTTATGGTGGAGGAGAAAACATTGGGAAGGATTTTTCCCTAACAAATGAAAGGCGCTGATTTATGCTTTTCTTGAACGGTGGAAGGAGGAGAGGCAATACTTTAAGTCATGGTTTTTTCGGGATCTGTGTTATCTACCCTCCCCTAAAGCAATGGAATGCAAAGTTTTTGGGAAGAGTGGACTTTAAAGATACCTCTTTGCAATGGATTTTTATATATATATAACTAAGGGCTTTACCTGAAAGAAGATGGAGAGTAACAACCTTGAGGGAATTTTGAGGGATTTTGACCACCCCTTGGAACTTCATATTATAAAATAAAAATAGTAAAGAAGAAAAGATTGGTAACAACTGGATTGACTGTTAAGCACTCAGAAGAGAATAAACTGTGGAGTTGGATGTAATGGAACTGAGGGTCAGCAGGATGGACTTGCAGGAAGATTAATTAGTTTATGGGGGAGGATGGAGAGGAGATATGGATTTTGTTGAGATTACATCAGCCCACCCGCTTGAAGCCTAAAGTTGGAAAGAAGAACAGTGAAAGGGACAGGATGGACTACAGTGTATACCAACTTGACAGCTTCTGAGACTTTCAGACAGAAAAGAAGAGATATGGATTGCGTTTATTTATTAATGAGCTGGTTGTATGTAAAACTGAAGATTAAATTTGGTGAAATGTGAAGGGTGGGTGACGCTGGGAGATTAGCAGCATTGGGGCGGGGGAGAGGAATGTATATTATACATTTATATCAAAAAATTCTAGGGGTTTTATTTTTACCCTCTGCACGCTGCACCATGAGGCTGAGTTGTTTATTACTAGGGCCACATGTCAGACAGCAATGTTCAAGGCCATGTTAAGGAGGAATGTGTGTATGTTGTCTGGGAGGAAGCAATATCTGTTTTTCTCAGGCAAAGTGTTACTCAAGAGGAATCAGAAGGAAATGTTTGAAAATTGATGAACGACTATTACAGATAGATAGAAGAGGATTTACTCTACTTGACTGTTTTGAGGACAGGTTATAACAATGTATAAAAGCCATAGCAGAAATTGGTAATTGAACAGGTGATGTGTAGAGGTGAAGGGATGAATGTATTTTGAATTATAGCTGGAAAAGTTATTTTATTGGGAGCGGCAACGGAGGAAGGAAAATAGTGGGGAAATCTGGGGTGGGTGGGAAATCCACTTTTAAATTTGTATTGAATTTGTATTAACTTGGTGACAATTTGTTAAAAAATATGGAATATCAATAAAAATAATTGGCAAGAAAAGAAGACTCCTGGCGTTTGAAGCACTAGCTGTAGAGAGAGGGTTGGGGGTGGATTCTGCCTGCTTGTTTTTCCTGGAGTAGATGGTGTCATAATGAAGGCATGATTGTTCAGGTTGTGTTGCTCCGGCATACTACCCAAGTGTTTAGCAACCCTTTGTCTCCTTTTTTTGCATTTTATACATTGTCTTCCGCACAGCAGACTTCATCAGTGGGTCCAGTCTGCTGTGTCAAAGGTCATGTGATCCTGATAATTCCATGGGCTGAGAGTTCTTTGCTTTGATGTGGATTTTTTATGAGATGCCAGTGCCTGTGATCGCACCCACAATCCCCTGAAATAACCACATGGGTGTATGTAACCCTATGACAATTACAAAATCTTTATCAGATTTGGCTGCTTTGTTTGCTTCCCTTTCTGGCCAACTATGGAAATTGTTAAGTAACTGCAGAAGTTACAACTTGTAATTTAAAATGTCATTTGTGCTTGCAATTCTGGTCCCTAAAGCCGTTTGGAGACAAGCCAGCTGACTTCTTTTTGTTCTTCGCAATTTGCAATATGTAATTTTAAAGCTTTTTCACATTGTTGGTTTCAGAACATTTTGAATCCTGTCCTGAGTCATGCGGAGAGGGCAAAAATAGAAACAAGTACAGGCAGTTTATATCATTTTAGGTGATACAGTGGATCTTAGCCTGCGTGCTTTAAATTCATACGTAATTGAAGGAGAAGATCTTCTTTAATATTACCCTTCCATTGTTTTGAGAAGATAGTTGCCGTCACAGATCTTGTTACATTGACATTATCAGTGATATTAGTGATAATCAGTATTAATATGGGCTTATTTTAAAAGACTGCACTGTTCTTTGGCAATCTCTGCTTAAGTCTGCAGCTGGTGTGAGCCATGTGAACAGGTGTGAACTCACCTGTCTGCCATCCAGGTGGTTGTGGAGCCCAAGCTCCTTAGCCTCAGGAAATGAGCCCTTTCTGACTAGTGACGAAGCATTCACCACTTGGTGAATTTATTTTGTTCATTGCATTTCCTCCCACAGGAGTCCAGGACTATCAGTTCTGGATGTAGCAAATCACCAACCAATTAAAATGGTAGAAAACAGCACCAGCAGAGCAAAGGAAGAGAGGAACTGATGACCATTCAGCCTCGGTCACTCTCCCTGAAAGTCCTGGTCCAGAACACATGGTTGTTTGATGTAAAAACAATGACAATGTGGAGGGAAAATGCAAAAGGGGTGCCATCGTGGAGAAACTCTCCCGCCACCTACTGTCTGCAGCACAAACAAGCTGCTAGTTGATCTCAAGGTGTTAGTTGTCCGGTATTGGAGAAGTAGCCCTTTAAGTATTTGGGAGGCCCCAAGCCATTCAGGTCTCCAAATAACAAATAACAATAGCAGCACCTTATATCCGGAATTAAAAGAAATATTTATTTATTCCATTAGTATCCCATTTTTCCTCCAAGGAGCTCAGGGTGGTGTAGTGGTTAAGAGCAGCAGACTCATAATCTGGGGAACCGGGTTCGCGTCTCTGCTCCTCCACATGCAGCTGCTGGGTGACCTTGGGCTAGTCACACTTCTCTGAAGTCTCTCAGCCCCACTCACCTCACAGAGTGTTTGTTGTGGGGGAGGAAGGGAAAGGAGAATGTTAGCCGCTTTGAGACTCCTTCGGGTAGTGATAAAGCAGGATATCAAATCCAAGCTCTTCTTCTTCTTCTTCAGGGTGGAGTGAAAACTTCTCCACCTCCTTGCTTTATCCTCACAAGAACCCTGCAAGGTAGGCTAAGCAGAGAGACTGCAACTGGCCCAAGGTCACCCCCTGGCCCAGTCTCCACCCCCTGAGTAGAGATTCAAACTCGGGTCTCTCAGGTTCTAGTCCAAGGACTCAGCTATACAGCTGCAAATAAAACATTTTAAGTTCAATATACAATGTGACGCTGGATGGTGAGCCTTATGGAAAATTCAGAGTATTTTTTAAAACACTTTTTTAAAAAAGCATTTTCAAAACGGTTTTTATATGTGTCTAGATTCCACCCAACAGTCTAACCCCTACACCATACAGTCATATGAAAATACGGTAGGATTAAGTAATTACCAGGTACAGTGGTACCTCGTGTTAAGGACTTAATTATTTCCGGAGGTCCTTTCTTAACCTGAAACTGTTCTTAACCTGAAGCACCACTTTAGCTAATGGGGCCTCCCGCTGCTGCCGTGCTGCCGGAGCACAATTTCTGTTCTCATCCTGAAGCAAGGTTCTTAACCTGAGGTACTATTTCTGGGTTAGCGGAGTCTGTAACCTGAAGCGTCTGTAACCTGAAGCATATGTAACCCGAGGTACCACTGTACTGCTATATCACTTTCTATCCTAATTTGTAAGACTTGACGATAATGAAGCTGAAAGCTGTTCATTGAACACAAGGGCTATACACAGCCACTATTACAAGCCTTCGTACGTTAGAGAGACCACACTTAGACAGCAGGCACAGTGGGCTGGATCAAGATTAAGTTATTTGATAATTTGGCCCCACCAAAATCAGTGTGCAAAGTTAATCATAAACAACTTAGGTCCCACTGTTACCAGAGTAACTCAAGTCTGACTCCCACTCAGTAAGCCAAGAACTCTGGACATTCTCAAGAAATATTTCTAAAATTCTATTCACTGTGCACTGAACAAGCTTAAGACTGAAAAACTGAAACCAGATATGAAGCTACCTCTACAAACTGAGGGTGGTTTAAGAAATAAAGCTAATTGTGACAATCAAATAATGCCATATAATCTAAGTGTGTCTCCTGGCTAACAGATGCCTTCCAGAACTCCAGTTAGAATTTGTGAACAGAAAAGAACAGTTGGACACTGTCAGTGCAGATACTGATGAAACACTGAACTAATTTTTTTGCTTGCATCCTAAATTGTAATGACAAGCTCTAATCTGCCCATCATACTTTTCCTTAAGCAGAGAATGCCTTTGAACAATCATATGGTTACCAGCTCTTCAACTGTGGGGATCCAAGTAGTTTATATGCAACTGTAGCAAATAGCAACGAAATTAGTGTTGACACATACTCATTGGACAGCTAGAAAGCTAGGTAGATCAACAGCAGCTGCAACTTCCAGACCATTTTCAAGGGTAACCTTACATACTGAGCTAGATGAACCAACAGGCTGACTCAGTATACAGTAGCTTCCTATGTTTCCATGCAGTAATCCATTCAGTGGTTGTCTGTGCTCATCTACATTCTGTTGTCTGTGCAGTTCACATCTTTTGACTCTGAAATGTTTACACTGTTGGACAAAACTGGTCTCCCACTGGAATAAATGCTTCTAGGGTACTTTACAGTCCATTATTAGAGGTTACTTGTCCCCCTGAAACAGTAAGCTTTACTGAGATATTTAGAATCCATTGTTTGGTAACTCTTCATTTTCCCCAGTGCATTTGTGTTTCACCTATTGAGCAGAGTTTGAAATTCACCAGGCAGTAGGCATATTTTGCACCTGGCTGTCAGTCACTTGCGGTCAAGTGAAGATGCCTGAGCACCAGAATGGCACCTGACATCTCCACCATCTGGAGGTGCAGGCCTGGGGACCCTTGAATCTTGACTGTTTTCACATACTAGCAACACATCCAGTAGAATTCTATCCCATTATTTTTTATCTGGACAATCAGAATGAATTTCAGGAATCAAAAAGTCGTATTGAATAATGTGACTTTCAAGCCGTCTGGTCCAAAAATGGCAACTAGACATTCCGTTTTGCCGACTATAACCCTGGTTTAAGGAGCCATTAAGGAGCCTAAGTTATATATCTGGGTTTCTAACATGGCTATTGAGGTAGTCACACTTTAACATAAATGGAAACCATGATTCTTTTGTATGCACTGTATGTATACGACCCATGTATGCAACCTTTGTCTCAGCAATGTACACTTTTACTGAGCCAGACGTAACTACCATGGACATTATTTTGATCAGTTTGCATTTAGCTGGGGGGGGGGGGGACCAACCTGAGTTTAATTTGCTTGGCTTCATCTGGCTCTCAGATACGGTATATATTTAGTTGTTTGGCTGTGATGGGTGAATTAAACTTTTGACCAGATTCCAGTTCTGACCCAAATATTGATTTATAGATGTGTTACACATAAAATACAATTTTTAGGGGGCATTTATATGCTCTCCTATAAGCAGGTTCTCGGGGTAACCTAAGCAAGGTTAACAAGATAAATATATTTTACTTTATTTGCAGGTGGAGATTTACATTTTACCTTTATATATTCACCTATGGAGCCAGACTCTTGAAAAAGGTAAGGCCCATTTGAATAATGAAATTAGTGTTAATGTCCCATTGTGCTTCTTATTATGTGTGTCTGAGAAAGGATCTTCTAGGAGGTGAACCACAGCCTCTTCATATCATGACGCAGGATAAGGTGATTTAGAAATACATTGCAGACAATAGCTGGAGAGAATTGTGATATGTGTGTAAGCTGCTGCTCACTCTTATTTATAATGTGGATGAAAAGCTTCTCTTTATGTGTTTCGCTCCATTGGGGGGGGGTTGTCCAGAGAACGCGGGTGGGAGACCTTATTAGCACCAGGATGCTCAAATGAAGCATCTCATGAACTGGAGACAGGTTCCCAACTTAGAGTTTGTCACATGTGACAATCACATTTGCATAGATTTAATAGCTAAGCCACAACTGGCCGTCAAAAAAATCAAAAAATCATAAAAAACATTTCCAAACCTTAGAAAACAAGTGTGGGGTTTGGGTTGATCAGCTTGTTTCTGAGCATTCATCACACTACTTTATTTGGGAAGTATGAAAAGCTTACAATATATTGCTCAGTCTGGCATACTTTAAACTTGCCTTCACTGGTCATTCTATGTTAAATGTGCTCTTTTATATGCCACTATGGATCCCTGTATATTCCCCTGTATATTCAAAATGAATGGGAGAACCAGCTCTTGTTCGCCCTTTGCCTGTAATCAGGCATCAAGTTGCTCCTTTGGTAGCTTATATGGCGCTGTGTGTGTGTGTGTGTGTGTGTGTGTGTGTATAAAATTCAGGAACCATTATTTTCAGGATTGAAAGCAGTCTGGGAAAGGATGGCATTTATTTAAAGAGTAGATTTTGTCTTGTTCAGAGGACGTAAACAAAACATGAACAGTTTAGCTTTCAGAATTTCTACTTAAGTGCTGCAGATGTTTTTCTATAAGCTTTATTGTTTCTAGATTTCCAGCTTGACATATATAGCAGGCTGAAGATATTAAGATTAATTTTTCCCCACACTGAACGTACTGACTGTAACGTGCCCATATTTCACAGCTGTGGAATTAAACAAGGAGCATGATACACAAACATGATTATGCTGTTATGTTACCACTCTGGATCCCTTGTCAGTATCCCAAGCTATCAGAGATTTTGTGAACAGATGTTGATTCCGAGTAGCATTTGGCAAGATCGCCCGCCCTGTGCAATCTGCTGGATCATTGTTTGACCGAATTAATTGTGACGCTAAGCTTTGCATACTTGTACATTTGCCCAAAGCACATAGTGCTAAATGCAAAAGGTTTTGTTGTTTACTTTCCTGGCAGCATTCTCATTCTGTTCTGGTAAGGGTTGATCTGTTAATGGAACTTAAGTTTTTCTAAACTGAAATCAGTGGCTTCACAGCTAAGGATTTAACCAAGAGTAAGCCCCGCTGAACAAAGAACTTTCCTGGAGAGCCAGCGTTAACCTGCTACTCCTTATTTAGAATATATATATATAGAGAGAGAGAGAGGCAGTTACGCACTTCTGATTATTCAAGTGTGAGCTAGAGTTGCCTAACTGAGCACAGCACAGGTGAAGCAGAAGGAAAAGTTTGTGGTGTCAGTACTATGTCCTTTGCTTTGCTTTTGTGCTGCCCGCCTGACCCTGAAGCAGTTTGACTGGCAGCTACAGCAGCCCAACTGCATACCAAGACCTATATGGGCCAGATCATGAAGTGCCAGACGAAAACACTGTGGATCTTATCTGTGTTCACCATGTCCTCTCCAGCCCACTGTTTTTCTGATGCTGCTCTTAAATACTCCATTTGGCAGTTATAGTGGATAACCTAGATGGATAATTTCTCTAATTATGCTGGCAAGTCATATTGACGCAACTGAGTTGGATCTCAGGTCATCCAAGAGTGCCCGGAGCGGTACAGCATCCACCTATTTTGTTGCTTGCAATAGGCCTTTGAACATTGTATCAGTTGTAGTACCACACTGTTATCAGTGTGGTATGAAATCATATCAAATCACATTAAGGCATACAGATCTTGCATCTTAATTAACATGTGAGCTAATCCAGCATCTCTCTCTCTTTGAACAAGGCTTTTAAGTGGAGATCTTTCTCAGTCTGAAATTATAATGTGCATCACTATCGTGAATCGATTCTGGAAGTGGGCTACTCTGCCAGCTCTAAGGAGCAAGGAATTTCTGTGTTCAGGTAGCTTAATAGTGCTGTAGATCAGAGGTGAACACAAGACAGGAATTGAAGAGAAGGCAAGGTGCGGGGTGGGGGCAGGGAGAGGTCAGGCAAGGATGGCTAGCTGAAGTTGACAAGATAGAAAAGAATCCCTAGAGTTTTTCAGTTCTGTTAATTAATTCAGATACTGCAAGAAACACTTTCGTAAGATCAACTACATGGTGGGATTCTGTGAAACTAAGCACAGTCATCTGAAGGAGTCCAGTGCATGGATTGGTGCTGTGAGCACCAGGTTTTAGGAAAGTTTCAGAAATCAAGCTTGATACTTTATGCATCTGTTGAATCTTTCAGACAACATAGCTCTGCAGGGATCAGACTGAAAAATCCAAAAGTCAGGCAAAGATCAACCTGTTTGTAATTGTTCATTCTGTAAGAAAACGAACCCTTTTCTACTCAAGCCTTTCCTTATTAATTAATAAAATCTCTACACTGCCCTTCATCTGAGCAGCACAGGGCATTTTACAATGTAAAGACACAAAACTACATCACATAGTAACAAAAACAATACCCCCCCCCCCCCCCCAGTTTAAAAGACTACATAGATTGTTTAATTAGCCAAAGGCAAGGGAGAGAAGGGGAATGTTTTTGCCTGGCGCCTAAAGATACTAATGAAATCTAAACTGTATTTTTACCTCTTGTACCACAAAGAAAAGCAAAAAATATAAAAGCTTCATCTCTTACACCAAAATTACATCTAAAATTAATTTTAACACATTAGATAAGATATTAGAAGGAAAGAAAAAAAGGACAGAAGCAAAATTTTTAAGAGTCAGGACAGCGATAAGACAATAAAAAAGGAAGTGAGTTGTCAGGGCTGAAATGTGAATTGAACCCAGAGACCAATCAGCAACCAAGGCAGCTGGGCCAGGATTGGTATTATATGCTAGGATTGCCTTGTTCTACTCAGTAGTCTGGCTCCCACATTGTGTATTAGCTGCAGTTTCTAAACTACCTCCCACATATAACAGTTCAGTATAACATATTTCATTTATCTAACCTGGAGCTTTCCAAAACATGGACAAGAAGTTAGACTACCCCATCTAGGTACAGCCACAGCTGGGCCATCAGCTGAAGCCAGTGGAAGGCATTCCATACCACTGTGCCTCCAGAAACAGTAGCAGATCCAGAAGTATCCCCAGGCTATTTCTTCAGAGGGAACAAGTAGAACCCTGCCACTCCTATTTAGGGAACCATGTACTAAGCGTGCCTTAGCCTTATCTTGATTAAGCTTCATTATAAATAATATAAAGGTCCTTCCTGTAATTTTGAATTTGGGTGTAGCCAAATTAGTATGATAGGTACATGATATGTTCAGCAGATAACTGGAAAAGGTATTTTGCGGCATCTTTGAAGATTGCTTGGGCTAACAGATACCTTGGAGGGTCCCTGCCCAGCAAGATAGGATTTTTGTATGACTCATTAGCTACATAAGGTAACAGAGGGAACACATGAAGTTGGGACTCATCTCCTGTCATCCCTAGATGGGTGAAACCATCGCTCCTCCACTGTTGCATGGGCTAACTCTTGTAACTTAGTGGAATTGAGACATCTTTCAGCTTCAAACCTGCCTTCATCTATTCATTTCACAGTGGTGTCATCAAACTTTTTTGCATACATATATGCATTTTTTAAAGTAATTTAATGTCCAAAATTAGTTTCAGCACTTGTACATTTGTACTTTGAGGCAAAGAATGCAAGTGCTGCATTTTAGAATCTCTTGGCAATGGTGTCCTTGACACAGGATAAATTCTTAGAAACCCTTTTTTTCTCTTTTTAGTTTCCAGGCACGTTACCATGGTGCCCAAAGAGGCCATTTTGAGAAATTAGCAGGAAGACTTGTTACCATTCTGTGCTTAATGGATGCTTTTTATCTTGGCTCTTTTAATAGTGACGTGTATCCCGCCGAGTTATTCACCTCATTCAGTTGATCACTTGGAGGGTTTCACTGATTGTTGTAAATACATTTTAGAAACTCATGAAAATCAATACAACATAATGAACTCCACACTCTTGCAAAGAATATCTATTGTGCCGGTGGTACAATCAGTCCATAAGTAAGCCTTTGGATGCAGCAGGGGAACTGTTTTGTTAATTGCTTCTGCTGTATTTAGGATTCTGCAGCATCAAATTCAGAAAATATGCATTTTTCTTTGAAAGAGTGTTTTTTGTTGGGGGGGCACTAGGGTGGGATGAAGAAAAAAATGAGAGCAAAAGCCAAGGTTGCAGGTTTGATCCCCGTATGGGACAGCTGCATATTCTTGCATTGCAAGGGGTTGGACTACATGGTCCTCAGGATCCCTTCCAACCCAATTCTATGATCCTATGACTGAAGTCGGAATTCGAGATTCTGTGGACCACATTACATGTTTATGAGAAGCTGCAAGAGGGAGTGTGAGCCATGCTTTCTTCTTCCACCAATATGAGCCAGATCCAAAAAAAGGGCTACATTTACTATGGTGGGGTGGAGAACCTGTGGCCCTCCAAATGTTCTTGGAGCAAACTCCTGTTGTCAATCACCACTGGATGCACTGCTTGGGGTTGATGGGAGCTAGAGTTGATCAACATCTGGAGGGCCACAAGTTCTCCATCCCTGCCCTTTGGGGATGTACATGTTCAACTGATGCAGGGCAGAATATATATATCCCTGTGATGTGAATATCTCTTCCCTTCAGCTATAATCTGGAGGTGAGAATGAGATGCTCTGGCTTCCATTTGCTGCTTCTAGTGAAAGTCTGAAGTGGCCCTTAATCTTGTCAATTCTAGATTCTGAGCAAGGAGAGATTTCCAATTATTGTAAACCCTTGGAAAATAACTGCCTTCTCCCATAAAGGCTAGCTTTTGTTCCTGAACACTTATGGGGAGGTCTGTAGACTTATGCTTCAAAGGTTGAAGAAGTCTATCTCATGTTGGATTTTTCTGATAGATGCACCAGCTTACTGCTCTTTAAAGTTTTTATCCAAATATATCAGTACTTTATCAGAGGGAGGATAATGATAGCTGAATAAATGTTTGGCAATATTATGAAGAGTTAGAAATATGATCTGTGACTCCCAAATCCATGCACACATTCAGGTTTTATGCTTGCCATTTGCTTTTGCCAATGTTGCATTCTGTTTGGTTTGCCACACACTGCTTGGAAAAAGAGGTCTAATCCAAGCATGTCTTCTCCGACATTATACCATCCCTGCACATAATTACACCACCACTTGCTTGGTTGTGACACAGAGAAGTACTTCAAAATTTATTGTGATGGACAAAACGCTTCTGCCTAGTAATTCACTTTTCTGTGTTGGGGATTAACTTGAGTTTAGGGCTTGGGTGTCTATAAACATGCTTTTTAAACATTCAACAGACCAGATAGCTTTGCAGAGAGGAATGTCAGAGTAGCACAATCTCTGATGCTTTTTTCTTTTGCATGACAAAGGGATGTTGCAATGAGTAGTGAATATTCATTTGATTCAGCGGAAGAAGGATCTCATTACCTGCTTGCTTTGTGAGCATCAGGAGAGGGAGGTTACTATCAAGGAGATTGTGGTTTGAGACCAGTTTTGCTAAAGATTTTAGTAAGATCCCCCCCCCCAAAAAATGTTATTCTAGTCTGTTGTAAAGTATTTTATCTCTGACTTTCTTTTGGGCTTCTGCATTCTTGTCTCCTGCTACGATTCCTCAGGCCACACCCTGCCAGATTTTTACTTTCTTTTTTTCCAGTTGTCAAGTTTCCTCAGTATGGCCTGAAAACATTGGAAACTTCTATCAATGGAAGGGATAAATTATACTTGGCCCTGCTTTAGATAGAAATAGGGGTAGCAGTTCAGTCCAGGACACCCTCCTTTCATTGATTGGAATCCGCGGTGATCCCAGTGTTCATCACTCCCTCTTGTATTGTATGATGATGATTTTGCAGACATCAACAAGCTGTGTTTTAAGAGGCTAGTATTACCCAATTATGCAAAGATGACAAGGAAATGGTGTTTAAGGGAAGAGATTGTTAAAGTCCTTAACTTTGCTGAAGTGCCTTGGTGTAATTTATTTCTTTGAGAAACAAAAGATAATCTTATAAAGTAATTACATTACATTGGGCTGTCATTGCCAAGATGTCACAGAGAAAAATTGGAGGTTAATATCATCTAAGTATATTTAGAAGTGGAGAGCAAATTCTGTCTTGAAATGAGGCTGTGTTTCTTCTTATTTAATATTCTACACAGAATCTGGCAGAATACTTCTGTTCAATCTGTGGCGCTCCTGTATAGCATTGCAAAGTATAACCAGTAGAGTCATGCATGCATGTTGGCAAATTGCAGAAACGTGTTAGCAGCCAACAAATTTTAGAAAATAAGAACTCTCCCATTTTAGTAGGGATTTCTATGGATAGTAGCCTCTTTAAGCAGTTCTATGAAATGTTAGATACGTCCAAATGGATCCAGGTACACTTAGAGGATAAATTTGCAGAGGAAATGGAAAGTCAGAAGAAAGATAGCAAGAAACCACTGTAGCCCGAAACACAGTTAAGGATTTCATCATGACACAGAAACCTCTCGGAAAACAGCAGACAAGTGGGCTCTGCAACACTATGCTTGAGAATTTAGTGTTCCTGTTCAGCGTTCAGTCAGCCATTCCCTTTTCAGGATTTTCCATTTTGTTCTTCCTCCATCCCCTGAGTTTCCCATTTTCCTTCACAGGCAGCATCCCATGCCAACTAAGCCTGCTCAGCGGTAGGGAGCTTAGGGTTTTATATATATATATATATATATATATATATATATATATATATATATATATGTGTGTGTGTGTGTGTGTGTGTGTGTGTGTTCTTCTGGAAATCCTGGGGTTCCCCCCAGGCCTTGTATGTGTGGATGGTGTCATTTTGACTATATTGTAATTATTACCTGCCCTTCACCCTAAGGTTCCAGGGTGGGCTAAAACAACATTAATATTAAAATGCTATACTACACAATATTTTAAAACAACAGTTTAAAACAACTTTAAACTACAGTAATAAGGCAGGTCTTAAAATGTACATCTCAGGTGTCAAAAGCCAGGAAAAAGAGATGTAGCTCTTCACCTGGCGGGTGAAGGAAGGAGAGAGAGAATCTGCAGTACTCCCATAGCACATGCACCAAGTGGGCTTTACTTAGCAAGGAAGGTGGAGAGCTTAAAAGGTCCACTCCCCTTCCCCAGGGAGCAATCCAGGACCTCCTAGTGACCTGGCTGTGGGTGCAAGGATGCTGCCCACGTCATAGGGACTCCCGGCTGCGTCACACCCCCCAGCTGACCAATCAGGATAGCCGGGGTGTGTGGCTGCTTGCTGTTGAAACTGTGATGCAGCTAGGGGGCGACCTCCTTTTGCCTCCTCGCCGGATCTCATGTGAACTTGATTTGGCCTGAGAGATCTCATGAGAGCATCCCAAAGCTGATGCACTGTTGGTGTCCCCACCCCACCCCCCGCAAAGTGGAGAGCTTAAAAGCTCTTTCCACACTGGACAATCCCAAGCAAGGCCTGGCATGAAAATAGGTTTTCAATTCTCCTTCTTGCTGAGGTTCAACTTGTGCAATTTCAACCAGCCTGCCTTCAACCACGGGTGGTTGAAATTGTGCAAGCTAAATCGCAGAAGATGTGACTGTACGTCGCTTTGAGATTCTATAGTATTGTACCTGATTTCTGTTTTGTTCATTGCTGTGCAGTTCTTTTGGATAGGAAGCATTGATAAGAAATTTCAAAATAAAATGCTTATGCCGCTTTCCGGCACAGTTGTGCCCAAAGCATCTCACATGTCGAAATGAACCACGGTGAAGATAATTTTTATAAGCACTATATAGCTGCTGCTTACAAAACATAGCTGGTAAATAGATCAGTAGCATTCTCCTAGCAACCACCCCTCCCTCCCATTTTAGCACCAGTGCTTAATTTTCCAGCATCTAGAAAAATGCCAAATAATAAATTAACTTGGAACACACACCATGAAGACACCTGTATTTTTAAAATAATATACAAGTTTTACATTATAATGTTACAAACAGAGGATGCATGGTAAGATAACTAAACTGTTCTCTTTTGAACTGTTTCTAATAAACGAGAGCTTTTTGTTGATACAGAGCTTTTTGATAATTGTTTTTCTCTCAGATAATGAACCATGCTTCGTTTCTTTTTAACAAGTACCCCCTACTGTGCACTACATGCAAATATGTGTGACTAAACCCCAGTGGCACCTCTTTCCCATAAGAAAAAGCAAGTGTTTGTATACATTTAAAAAAAAGAAAGAAAGAAAATGTATCTCATCATCTGTTCAGGTTTGTAGTTTCTACAAGGGTCGATATACACAATTGGTAATTCAATCCTTTCATTTACAGTCTTGTCCCCCTATATTATTATAAGTTGCTGTTTTATATTTTGATTGATTTATTGTATTTCATAATACATTTTTGTTGTATTAATATGTTGTTTATCACTTGCAGGGACGGGGACATTTAGGCCAAAAAGTGATGTATAATATAACCACTCCTCTGGGTAGAGACATGTCTGGACGGCAACATGGGAAAAGGAATGCTGAACCCTTTTCCCCTACCAAATCCCCACACACGTATTGTTTGCTACTTCCCCAGTATAAAGTTCAAAATGTGTGTTTACGCTGCCAGATATTCAAAACCATGTGAGAGGGAAAAGTTTATGGGGCGGGAGTTGGAATGGAAAAGTAAGCAGGCAAGTAGTGTGTGAAGTTTTTTCTCCACTGGTTCTCCACTCAAAATCACCCCATTTGTGTGTAGTTTTTAGCCAGTTCCCCAGTTTCAAATTATAATCTTGCTCTGAAGAAAAGGATGGCAAAAGTTAACATCAGAGCAGGGTTTCGGCTAATTAGGGAGCTGTCCAACACACAAACCTCCTGAAGAAAAATGTGATGGCACAAGGGTGGCATTCGGCATGTGGCAAATGTTTTATTTAAAACAAAACAGAGACCCAGATATTTCTGGTCCAAAGGCACATGGTACTTAAAAACTGCTATGGGGCCAAGGAATATATCCCCCCCCCCCCCAGGCAGAAGTTGCTCATGTACAAAAGTTGTACTAACTTGAACAGCTGTCATTGTTTCTGCTTCCTCTGGAGGAAAAAATAAAGCTTGAAAATGACTTGCCAAGAAGTCTTGCTGAATTCTTCCTCCCTCCCTCCCTCCCTCCCTCCCTCCCTCCCTCCCTTCCTTCCTTCAGTTCAAAAATTCTGAAAAGGGATGCAGTGAAGCCTGACCATCTACACTGTGGTGAATACTTACATGGCTATTCAGCCTCATTGGAAAGGCTCAGAATCCAAACTTTTACTAGTCTTTAAACACAGACGCATTAGAGAGAGAGAGCCGGTTTGGAACATTATGGCCCTGTATAGGTGTTCCAGGATGTTGTAAAGTGTATGGAAGACACTGTTGTTTTCCCAGGTTTTGGCTGTTTTTCTTGAGCTGTCATATAACTGTTGAATTCTTTTGAAGTACATGACATGGATTTCTAATGGTTTCCCTTCATAATTACAAAACTATAAATACTCACTTCCCTTGTGGGGCTATGTGGCCTCTCACATGCAGAAATGTGGTGGTGGTGTAGAAACTGCATGTACTTCTGATTTATTACTGGTAGCATCTAAAAAATTTGCTTTGGAAAAGGCAAGTTCAAATGAAGCTCAAATGTTGAGTCCATGTTGAGAAGTGCTTCTCCCTGGTTTCGTTATTTTTCTTTTAGCACACTGACCTTACTTTTCTAGTAGTATTTAAATTATAACAGCAGAATGTCTAGAATATGGAACTGTGGACAAATGTGAACAAAGGGGGGCAGGATTTTATCTAAATGCCAAGGTTGCGGTAGAAGAGGGGTGAACACTAAACTTGTGTTTAGAGAAGAGAGGTTGTGATTAAGATATCTATTCCATACCTGTCCCCCTTTTAAACTCTTCTGTGGCCAGTAATAATAATAATTTTATTATTTATACCTGGTCCATCTGGCTGGGGTTCCCCAACCACTCCGGGCAGTTTATATAAAACATATTAAAATACCAAACATGAAAAACTTCCCAATACAGGACTGCCTTCAGATGTCTTCTAAAGTAATGTAGTTCTTTATCTGCTTGACATGTGAAAGGAGGGTGCCTATACCCAGAAGGCCTTCTGCCTGGTTCAGTGTAACTTCGCTTCTCGTAGTGAGGGAACCAGCAGAAAACCCTCGGAGTCTTTTAAAAATTATTAGAAATGCATTTCCAAAAGGTAGTTGAAACCAGCTTTGGAGCAACTTATTTCTGTGCCTGCTAGTAAGTAGTCAAGTTTTACTTGCATGTCATATTATTGTGCTTAAAACAAACAAACAGCAACCATTGGCCTCAGTCCCAGAGAAATCACCTTGCAAAAGTAGATCGAAGCAGACCCACACTGCGTGTTCCTAAAATTCTAGCAAATGTTTGTTCATTCAGAGCTTTGGAAAAGGCATTCCTATATAGTGATAAAGCCTTTGTGCTGAGTGGGACTTCTGCCAGCAGAGCACTTAGAGGCATTGGAACCTAAGGCTGCATCCTATGCACAGCTAGGACCCATATACCCCACTGACGTCAATGGATGCTGAGGCGGCGGTTGTCAATTAAGCAGATGAAGTACACACACAGGTTTTGCTATTTGGTCAAAATCTATAATTTGGTTCATTTTAATTGCAAAAATTGTGAACCACTTAATTTAGGGTTTATATTGAAAATCTGTAAGGAGGTAAATACCCACAAACCGATGAAAGATAACCTTGTAGGTTATTTGCTTGTGCTGTAATATAAGAATGACTGAAAATTACAAGCAACTATTAAAGTGGAAGACTTTAGAGAAGGGAAGCTAAAATAGTTATAAAGGAAGCGAGGGAGCCATAGGTACTGCCATTTGGAAACTATTTATTTGGAAATTGGTATCCTAAACATTTTGAGCTGATTTATGTGCTCTTCCCAGTTCCAAACAAAATAGTGCATTCTGAGAGGAGCTTTTACCTGGAAGATTATATAGATCCTAATTGCAAGGAAAGAGAACCACCTCTAAATTCACCCAGTTTGCCCAGTAAGTCATTGATACCTGAGAGTTCTTGTGGATTCCATTACCCTGAGCTGCTTTTCCTGTGTTCTCCTGGAAACTTCAAAGGTGTTGGCATTTGTCTGAACATTAGGGCTTCAGGTACTGTAAAACTGCCATCCTGGACTTCCTTGGGAAGAATGGTGGGATATTAATTTAATACATCTATTAAAAATAATAAAATCCTAATTAGATCTCTTCCAAGATACAGGTTTTTCAAAATAAATTAACCACATTCTGTTTTAAGATAGCAAAACATGATACACATGGGTCAGAAGCACTGAATTATACCCTAGGAAAGGAAACATAAAATCAGTAAAAAAAAAAAATCAATAGAGTAGATTGTAGCAAAATAAAATACACAACTTGATTGTGAAAAGAGAATGATCAGGGAGAGGGAGGAGAGGTGAAACACTCATTTAAGGTTTGTTTTAATGGAATTGTATGTTCCTCTTGCATATAACTGGCAAGGAAAATAACTTACTAGATAGCTACTGTTAACTTTTCACTGAGTGACTTGTCAACTTGGCATTGCTTTTATATAATTGTACATTGCATTGTGATCTCAAAACACCTGCCTGTCGATGATGGTATTCGTATTGACTCAAGTTAACCTTACAATTCCAGCTGAATTCTGTATTGCATTGTTAGTGAAGAAGACATTGGTGCAATCGATATTAGTTGTCACTGACAAACCAGTTCTTTCCCATCTTGTACTTGTTGCTTCTTGTTTCATGCAGTCCATCTCCCCTTCCCTGACATCTCATTCCCTAGCTGTTGAGCAATTGTGTACTTCCCATAACCAGCTCCTTCATTCCAGCATAAATTAAGTTTGTGTAAATTTATGTGTAATTTCATTATTCAGAATGTCTCATCAGATAAGTTCTGCCAGTATTCCACATAAGGATTGGGACTTGCAAATGGCATATAATAGTCAAACGGGTGTTGTAGAACACATTCCTTTTCAGCTTACCGAAGCAGAGCATGATTTCATATTTTGCTATATTTGGCTGTGTTACCAGACTGTCTATTCTTGCACATTCATGTTGATAGATTGTCCTAGTTTTTGGTTGCAGCAGAATGTCTAGGCTGCTGACATGGGGGACTTGAGCCTCAAAGTTATTAATATTTCAATCCTTTGCACAGAGTGAGAGACAGACTAATATGAAAAGAATGTTTTTTCAAGCATTGGGTTTGAGCAGTGTGCGTAATAGGAATGTCACGTGCTGTGTCTGTTACCCATTAACTCTCCCCTTTCTGAGGCACAGTCCTGATTTATCACACTTTTCCCCTCCGTTTTTGTCCTGTCTGTATTAAATGTACCTGATGTGGGGCCTGTTTGCTGCTGCTCCCATCATCTGCTACTCTCCAGGTGGTCCTTTGGTGGGATTTGGGAGCCCAGAGATCCAGCCCTAGTAGTGCTATAGTGCAGCTCTCAATGCAGCTTGAAGCAGAGCTTGGATAGAGACCCTTTCCAAAACATCACATCCTTTGCCTTTGCTGAATTCTTCAGTGTGCTTTCCTTTCACTTGCCTCTGTGCAATACTGTAGTGACACCGGATACTGCTGGAACATGGCAGAGTGAAGCTGAGTGAGCCTTACCAAAAGGAAGGGAAATGTCAATAGGGATTTTCAAAATCCTGCCTCAGTTGTATGCTCTAGGACAGGCATGGCCAAACTTGGCCCTCCAGCTGTTTCGGGACTAGGGACTTTTAGCTAGGGATGATGGGAGTTGTAGTCCCAAAACATCTGGAGGGCCAAGTTTGGCCATGCCTGCTCTAGGACATAGGAACAGTTCCTCCTGAATAAATGGGATGGAAATTATTTCCTTGTCAAAATTAGTCAGATGCACGTTTCTGGGAAGACAGCTATAGAACCGTGTTGGGAAAAGTTAGTATTTTTCGCTCTGTAAGACGCACCAGACCATAAGACACACCTAGTTTTTGGAAGTGGAAAACAAGAAAAAAAATACTCTGAATCCCAGAAGCCAGAAAAACTAGAAAAGCTGCACAGCGATCCCTCTTGCTGTTCTGGCCTCTGGGATAGCTGCGCGGCCTGCATTCGCTTCATAAGACACACACACATTTCCTCTTACTTTTTAGGAGGGAAAAAGTGTGTCTTATAGAGCGAAAAATAGGGTAAGTAAGGAGTGCATTTAAAACCTTAATCCAAAATATATACAGATTACAAGCTCCTAAATTGGGTAAGCTTTGGACTGCTGCATTATGGGGACTACGTCTACTTCCTTGTGTGCCCCCACAGCAATTTAACATATGTCAACGAGATGCAGGTGTCTGGCAATTGGAATGGGATGAAGGAAGGAAACCACTTGAAATTCTTGTAATCAAGAATACTTGTTTAAATGCGCCAGTGGAATGCATATATAATCCTCTGATTAGCATAAGGGAAACTTTCTAACATATATGGGCTTGCTGATAGAAAGTACGAACTTGAGAAAGATATGCTTGTAGTGCATGATGGAAATTCAAAGATGTTTTAAAAATATAATCGGAGTTAATAGAACTACAAATTGACTCAAAAGATTGGGAACTATGGGTTAAGGCTCTTGGACTTAACTTCCATGCCATATAAGCAGTAAACATTCATATTATGCTTGCATACAACTTAGCATCCATGCACCCACATTCTCTCTGGGTTTTTCAGACACAGTCCTCTTCCTCTGCAGATTGGGGGAACCCAACAGCTCAGGACAATGTGTGTGTGAGGAGGGACAGTGAGGGGCACGCTGACCCTCCGCTTTCCGTATGTGTGTGTGTGTGTTAGTAATGATAGCCTGTGATGCCATGGAGGGGCAATCTTTGTTGCTGGAGGGGGCAGAAGGATATTGGAGTGATTGCATTTTATATTGAGGTTTCAGCAAGTAGAAGGAGGAGGCGAATAATGATGAAACATGCTTAGGTTTGCCTTGAAGAAGAAGAAGAAGAAGAAGAAGAAGAAGAAGAGTTTGGATTTGATATCCCGCCTTTCACTCCCTTTAAGGAGTCTCAAAGCGGCTAACAGTCTCCTTTCCCTTCCTCCCCCACAACAAACACTCTGTGAGGTGAGTGGGGCTGAGAGACTTCAAAGAAGTGTGACTGGCCCAAGGTCACCCAGCAGCTGCATGTGGAGGAACGGAGACGCGAACCCGGTTCCCCAGATTACGAGACGACCGCTCTTAACCACTACACCACACTGGCTCATATAGCTGGTTCATTGTTTCAAAATGGATTACTAATGTCCTTTTGAATTTACAAGTGGAACGTGGCAAGTCTGAAAATGTTGGTGTTCTGATAAACCTGACTAGCTACTCCGCTAGTTTGACTTTTGGTCAAACAGGCAGAAGATTGCCCTCTGCAGCTTTAAAACAAGACTTGCAGGAGACTGGTTATCAGAATTAAAAGTTCTGGAATTTTAAAGTGTATATCTTGTTAAACCACTGATATAGCACCAACCTGACTGTTCCTGTAACCTGCAGTGGGTCATAAAATTCAAAATCCTTTATTGTGGATTTTATTAAGGTTTGTGTGATGGGATGATGAGCTGCTTGTGCGTAAAATCGTATCCCCTCAGAGTTTGTTCAAGTCCACAAACCTCTGTCTGTGACAGAGCCCCTCAGACATGGCTACTCTAGTCACTAGCAGATTCCGACAGTGGTTGCTTTCGTAATCGCTTCCAACATAAAAGCTCCTTAACGGAAACACGTCTTCTGGAATCTCTGCGTGACAGTTTCCGGCGAGGAGTGGGTGTTCTTACAGGAGGTCCTGAAACCTCTCCACTGTTTTCGCTGGAAGTGTCTCTGAGCCATCCCTCCAGCTCAGCTCCTCTCCCCTGCTGGTTCCCTCATCAGCTGCTGCGTCTCTCCCAACCTGTGTGAGCCCTTTCACCTCCCTGTTGGTTTCCTCTTCAGCTGCTGCGTCTCTCCCAACCTGTGTGAGCCCTTTCACCTCCCTTCCGTCCGATGGCAGTTCCCTGACATCCACCTCCCCTCCAGGACCCCCTTCACCCCTCTCGCCCCCTCCTCTACGGGCGGTGAGGAGGCAAAACCCGGAATGAACTTCCTTCATCTTCCGATGTCTCGAACACTTCTCTCAACCTGTTGCGGTTCCTGGTCTCGAAGTACACCTCCTCCTCAGAGTCCATCTCCCCTCCCCTTCCGAGTCCGGGAATCCTTCCAACTCCTCCCCTTCATCAGTGGTCCCAAAGTATTCCCTCCGGAACCTCTCTACAGGCTGAGGTTTCCTTGGGAACCTTTGATGGAACGTTTCTATCAATACCTCGTCATTGATATCTTCAGCCATTACCCAAGTGTTTTCTGACTCCGGTTCTCCTTCCCACGCTACCAAATACTCCACCTGATCCCCCTTCCACCTGGCGTCGAGGATTTCTGCCACATGGCTGCTGCATTCTCTTTCTTCTACGACCGGTCCCCGAGTGGCCAGCCCTTCTCGTCCCCCTTCGTACGGTGACAGTAACGACCTGTGAAATACTGGGTGCAGTTTCATGTGGTTGGGTAACCGGAGCCTGAAAGCCACTGGGTTGACCTGTTGAATGACCTCAAAGGGACCCAACCTCCTGGGTCTTAATTTCTTACAACCTCCTTTGAACGGCAACCCTTGGGTTGACAGCCACACCCTATCTCCCACCCTTATGGTTTCACCTTCCCTTCGGTTCTTGTCTGCCTGCCTCTTGTATTCTTCCTTCGCCCTTTCTAAGTTGAGTTGGAGCTGACGATGGATTGCTTCCATTTCTTCCACAAAATGCTCGGCTGCCGGGACGCTCCATCTCTCCCCCTCTCCCCTGGGAAAGCCCTGGGATGACACCCATAATTAGCCAAGAAGGGGCTCATCCCTGTGGACACATTCTCGGCATTGTTGTAGGCAAATTCCGCCAGCGCCAACTTTTCTACCCAGTCATTCTCTCTGTCATTGACATAACACCTCAGGTATTGCTGGAGGACACCGTTTGCTCTTTCCGCCTGCCCGTTGGTTTCAGGGTGCCGGGCAGTCGAAAAATTGACCTCCACCTGCAGTAAGCTCATGAGCTTCCTCCAGAACCTGGAAGTAAATTGTTTTCCTCGGTCTGAGACCACCCTCAATGGCACCCCGTGCAACCTAAAAATGTTTTCTACAAATAACTTCGCTGTCTCTTCCGCCGTGACTGCATGCGAGCAAGCTACAAAGTGGCACATCTTTGTTAGTAGGTCTACCACTACCATGATGGCTGTTTTCCTTTGGACTTCGGCAGATCAGTCATAAAATCTATCGACACTGCCTCCCAAGGTCGTTCTGGGGTTGGTAAGGGTTCTAATAGCCCCGCCGGCGCCCGCCTTTCCCCTTTGGCTCGCTGGCATTGCTCGCACCCTCTTACATACTCACGTACATCTTCCCTCACCTTAGGCCACCAAAATTCCCTGGTGACCAACCACATGGTTTTGTGTTGTCCAAAATGCCCCGCCGTAGGGCTGTCGTGCAACTGCTTGAGTACCCTCCCCTTAACTCTCCTTCAGGGATATACAGTGCCCCTTTGTAATACAAAGCTCCATTTCTTTCCTCGAAACCCCTGGTTCCTCTCCATCACCCCTAAGACCTCTGAGCTTATTCTGGGCGTATTCATCATTCTCTGTTTCCTCTACCAGTTCTCTTTGTCCCACCAATGCCGCCCCACACACCCAGCGGTCTTCTGGAATGACATGTCTCTCTTCGGGTGCCCCTCCCCTCCAAATATTCAGGTTTGCGTGAGAGAGCGTCCGCCCTAATGTTCTCTGGGCCTGGCACGTAACTAATCTCAAAGTTAAATTTGGAGAACTCCTGGGCCCATCTCACTTGCCGTTGGTTGAGCACTCGTGCCGTCCTCCAATACTCTAGGTTCTTGTGGTCAGTGCACACTTGCACCTTATGTTGTGCGCCAATTAGCAGGTGCCTCCATCTCCGGAACGCCTCATGAATGGCTAGTAGTTCTCGGTCATACACCGTGTAGTTCCTCTCGGATTTGTTCAGCTTTCGCGAAAAAAGGCACACGGTCTCCACTCTGACCCCTTCTTGCCTGGCTGCAGAAGCACCGCCCCAATCGCTCTGTCTGATGCGTCAGTTTCCACTCTCATCGGTTTTTGTAAATCCACATGCAGGAGTTGTTGTTCCGAGGCGAAGGCCCTTTTAGTTCCTCAAATGCTCGCTCCGCCTCCTCAGTCCACACGAACTTCTTCTTACTGCTGAGACAGTCCGTAATGGGCGCCGTCAGGTGGGCAAAGTTTCGGATGAACTTACGATAGAAGTTCCCAAATCCTAGGAACCTCTGCACATCCTTCTTTGTTTTGGGTGCTTTCCATTCCAGCACAGCCTGGACCTTGCCGGGATCCATGGCCAATCCCTTGTCTGACAGGCGATACCCCAGGAATTCCACCTCCTTGGTATGAAACTGACACTTCTCCAGTTTCACCCACAGCTGGTTGGCTTGCAGCCTGCTCAACACTTCTCTGACGTCTCTCACATGCTGCTCCTCATTCTCAGAATACACCAACACGTCGTCTAAAAAGGCCACACAATTCTTGTAAAGCAAAGGCCCCAGGACGTGGTTCATAAACGATTGAAAGGTTGCGGAGCCTGCTTGGAGGCCGAAGGGCATAACCAAATATTCAAATGCCCCTAAAGGGGTGAACATAGTGGTTTTCCATTCATCGCACTTCATTATTCGTTCGAGGTTGTAGGCCCCCCCTTAGGTCCAGCTTTGTAAAATCTTTCCCTTCCGCACCCTTGTCAAAATGTCGTCAATCCTGGGCATAGGGAAGGCTACTGGTTCTGACACTGCATTTAAGGCCCTGAAGTCACACACCAGCCTCGGCTTGTTCGTGTTTTTCTTATCCACAAAAACACTGGGCTGCCCCCACCGCCCTGGACTCTCTGATGAACCCTCTCTTCAGGTTCTTGTCAATGAACTCTCTTAACTCCTGCATCTCTCTGTCTGACATGGCGTACAGCTTGCCTACAGGGAGCTGTGCTCCAGGGAGTAAGTTGATTTGACAGTCAAAGGGTCTATGCGGGGTAGTTGGTCAGCTTCCCTTTCGCTGAAGACGTCACGGAGATCTGCATATTGTCGTGGTACCTTCACGTTCTCTGTTACTTCAGTCCCTGCTAGGGTGGCTTGGACCCCTGCCAAACCCTTTCCCTCTTTGCAGTGTTCTAAGCAATGTGCTGAACCAAAAGAAACCACTCTCTGATGCCAGCCCACCAGCGGATCATGTAACGCTAGCCAGCTCATCCCCAATATAATGGGAGCTCCTCCCAAGGTGGCCACATTAAAAGCTATCAGTTCGGTGTGCCTTGCTACCTTCATTATCATTGGGACGGTCTGCAAGCTGACTTCTCCACCCAACAGCTCCCTGCCATCGATCGTGGTCACCTGCAGGGGGCTGCTTAAAGGGATTGTCTGTATCTGGTGTTCAGCTGCAAACTCTTTGCTCATGAAATTGCAGGAGCTGCCTGAGTCCAACAGCGCCTTTATCTTTAGAGGGTGTCCGTTTGGCAGCTCTAGCGTCACTTCTATCACTAGGGCGGGTTTAGGAGGTTCTGGCGTGGGCACTCTCACTGCTCTTTGGCCTGGCTGCTGTGCCCTGACAGTGGCAGCCAGGCGTTGGCTTTTACTTGCTCCGGTATATTTTCCTCTCTTCCATCCACAGCGCCTACCATCCCTTGCCATTCTTTCCTCTGGGGGCAGACTCTGGCAAAGTGACCTGGCTGTTGGCAGAGATAGCATTTCCGGGCGCCTTTTCCCTCCTTCTTTGCCCCCTCACTGGGCTTTGAAACTGCGCGCGCGCGCTGTTCCGATTTCCATCGGCTCTGCCGGTGGGAAAGTTGGCTCTGGAATGTCTGGAATGCGGAACTCCTTCCAACGTTCCCCTTTCCCTTCCCGCCTCTCCAATGCTCTCGCCTCCTGGCGCGCTCCTATGGCCAGCGCTGATTTGGTCAGCTGGTCCATAGACTCCGCCCTGGGCGCCCGGGAAAGTTCGTCTTTCACAGCCGAAGAAAGCCCTTCTTCAAAGAGCATTTGAATGGGTTCCGCCGATAAGTCCCACCCCAATCTGTGAACAAGCATGGTGAACTCAGTCCAGTACTCACGGACAGATCGGCTCCCCTGTTTGCAACCCATTAACTGTCTGCGCACCACTCCCATTTCAATATCGCTGGAAAACATCAGATCCATGGCGCGAAAGAACTTCATCGTGTCTTTTAAGACGTCACTATTCGCTGCCATCAGGGGTCTAACCCAGTCTCTCGCCCCCTTTTCAAGATGCTCAATCACGAAAGCCACTCGTGATTCCTCGTCAGGGAATTCATCAAACTGCAGATTGAGGGCATATTGCATTTCTGTCCGAAAACCATGATAGTTTTGGGCTCCCCCAAACTTCTGCACCAATCCTGGTACCTTTCTGGCGAACTGGGTGGCTTTCCCCTTTTGTCTGCATCCTGAGCCCTCCTCTCCTCAAGCCTCGCCGTCTGCATCGCTAGCTGGACCTCCAACATCTGGTACCTTTCTTCCAGGCTTGGACCCGCTCCAGCTCCTGCTTCTCCGGTTCCGGCTGGGTTGCTCATGATACCTTCTCCTGCACAAGCTGCTTTCAAAGACTGTCGGAATGCTGAGATGGGATGATGAGCTGCTTGTGCGTAAAATCGTATCCCCTCAGAGTTTGTTCAAGTCCACAAACCTCTGTCTGTGACAGAGCCCCTCAGACATGGCTACTCTAGTCACTAGCAGATTCCGACAGTGGTTGCTTTCGTAATCGCTTCCAACATAAAAGCTCCTTAACGGAAACACGTCTTCTGGAATCTCTGCGTGACAGTTTCCGGCGAGGAGTGGGTGTTCTTACAGGAGGTCCTGAAACCTCTCCACTGTTTTCGCTGGAAGTGTCTCTGAGCCATCCCTCCAGCTCAGCTCCTCTCCCCCTGCTGGTTCCCTCATCAGCTGCTGCGTCTCTCCCAACCTGTGTGAGCCCTTTCACCTCCCTGTTGGTTTCCTCTTCAGCTGCTGCGTCTCTCCCAACCTGTGTGAGCCCTTTCACCTCCCTTCCGTCCGATGGCAGTTCCCTGACAGGTTTGGAATGTTCAGATTTTCTTAGGAAGTTTGACCTTTCTAGTGGCTTAGCTGTACGGGCATCCTGCATAGTATAACAATAAGTGGCTGAGCTGAGTCACTAAAAATACAATGTACAGTGGTACCTCTGGTTAAGTACTTAATTCGTTCTGGAGGTCCGTTCTTAACCTGAAACTGTTCTTAACCTGAAGCACCACTTTAGCTAATGGGGCCTCCTGCTGCCGCCGCGCCGCCAGAGCACGATTTCTGTTCTCATCCTGAAGCAAAGTTCTTAACCCAAGGTATTATTTCTGGGTTAGTGGAGTCTGTAACCTGAAGTGCATGTAACCTGAAGCGTATGTAACCCAAGGTACCACTGTACACACAGGAAATATATTGACCGTATAAAGTGTAAAACTACCCTTGTACTTGTTCCCTTCTCATCCCATGTAGGGAGTAGAATTATGGTATGTTTTTTACTATGTTATGCATTTGTGTTTTTGTGTTGTACACCGCCCCGTGATCTTCAGATTAAGGGCAAAATATAAATTTAATTCAGCAACACTTTTTCTTTTTAAAAAGACATTGGGGAAATACTGCATGTGTACACTTTTCAATGGCTGTATCTTTTGATTTGGGGTTTCATTTGGATGGTAGAAATGTGAAGCCTCTGATCCTCTAGCAAACTGGTGTTCTGGTTGGGTTTCAAAACTTCAGGAATTTGTCAAGGACTGGTTACACCCCTCTTTTCAAGCATGCAGTCTAAAGTAGTACAGTGGTACCTTGGGTTAAGAACTTAATTCGTTCCGGAGGTCCGTTCTTAACCTGGAACTGTTCTTAACCTGAAGCACCACTTTAGCTAATGGGGCCTTCTGCTGCCGCTGCATGATTTCTGTTCTCATCCTGAAGCAAAGTTCTTAACCTGAGGTACTATTTCTGGGTTAGCGGAGTCTGTACCCTGAAGCGTATGTAACCTGAAATGCCTGTAACCCAAGGTACCACTGTACATTTGAACCACCTTGTGATTGATATTTTAGAATTTCTTCTTCTTTCTAGAATGCATACATTTGCTAGAAGAGTACTGGTGAAAAAAATATAGTGGAATGGAATGCCTGTGCAGAGCTGCCACTAAGAACAAAGGGCAAGTCTTTGCATGCCTTACAGCTCCTGCACCTGAATGGGTCCAGTAAATTGGAACGAAGTGTCAGACTTTTAACACTGTTTCTTCATATAAATATTTTTTATCCTGTCATTCCAGTGTCCAGGCACCACTTAGGGAAGCTGGAAAGAAAGCTGAAATTGATTTGGATGTGGTGTGGGCTATGCACTCTAATTTTTAGCAGCTCCACTTGAATAAAATTATTGTCATTTTGAAAATGTCAAGAGACCAAGAGGTTGGATCAACCCTTTTATGCACATGGCTTATGTATTCCACCTTATCAAACATACAAATAACCTTGGTAAAAATAACAGCGCCGAAAAATAGAGACTAATGCCGTAGCTGGAGCAACCCCAGAGCTTTGTTGCCTTTCTGCAAAAGGTGTTGAATTCAAAATGAGGGGTGGAATTTTAAGCAGTTTTGCCACACACACACACACACACACACACACACACAATTAAACCTGACCTTTATTTGGCACACACTAGATAAAAGCATTTCTTTGAGCTATATATGTAGCTATTAATGTTCTGGGGCTTCTAGACGCTTGAGCTTAATTAGCCCCTCTTCCTAAAGATAATGAGACAAGACAATGGATGCAAAATGTTCCTTGGCAGCTGGGTAATGTACACACTTTCCCCATTATTGGTATGTTGAAAAATTCTTCACCATACTTTCAAACGCAGGAGAATGTTTAGGAGGGTTGCTTTAAAAAAACACCACACAAATCTGCAATCAAGAGGGGATAGACGTGCATCAGGATTCTTGGCAGACATTGGCATAAGAGAAAGTTTGAGAGAATAAAATGGCTTTGTAGATGACTATAATCTATCCAACCAAGATCTTGTCAGGGGTCAGCAAGGCTTACCTTGCCTGGGCTGGTTTATTACCGCAGAGCCCCCAATGTGGGCCAGATTGCGGGTGCGCATGAGCGCGCACACCTGCGATTTTCGGCGGCGCAGAAGCGAGTCCCTGTGCCACGCTGTGCCGGTTTAGTGCAGTGCACGGGGACTCGCCGAGTGGGCGGCTTGTGGGCCGGTAAAACGACCCCCATGGGCCTCTTGTCGCCCATGGGCCTTAGGTTGCAACCCCTGATCTACTGCAGTGGCATTAAACTGAAGTGTTTTGTGTAGACAGGCTGGACAGGCTGCCTTCATCCTTGTAAAGGTAAAGGTTAAGGGACCCCTGACCATTAGATCCAGTCGCAGACGACTCTGGGATTGTGGCGCTCATCTCACTTTATTGGCCGAGGGAGCCGGCGTACAGCTTCCGGGTCATGTGGCCAGCATGACTAAGCCGCTTCTGGCGAACCAGAGCAGCGCATGGAAGCGCCGTTTACCTTCCCACTGGAGCGGTTCCTATTTATCTACTTGCACTTTGACGTGCTTTCGAACTGCTAGGTTGGCAGGAGCAGGGACCGGGCAACGGGAGCTCACCCCGTCCCGGGGATTCAAACCACCGACCTTCTGATCGGCAAGTCCTAGGCTCTGTGGTTTAACCCACAGCGCCACCCGCGTCCCACCCTTCATCCTTGTATGCGCTGCTAAATAAGGTACAGTCATACTTTGGTTGTTGAACGCCCTCGTATGTTTTGGCTCCCGAATGCTGCACCCTAGAAGTGATTGTTCTGGTTTGCGAACATTCTTTGGGAACCCGAACGTCCAACGGGGCTTCTGCGGCTTCAGCTATGTCCTTGATTGGATGGGCTGCATCTCTTTTTGCCACTCAAGAGACTGGAGCCTGTAGTTTTGTTTTGGTTCCGTGCATAATAATATTTGTTAATTATTTTTCATGTGCAGGTGCAGTGTATCTTAGGAGAAATAGTTATTTGGCTTTACTGGCTTCTCTCTGCTACGAATCTGTTCACTTCTCTTCCTTCTAGGGTTATTTCTCTCAAAAGCTGGTAGTGCTTGCTATAGATTGAGCTTTCTTCTGTTTTGCTTGCTATTGAGCTTTCTTCTATTTCCTTAGCACGCCTTGCTTTCCTACTTCCTGTTTCATGTACTTTGTGCAGAGCCCAAATGAGCCTGCTCTTTTAGTTTCTCATTTTAGCTCAGTTTCCTTCAGGTCTCTTTCTTCTGCATGCAAGCTTTTTCATCTTTCTCATATCTTTTTTTTTTAAGAGTTACCTTTACCTTTTTTCTGCCTCCTATCGTATGTCCCTTCTCACTTCGTTTCTAAGGCTATTGCATGTGTAGTCTTTCAACCGTATGCCTGTGGTTTTTCCTCCACATCTGCCTTGGGTTTCATTCTAAAGAGATCCTTAGTTTTCTCAAGTTTATTGAAAACTACGGTTGGTCAACAGCTTGATAAAGATTTCTTTGTTACAAGGTGATTCCGGTGTTTGCGGCATTCCTGCATTTCCATAAATATGTTATTAGGGTGGATATGTGCACACCTCTAGGCAACACGTAATTTCCCTTCACTTGTTATTTGGCAGCTGAATATGTAAAGCAGCTTCCTGGGAAACCGTAAATGTTAGGTGGCAAATATTTTGTAGATGCAGTGTTTGATCTGCAGAGACTTTATCTACACATGAGACACTCCTCGTCCCTGCCTTTGTTTAAGGTGTATCCTGAGAAATCCAGTGTAGACTAAGAACGTGCACCATTTTGTTTCATTTTGTTTAGAACTACAGTCGTACTTTGTTTTTCGAACACTTTAGTTTTCGAATGTTTTGGCTCCTGAATGCAGTAAACCCGGAAGTGACTGTTCTGGTTTGTGAACTATTTTTGGAAGCCGAACGTCCGTCGGGGCTTTCGCGGCTTCTGATTGGCTGCAGGAGCTTCCTGCAGCCAATCAGAATCCGCGCTTTGGTTTCCGAACATTTTGGAAGTCGAACGGACTTCCGGAATGGATTCCGTTTGACCTCCAAGGTACTAGTCAGTGAGCCCAAACAGTTATTGGCTTTTCAAATGTCTACCTAGCTAGCCATTTTTGACTTTCTGTGGAAGAGTTCCCAGTTACTGACATTTTAATTTGTGCTTCCATTCTCAAAACAAATCATTTTAAAATGATTGTTGCAATTTTGGTTAAGTAAGTATGTGTCAAAATATTCTCAAGCAATAGCAGCACACCCCTTGTTTTTCTTTGCTAATGTAGTGATTGTCATTTAGGAAGCAAAAATGGGACAATATGTATCTTATCTGTAGCTTGATTAGAATCAGATTATTGTTTTCAGGATGCTACTAATTGTAGAGAGCTTTCATGAATGATCAGTTTCAAAATAATATGAATAACTTCGTTTCTGTAAATGCAATGGAAGTAATTGTGAGGCTGTGCAAAACGCTCGTCTAAATTCTTTGTGGAGGGAAATGTAAAGCTACCACCAACTCTAGTTGCATTTCTGTAACATTTCCCAACATTTAAACTTGTTTGCTTCTCTTCTCTCCCCCCCCCTTTTTTTTCTTTAAAGAGTCCCTGGGTGTGGAACACTCGGCTATGCTGGACTGGATACCCATATCAGGTAATGGGTATTGCATGGAAATGAGTATAAAATAGACCATGATGCTGTTAATCTGGATGGTGGACAGATGGAAGGGAAGGAGAAGTGGAGGAGAAGGAAAACACTCTTCTTTTTCTTCTCCACTCATTGCTGCTACTTCTTACACGCTGCCAATGAGGAGGGAAGATAAGGAGGAATGCTGGGGGGAGGGGGGCAAAGACAGGTGGGAGAAGCTACAGCTTCTGCTCTAGAAAGGCATTCAGGGCTTGTCATCATCATCATCATTTCCTCTTCCTTGGAGGCAGATTTTTCCAGTCCCTGTTTCTGAGCCTGGTTCTAAAGAACTTCACCAGCATCACTAATTAACAAGGCTTTAGGATAAAGCTATGAAACACTGAACTCTGCATTTTTTCAACTGAGGGGGCAAACTGGCAAACTGAGGGGGTGTCTGTGTGTGGAATGCAACAACATAAAGAGGACATGCCTGAAGAGAACCCTGAACAGAAGCATTAATGTTAAGAGGTGATGCCACAGTGGAACATTTTGTTGTAGGTTCCACTTGTGTAAGCAGATTATAGACTGAAAGGCAAACCATACTGAAAGGTATTGGAATGAACCCAACCTTTTAGGGTACAAAAAATAATCTGAACATGCAGGGTGGGAGAAGGGGCTTTCTATTATTTAAAAAAAATAAATGTTGGACAGTTTTCAAGGTACTGTAATGAGCATAGACGTTGGCACTTTATCCATTTGCAAGGGTGATGTGAAATACATTTGCTGCACAGCACAGCATTTAAATCCCCGTTAGCTGGTAGGGGACAAATTTGGGTTATCCAAATCATAAATAAATAAAACTCTGCTTCAGTGTCAGCACTAAGGCAAATACATCCCTTTAATTAGCACATTATGCGGAGAATAATTTATATAGAGGTTTTAAGGTGATGGCTGTTGAAATTAGAATCGGAAAGGACCCAAAGTCTGACTAGGCCAGCTGCTTTGGTGAAAGGTAGGTTCACCTACCCATTTCCCCACAGCGTGCCATAAATAGAAAACGACAAGTGTTGCACGTGCCAGCCAGCCACATAAGTCAAAGTTTCCAGCCAAAAAGGTTTGTGCAAAGCATTTGAATGCATACAGGAGGCCCTAATTTCCAGAATTAGGCAGAGTCACAGCTCTTCCCTTTATCAAAAAGGCTTGCCCTGCATCATATTCATAATACGTCAATGCTAGCCTGGTTCATGTGTCACATTAAATCATAGTTAAAATAAATTATGGGTGAATGTGAACGAGCGGCATACTACTGCAAACTCCTGAAATTGTGCTCATATTATTATCAAGTTTTTAATGTTTGGTGTTTTATTATGTTTTTATATGTGCTGGAAGCCGCCCAGAGTGGGGCGGGGTATTATTATTACGATTACGATTACGATTACTATTATTATGGACCGCCTTCATTCCTGCCGTGCTGGTGGGAAGCAAACTACAGTCTGGCTTTTTGTCATTCAAACCAGGGCTTTTGTGGTTTGTTTGGAGAAAAAAACACACCATAAGCCTTGGAGGAGGGAAGCCCTCACAATTTGATCAATGGGCATGCAGCTCATTCAGATTACGCAATAGTTTATTTCAGCTATGGTTTAGTGTTTGCAGACCAGGCCAGAACAAGGAAGCAATGTGAGCCGCGTAGAGGAAGAAAAGGATAAGTGTTGGTAAGGTGGTGTTTTTTCTCTCCGTAAGTTTTTTAATGCGGGACAGGAACTCGCTAGAAATCTTACCAGATAGGAAATATTCTATAAGTGGCCTGAGGTTGCCATTCAAGTGAGGATCTGAAGGTTTTTAACTTCTCTGTTTTAATCTCTTTATTTATATCCCCTTCTTTCAGCCGCTGATGCCTGAAATTCATTACTACTACATACTTCAGCTGTCGTACTATTGGTCCTTAATGTTTTCTCAGTTCATTGACATCAAAAGAAAGGTAAGAGCAATCTGTGGGTTTTAAGGAGCAACCGTTTTTAAAGAAGGCTGTGAAAGTACGCTTTGGTGAACGCTTGTACATTGAATTAGCAACAACCTGTTTCTAGCTGTGAACTCCTGTCAAAGTTAAATGCAGTGATGGCAGCGGTGGATAACAACTGCATTTTGGGGCAGCAACATTTCCTGACATTTGCAAACCAGCTTGAATGGTTTTTAACATCTCCAATGCTGTGTGGCAATATTGGCCACTGTTCATACAGGTAACTCCCCATATACGTGGGGGCCACTTTCCAAAGGCACCGCACATTTAAGTGACATTGTGTACATTTGAAACGACATTGGGAAAGCCTGCAAACATCCTCTAAACCCTGGAAACCCTTTACAAAACCAGCAGCACTCACCAGACTCCAAACTCCGTCTGGAGGGGCCGTGGGATTCAACTAACGAGTCCCATCAACTGAAAATGTTTTTGAATAAACAAACGTCACTGGTGCTTAGAGATGGTGGATGCACATCTGGAGAGCAGAAGAATAAGCATTTTCATCATCCATTTTATTAACTCAATTATCGAATGAATGTAGTTAATTCAAATAATTTGGGTTGGCTTCTGCTCAGTCACATAAATGCTCTGAGCAGTCAAAGCATTTAAGACAATTTATTAGATCATTGTGCAAACATACGGTGATTACAGAAACTACAGTTTACTAGCAAACTACAATCTGCTAGCAAACTCCAGCCTCTCCAAAAAGCTTTGGAAGAATTCTGTACCAGAACATATGGAGAGGGATTCAATATCACACTGTTCTGATCATGCCATCCCCCTGCTTCTCCCATGATGTGCTGTTTTAGGGGTTTCTGCCAACCTTCCAGTAGCCACTTTGGGGGAGCGTAGAGGGCATGCAGAGAGAAGAGGAAGGAAGATCCATTGTGCAAACAGAAGTCCTTTTCGCGGGAGATCCAGCTTCTTGGCCTTCTGGGCCAGTTTGGTAGCCAGAAGGAATATTCTTTGTAGAGGGGAAAGATGTGTTGGATCATGTCTGGCAATGGTGTGATCCTAGAATGAGAGTGAAATCTACCACAGAGATGTGCTTACCCTGCTCTTTGCCCTAATAGCAATAGCTAATAGCAATTCGTCCTATAGGGCGAAAAATACGGTAAATTCCAGTAGATTATCCCTGCCTGACTGAAGATTAATGAGCAATATCTGCAGTCCAGCATGTATTATCAGCTCAGCATTCCGCGAAAATAATGTGACTAGGTAGATGAACTTTTTTCACCAGTTCACAGTGGCACACTTTGCGTTTTGATGTATGCGCAAGAGTTGGGGGGTGCAGCGGTTGTTTTTATATTGTTTGTTTTACACATTCCTACATTGTATTTATGGAAGACAGAAACAGTCATGTGGGGAGTGTGGTCTCCTAAGAAGCTTATAGCTGCCCCAGAATGTCATTACTTTAACATCAGTCAAATTTATGTATGTGTTTGCTGAGTTTTGGTCAGATGACAGATGGTATTTTGAGAGAGAGAGAGAGAGAGAGAGAAAGATGCTGTTTTGAGGTCAGTTTAAAGGATTTTAGAAAATGGCTACCTCAATTAAATGGTTTATTTGCATTTTTGAGAGGGACGGAATGTGTTGGATTCATGTGAAATGCAGCCATGTAGTTTTAGCAAAGGCCCTGGCAGTTTCTAGATGTTACTATACTTGAAAATGCTGTGATCATATACATCACAAGGGAAGTCCTAGAAACAGATGCCCTCCTGCTGCTGCTAAGTTCTGCCTTGCTACTTCAAGTTACCAGCAAATAAAGAATTTTGGGGTGTTGGTATGGTATTAAACTACTTTGATCCTTTTACAACTTCAGGCTCTATCATAATTCTTCGAACTTCCACAAACATCAGCTTACATAGAAAAAAGCAGCATGTAAATATTGCAATATCACAATGAGCCTGTTGCTAGAATGGGCTGTATTTTACTCCCCCTTTGAAGTAAGACAGGCTTCAACCTTGTGCACCTTTGGTAGGATTCTAAAAAAAAAAATGTGGGCACTGTCAAATCTCTGTTCGGAAAACTGTTCTAATTTTTTTTTTTTTACTATTGTGCGCTACTGCGATATTTGAGTATGCTGGACAGTCTGTAAATATTTCAGTCCAAAAAACTAAACTGTAGAGCATCAGGACTCAGAAGGTGCTGTGTGAATTTCAGCCTAAAACCCCAGAGAGCGACTGCCATTCTTTGCAGACAATAGTAAGATAGATGGATTAATGGCCTAACTCTGCGCAAGGCCGTTTCCTGTGCCCCTGATAAGTTCCTGACTGCATTCTAATCTTCTCTCATAAAATATATGTGCAGAGTTTGTATATCTGGTATTTATTTCATTTTATATATCTGTAAGAATAAATGTTTAAAAAGCCAAATTAATTTGTGAACAAATGTTGTAACTCCGTTTATCTCTCCACCTCAGGACTTTAGCATCATGTTTACCCATCACATCATAGCAGTCATTTTGATAACCCTCTCCTACACAGTCAATTTCATCCGAGTGGGAGCCCTAACTTTGTGTCTTCATGATGTGGTGGACAGCGTGCTGGAGGTGAGAGTAAGAGAGAGAAATTTAGCCATAATAAATCTTCATGTCTTCAAAACATTTCTTCCAGAGCAAACAGCGTTTTAAAGTAGTAGGCTACAGCCCAGTGTTTCCCAGACTTGGGTCTCCAGCTGTTTTTGGACTACAACTCCCATCATCCCTAGCTAGCAAGAACAGCAGTCAGGGATGATGGAAATTGTAGTCTAAAAAACAGCTGGTGCTGGGGACCCAAATTTTGGAAACACTGCTAAAGCCCATGAAAGCTTCTAGCTGTTGAAATTTGTCTCAGAGGTGGCTCAGTGCTGCTTTTCTTAAGCACCGTGAGCACAGTGAAACATTCTTTTGAGTAAAATGCTTTCAGTTGGGCTGTACTTGTCAAACATGGCTATTCAGTGAGTTCTTGAAAAAAACCATATAGGATTTGGGAGTCCATAGAATCTCCACATTTTAACTGACTACGGCAATGCTTTTTCATACTATGTAGTTGCTGAATCATAGCAAAGGTCTATATAACTAGCATCACTTTTATTCTGGGAGACCTGGGTGTATATATAAAGCCTGTTGCAGACAAGGGTTATATTTCCCCTGAAAGGGCAGGTGCGCAGTGCAGAGACATTATTTGCGCCTTGGGTATACAGGCAGCAGTGAAGACTTCCTTTCATCAGCTTTGAATGATTTACCTGCTGTTGCCTCCTCTCTTGAAGACACACCTGGCCTCAGTTATTCGTGTCCTAGTTAGTCCAAAATGTGGCAGCCAGACTAGGGTTCAAAGATTGGAGCTTATTAGTCTAGCCATGTTCCTCATCTTCATTGTTGCCTGTTTGTTTCTGGGATCAATTTAAAGTGCTGGTTTTAGCCTTCAGAGCCCTTAAGGACTTGGGGCCAGGCTACCTCCAGAACTGCCTGTTCCCACATGAGCCTGCATGGCACTTAAGGTGAGCTGCAGAGCTCTTGCTTTCTGTCCCCTGTACACATGAGATGTGACAGGCAAGTCTATGGAATACCTAATCGCTTTTAATGTGAGTTCTCAAAAATCTGTTTCTGCTGTGTTCTGCAGCACAGTCCTATTCATGCCATGTTTGGTAAGAAGGTTATCTCATATTGCTTGATGGAATTTATTCCAATGTATATAGAATTGCACCCTTAACGTCTGTCTTTTTTATTGCTGCTTTTAGTATTGTTTGAATTTTTATTTGCCCTAGGTTTTTCTGATTTTTAAAAAACACACAGAAAAGAAGGCTAAAATGTTGGCTTTTGGGGTTTTTTTTTTAACTCTCCTGTACTGAGACCATGAGTAGTAAACCATGATTACCACTTTTGGTTGGTCTGGAGAGAGCTAAACTGCAAGCCTGTGTTTGGGTGGCTCATGAAGCCAAGCAATGACTTGGCTCAACAAAACAACCAGGGAGAACAAGGCAGCCATAATCTCCTCTCCCGGAACCTGCACAATTGTGTGATTACACTAAGCCATGGTTTGGCTTAGTGTGATATGCAAATGAGGCCGCTGTGTGAAGCATCGTCAGTAGAAGAGGTAAGGGCACTAAAGAGTTCACACTGATATGCTATGCATCATTTGAATATTAATTGTCCGGTACTGTGTGCAATAATTATTTTAGACGTAACTTTATTAAGGAGATAACCCGTGTTCCTTCCTCGTTATAGGCAGCCAAAATGGCAAACTACTGCAAGTGTCAAAAGTTGTGTGATTTCCTCTTCCTCTCGTTTGCTGTCATTTTCATGATTACAAGGCTTGGATTGTATCCTTTATGGTGAGTAAATCTGCTGCTTCCATGGAACTACAGGGGTTTTAAGTCTGGTAGATAGAGCACATCCTGCCTCTAGGGCAGCATTTCCCAAGGTGGCCGATGCCGCCCCCTGGGGGATGCTGGAACAATCAAGGGGGAGGCGGTAGTAGCCTCAGGTGCAATGGAGCTCGTTGGATAAAAATAAGGGGGCAGTGGAAGCATAAAGAAAGAAGATAAGAAAATATTGGGAAGCCATTTGCACATGTTTCATCTGTTGTGGAATGATGCGTACTGGCAGGTCAGGCGTCGTTGGGTCTCCCTTGGATCCCACTTTCCCAGGCTTGGGTAAACCCTTTTTGGCTTCACCCAGGCTTGGAAACTGGGTCACAGTTTGCCTGCCTATTTACAACAGCATCTTTACTGTGTTGTGGGGCATAGGTAGAAACATAGATACATAAAAGAATGCAAATTTGTGACTACATCCTTCTGCTTGTTCACTTAAAGAAGGTGGATTTCAGGGAGGGCACTGAGTATCTCTCCCCCCCCCCCCCAAAAAAGGGAGTGTTAGGCCAAATGAGTTGGGGAACTGCCGCTCTAGGGCCTCTTGCCTGTCATTCTCAAAGGCTATGGTTGCTTTTCTTATGTACTGCTGCTTCTCATACCGAATTAGTTTGGCAGGACCACTAAAGAATCAGCTTATCTCATAGTGGAACCCACGGAATATGATATAATGTGATCTGAGTCTGTAGACAACTAAACTGTGCATTTCGTGTTGTGCACCATAAATAAAGTTCAAGTACAATAAGCCTGCAATTTACACATGGGGTCAGTTCCTGGGAACTACACACAAACACGTAATGCAAGGAAAACCTGTAAGAAGCCATTAAAAAATTTTTTTAACAACCCAGCATTGTCAAGGAGGGGGTCGCTTTCCCGAGTCCTCTCTCCAAGCTACTAATCAATCAATGCTGCCAACCATCCAGCCCAATCACATGCTCCCACTTTGGGGGCTATTTGTTACCACCTACAGCAATACTTCCTCACAGGATCACTCCTGCCGCTGTTGCCTCTTCAAACATCTCTCTCTGAGGTGTCCGTAATCCCATAGTGTCATCCAGGGTATGTTTTATGGAGAGATCGTAGTCATAAATTGTCAGGCGCTGATGTGGTTGCTCGAGAGCAAACAGGCAAGACTCCAACCTGCCTTTTCCAGGCTTTATTCTTAGTGCAAACTATTTACAGTGAAGAGCGTCGTAAGTTCATGTCCGGCTCAATCGCTAGCAGAATCTGGGAGTGGGCAGTCCTTGTACCCCCCCCCCCAGCATAACAGTCGCGTGACCCCCAGCCTTCTCCTCCCCTCCTTGCACCGAAACCTACTGTGCAGAGTGGGCGCTGGCAAAAGGGTACTTCCCCCCTCTCCGGTTTGCTCAGCCTCGGCGTTGAGGCTCTCCCTAGCATCCACTGGTCCCACCACCTCCTCTCCACTGGAGGTGGGGTTTTCCTCCTCGCCGGAGGAGGAGCTGCTTCGCAAGATTCTTGGAGGTTCCCTATAACACAACTGCCCTTTCGCCTCTGAGCTGATGGCAGTTCCCTGACATAAATCATATTGTTCATGTGCTTAATTGCACGGAAGAGTTCGGAATATTTTTACAGGTCCCTGCTTGCTGCCTCGTGCTCAACATCACCATCTTATTTACTGTCGCTTTCTGCGCATGATTTCACCAGCTCCTCAAGCTCTTCATCTGTCAGTGTTTGTGCAGGATCCTCAGTTAACTCTTCCGCTCTTCCTGGAGAAGGTCCCCAAAGCCCCTACAGGACAAACAAAATCGGGTTGAAACAACCCTGTTTTGATTAAGTCATCACAGTTGCATTGCTAATCCGGTCCATGTGAACAGAGCACCACAAAAGGTGGTTTGGGGGGCATTCAGCTGACCAGCTGGCTCTGCAGCAGCAGCATGGAACAATAGAGCACAAATTTCATGTAATCATTATCAATTCTGTGGCTTTGGCCTAGTTGAATGGTATCAGGAAGATGGATTTAATAAATAAGCCAGGAAATCTGTACAATAGTTACCTCCACTGCTTTTTGGTAGTGTTAGTTTATTCACGTGCATCCTTGCACATTTGCATGAATTTTAAAAAACCTTCTTTTAATGGTTTGGTAGGAAGATATTGCAAAAATCTGCTTGTTTACATATGACCTCCCCCTGTAGAGGCAGGTTTTCTTTTCTTTTTTTCCTTGTGCAATTCCAAAGGAGCTTCCTGCAGCCAATCGGAAGCGTCGCTTTGGTTTACGAACGTTTTGGAAGTCGAACAGACTTCCGGAATAGATTCCGTTCGACTTCCAAGGTACGACTGTACTAATTTTTAAAGAGTATGGGGAAACTAAGGAAGCACCATTAATTATTTTTCTGGGCTAAATTTAAGTAAGTCTAGTATCCAGTGTCTGGGGTGGTTTAAAAATGCATTTTAAATTAATGCAAAAAGATGGCTAAATATACCCCTTAGTTTTCAGCAGATAAGAATTAATAGAACCCTGTCCAATATGTGAAATTCAGAGGTGGTCATTACTTTAAATTTCTGTGGAGAATGCTAAAACAGAAGGCACCACCATTTTAATGATTAATGCTTCAAATTGTATACGTTGTGCAGTTGCTAAGGACGTTCCCATTTTGTCACCTCACCTTTCTCCTTTGTTTAAAAGCCATCTTTCTGGGAAATTCTCTTTTGGCTTGTTTAGGAATAAATACTGGCATATCAACCCAAAAGAAATTTTTATTGCAGGCTGTTATAATAGCCCCTGTGAGCAGGTTAGTGGCATATAAATTTTACAAATACCTATTCAGATGCATAGTCCAGCTGGATAATTAAGCTTAAACTAATTTATCTCATACTGAAAAATGATGAAAGGATGCATTTGTCAGTTAGCTTTCTTTTGTGGCATACATTTTGCAAGTACTTGTGTCAAATACTTTCAGACTTGCTGCAAGAACAGAGAAGTGAACCCGAAAGCCAGTGCGTGTGTGCGCTTTAGTTTTAGATTGCTGTAGTTGACTTAACACTTCTGCGTGTTTTTGCAGAAGAGAACAGAGAAATGTCATCAGTAATACGCAAGTGCACTGACCATTGAGAGCGAAGAATCCATAGCAATGTGCAGTTAATGGCTTGTGTAGTTACTGCAGCGGTAAAAGTTTAGTAAGTTTTCTTCTAGCTCAGTCAAGGAGTGCACAGATAACTTACGTAGGAAATGTTAAATACTTTAAGCTGGAAGACTCTTCGTGTTTTCCTATTGCTGTTTTCTAACTTTCATCAGCCACTCTCCATTCCCATTGTGGCATATTTGTGAGTCTGAATTATATTGGCCTGCCTCCTGCCCCCACCACTACTAGGCCATACTTCTGGACTGTCTAGCTCCATTGCTAACCTCATCCACACATGTGCAGGTGTATCCCTGTTTCAAGGCTATGAATGATGAACTCTTTTGTCTTAGCTAAGAGAAATAGGCAGGTCAGGAAAGGCTCTGCTCTCCAACTGATAATCTGCTTCTTCTCTGTCTAGTTGACAGTATGGATGTTTATGTGGGATTGTTTTAGTGATATTTTTGAAACCTGGTTTTTATACTTCAGAAGCCACTTGGAAGTCTGTTTTTTGCATTAAGCGGTGTATAAATTAAGTAATAATACTAACAGATTCTCATCAACTTAGAATGGAATAATGCCAACTTTTTCTAAATGCACAGGTTTTTTTATTGGAACTGGTCTTAACTCCTCTGTAGCCATAACAGGGTTCCTATAGGTCAGTATTTCCCAAGTCGTGAGTTGCAAACCACTTGGATTAGGACAATGGGAAACTGATTCAAATCCCTGCCAAGCCATGGGCTTTGTTAGATAACTGTGGTCAAGTCCTACCCTTCAATTTGTTTGTATACCACCCACTGTTACTTGATGTTTCTGCATTTCAGGTCCTAGCTACTTTCTCACATTTTTTGGGCTTCTTTGTTCTGTGAACTACCCAAGGAACATCCAAAAACCAGTAAATGAATACATTTTCCTCCCTCCAAATTAAGCACTGAGAAGATTCTTCAGAGCCTTTTGTCTGATTAACTTGAGTGTTGTTTTTTACCATGAGTCTCATTCTCCATCTTTCATCTGAAGTTATCTTGGCACCTTTACTTTAGTTGCCTCTGGCCTCAGTTGTCAACCATCCCAAGTGTGAGGCTTAAACCCAGCCATACTGATTATGTTAGTTTTCCACCACAAACTTTGCAGAACAGCACGGCATTCCAAGTTAATGTATGTCAGAGGATTCACTGACACAAGCCCAATGCCATATAGACAGTTGACGTTAACTTGCTAAACATGCCATCTAGTGGTTAAATTCAGTCTGCTACATCTGTGATTCAGCCAAGAGTCTTGTATATCAATAAATACCAATTTATTATGACATAAGCTTTCGTGGAATTATAAATCTATTGGTCTTTAAGATGCCACAAAGCTCTCTGTTATATTTGCTGCAAAAGCCCCTGTAGAAAATATTAATTCAGTGAGCTATCATCCATGTTAGTCCCCCCCCCCCTTTAGTCAAACTTACTAAATGTTTACTGCAGAACCTATGAGAGCCAGGTGTGTCTTTATCATTGAACAACAATGATTTATTACAAAAAAGATAAGCATTTCATTTTATATAGTGTATTTAAATTTCCTTTAAAACTAAGTAATCAAATGCTTATAACAGTATTAGTAGCATAGCTCAGGGTCATAACATGGATCAATTCATTATCACATGGATCAATCTAAGTGTCTTGGAGTGTCAGCAGCACTAGTAATCTTTGTCTAGCTACCTAAACTAGTTTCTGTTATGATTCAGTCAACTGGAATAATAGTCAAAAGCATCAAATCAGAGTGGTGGTTTATTCATTAGGTAAGAATGCAGAGTGGGGGTGGGAGAGAAGAATGTAATATGAAACACACACATTTCATTAACCAGTTCACCAATATATACATCTATGTCTCTCCCACCTCACAAAAAGTTGGAAGATTATAAAACAATAGGGTTGCTAGTAATCATTCATTTTTCTATTAGATAACTTGATATCAGTTGAGCCCTAGAATAGCTTGTACAATCTTCAATATGCTGATGTTCTGTTAATTATTGATTAGTCCATTTGGGGATTCAACGGGTCATATATCATTCACACCAAAATGAGATTACGGGAACTGATCAGTAGTACTTCAAGTCACATGATATGCTAGTGTTGATGCAGGGCTTTTAATATGCAGGAACCAGTCCAATGGAAACAGTACTGGTAAGCATTTTAGATGAATACATTAGTTCATCCAGATTGAATGTCCAGGGTTGATAATTCATAGGTGAAACAACGAATAAATAAGCAGAGATGGCTAAGGTGAGTGTCTTGTTTGGGAAGACTGCCTTGGAAGCCTCACCTTGAGTTCCATCATAGAAGAAAGGAGGAACATAAATAAAATACAATGGGAGTCACTGGGAAAGCAAAGCAATGTGTAGACTTGCCTCCCGTGAAACAGGGTTTCTCAAATTTCAGGGCTCATTTTGACCCATTGATGAGCTTATAAAGGTGTCATTGACACTGACCCAAATTCTTAGGAATGTAAATGTAATAAAGTCAAGAAATAATATGCAGTCAACACTTATCAGTCATTAGTAACCATTACTAGGAATCATAACATGTAAGGAGTAAGGAAGTAAAACGAGTGAAAATAATAGCATTCTAATGAGAATTACAGCTTTTAACAAGCATATGAATAAGTCGGGGCAGCAGGTGGGGTTGTAGCTCAATAAAAGCTTGAAGTTTTCCAGATGACAGCTTCCTTTTATATCTTTGTGGGAGGTGTTGGAATTATTACTTTGATGCTATAAAAATAATTGTTTAAAAAGTGAAACTCTGCACCTGTATACAGTTTCTTTTAGCAACGAAACAGCGTGGTCTGAGAGTACTGTTGTTTTGTGGAGGCATCTTATTAAATACAGAGGCTCCTCATTGGCAAAGGAAGCGCATGCCTTTTATTTCTGAAACTCATAGTTCCTAATTATTCCCCCCACCCCCCAGTCTCACAAACCTATTTTAAATCCCAGGCCCTTTTTGACCCCCTATTGACCCCAAGGTCTTTATTCACCTCATGCACAGTTCCACTGACCCCAGGAGGTCAGTATCAACCACTTTGGGAAGCCATGATGCAGGTGTATTGATTTTTAAGCATTCCAGACCTTGTTCATATTGGAGATCATTGATAATGTGGATGGGCTCGCTTGAGTGACCAGTTTTCATGCTCTGTTATTACATTCATAATGACTCCAGTAGGGGTGGGAAGCATTGTTGAGAAATGAACCATCTCTCTCTTGTTTTATATTGACTTGCCATTTTCTCTTTTCTCCAGGGTATTGAACACAGCAATATTTGAACTGCCCGAAGCAGTTGGTGGCTTTCCTTCCTTGACGATCTTTATCATTTTACTTCTGGTACTTCAAGTTCTCCACTGTTTTTGGTCCTATCTAATAGTAAAGGCAGCCTATAAAGCAATTTTGAAAGGCAAGGTAAGGAAAAAAAACAAAAACTGTCTTCTGCTTTCTAGTGTGTAATTTTTTCCCCAACTAGCACAGTTCCCTCAAGTCACTTGACTTTATCAATCTATGGCAAAAACTTGTCGCTCCCTTCCAGAAGACACATCAGGTCTTGAAACTGTATGTTTAATATTGACTGTCTGAGCATTCAGTTGAATTGAGCATGGGCTGCTGATTCAGGGCAGCTGTTCCACTTAGGCTTACCTTGGAACTTGTTTACTGTAACCAGAGAAGCTGTTTGCTATACTTCTCAAGGCCACAAACACATGATATTGGCAGGAAATTTGCATCTTCCACTTCAAATGTAAACTTGTCCGGAAGCTGCTATCAGTTCCAGTTCACTGGCAAACACATTTATATGATCTATGCACTTGCAAACATGGGTTTGCTTGCTTCCATACATTGCATTTTTTCTAAAGGGTTTCGTAAAGGTAAAGGGACCCCTGACCGTTAGGGTTGCAGCGCTCATCTCGCTTTACTGGCCGAGGGAGCCAACGTACAGCTTCCGGGTCATGTGGCCAGCATGTTTACCTTCCTGCTAGAGCAGTTCCTATTTATCTACTTGCACTTTGACGTGCTTTCGAACTGCTAGGTTGGCAGGAGCAGGGACTGAGCAACGGGAGCTCACCCTGTCGCGGGGATTTGAACTGCCGACCTTCCGATCGGCAAGCCCTAGGCTCTGTGGTTTAGACCACAGCACCAACCGCGTCCCTACCCATAGGTACACCTTAAAACTGCAATGTGCAAAGCAGCCCTGAGCTTTCACGCTAGGCCTCTGGAATTCAGAGCTTCCTCTGCAACCCCATAGTATTGCAGTGTAGTCTGTATAGACAGTAACAGGGTGCTACTATGTCAGAGAATGTGGCTTCTATGGAGTTGAGCCTTCAGTGATTCTGGTAGTTCTCTGTCTGTTCTCTCAGAACTGCATTTTGTTCTCTTCCGTCCTAGCAGAAGTCACTTGTTTAACACCAAACAATATGTGTCTTCTTTCTTAACCTTCTTAATTATTTTCTTTCTGCTGCCTTTGAAGGCTGGGAAGTGGAACCCTTTGCATGTAAGTTTCCCTGAGGGAAAATGAACACACATGCCACGCAAACATCATCATCATTATTATTATTGCATCTTCTCTCCTTGTTTCTTCAGTGGTTGTCTTTCTGCACAGCCACTCTGCTTAAAATGCACGCTGGTTGAGGGCTTCCAAGCCCAAAGGTATTGAGCATGTTCTCAGGAGTGAAAGAGAGATATGTATCAGTCACACTTCTTTGAAGTCTCTCAGCCCCACTCACCTCACAGAGTGTTTGTTGTGGGGGAGGAAGGGAAAGGAGATTGTTAGCCGCTTTGAGACTCCTGAAGGGGAGTGAAAGGCGGGATATCAAATCCACCTCCCTGCACCTCCACTTCCTTTCTCTACCTCCTCACATCCTGCTTCCAAGACCAGAAGTGAGCTGGGCTGGAAGAAGAAAGGCTTGAACTGATAGCGTACAGGGAGATAAGATGGGTGCGGGGGGGAGGTGATTTAGGTTCCCTCCCCCTTTTTCACACCCGTTTTTTTTTGTTTTGTTTTTGCAGGCGAAGGATGACCGAAGTGACATTGAGTCTAGTTCAGACGAAGAGCCCACCACAGCTCCTCATTCAAAGACCTCCCACAGCTCAGCCACCACCAATGGGACGAGCGGAACAAACGGAACAAACGGGTATCTCACTGGGGGCAACTCCGCAGAGGAACACTAATCCCTGGATTAAACACGGATACACGAACAAGACGAACTGTTTGCTACTGGAAGTCAATCGGTTGTGAATGCTGGGTTTTGTTTTTCGTTTCGTTTTGTCTTTTCTTCCTTCCCTTATTCCTTTTGTTTCTCAACATCAGAGAAAAACAAAACACATGGAGTATTTAAAGCTTCTGATAGCGTACTGCTGTGTTTCCTGTTTGTGAATGACAGCGCCACACCATGTTCTTTATGTAGGCATGCTGCATGTATATAGATATATATACATGACCAGATGGGAGCAGTACTTTCTTCTGTAGGCTTTGATGATTATTTATTTTAGATCTTATTTGGGGGTGACTTGTGGATGAAAGGGAGCAAGATTCTCTTTCAGACTTCACATCAGGGCCAGGGACTGCCAAGTTTTAAGGTACGTTTCCGTGCTTCATTTCTCTAGCCCGGTATCTAGCATTACGACAAAACTTTATAAAAGTTCCTCTTTAGTTCTAGGTTGATTTTGTTTTAATTTGCTGTTTTTGTGCTGAAGGATGCTGACTTTAGAAACTCCCACTACAAACACAGTGGTCACTCCCCTCACCCTAGAGAGGAGTTAAAAAATGGTGCATTAGTATTTCTAAACCGCCTGTAATGGAGCCAGTCCATATGAAACTGTAGTTATTGTAAGATGGGATTTTAGCTGTCTTTTACAAGATTGGTGGCAAATTAGATCAGAGCTCACTGTTTGTGCAAATGCCCAAACTGTTTACATCAGGTAAGAACAACTCAAGTCTTACAGATGAGTCCTGCCTTGCAGTTTTAACCTCCAGTTTGATTTTTAAAAATTTCTGGAGATGCCTTTTGTTTAGTTTCAGAAGAAAGATGCTTACTTGAGTGCATAGTCATGTATACAAAAGTTGGACTTGGATCATATTTAGAACCAGCATCAAGAAGAATAGAGGCAGAAAAGAATTGCTTACTGGGAGTAAAGTAGATACAAGACATTGGGAAGATATCTGCATGGTGCATTGGCAGCCTGTGTCTGGACTGTACCACTGCATACAGCAATTGGGGACTAAGTTGACTGAATACTTTTGCCATACAAATATATTCCATGTGCATAGAAACTAGAAGTCATGGGATAGGTTGAGGATGTTCAAGCTTAAAGCCGTTCTCCTGTCAGTCAGGGAATTGTTTTATATCACGTTGCATTAAATCACGTGTGCCACCCCTTTTGCACTGAAGTGGTACAGTCCAGACACAGTTCTACTTCCTCGCATACTTCTTGTGAAAATTAGGCCTTATTGCTCAGATGGGAAACCTGTTGCTCTCTGAATATCGTTGGACATCATCCCTGACCTTTGCCAGCTCTGGCTGGGGCCGATGGAGTCCAACAACATCTAGAGGTTTTCCATCCCTGTTCTACTGCCTGAGGTTTCTTTTAAGTGCCTGCTAGAAAGCTTTTGCCCACACTTAAAATAAATATTAGGCAGTTCATTCGGGATTCAACGAGGACACAGTCCATCAACCCTTGTAAGTAACCCTGCTTGGTATGAGGTTGTGTTCTTGGTAGATTGTGTGGCCAGGTGGCTCTGATTTTAAGAGAAGAGAGTGCCCTGGTTCTTCCCACTTCCTCAACTTACTTGTGAGAGGACAGTTTACTTAATACTGGTCCTGTGCCACACCACAGAAGAGTCCCCAAGGGAACTTGGATGGTTGTACGAGTCTCATAGCAGTCTTTTCTCTCTTTCTTAGCCCACAACACTTGCAACTATTGGCGCCATTGAGCGCAACCCAGGAACATGGAAAACTGATGGCTAGATGTACCCCAGTGTGAATCAGCAACAAGCATCCAAGGCTCTTTTTAATTACTAGAGAAATACAGCTGGCAGTGATTGTAAGCCTGTTGATTTCCTGCTAAAGATTTACCTGTAGCTATTGATATGTTCTTAAAGGAAATCAGCAGGAATAACAAGAGTTAGATCCTTCCCCCCACTCTTCATCTCCCTGCAGTAGAGGTTTCCTTGTTTTCCATAAGATCCTTAGATAAAGCGACCTTTCTTTCACATTATTTCTGTGCTTAGTAAAGCCAGTTTCGGCAAAGAAGACAACTTCTCTTTTCTGTGTGCCATTTTTGTTTTCTGTTGGTGTTGGGCACAGAGGTAACATGTATGCCAAAGAACTACATGCAGGGAAAGATGGAAAGAAGCAATAAGCAATTGCTTGGAATCATAAGAGCCCTGTCTCCCATCAGAAATTATTTTGAGCCATAAATCCTTTTTGCACATCTCCTGCAACCAAATCACCCTTAACATTTGCTCAAGCCATACAGTATTTATTATACTCTGGCTTTATTCCATACATGAGAGAATGGAAAGGTGATTCTTCTTTGCAGAGGAAAGGTTATTTTTCATCACAATTCATGCGGCCATTTTTTAAGCCAACCCAACAGAACATGTTTTTGGTTGATAGCTGTTCCCTAGTGGGTTGAGGTGTGCTGGATTGGTCTCGTGAATCTTGACGCAACAAGTTAGATTCCATATCTGTGTTATGTTCATTCATGTTGTGTGTGTTGATATTTCAACAGTGTCACTTCAGCCCATCAGGGCCCAGTGGAAAAATCAGTTTCTCTGCAAAATACAAAAAAAAAAAGGTTATGCGACATGTGCCAACATGCAAAACACAAATTAAGGGTGCCCATAAAGTGAATGTAGTAAAAGTAACTCGAGAGCTGAAGAACAGGAAGTATATTAGAGTGGAGGGATATAAAACAATATCAGAACCGCTATGGATATTGGATATTAGTTGCCACTAGAATCTCTCTTTCCATGCTGTCATTTAAGAGTCATTGTGGGTTGGCTCTAAAGTTTCTCATAACTAATAATCCGGTGCATCTCAGTTTTGAGTCCTCTATGCAGCATAGAACTTGAATAAAGAGAATCTGCATGGGCACTGGATGTGAAGCGCTGACATAGTAAGGCAAAATAGTTTATATTCAGTTTTTTGGTTAGTTTTACAACAAACACAGATTGGGAGTCTGGGACTTTCAAAATGCTCTATGGCATTGCTTAGGCAGGAGTTTTGGACAGATGTCTGGTTTTCCCAGAATGTGGAAGCATTGCTTTTGGAGGGAATGTAGAACCAACAGCTGCCATCATTAGCTTCTATAAACTCACACTGTTGTGGTGAAATGCACGGTAATCAGGTTAAGGGGAGGAAAGCTCCTGAACCTTGCCTCAGGCAACCAGGAAACTGTTACAAAGCACGCTGTGAAGTTAGCTGGGTTACAAAATGGCTTCATTACGGCTCAATCTTAAACACCAAGGATATAGACGCTTTGATGCTGTCGATGCAAAGAGGGCTTCCCCATTCACTTAAATGGATTGAAATTAGGGAGAATACGCTTTGTAGGCCCGTAAGTTCAATGTGAGCCTCTCACTATGGCGTATGCCAAGTGCCACTGGATCCAGGAAGAAAGAAAACATGTAATCAATCACAGGAAGCCCTTCTAGAAACAAACCGGTATTCAGTTTCCTGGATTAGTATTATCAAAATTATCTTGTGTAAACAAGCTCTTGTTAGGAAAAAAAAAAAAGCTCTTTGGTTTGGTCTCTTTTAGCAGTAGAGTAAAAGATGCAGTGACCGAAATGTGTAGCGTAGCGACAAAAATGAAGAAAAAACGGTGTGTGGAAGTTAGTAGCCATTAGCTAGACTGAACTTTTTTATTAGCCAGCTCTTGGGGTAGTGGAGTAAGATCTATTGTTGTGTGCATTTCCTCAGTTAAGTATTGGCATGGAACACACTTTTTAAAAAAACAAAAACAAAAAAGTGTGTTTTTATGTATATTTTTAAAGTGGGACAAATGAGTCTGAAGACCAGGTATCTTCAACATATATATCCACTTGAGGATGGAAGTGTGGGGTTTAATTTGCACTCTCCATGCCGACTGTAGAGTGCCAGATTTTTAAAATGCCAAAAAGAAATATACACGTATGCTCGTTGCCATTTTTGAATTTGTTCAACACATGACTTCATTTCTTGTGCAGTTACTTTCCATTCTCCCACCCACCCACCCACCCCTTTGTGTATGTTTATATCCGAGGCCTGGTTCACAGAAGACCCAGCATGTAGGCCCCAAATCTGGCAGGATGCGGGTTCGGCCTGGGATTCACTCATGCTTTCCCTCCCTCTGCGTGCAGAACCTTGAATGTGATCTTGGGCCTGTGCGCATTATCTGTGCATCCTTTTTTTTTGGCTGCACACTTCAGTGGGGTTTGCATAGATGCCGGCATGTCTAAACCCTAGCTCCTATACCAAGAATTGCCAAGAGTGGTATCTTTGAGATGCTTCAGGACTACATTTCCCATCATCCCTGATGACTGGCCGTGCTGGGCTGAAGGGAACAGGGAATGCAGCAACATCTGTAGGGCAACATGCCAGCTATCCCTGCTGTATACAAGGGAGAGAAAGGAACATGAGTCCCAAGCTCACCCCCTGTACCCTGCCACTTCCATGGTCTACGTGCCAGTACCCTCTGTGAACCAGCCCAGAGTTTGTTTATGGGGGAGATATTGCAGATGGGTTGCTAAACGAGAGGAAACGGTGTGCAAAGAAATCTTAGCTTCCCTTAGGAAGCATTTGCACGGCACATTCTCCCCCTTTCCTGCTGTCATTCAGTGAAGCTGTTTTCTTCCTTAACAGCTGGCATGTTGTAACTTGCAAGGAACTAATGAGCATATAAACCCTGAAAGCCTAGCTTTGGGACTGTAGGGAAAGGAGGGTAATTGCCAATCTTCACACATAATCAAAAAAGTGACAATATCAAGCCATGGAGTGATCATGGGGGTTCTTTTATCAATTAATGCACCTTTCCTTTCAAGTCATTCTGCTACTGGAACCGAGCGTGTTGCAACAAACAAATAAAATTATTGTGTGTGCCTGCGTGCGTGCGTGCATAGGTGTGAGCGTGCTGTATTTTGCAATAAACTATGGGCAGATAGTTGTGTAACCCAATGCCAGCTTGTTTTGAATGTCTTTACATTGTACATATGAAGGCATAGGTTACACGGTATTCTGGTGGTTCAGGTCGACGTTCTTCTTCTGCCATTCCCTTTTGCAGTGTATGGTAGAGGGTTCTGAATATAGGGCTATACAAGTCCATATTTCTCATCTCCCCAAACTCATACACTATTAATTTTGGCTTTCTGTAATTCTCACAAATGAGAAGAAGATGGGATTTCTTTATTTGCTCCCTCCTCCCAATTGTTTTTTTTTTATTTTTGTTTAAAGGCTTTCTGGTGTTATATTTCCTCCTGTATTCATTACTGAATCCTCTTGTCAAATAATAAAATTACAACAGTTCTGTAGGCCACTGTGAGAATGACCAAAATACTCAAAACCCACAGTGTTTAATAAATGGAGTTGCCTTGAAATCACAAATCAAAACTTCAAAAATCCTCTGATTGCACTTAGGCATGACTTGAGTGTGATTTGGTTTGTTTGGATTCTACTGGGACGTTGCTAAAAACTGCCCATATTTTTTAGCTTCTCCTTTTAAAAATAGTTCTCTTGGTATTTATTTGTTTATTTATTGAAAAGTTACTTAGCACATTTTTCCTTACAAGGAAGTTCCAGTTGTAATGACAGAGAAACTGAAGCAACTGATCTACTTGTATAAAGTTATACACTTAGGAAATAGCCTCCACTTACTTTAATGGAGGGCAGGAGGCGGTACGTGTATTTTGATAGTATTTATTTTGGCCTTAATTTTAGCCTAGGGCTTTAGTGATGTGTAGGTTGACTAGGACCACTGGTAATGAGAATCATCTCAAAGAAGAACGGTACACGCTGGTTTGATACACAAGAGGGTGTTTTTCTATCTCCCTGCAAATTTCTAAATACTGAAAACAGTAGCCACATTTGTGTGCTCTGCATGGTTGTTACTTTCAGCAGGTCAGGTCAGGACAAAATGGTGCAATTTTCCACCTGTGTTTTCAAGACAATCCAACAGTTTGAGGAACTCTTTGAACTATAACTTACTGGTATATTTCACTGTCAGAAATACAGCACTGTGTTTTAGCCTTGGATTTTGCTTCTGGGTTTCTTTTCTTTCCCCCCCTTTTAAATATGAAAAATTAAAATTCTTCCTGGAATATTTGGATCCAATCAATATTGTGAATTTTGATTTGAAAACACTTTCATAATAAACACTAAAGTATTAGGCCTCTTTACTTGCCTTCTTTGCAGTGTGTGTGCATAGCCTTATACTACTTGTCTGTTTACATCTCCCCATTGTCTACTCCGACGGGAAGTTGCTCTCCGGCATCTAAGGCCAAAGCTTTTCACATCCCCTGCTTCCTGAGACCCTGGAGATGCCAGGAACTGAACATGGAACAGCAGGTCCTCTTTCGCTTGTCACTCATGGTTGTCACCTGGTAAGAACAGGGCTGCTGCCGCCGCCACTTCCCACTCCTCTCTGACCTCCTTTTTTCTCCCCCACTGCCTTCAGTGCACCAGGGCGTCCCCAGGCTGCCTCCTGTCGCTTCAGGTCGTGGTGGTGGAGGCGGCAGCAGTGGCAGAAAAGCTATTTTCTCGCTTTTTGTCTCGGGCAGCAAAAATGTCTTGGCCCTGATTCTCCCTCTGTGGCAATCTAGGTTTCTCCTATGAGAGCAGGCACTGTTGCAGACACTCTTCCCCTTAAATCCACCCGTGGCTGGAACTTGTGTGATTCTTGCACCCATTCTGCAGAAAGGCGAAACTGATCTTTTGTTTTGGCAGGGTGAGAAGCTTTGGAGCTGGAGGGAGAGACTTTGACCTAATGTTCAAGAAACAAGAGAAAAAGCCCCCCAAAAAAAAAAGTTGATAGCACCCTTCTCTCAACACACTTAGAGAGTCCCCACCCAAAAAACCCCCTCATTCCCTTTGATCCACACAACAGGTGTACAAGGTAGTTCAGCCTAAGATAGGCAGCTGGCCCTAGGTCAACTATGTCCTATTCGTGCAGTTATAGGGTTGCCATATTTCTATAAGTAAAATTCAGGACACAAAATTTGTTAAGCTTTTTTTGGGAAATGGAACACAATGTTGTTGGGCTTCACTTGGAAATTCCAGATGTATGACAACCCTAACAATGTGGTACAGATGACCAGTCAAACCCAAGTAGCAAAACATTTGCTAAAAGTTAAGCCTGGTTTATTATTAATTAATTCATTAAGAATTTCAAAACATTTTGTAAATGCATTAACAGAAAAACAAGGCAAGGGTCCATAACAGTTGTTGGTCACCTTGCTGTACGCGATTGTTTGAGGGGCTCTGGATCTTGTTTGCATTACCAGGAAGTAGCTGGGATGAAATCAGCTGCAGGGTTAGTCCCTTAATTAGCTGCTTGGCTGACACACCGGCTTGATTGCCATGGAACTTCCAGCCTCCTAGAATTCCAAGTGGACAAGTTAGGGCAGAGGCAGAAATACGAGAACAGAATCTGGCAGTTCAGAATGAAGAACCCACTGGAAGGCTGCACAGTGAGTAACCTCTTATTTCATTCATAGCCCACCCCCTTCTCTCTCTCAGCTTAGTATATGTGGGGCTGGGGGGCCACAATGAAATCATTCACAGCCACTGAAGAATACCTGGCTGGTGGTCTACATCGGAGAGAGGGACTGATTTTTCTGCCTGCCCTTGAGCTGTGACATTGATCTTCCAAAGTGCTTTGCTGGCAATGCGACACGCATACACCCCAATTGCTTCTTCAAGATTCCTCTTCCCAGCCTCGCGGATGTGGCACTGGCTTTCTGGACAGAGGCTTAGCAAAGCTCGAGGAGTAGCCAAGGATGCTGGACTGACCTCACTGAGTTTCGAAGGTGGCAGGAGTCTCGTCGTATCCTGGTCAGAAACTGGAAGGCAGAGAGAGCTGCTGGGTGGGGTTAAGTTGCTGTTTCTGCTATTTTGCAGCAGGGCAGTTTTATATATTGGTTGTTGCATTCCCACCCTGCCCTGGGAGAGGATTGTGGGCATGTGATGTTGCCAGAGCCACAACTCCCCCACCCCAGCACACCTCTTGCAAAGCTAGGCAGCTTGTTGTTTTCAAAGGACCAGATTTGGCCCCAAGGCCTCCTGTTGCTGATTATCTCTACTCAAATGTTAGGCTTAAGCCATATATGTGATGCCTGATCATTTGAATGGTTTCCTTGAGTTTGGTTCGGAAGCTGTAACGTAGATTGGAACAGAGAAGCGGGCCAAGTAACACACACTTCCCTGAAGCAAGTTTAAATCATCCTTTGGTTGTGAATCTTGCTGAGTTACCTTGAGCCAGTCATTAATTTGCAGGGCTGATGTGAGGATAAAACGGGGGCGTTTCTTAGAGGAAAAGCCAGTTTGAAGGGAAAGGTAGATAAATACAGTGGTACCTCGCAAGACGAATGCCTCGCAAGACAAAAAACTCGCTAGACGAAAGGGCTTTTTGTTTTTTGAGCTGCTTCGCAAGATGATTTCCCCTATGGGCTTGCTTCGCAAGACGGAAACGTCTTGCAAGTTTGTTTCCTTTTTCTTAACACCGTTAATACAGTTGCAACTTGACTTCGAGGAGCAACTCATAGAATGCGGTGTGGTAGCCTTTTTTGAGGTTTTTAAAGACTTTGGTGATTTTTGAAGCTTTTCCAAAACTTTCCCACACCGTGCTTCGCAAGACGAAAAAAATCGCAAGACGACAAAACTCGCGGAACGAATTAATTTTGTCTTGCGAGGCACCACTGTATGCAACAGAAAACTGGGGAGAACTTAGAAGAGGTATGTATCCAAAGATGGATGTCAGAAGCTGAGAAAGAAGAATAATAGAATTGTTGAGTTGGAAGGGACCCCAAGGGCCATCTAGTCCAACCCCTCTGCAATGCAGGAGTCTTTTTGCCTAACATGGGGCTCGAACCCACAACCCTGAGAATCAGAGGCCCTATGCTCCATCAACGTGAGTTATCAAAAATAAAGACATAAAGTCAATTGAAATTGTCTCCTCTGAACTGTCTAGGGAGACACAGGGATATAGACAAGATATATAACTGTAAGTTCAGGGTTGCAATCGTAAACACACTTTCTTGGGAGTGAGCCCCACTGGAACGCAATGGGATCTGCTCCTGACTAAACAGAAGATTGAGGGGAGGAAAACTGCGCAGAGAGGATGGTTTTGATCAGGAACACAGCATGCAATTAGAGAGAGGAGCAGTGGCATAGTGTGGGTTGCCTGAGCCCGGGGCCATGCTGAGGGGGTGGGTGGGAAGGAGGGAAACAGACAGAGTATGCATGCACATTCAACTGCCCAACGGCATCAACATCACCTGGGAGATCTCAGCTGCAGAGCTAAGAAGAGTTGATCCGTTGTCTGGAGCCCAGGAATGGAAGCTCTATTGAGGCAGCACTGGGTGTTGAAATTTGGCACCCTTAACAATTTTGCACCTGGGGCAACTGCCCCGGTGCCCCCCATTCTACACCACTGGAGAGGAGCACAATTCCCCACTGCAGCCAGTCCCGCCTCCAAGAGCTGCACTTCCGTACAGCTGCATTCAAAAACAAACCAGCTAACTGCACACCACCCTGGGGATAATGTTCACGTGGCCACTGGATGCCTTGCGCATGTTGATCCTTCACAATCTACCAAGGATTCGAGCAAGCATTTTGTTTCCTTTGCCTCTGTTAAGAGATGGCAGGACCGCTTGCAGTTCCAGGCTTGCTGTGCATCCATTATGTGTGTGCGCGTGGGGGAAATTGCTCCAAGTGCTGCTGTTTTGTTGTTTTGTACAGCTCAGCTTCGTCAGTGAGTGCCGATGCCTTGCAAAGATTTAACATCCGATATAAAATATTAATACTGTATGGCTGCTGCTTCTAGCAAGCTGCATCTTGCACAGCAGGAGAACTGGGAGCCAGCCAGCAGAAGTTTCTGCTGCAGAATCTGCTTCTTTGGATTTGACATTTTTATTTTAAAAAATCTCTAGAAAAGAGAAATGTTACCATAATGCCTAGTAATCAATTGCAGGGTAAACATCCCTTGTTGTAGGCTATTACCAGCATGACAATTGTAACTAATGAAAGCAATAATAATATTTTATAGCAGGCATTAGCTCTGTCTTTGGTCACTTTGGGAGGAAAGGCATGATGCAGTATTTCTCATAGCTATACTAAAATTAATATAGGGTGGTGGTCAACAAACTATGCGCTGGCACACTGGTCCTCAAAGGGTGTGGTGCACCACACTGGCATGGCAGGAGAGGATGGCAAGTGTGGCAGGAAGATTCAAGGACAATCAAAGAAATATTTAAACATTTCATTATGGCATGGTATGGTTGTTGAGCGTATTGGTCACCCGTTCTCAGAAAACTGTCTTCATGAGTTTCTGCATGTAAGATGAGCCCAAGGCGATTCTCCGGGACCCTCTAAGTGTCCCTATTTTCCAGGGACAGTCCCAGATTTACAGAAGCTGTCTCAGTTTCTGATTTGATCCCAGAATGTCCTGCTTTTCCTTAGGACGCCCCTATTTTCATTGGGGGTGGGGGTGGGAGGAGATATGCAGTTTTGCGAACCCTGAGCCAAGGAGATAAGTAACTATACAACCTTTAGAAGACATCTGAAGGCAGCTCTGTAGAAGGAAGTTCTTAATTGTTTTATTATGGTTTTTTTATATGTTGGAAGCTGCCTAGAGTGGCTGTGGCAACCCAGTAAGATGGGCAGGGTTGTTTATTATTATTATTATTATTGACGTCCCTATTTTCATTGGAGAAATGTTGGAAGGTATGTTCTCCCCACGTCTCCTCTCACCATGCGCATGCCCTTTGCCATCCCCAAATCTGCTGAGGAAGCTTGTCAAGGGGGAACCCAGAACACATTTAGCGGGAATGCCAGGACTGCAGGAAGGAAATGGTTCTGTCATGCGAGGAAAAATCCTCACACTACCGGAATGTTCACCTTAGCACTATGTTGAATGAAACCAGTGTTCTATTAATATAATAATAAAACAGCAGGCTATATGCAGTAATGGTTGCGAATGTTGAACTCTACTGGTATAATGAATGGGTCTGTGCTGAATTGTCACAGAGCATGCTTTTCACAAAGGACTATGTCAGGAGGTGCAGTGCTTCCCTCGAACAAAAAAAGAGCCTTTTCTTGCAAAATCCCGATCCCTTCCTCCCTGCGTCTTCTCCACCCTTTGCAAAACGCTTGCATCTGAGGCAGAGAGCATCTCCGGCCACGTTTTTGTGGATAGCCTCCTTTTTTAAAATGTTCGGTGAAAGTATATTAAAGGAGGCAGTACATAGCAGCATTGGGAGAGTGACCTTCCACTTCTGGCTTGCCAAGAGAAAGGGGAGCATCGCGTTGCAGAGGAACTTCTTCAAAATAGTGACTTGCCTAATCACAAACTGGACGTTGGCTCGCAGAGAGATCTGAATGAGCAAGCTGGCGTTCCCAGGAATGCTTTGTGCAAGTGAGGAAACCTAGCACACCAAATAGGAAGCTGCTTTCTACTGGGCCATGGGTCCTTCTAACTCAAGATTGACAACACAGGAGCTTTCAAGGCTTCCAGCAGGAGTCCGTCCTTCTAGCCCTACCTGGAAATGCCAGGGACTGACCCTGGAATCTTCTGGATGCAAAGCTAAGACTGAGCCACAGCCCCATCCACCCTCCATACACTGGCCTTTCCCCAAATTGGCAGGAGGGGGGCCTTTAATGTGAAAGGAGAGTAGCACAGGTTATCTCCATTATTTCTTTTTCATACCTGTGAATGCGTTATAATGGAAACACTTCCATATGGGCTTTGATATGGCACAATGTTTGCATGGGGTGATGGAATTGGGAATGGGAAACAAAACGAACCCTGAGAACCATTTTATTTAAGCCGTGTGAGATCTCTCAATGCCAGAGAGGGTGTGTAGATGTGTGGGTGCTACAGAAACACTGTTGATTTTGTAAAGGTCTCCTCCCTGTGTGTGGATATCATTTCTGTTGGGTGGAGATTTTGGCTAGATTTCAGGGAGACGTTGCAATCCACCCACTGGGAACTTCTACCTGTTGTCTAAGTAATGATAACAGTAATAGTAATAATACAAGAGTACCTAAGGACCTTGTACATTATCAACAGCTGGTTTTCTGGCTTAAAAGTATGCAATCACTTTGCATGCCCCATTCAGTGACGGAAAAGGAAAAGAAAACCTTTGCTACTGCAAATACTCATTCTCTTCCCACACAAGCTGCACACCCGCTTCCTACTCTATTCTTTTCCTTTGTGGCAGGCAGAACGAGTGCAGACCTGAAATGTTGCCCAGACCTTAAAGCCTGTAAACAAGTCTGTATCTTGTGTTTTCAGTATGACAGGGCATATCAAGATCTGAAAAGATTTTCCAAAAATGGAGATAATTTCTGCAAGCAACTCATGTCTATTCTTCAGCAGAGGTATGTATGTGTCCCCTCAACCTGGTAGACTTCAATTTCCCTTGTTTGCTCAGATAGCAAATTATTTTCTCCACATGGTATGTGTGTGCTGGTGGAGGGAGCAGGGAGAGAGTTACTGTTCTCTGGAACAGACTTCTATAATACAAGGCTGCTTATCATTTCCTCCCTGCATGTTTGAACAGTTTCTGTAAGGCTTGGTCTGATGCCACTTGAAATATAACTTGCTCATCCAGTAATTACTAGGGTGGCTGCTGGAATGTGAAGAAGGGGAGTGGAGAAAAGGTCTAATAGCAAGGACCAGCTTCAAGGTAGCATATACGTGGATTTTCTTCCTTTGGCCTGATGATGAGCTCAGTGGGATGTAACCCTAAACCATGGTTTTTTCATGGTTCAGACAAGTAGTGTAGGTGAACCTTGGGTTTATGTGCCTCCTCCTTCCGGACAGCCACACAGAGGAATTTGAAAGCTTTCCCCCTTTTTGGTTAAGCACAGGTTGCTACGTCATCTGAACCAGGTAAACTGTGGTAACCATAATTATAGTTTGTTTAAACAAGCCAACGTGAAGCCATGGTACATTTCAACAAACCACTGTTAACAGGAGTTCAGCATGCTGTCCAAACCCTAAACTGTGGTTAATCTAAAACAGAAGTAGAAGCTGCTGATCCCCTTGCAAGCTACACCAGTGAGAAGTGGGGAGTGAGGAGTTTGCAAGCCCAAGGCTCGCTGCAGCTCATCCCCATAACACGAAACCATTGTTTAATGTTAGGTGTGAACTTTTTGCTTTGACCTAAAGCAGGCAAGCCTTCATAGATTGTGCAAAGTCCAATTCTACCCTGGATTCCCTTGAATGCAGCAAATATGGTGATTATATATATATAAGACTTGTGCTTCTGGAGCAACACTGGCTTTTGCCTCCCACAAGAGTCCTGACTAACCCAAAATAAAAGCAACAAGCATGGCTGGGAAGGGGGAAGAGGCAAGAGGAGGGAGTGGGAATGGAGATACTTTGCTCCTGCTGACATCCGAAGTGTTGGAGCAGCACCCTTGAAAAAGAGTGGTGTGGAATAGTCTACTGGATGATCCCAAATAACTTAAATGCAGTGCAGACTGAGAGGTGCCCAGTTATAGGTAAGAGTCCCTCATATGGACTTTAGCTCTTAACGTAGAGGGTAATCTCATTAAGGACAGGGCTGGGTGGACAGGACATTAAGTGTTAATTAACTCAGGTACTGGGCCATTGCACACATATCAACACACATTTCCTAACTCCTTGTGGCAGAATGTCCCCCCAAGGTCTCTGGGTGATTGGGATGTTCCTTATGCAGAAAGGGGAAGGCTGTTTCACAGGAAAACATAAATGTAGGCTTCACCCAGTTACTGTGAAAAGGAGTTTGCTGGAGGTTACCGTACTGTCACTGCCCTTTGACCAGGTCATCCTTAAACAGGGCTATCTATTTGCATTTTATAAGGAAGAAGTTCCAGGGATTCCTTAGGCTTGCGCTTACCCAGTCCATTATGCACACTGGTTAATCTGGAGAAATTCACCTGCACAGCAACTGCAGCAGAGAGGATATTTGGCGGGAACCACTAGAGATTCCTCTAACAGGATCACATTTGGCTTGAACTTCCATAGCCCTACTTGGCTTAAACAACAGCGGCTTCCTCTGATGCCTTTCTGGAGTTTCCCATTAATTGAAATGTTCAGTTTGTGATCTATGCGTCTGCCTGCAGTTCTGACACACGTTTGGTTATGTAAACCTAATCAGAGGACTCAGCTACATTGGCAAAGAAAAAATGCATTTGCTTTACATGCATTCTAACACTGTGACACCAGATCGCACTGTGGAGTTCCATACAAAGTTTGCAACGCATTTAACTGCAGCGCTTTTTTGATGTGTCTAGATCCAGCCAGAGTAGACTTTTGCACTGGTTCTGACAGGCCAACCAGTGTGAAACTAACTTCTATTGCAGTGGAGCCACCTGTAAGCAAGAGGGGAGACCTTCAGCAGGCAAGGGTCCAGAGACAGAAAGGGGAAAGTAGGGGAGGCAAACCCCTGAGCTCTGGCTAACTAAGCAATTCAGTAGAGTGATGTGCATCAAAGTGATTTTCAATGAAGTGATGCTCAACAGGGTGGATCTGGGGAGCCAGAACCCACACAAGTGATCCAGCAAATGATTTCATAGTGGAACTGAGTAACCAGATCCTGAAACCAGAAATATTGTTGCTTTGAAGCCTGGAGTTTTTGCACTCTCGTAAACAAAAGCCTCAAAGGAAATTCCAGCATTGATTGGATCATGGAGGTGTCATCCCTATTTCCTGTACCTGATATAGATAGGTCATGCAGGTCAGAGATAAAGGATTCTCTTTCGTGGAGACAGGTGGTGGTATTCACCTAATCTAGGCCCGATTAGGCCTAGATTTGAACAACAGGCTCCTCTCCCAAGGGCCACAATATTGCATTAATTTTGGATTTCATTGATTGGATTGCCAAAAGCCACATCCTGCGCGTATGACTGGTTACCTTGCCTCTACTAAGGTGACCAACTTGATTCACCAGGTTGCCTTTTTTTTCTGGATCGTGCCCCGATTTAGCAGTCATATTGTTCCTGCAATTGCTATTGATTTTGTAAAGTCACAAACAGAGTTTCGGAAGATTTACTAAGACACATTTCACCCAAGGGGGAAGGCTGGGAGGAAGGCTTTTAGCTCTAACTTGTTATTTCATCCTGAAAACCTAATTCATTTTACTGTCAGATATTCTGAGTAGAGAGCAAGGATTTCATTAGCTGTGCATTCCAAAGAGAAATTGCCATTCCATAGAAGATTTGCCTTGCATCTTAAACCTCAAGGCTCCCCTTTCTAGGAGACACCTTTTTGAAAGTAATTCTTTTCTAAATATGATGAAATGCTTTACCACTTATGCAGTAGGACAAGTGAAATTCGGGCACACACAAAAACCCCTCAATTCTCTTCCTTTTTTACAAGCTTGGGATATCATCATTACTTCCATGCTACTTGGATAATAAAATATGACATTTGTCATGAGATGAACTACATTAAATCACGTCGGTGGGTGATAAATTTACCTTGTGAACATATAAGCATCATCAGCTGTTCTGATTCTTTTGCATGGCAATGAAAAGAATGGAAACTTCTGCCTATGAAGTGTGCGGTCTACCAAGCGATGGTTGCCTCCCCGAATATTTATTTGGTGCCCCTTTGATTAATGCTGGGGTCTCCAACCTTTTCGGAATTTTGAGAAAGTGCCTTGGGTGCCAGCCACAAAATGGCTGCAGTGGGGATGTGGCTTAAACACAAAATGGCTGCCGCATCTAAAGAGCTGGAAAATAGGACCACAAAATGGTGTGAGCATGCCATCCCTCGGTCAATGGGAGCCAAGGAAGCACCTACATCAGTCATCGCCACACTCCCAGAGAAAAGCTATTTGCGCCACTTCCTTCAGAACAGAAGGGATGGAAGTAATCAAATTATTACCTTCAGTCAAATGTGGGCATGTTTAAGGAGACTTGGGGCAAGCAGGAGCGGAGCAGGAAGAGCAAACAGTCTCTCTTTTTTTAAAAAAATTAATATTTATTAAATTTTAAAGGGTTACAAAAAGAAAAAATTAAAAAACAGCATATTTAAGAAATACAAAACATCACATCACATCACAATAATAGAAAAAAGAAGCAAGAAGAAAAAAAGAAAGAAAAGAAAAAGGAAAAAAAGAGAAAATACAATAAATCTTCCCATATCTTATCTTTCATTTGCTTATTTCCTTGACCTCCTCACACCTCCCTTTTTTGTATTCTAGCTCAATTAACTATTTCAGCAAATCCTTTCCCTCCCTTCCAGTTTTTGTCCTCTATTTTATCTTAATATAATGTAACTTTACTTTCCCTCCTTCACCGTTTAGCAATCTATTTTTTCCTTAATCCTTTATAACATTTCTGCTAAAACCGCATTATTTCATTCCAACATCCTTCTAACATTCCTTAATTTTACAATGTTTCTGTAAATAAACTTTAAATTTCTTCCAATCTTCTTCCACCAACTCTTCTCCCTGGTCTCGGATTCTGCCAGTCATTTCCGCCAGTTCCATGTAGTCCATCACCTTCATCTGCCATTCTTCCCGGGTGGGTAGATCTTGTGTCTTCCAATACCTCGCGATGAGTATTCTTGCTGCTGTTGTGGCATACATAAAAAAGCTTCTATCCTTTTTTGGCACCAATTGGCCGACCATGCCCAGGAGAAAGGCCTCTGGTTTCTTCAGAAAGGTATATTTAAATACCTTTTTCATTTCATTATAAATCATCTCCCAGAATGTCTTAATCCTTGGGCATGTCCACCAAAGGTGAAAAAATGTGCCTTCAGTCTTTTTACATTTCCAACATTTATTATCGGGCAAATGATATATTTTTGCAAGCTTGACTGGTGTCATGTACCACCTGTAAATCATTTTCATTATATTCTCTCTTAAGGCATTGCATGCCGTAAACCTCATACCTGTGGTCCATAACTGTTCCCAGTCAGCCATCATAATATTATGTCCTACATCTTGTGCCCATTTAATCATAGTTGATTTCACAGTTTCATCCTGAGTATTCCATTTCAGCAGCAAGTTATACATTCTTGACAAGTTCTTAGTTTTGGGATCTAACAGTTCTGTTTCCAATTTTGATTTTTCCACCTGGAAGCCAATTTTTTTATCCAAATTGTACGCCTCCATTATTTGATAATAATGGAGCCAATCTCGCACTCTATTTTTTAGTTTTTCAAAACTCTGCAATTTTAATCTGTCTCCCTCTTGTTCCAAAATTTCCCAATATTTCGGCCAATTGGCCTCCATACTGAGCTTTTTCTGAGCCTTCACTTCCATTGGTGACAGCCACCTTGGGGTTTTATTTTCAAGGAAGTCCTTCTATCTTATCCAGACATTAAACAGTGCTTTTCTGACAATATGGTTTTTAAACGCTTTATGTGCTTTAATCTTATCATACCACAAATATGCATGCCACCCAAATACGTTGTTAAAACCTTCTAGGTCCAGCACATCAGTGTTTTCAAGAAGCAGCCATTCTCTCGGCCAACAAAACGCGGCCGATTCATAATAAAGTTTAAGGTCTGGCAGGGCAAATCCACCTCTTTCTTTAGCATCGGTTAATATCTTAAATTTTATTCGAGGCTTCTTGGATAAAATTTTGGATAAAATGGATTGTTTCAAGAAGTGGCAGAGAGATATTTCTAGATTTGTCTGGCAGGGCAAGAAGGAAGAACAAACAGTCTCATGTGTATTGTGGATTTTTGAAGGGAGATTTACTGAGACCTTTTTGAGGGCATCGCACAAGGTACTGGTGGGCTCACTGGTGCCCACAGGCACTGTGTTGGTGACCAGTGTTATTGCTTGCATGGTGTATGTGTGAATGAGCCATTGCAGATTAGGCAGTGCACAAATACAATGTTCATTTCACCTCAAAAGACAATGCACTTCAGTGAAGTCAGTTTGAACATTTAATTGCATGCTATTAAATGATGTGCAAGAAGTCGATTTAGGTACAGTACATGTATGAACCAGTGCAGAAAACAGATCCACTTGTGCACACATTTCACCTTAATGCGCCATTTCTGCACCAGAGAATTGGAAAGCTTGTCATTTGAGCTCATTGTTTTTCATTACATGTCAGGCCTTGTCCTCCGGTTTCTCTGCTATCCATGCCCTGCCACACCCCTCATTTGAAGAGCATCGATTGATAAATCAAATTCTAATAAAAGCCAGCAAGAGTGGCTGAGTATTGCTAAATAATTTTCTTGGGTAAATTACATGAATGTTGAAGGCAAACAGGACATAACTGATTCATGATGGTGCATTAGCAGAGCACTTAGGAGTGGTTATGGCACTGCTGAGTGACGTGAATTGTGGGTCAGCATGGAAGAGTAAGAATATACTTCCAAAATGACAGATCATTGCTGTCGAGATACAAGGAGCTGCTTGCATCATGACCTCTGGTTTCCTTGTTGGCAGGGCTGATTTGGAGATCACATATGGCAAAGGGCTGGATAAACTGGCCCACAAGCTCACCAAAGCGTTGGGCAAAATGAAGGTCAGGTAAGTGACATCAGTTCCCACCTAGAACCCAGTTGCTCTGATAGGGTTTTCTTTTTCTTTTGTCATGGAAAGTTGTAGTCTAGAGCCCTGGGCGTACATGAGGCTCCCATTGCTTCCTATGGCAGATGGAGCTCCAGAAGTGTACCTGGTCCTTTGCCCTTCTGTGCCCAACAATGGAAACCCCTTGCTCAACAAAAGGTCTGCCTTCCTGGCAGCCATACTTACAATATGCTGCCTTCTGAGCTAGGCATATGTATTGAGGGGATGCTGCCACATAGATGCTGCTGCCACATTCTCAATAATAGAATGGGGGGGGGAGGTCAGTGGAATCCCCAACATCTAATAGAATGGGGCAGCTGTTCCCAGGTTTGTCTTTTCTCTAAAATGACTGGCACAAGTTTAAAGTCATCTTCTGTGTTTTTAAGGTGGCAGTGGCTTGCTGAACAGCTGCAATTCCTCTTGCAAAACAACCGTTGTGGATTGAGTTTGATCCCCAGTTAGTTGCACAAAATGGCATCCTATGTAAATCTCCATGCAGAACTGTTAAAATGTATTGTGTCTGAGATCAGATTTTTAGCAGACGTGTTGAAGTAAGAATAAATGTGTATACTATATTTCCTTTTTCCTCCCCCCCCTTTTTTTTGTTTGGTCTCCATTCAGTTATATTTGCAGTGCCTGGCAATGTGTTTCTGAAGGGATGAAATCTGCCTCCGATTTGCACAAGTAAGTACAGTCTGGTCCATTATTCAAAGTCCACTGAGAGCTGGGAGGGTTTTAAAACTTGTACAATCAACATGGCAGTTTTTATTGCCTACTCTGGGATTGCATGGAGAATATTTACTGCATTTCCCTCGGCGGTTGTCTAGCAAATAATTTTTCGGAAGGCAAATGTTAATGCAGCAGGTGTATATGTTTTATGTTCTGTGCCCAGGAAACTTGGCAAAGCCATTCAGATGGAAGCTATAAGTCCAACAAATCACGTCCTGGAGGAGCATGAGAAGAGGAAAAAAGCAGTGAGTTCAAATAACCTTGCTTTTCTGATGATCTGGTGCAATGTCTGTGCAGGTGATGATGCATAATGCACAAAGTTCTGTTTCTAAGTAAGGCTGCAGTTCTGCATCGTTAAAGTCAATGGCTTCTGATTGCTGGTGGCTTCTGGTTGCGTCAGCAGGAGCAGGATCACAACCTAAGTCTATGAGGATTTGGTTTTGCAAAGGGCCTCTTACCAATCTGGTGTGATGCTAATATTATTGTCCGCTTGCGCTAAATATATATATATATGTGTGTGTGTGTGTGTGTGTGTGTATGTATATATATATATATATATATTTCCTTTAAAATCTTTAGATTCCGACTTTCCTTAAAAGGCCCAATCTGGCTAGATTTTCTTAGGCTGTACATTGATAATGGAACAAAGCCATATTGTCTCACCCCTCATATACCCAATCCATCACTGTGCTCTGCAGGATACCATCTTAATAGAAGATCCATTCCAGACCTTTGGATTTCCCTCCTGTTACATATTAGGCAGGAACTATCTCTGTTGAAAGACCTTCCTCTTTCAACAAGTTAAGATCTGTACTGTACATGTATCTGTACTAGAACCATTTTTATATATGGAATTGTCTTTCAAGTGTTTGCATTTATTTTTATATAGGTAACTGCTTTTAATTGTTTTTTGCACTTCGATGTCTCATGGTTGTTTGTTTTTTTATATAATTGTACATTTTATGGTTGTAGCCTCCCCGGGGATCTTATGGTTAAGGACAGAGGAGAAATCAAATAAATAAATAAGCAAGCAAGCAAGCAAGCAAGCAAGCAAGCAATGATATGCTTCTCAAATGTCATTGTGTTTCTCTTCCATAAGCTAGATAATACAGTTGTGAAGGCAGCAGACCTGGTGACTGGCAACTGGCGCCAACAAATAAAGGCAAGTTTCCATTTTTCGTCGTTGCAAAGGTACCAAGTCAAGATCAACCCCAGGAAACTCTTCCGCGTCCCGTTGAATTCAGCTACGCGAAGGGGGCTAAGAAGTGCTTGATTAGATTATGTACCATGGTTTGAAATAAAAGGCATTGGTTAGCTATGCTAGAATGCAGATATAGAGGGAGTTTGAAAAACCATCTATGGAGAGGAAAGGCAGCCCCATGTGGTATCATCTGTATGAGCCTTAAACAGCAAAGGATATGATCTATAGGCTAAATGGAGCATAGGAAGCTTCCTTACACTAGCCACTGGTCCATCTAACTCTATATTGCCTACACTGACTGGCAGTGGCTCTCCAGAGCTTCACAAATGAATCTTTAGTTGTCCTACCATGATTGAAGATGGGTCCTTTTGCATGGAAAAAAAAAAGTCTTCTTCCACTTGGCTATAGAACTTTCTCCTTCCCCTCACTCCCAATGGAACAACAAAGCTGTGTACCGTTTTTGTGGTGCAAGGCACCTTCCTGTGCTTCTATCAACTACAAAGGTATCCAGCACCCAAAGTTTCGCTTGCAGGCATTTGAAACTGTATAGATCTGTGGTGCCCATCTTTGCTGTTCCAGACCAGATCAACAAAGTTAAAAATGATTGTGTGTGTGTACATGTTTGGAAGTAGTTTCTGGTCGCATCCACTCTATGAATTTAAAGCACATGGCTTCCTTCAAAGAATCCTGAGAACTTCAATTTGAGGGGGTGCCTGGAATTGTGGTTCTGTGAGGAGGGAACTACAATTCCCAGGATTCTTTGGGAGGAAGCCATGTGCTTTAAAAGCACGGTGTGGATGTGACCTCTGTGACACAGATGAAGAAGATACATACTTCCCAGGAATTCCAGCCCAGGTTGCTGTTGGTGAGCCTCTGCAGATCTGTTTGCTGCAACTGAATCTCAGTGGAGGTCTTTAGATCAACACCATTTGTGGAGCTTACAAACACAAGGATTACTTTATGTGTTCAAGAGCAGCTAGTAACTGAATGCAGCATAATGAGAAGCCATCACTTGTCGTCTGCCTGATGAGATCTTCTTTGCACCATACGCCGCGCTCGCCATTCCAAGACAATGACATCTTACCCACTGTCAGAGTCGCGCCCTAACCCCTTCCGTCAGTGAAAGACGAGTCTGGGCAGAGAACAATAATCACAACATCAAATAATAAATTGTCTATGAGGTATCCCTACTCAGTTTGATCCCCAGCTCAGCTTGAAAAATATGCAGTTCCCCTCACATCTCAATTGATTTCTGTGTGTTTGGTGGCAGGCCAAGAAGAAATTAAAGGAGCTAACCAAGAACCACGAAGCGCTCTTCCGCGAAACAGAGAGCTCCCAAGCACTGGCTTCACCAAAGACCAAAAGGAAGGTAAATCTTCAGACAGGTGCTTGCCTCTTGGGTTTCTACACAGCCAGATTACCTGCCTGCAACCATGTGGGTTGTGTGTAAGAGAATGGGTGTCCCCAGGAAAATTCCCAGTGTCCCCTGGGCCAAGAGCATTAGGTCACATGATGCAGTGCAATCTCCTCCACAGTAGAAGCTAAGGTAGTTGACAAATCATGAAGACAGTGTGGTGGCATGGTTAGAGGGCTGGACTACGTCCAGAGAGGCCCAGATTCCATACACTCCCAACATTTCTCTGATGAAAATTGGGACATCCAATTTTTTAAATAATAATCATAATAATATAGTACCCCACCCATCTGACAGGGTAGCCCCGACCACTCTGGATGGCATCCAACATACGTATATAAAAACATCCTGAAACATTAATTATAAGAATATAAGTTTACCACTTCTTTTCACTATCCTCCCTCCTTTCTTCTTCCCCAATCAAATCCATGCTTGATGGTGAAGCTCCGTACATGACCTTGGGTCAGTTACTATCTCTCTCCCCAGCTTATCTCATAGGGTTATTATGAGGAGAAAATGGTGGACAAGAGCCATGTGTGAGGTTATTGAATTGAACGTTGGGCTATAAAAGTAGTAACGATAATAACAGCCTACTTTTCTGAAGCATTGGTCCTGCCAGGCTGCTAGATAAAATGACAAGAGTCAATCTATTAGGTGTCTTTGAGGGGAGAGGGTGACTTTAAGCATTGTGAAGCAAAGACTCATGATTTGCTACACACAAAACAGAGTTTTCTGTATGTTGTCATGCACATAGCACGCTGTTAAGCTGTTGGCCTTACCTCTCCTGACCTCACAGGTGCATAAATAGAAGATAATTTGCCCCTGCCAACACGGCTATGAGAACAATGCCTCTGGTGAGATAAGTCAATCATATTTCTCTTTTTTTAAACAACTTGCATTTATATTTTCATTTCAGTTGCTCAGAAACCTGGAAAAATCTGCGACGAAACTGGGAAAGGACGATGAAGATTACTATGACAAGAATCTAGCCGCCTGTAAAACTAGGTTGAAATGGGAAAGCACTTTAGAAAATTGCCACCAGGCAAGTCGTTTGAGGTTCTTTTCTTGTGCTGTTGTACATTTTCATTCTGACACTTCCCCTTGAATATAAACAAGCCTCATTTCTGCACTGCCATCCATTTTTTATTTTGATTTGCAATTCAGTGAGAACAGTGAGGTACCTCCTGATTTACAGCTGTGTGTTCGAGAAGGGAAAAGGGGGTGGGGAATCAAGGTCCTGGGAGCAGAGGCCTACTCTTTGAAGCTATAAACATTAAAGGGAGGAACTGCAGCTCAAGATTTGAGCACATGTTCTGCAAGCAGGACGGTTCCAGGTTGAGTTCCCCAACTCTACAACTAGAAAGGCCTCAGGCTGGAGCCAGTTAGAGTAGACGACCCCAGGTGAATCAGACCAGAACTCGGAGGTATGTCCAAGATTCCATCTCTGGCATCTCTCCAGAGAAGGCTGTATAAAACCCCGGAGCACTGCTGACTTGGCATATCCTCAGAACGACACAGCTTCATAAGTTTGTGCATGCATTTGTCACCCCATGCTAGCATAGCAAATCGCCCCAGGGAATAAAAAAGTCAGTCCTGCAATATCCACTGGAATTGCTTGATGATGATGACGATGATGATGATTGTGGCGTTCGTATGGAGCCCCCGGTCGTCTCACGGACTATTGACCCGTACACCACTAATCCGCTGCCACCAACCAGGTCCTCCCCGGTAAATCACTTAGTCTCAGTTATGTTCTCAAATTAACAAAGAAGAGTGTAGTTTATTTCAGACACAAACAAACTTTAACTGCATTCCAAACCTTGTTACTCTTTACCTTCTTAGTCCTGTCTCTATCTCTTCTACCTCCCCTCACACAAGAATCCACTACACTAACTGTCTCTCTATTTCCAACTGCCTGCCAACTGCTTTTCCAACTGCCTTTCCCAACCAACCAACCCACTAAAACCAACCAACTACCCACCAACAACTAATTCAAACCTCGGGCTAAGCCCTTTTATATACAGGTAGGCTCCGCCTCTGGCTTTCCTATTGGTTTACATTTTAACCCCTTCTCTCCCCCCTGTACAGACATTTTTCAAATGAACGAGCAAATGCTAGCATAGCAAATCGTCCTAGGGAATAAGAAAGTCAGTCCTGCAACATCCACTGGAATTGCTTGATGATGATGATTTTGTTATTTATGTCCCGCCTATCTGGCTGGGTTTCCCCTGCTTCTCTGGGGCTGCTTATACTTCCTAGTTTCTTAAGGGAAGATACCCTTTGGTACCAGTACACCAGGCCATTTAATCTAGCCTTGAAATTGCTTGATTCTCACCCATCTCAAAAGGGTGGAGGCTCACACAGAGCCCCAGTTTGCACCTAACCGTAAGTGAAGCTTATGAAGAAGCAAACATTTGGGCTCTTGGAGAGGAAATCCCAGCCTCTTTGCTAGTGATCCCTGGTCATTTTGCTGCTGCGTTGAGCTCAGCTGTACTTTGGCCTAGTGTGTTGCCTGGGGGTGGAAAACAGCACTCACTGCCATGACTATGACACGGCTTGGGAGGAGAGAGGCTCAGAAGCGTCATTGAATGTGACCCATGGGGTCAGTGTGGACGTTTACCCCCCATGGCAAAATTTGTAGATCCAACAAAGCCGCAACATCTGGTTTGTCATAGACAACGTTATAATCTGACTTGAAACGTAATGAAATATAATTCATCAAAGTGGCTTTTTAAAGAAACACCATCCCACCCCCCCAAAAAGCACCAGTATCAACAGATTGGCCGTAAATTTCATACTCAATCATTTCTTTTCTAGAAGCAGAAATTTAATTAAATGCTGTTAAGCATCACCACCTCCACAGAGTTACTGTATTTTTAATCACATGCTGAGTTCTGCTCCAAGCCTTTTAGCATTCTTCAGCTAAAGGAACACCTACATAAAAGAGTCGAAGGGTGCAATGCAGCCAAAGCAAAACACTTTTAAACCCATTTGATTTCAGTGGAGGGAGAATCATGTGCTTCACATGTGTGCCTATGGCTGTTTGGGTGCACCCTTTCCACTCACGGGGGTCCTAAGTACCTGTGTGATGTAATGAGTAGGTTGATAGTAGGGATGCGGGTGGCACTGTGGTCTAAACCACTGAGCTTCTTGGGCTTGCCAATCAGAAGGTTGGCAGTTTGAATCCCCGCGACGGGGTGAGCTCCCATTGCTCTTTCCCAGCTCCTGCCAACCTAGCAGTTCCAAAGCACGCCAGTGCAAGTAGATAAATAGGTACCCCTGCAGAAGGAAGGTAAATGGCGTTTCCGTGCACTCTGGCTTCCATCACTGTGTTCCGTTGCGCCAGAAGCAGTTTAGTCATGCTGGCCTTGTGACCTGGAGAGCTGTCTGTGGACAAATGCTGGCTCCCTCGACCTGAAAACGAGATGAGTGCCGCAACCCCATATTCGCCTTTGACTGGACCTAACCATCCAAGGGTCCTTTACTTTTACCTAGGTTGATAGTACAGTGGTACCTCAGGTTACATACGCTTCAGGTTACAGACTCCGCTAACCCAGAAATAGTACCTTGGGTTAAGAACTTTGCTTCAGGATGAGAACAGAAATTGTGCAGCAGCGGCGCAGCAGCAGCAGGAGGCCCCATTAGCTAAAGTGGTGCTTCAGAACAGTTTCAGGTTAAGAACGGACCTCTGGAACGAATTAAGTTCTTAACCCGAGGTACCACTGTACTTAGATTTCTGGCACATGCACCTTTCTAGCACTTTAAAGTGTACAGCACAGAACAGAATCCTCTGCAAATTGATTTTTTTTTTTTAGCAACCCACACCACATAAATACTGCTTGTACAAATGGATAATTCCAGTGACCAAAAACCTGAGAGGTATGGATGAGATGCTGGGAAATTCAGACTTAATACATTTCATTTCATTTCACTTTTCATTTGTATACTGCCTTTCTATTTACACAAGGCAGTTTACAACAACAAAATATTCAAGGTAGCACACCTTATCTGATCCAGTAATGGATTGTAATTGGAGATAATGCAAAATATTTGATGCAGTAATATTAGAAGCTAAGGTGGCATCAGCAGTGGCAAATGTGAAGTCATTTATTTGTATTAATTTGGTATTGTAATAATTTGTGAAGATTGGGTTGAAATTCAGAAAATCAATAAAAATAATTGGCAAAAAGAAATCTGATCCAATGCAAAGGTAATAAGGAATACATAACTTTAAAATAAGCAACTTATGTCAAATAAAGCAATATTCAACAATCCTTTAGAATATAATAGTACACATAAAATTAACTCTCAAAATTTTAAGAGTATGTTCATTTGTACACGCATGCGTGCGTGCACGCGCGCACACATACAAGTTCATATATTACCTCAAGAAGGTTTTGAGAGGCAAATCACTACTTTCCTGGTTAGGGTTGCCATATTTTGAAGAGCAAAAAAGAGGACACATTTGCCAACTTCTACTTTTAACTATGGATCACTATAACTCTCATTTTACATACCCTGGAAAAAGAGGGTGTGTCCTGGGAAAAGAGGACATATGGCAACCCTATCAGTCTCAGCATCAGCTAAAGACTTGCCCATTCATCCAGGCTTTGGAGAGCTCCAGATGACTCCTAGCGAACTGTATTGTATTGTTGCAGTATGGGGGTTCTGAAATGCCATACCCACTTCTGTTTTTTTAAAAAATTATGTACAGTTGTACCTTGGTTTTTGAACGGAATCCGTTCTGGAAGTCAGTTTGACTTCCGAAAATGTTCGAAAACCAAGGCACAGCTTCTGATTGGCTGCAGGGGCTTCCTGCATGCAATTGGAAGCCACAGAAGCCCCATCGGACGTTTGGGTTCCAAAGAACGTTTGCAAACCGGAACACTCACTTCCACGCTTGAGTCGCAAGGCGTTTGACAACCAAGGTACAACTGTATTTTGATTTCAGTGTATTTTCTGTTTGGTGTTGGGATAGCTTTGTGTTGTTGTTTTCTTATATAAATTTCTGTGGGGGGTTTTAATGAAGAGCGTTCTGTAAATGAAATAGTAAGCATAAAATAAGAATAATAGTTCCAGCATGACTAGAAACCATGGGTGGAAATTGCAGGGCAGGTTTTGGGGGACATATTAGGAACACTTTCTATTGGTAATGCTGTTCAGCAGTGGAGCAGATTGTCTTGGGACGTGGCAGGTTCTCAATTGCAGGAGCTATTTTTGCATAGTCTGGATTGGGGACGGGGTTCCTCTGGTGGCTCTGTGTGCAGCAGACCAGTCTAATCCTTGCAGATTGCCCATTTTGTATGGTAATGGCTTCCTCCCTTCCTTTCAACAGAGCATCCTAGAACTCGAAAAGGAGCGACTGCATCTTCTGTGCAATACATTAAATTGTTACAGCCAGCATCTTTCCAGTTTGGCACAGAACCTAATTGCGGTATGTAATATTACGATTTTTCACCTCCAGTGGTTAGAAAGTTCGTTTTTAAAAAGGAACTGTTTCCAGTTCAATAAAGTTGTTTTGCAAAATGAACTGGTTCAGTTCCAGTTCATCCAAATGAACCTTTTAGTTCATAAAAAGTTCATCCTTGGCATACATTTTTTCAGCATTCAGAATGTTACCAGCCAATATGCTGAACCAAAGTCCAAAAGCAAATCGGAGGCCACACACAAGTAATAAGATGTCTGACAGACAGAACGTAAGCAGGTTAAACTTTCCCCATAATTGTATTTCCATACTAGAAGACTTACTCTGTTTTATTTCTGCCACCTACACAGCTGTTAGAGGCACAAAGCATCACTGTTGCTAAGGAATCAGAAAGAAGGAATGTGAGGCATTTCTCTCTTCTAACCTGAATAGTTTGCAGCAAGAAGTACAGGTCCAAGAACAGGTGCAGGAAATGCCTCACATTCCTTCTGATTCCTTAGCAACAGTGACTGACTTAGTGTCTTTAGCAACAGCCTAATAAGCCTTAGACCATTCCTGCCACATTTAGCTTTGCAACTTTCTTTAGAAATGTTTAGTTGATTTTTTTAAATCAACCTCCGGGCCTCCTGCTGGGGGATGGCGAGGGCAAAAGTAATGAACATGAAGATGAACTATAAATCATTCAAAGTTCTATCCCCAAACTGAACTTTATTCACCTTTAGAACACCTGACATTTACAAGTACTACTTTCAGGTGTAGTTCAGAGATTTTTGAACTAGTTAGTGAACTTTGTTCAATGGGACTAGTCCATTCCAAGCGCTGTTCACTTCCATCTAAATACTATTAGAACTTCTCTTCATATTGAATCTTGTTTGTCCTGATTCTAGTGCCACACAAGGCTTCATAATGCAGTCAGTGAAGTTGATGCACACAAGGACACACAGATGTTAGGAGAAGAAATGTCTATGCCTGCTACAGAGACCAAGCTGGAGCTGTTATTAACAGACTATTATGTAAGTGCACTACTGAAATGCTTGTCATCATGATGGGCAATGTTTGTATGGCAATAGGAGCTGCCTGCTAGGGCTGGGCGATTTATCGATATATCGTCCAAACCCAGTTTGAAGTCCATATCGTGATATCGGTTTCATAGTTTTTGACCTGGCAATATATCGTGAATAAGGATGTTTGTGTGTGTGCTATGCAAAAATCACAATGTAGGAAAAAGCATGGAACCAACCAATGCTTCTCTTGATTCCTGCAGCCCGTTAGCTCTGCTGGCTCAGCTCTCCCCCGCTTCCTTCAGGGAGCAGCGAACCACAAGAGCATTGGCCAGCGAAAACCACATTGCAGTAAAAACTGAAGCCAGCCTGTGCCTCTACGTAGCTCCATCCTTATTTCAGACATCGTAACATATCAGTATATCGCAATGTTTAGCCAATGCTATTATCATGATGTTGAAAGCAAAATATCGCCCAGTACTACTGACTGCTGTAGGAACCTCTGGAGGAAGTGTAATGGCATGCCTCTTGGTGCATTCTGTGTAAACTATAAAACTGAGAGCCAGCCACCCAGTGGTAGGCAGGTTTTGCTCTGATTTCACCAGTGCCTAACTGCGGCACTTTACTTTCCCTGTCAGGGTGAATGACACAATTTGGCAGAAAGTAAATGGGGGAAACAATTAATATGGGAACTGAATAGATTTCTTGCCATCCGTGATCCCATTTCTCAAGATTGCTCCCATCTGCATACCTCCAGCCTCTTCTGCTCCTTAGGACTGCTCTTACCATGTGTGTTGGCCCGTTCAAGTGTACGATTAGCACACCAGTACTTTGGTGGCCCAGATGGGCCTGCTGGCCCTGTAGTCCTGTGGTAGAGCATCTGTATTGCACAGGTTTAATTTCTGGCATCTCCAGCTAGGGATGAGAATGTCCCCTGTCTGCAAACCTGGACACCCTCAGCCAATCATTTGTGGGCAAAACTGAGCTAGATCGTTCTATGGTCTGACCTAGTACAGGGCAGCTTCTCAAGGTCCTATGCTGGCATGCTAACATTGCATATGAATAAACCATGGTACGTGCATTTTACTGTGACTGAGCACAAACGGAATATTCAGGCTTTACCCATGGCCCACATCTTGTAAAAATCAGGAGTGTGTTGCAAGAGTGGGACAAAACATTGAGAAGCGGTTTGTGTATTAATAAACAGATACTATGAAAATATTGATCTACAGGTTTGTGATTACCTGAACACTGTTTTGTTCTCTCTTGCAATAAATGCCATTGTAACCATGTTTAGCTCATAATGCAAGTTCTAAATTAACACCCCAACTGTAGAGCATCTGAAGCAGCCAGGCCACATTCAAGATCCTTAAAAGGGCTTGTAATATTTTGGCGCCACTGCTGTTTTTGCTTCACAAAGGACTGATCACAAATCAACGGGTGCTGCCAGTGCTTTATCCACACAGAGGAAGCAGTTGACATAAATCAGAAACTAAGGTCCACAGAGCCAAAAGCCACAGCGGGTGCCTTCTTGACTATTATACTTTCTCCTGTAACTGTCTATATGGGGGAATCCAACATCATGCAATTACTAAGCTATAATACAATAGCAACAGAGAGCTGCTTTTTCAGCACTGTCGCTTTGCATGCCGCTTAATCACAAGGTTTTATTGGCACAGCAATTATGCTTATGCACTGCAAAAGCACAATATGATAAGCAGAACTGGAGTATCCAAATAATGGATCTGGATAAGCTTATTGTCTGTAACTATTATTATTCAACTGAGCTGGGAACATATTTCAATTTTTTATGTGTCAAAGACTTTGCGGGGGAAACTATAGGGCTGTGTTCACATGTACACACACACACACACACTGGGCAAGCATCAGAATTCCAAGGTAATTACCCTGTTCATTAGTTTTGGGGGCCAGACAGAATCAGAGGTGTGTTAAACCTTTCACTGATTTTTAACGAACCTTCTTTCAAATCATCTTTCTGATAATATCCATGCTTGTGCATAATTTCATAGAATGTCTGCTTCTTCTGATGTACCACCCTTGCTTTGTTGCACCATAAAACTAACATTTCAAGATAAAGGGAAAGGAAGTTCTGCAAAAGTAACATTTGTATGCTACCTCACATTGTTCTGTTACTAGAAATGGCGATTTGCCGAGCGACTCATAATATTGCTGCATGCGTGCAATCAAATTATTTCATATTGAGAATAATAATTTAGCACAATCCAATATTGACTAAATAACACTATTTGATATATTCTAACTGCATTGCTTGGGGCCTGGAGACTTGAGTAGGGATCAGGAATTGAAAGTCCCAGGGCGAATCTGTAATATTCTAAGTAGGACCAGCTTGCCCCAGTTGCCAGTGTGGAAGGCAAAAAGATTGAGTGCAGGACAGTTGATGCCTGTGGGCAACAGAACATCCCAATGTCTACTTTAGAAAGATGTTGGGCCTGGTCTGCTACCTTTTACCACCTCTGCTAAGTGGCCCTCTCAGAAAACTAGAGTCTTGGACAGAATATACAGGTTAGTTTAGTGCTTGCTAATCTCTACTGCCTTCACCTGTGATTGCCAGAATACCATGAGACCCATAAATTCTGGCTGATAGGACATTCACCTTCCTTTACTAAGAAAATGCTCTCGGGGTCTAAGTGCTTTGATGGATCTCTGCCTTGCCTTAGAATCAGAGAATTGTAGAGTTGGAAGGGACCACAAGGGACCATGTATTCCAGCTCCCTTGCAGTGCAGGAATCTTTTGCCCAACTTGTGGCTCAAGCCCACAACCCTGAAATTAAGAGTTGTATGCTCTACCAACTGAGCTATTGCCGCCAGTGTTGCTTTTTTTAATCTGAGACTAAATACTGAAACATCTTGTGGTGCATGAAGCCACAGTGAAGTCAACCATGTTGTCACTTGGACTTGATTTGTGCAGACCGTGCCAGTGTCAACACTCAATGTGTGCTTGAGTTTAGAGTAGTACCAAATGCAGGCTTCATTGTACTTCTGCACTTCTAATAAACACCTTCCTGCTTGGATGCATTTTTTCTTTTCCATCTGCACTGCATGTCTAAAACGTGGGTTTATTTTCCTGCAAAAAGGAGGAAGATGCTACGAGCCTCATCGAAAAAGAGAGAAGACAGGCTTCCATCAAAGCCAAAGTACTACGTGTTCAAAAGGACTTGGAGAAGGCGTTACAAGACAAAGCAGGTGCCTTGAAATGCCGCCTGTATGCCTTGATATATTGAGTATTACCATTCAATCCCTGACATTGCTTCTAGAGAAAACTGGCCTAGACAAGAGTCCATAGATTGACAGACTAAAACCAATTCCTCTGGAATTGAAGACAAATGTGCAAATGTTCAAACCCTAACAATGTGCATTGTTAGCCCTTCAACACACAGCTTATTTACCTATAAAGGTAAAGGTACCCCTGCTCGTACGGGCCAGTCTTGACAGACTCTGGGGTTGTGTGCTCATCTCACTCTAGAGGCCGGGAGCCAGCGCTGTCCGCAGACACTTCCGGGTCACGTGGCCAGTGTGACGAAGCTGCTCTGGCGAGCCAGAGCCGCACACGGAAACGCCGTTTACCTTCCGGCTAGTAAGCGGTCCCTATTTATCTACTTGCACCCGGGGGTGCTTTCGAACTGCTAGGTTGGCAGGCGCTGGGACCGAGCAACGGGAGCGCACCCCGCTGCGGGGATTCGAACCGCTGACCATGCAATCGGCAAGTCCTAGGCGCTGAGGTTTAACCCACAGTGCGACCCGCGTCCCTGTTATTTACCTATACTTATTTATAAAACTTCTTACCTGCCCTTCAGCATAAGATTCCAGGGTGGAGTTACAATAACAGAATATACAGTTATAAAAACAGATAAAACCATTACAATTATAATGCACACAAAAGCGTTCCAAATGGAACAGTGCAGTGTACAAAACAGTATGAGATGGTTCCACAAAACAGCTTAATTTTCAAAGAGCAGGGGAAAGAGATCTCTTTAGCCCAATGTGAGAGCTGTACAATGAAGATGCTAGATACATCTCCGTGGGGAGGTACAGTCGTACCTTGGTTGACAAACACTTTAGCTCCTGAATGTGGGAATGTTTAGGGATGAGGGGGAGGATATATTGTCTAAGATATCCTATCCCAACTTGTTTTTACAAGTTCAACAAAATCAGCAGAGTTAACATTCCCCTTTTTTAAACACACGCACATCAGATAGCTTGCTCAGACTCGTTAGAGTCTCTGTAAATATTTCCTGGTATTTTTCCCGTTTAATCCCTCCTAAAATAAGATGCTATGCAGTCTTCTGTAAAGTATAAAACACAAGTACAGTGGTGCCCCGCAGGACGAATGCCTCGCAAGACGGAAAACCCGCTAGACGAAAGGGTTTTCCGTTTTGGAGGTGCTTCGCAAAACGAATTTCCTATGTGCTTGCTTCGCAAGACGAAAATGTCTTGCGAGTTCCTGCGGGGGTTTTTTCCTTTTTCCCAAGCTGCTAAGCCGCTTATCAGCTGATCGGCTAAGCCGCTTAACAGCTGATCGCTAAGCCGCTTATCAGCTGATCCGCTAAACCCACTAAGCCGCTAATACTGTAGCGCTAATCCGCTAAACCGCTAATGGGCTTGCTTCGCAAGACGAAAAAACCCGCAAGACGAAGAGACTCGCGGAACGGATTCTTTTCGTCTTGCGAGGCACCACTGTAATCATCTGTTCACACAAAGGTACCCAGAAGGCAGACTTTTAAAAGGTTATAACATAGTTTAAATGTGGTGACTATCTCCTTATGAGAGAAAGCCCCCCTTTTCTTCTCTTGGCCTGGAGCCAAGGGTGCATCTTAGTAGTGCTGTTGTTAAGATGACATTGATAGAAACAAGATGATCGCCAGCCTGTGATTCTTTTCTACTTCAGGAGAGGCCACGCCCATCTCGTTACACATAGGGAGTTTCATCTCAGTCCTGGAAAGCAGGAAGTTCTGGCTGGAGGACTGAGACAACCTTCATCTCTACTCTAGCCATGTTGTGTTTGACTGCATTCTTACATTCCACACTGAATGCCGCAAACCTGGGAGTGTTCTGGTTTGTGAATGTTCTTTTGGAACCTTCCTGCAGCCAATCAGAAGCCTTGCCTTGGGAGTCTAACGTTTTGGAAGTCAAATGGACTTCCAGAACGGATTCCGTTTGGCTTCCAAGGTACGACTGTATATAATTTTGGAGCTGCCACAGAAAAAGCCTTCTCAGGCTGTCATTCCTCATACTTCTGATGTGTTTTAACAAAAAGGGCCAGTAGGGATGGAGATGGTATTTTGTATATTTGGGGCCTAAGCCTTTTAGGGTTTAAAACACTTGAATTAGTTTGGAAACTGGCAACCTGTTGCATCTTCCATGGTGGATAGCGAGCAAATGAAAGCAAACAATAAATGCACAAGTCACCCTTCGCTAACAGAGGAATTGCCCACTTAATAGTCCAGGCTGGCTAGCCTCTTCCTTCTTGCCATTTTGAAAGTTAATAAAGGCAGTATTTAATTTAGGTTAATTTGTTCTCCTTGAACAGTTGATCATCTTGGGTCCTCCAGATGACTGCTATTGCTGCGTCTTTTATTACCTTGTCTGTTTTATCACAATATGATTGTACACCACTTTGTGGCCTATTGAGCCAAAAAGTAGCTCTTAATTTTTTAATATAAATAAATATGTCCTAGGAGTTTCCTAATGGCACTATAACGCTTTACAGTTGATTTCCAGAAACATTTTATGAAGCATTTGTTTTCCAGCGACATATGCATGAAAGATTAGTAAATGTTCTGTGTGTGGGGAAAAACACTAGAGTACAGATTGTTTAATCTTTTATAAATGGTTATTCCTTCAATATTCTTTTTAAAGGTCTGGAACGAATGCTTAACGCTTATACGGAATCTCCACAGTTCTCAGATGCAAAGAATCAGAATGATATCACTGAGCAGCTTGATGAGGTAACATTTTTTTACTGTAATCTGTAAATTAGTTTTATACCATCTTTTTAATGCCTGCCTGGGCTTAATTTGTTCATTTCAAATCCAGCTTTCACTAATATCTATTGCCCATGCCTCAAACAATCACTAGAAAATCAACTGGGCAGGTTTGGAATAGAATAACCTGCCAAATTGGGTGTGATTTATTTTAGGACAAGAGACAATAAGAGAAGTACTGTAGTACATTTTAAACTGGAAGTCTGTGTGTGTGTGTGTCAACTAGTGATGGTACAGAAATTTGTTTCAGTTTGCATTTAAAGGTGAACCTATGTAATCTGCATTTTCCAAAACAGGATGTAAACCAAAACACATCCATCCTTCAAAATTCACTTCTGTAAATTATGGAAATGCAACCAAATCATGTGTACAAAAATTCATATAAGTAGGATAAAGTGTGCCTACAAATGCATATATTACTGAAAACAATATACAAAAAATAATTATATTGGGGGAATTGCTTTGCAAAAAATATCTTTTAACAGGCAAACTTGCAATCAAACGTGAGTGTATTAGGAAAAATGTGCAAACGTGTGAAAATGTGGAGAACTCAACTGAACATAGATTGGAAAAAAGGGGAAACAAAGGGAAATCAAAATTGAGATTCACCCATCCCTAGGGTCAACTCCTGCCCCCACCCGAAATCAACATGAAGCAAAATACCATTTTACTAACAGTATTTTATTTTTTAAAAAACTGTATTATCTGTATTACTAGACATCTCTGAAAGTTATCCTTCTGCATGCAAACCACTTCAAGCTGGCGACTGTGCTTGCAGAAATTGAGCAGATGCCCAAACCAGTCGAACCCAGGAACTGCATTTCAAAATGGAAAGAAAAGGTACTATGAAGGGTTGTGGCCTGTGTCAAAGCACTTTTAGGGAACATGTGTGAGGCTAATTTGGAGGATATGTTTTTACAGCCCAGTCCCACAAACTATTACAGCCTTCTGTACATCCTGGTTCTTTCACCTGCCATTAGTGGGACCAGTAGGTCATTGCTGGTAGGAGCATACATTTGGGAAAGATTATTATTATTATTATTATTATTATTATTATTATTTTTACAATACAGCTAAACAAAAGCTTTTACTTACTCTTCAAAGTACCATATTTTTCGCCCCATAGGACGCACCTAGTTTTCTTTTTTGGGGGGGAAATAAAGAAAAAAAATTTTATTTCCCCCCCAGGCGCGGGGCTGGGGCAGGGGAAGCCTGAGCTTCCCCCGACCCCAGAACAGGCAGCTCTCTGCAAGCCTTGGGAGACCGGCGCGACTTCCCGCCGGGCTCCCATGCCTTGCGGATATCTGCCTGAAGCCCAAACCAGGTGCGCACCGACCCCTCTCGCTCTCCAGGCTTCAGCGAAAGCCTGCATTCGCCCCATAGGACGCACAGACATTTCCCCTTCATTTTTGGAGGTGAAAAAGTGCGTCCTATAGGGCGAAAAATACGGTACTTATTTAGTTATCTTGTATCTTGAACTTTAAGTGTCTGGTTTGGCATCATAACTCTTACTATGATGGGGCAGAGTAATCTTTGGGAAGTCTTTTAGATTGCTAGATTGTGCTGTACACTAGTTTTCAACTGCTCACTTTTTAGCTGTTTTATAAAGAGGTCATTTTTCCACTGGAAATTTTGCCTGCTAGAGCTGAGTACAGGGGATAATTATAAAAACAACTTAGAATTATAGAATGGAAGGGATCCTGAGGGTCTAGTCCAGCTATGACCAAACTTGTTAGCTAGGGATGATGGGAGTTGTAGTCCAAAAACAGCTGGAGGGCCAAGTTTGTCCACCACTGGTCTAGTCCAACCCCTCGCAATGCAGGAATGTCAACTAGATCAAACATGATAGATGGTCACTCAACCTCTGCTTTAAAACCTCCAAGAAAGGAGAGACCACTACCTCTCAGGACAGTCTATTCCACTGCTGAACAACTCTGTCAGAATGTTATTCCTGATTTTTAGTTGGAATCTTTCTTGTCACTTCAATCCATTGATTCAGGTCCTACCCTCTGGAGCAGAAAACAAGCTTGTTCCCTCTTCCATGTGACAGCCCTCATTTGAAGATAACTATCATATCTCCTCTTTACCAGGCTAAACATACCCAGCTCCTTCAACCATTCCTCATAAGGCTTGGTTTCCAGACCCTTGATCATCTTGGTCACCCTCCTCTGCACAAATTCCAGTTTGTCAATATTCTGTTTAAACTGGAGTGCCCAGAACTAGACACAGTAGTCTGACCAAGGCAAGATAGAGAGGGTCTATTACTTCCCTTGATCAGGACACTATACTTGTTGATGCAGCCTACAATAGCATCAGCATTATTTATTTAGCTGTTGCATCACACGGTTGACTCATGTTAAGTTTGTGGTCTACAAAGACCCCTAGATCCTTTTCACTTGTACTACTGGCAACTTCAAAAGTGATAAGGGATATAGTTTATTAGTGTTACTTGTAAAGATGCAGTCTTATTATGGAACAGAATCCTGTGGAAAGCTGCTTTATGTAAGAAAATATAACTGTTTGTCTGGGGGAGACTATCAAATCATATCTTAGCAATTGGGGAAGAGTGAAATAGCCAACATTTGTTCAGAGTATGCAAATGTTTACATGTTTACACTTAGCTATAGTTTGGCTTAGCATTATGTGCAAACTGCACCCCTGCGTTGTTCAAGTATATTTATTTTCACGTGCCTTTAGGTACAGTACTTTTGCCCAAAACAATTCAATTTTTAGCATTTCTCCTGTTAACAATGTTTTTTTCTTTCCCCCAAAACTGTTAGGACTGTGTGCATCACTCTGTGGCAATCACCTGCCCTGTTAAGAAGAAACATTTTAAGCAAACTTTGAGCACAGGGGCCACCAGTGAAGAAGGAATTAACAGGAGTTGTCCACCAGGTAAGGACACAATCCATTGCAGGATCAGCATGTGAAGTCTAGGGTTCTCTTCTCTCTCATAATCACATAGTTGGCAAAATGGCTGCCATTCTGGTACAATGGTACCTCGGTTTTTTAACGTCTCCATTGACGAACATTTTGGTTTTTGAACACTGTAAACCTGGAAGTAAATGCTTCAGTTTTCGAACATGCCTCGGAAGTCGAACATGCCACACGGCTTCCGCCGAGTGCAAGATTCTGAGGCCTAGCTGTTCGGTTTTCAAACGTTTTACAACTTGGAACAGTCTTCCAGAACAGATTACGTTCAAAAACCGAGGTACCACTGTAACAGTAGAAAGCTAAAGGAGCAAGTGAAAAGTTTCTAGCTAGTAAGATGTCTCTCTCACAGTTTCGGTACAAATTAAAAGCCTAAAAAGCAGCTGAGCCTTCTGGGGGCTCAAATATTGTGTTAGTAATGAGGATGCTGATAACTTTATTATTTGTACCCCACCCATCTGACATAATAAAACATTAAAAAGCTTCCCTATACAGGGCTTCCTTCAAATGTCTTCTAAAGAATAATAATAGGATTATTCTTCCCCATTCCTCTGTGGTGAGGCTCTGCATCTTTTGAGTGCCTGCCACCCTCCAGTCCTTCAAATTTATCATGATGGTGGGAAATGGGGCTGTCAGGTTCTAGAAATATGCACGTACAGCTATATAGTATGGGTACTTTTTCTGTCCAGAAGCAAATAATGCTCCCTGCAAAAAGGGAAAACAGCCGTACAACTGCCAGGCCAAAATGGAAACTATAATCAAACATCAGTTTTCTTAAATAATTTAAAAGGGGTCAACATACCTAAAATGGAACATAATACACCTGGCCCTTCAGATCCAAGCTGTTTTCAAATCTCTCCATCTCAAAAAATTAATTCAAGAGCTATAACTGGGTTGTTGTTGTTGTTTTAAAAGAGCTAGTTATTACCACAAGACTATATTTGTTATAGCCTGCTGTAAATATTATCACTTTTGTCCAAACTTTCCAGTAGCTGTTAGCAATTCAAAGCCAACAGCTCTACCGCCAGAGAATGGTGATTCAGTGTATGGAACTTGTACAGCTTTATATGATTACCACGCTGAAAGGGAGGACGAGCTCTGCTTGAATAAAGGTAACGGTAACATTTTCCCTCCTCTAATCTCAATGTAAGAGAAAAGCCCCACTGGATCAGACCCAAAGTCCATCTACTCCAGCATCCTGTTCTCAGTGGCCAAGAGAGGGACTAGCTTGTAGCATTTCTGGCTACAAAACCAGGGGTAGAGTTTTAACTTTATGCTGAAATAAACTCCTGGGGGAAGGACTAAAACCTGCCCACTCTCCATCTACCGTATTTTTCGTCCCATAGGACGCTCCGTCCCATGGGACACACCTAGGTTTTTTGGGGGTGGAAATAAAGGAAAAAATGTTTTCCTTTATTTCTCCCCCAAAACCAGGTCGGGGAACAGCGGGATGGCGGTGCTGCGCCTCCCCCGTCCCCCGAGCTTGTGGGGCTGGCCGATGTCTGCCCGGCGCGAGGGGCGCTTTGCTTCAGGGCGCCCCACGCGGGAGGCTGCTATTCGCAGCCTGGGGAGCCCTGCGGGAACTCCCGCAGGGCTGCCTAGGCCGCGGATGTGTTCCCGAAGCGCCGGGCGCTCTGCTTTCAGCGCGCCCGGCGCTCCAGGAAGCAGGCTGCTATCCGCAGCCTAGACAGCCCTGCGGGAACTCCCTAGGCTGCGGATGTCTTCCTGAAGCCTGGAGAGCAAGAGGGGTCGGTGCGCACCAACCCCTCTCACTCTACAAGCTTCAGCGAAAGCCTGCATTCGCCCCATAGGACGCACCCAGATTTCCCCTTCATTTTTGGAGGGGAAAAAGTGCATCCTATGGGGCGAAAAATACGGTAGTTTGGCTCTAAGCATACATATGGAAGAACACTTAAAAGCACAAGCCATACTCAAGAATGGTTTATCTGGTTTAGTCTTCACAGAGAAACCCTTCTGTTCTTTTAAAGGATGATAGAGACAGAGTACTTTCTAAAACCATGTAGCTTCCTTAGGAAAGTTGTGTTTAAGATCTGGTTTATTTGACTGAGGAAGTTAAAGTAACACTATGTATTATTATTAGGTGATGTGATTGAAATTCACCAGAAGGAAGAGGATGGATGGTGGTATGGCTCTCTCAATGGGAAAATAGGTATTTTCCCTGCTACATATGTGGAAGAATTAATTCCCTCTACCACCAGGAGCCTCAATGAAGATGACGAAACGTCTTTTTAAACTGAAAAACCACAACTGGGACAGATTGCAAGTGCAACTAACAATATGGATTTATTCACTTTGACAAGACATCAATTCAAGCTTCTCTAAGTGCCTGCTCTTCCTTTGTTTAGAACTTTTTCATGTTCTAAATAAAATATTGAAAGGCATTATATAAAACTCAACTTTCATTCGTTAAATTATTGTCATTATCGTAAATAATTAAAAACAATTGTAATACCAAATTCCTTCTTAACTTCTTTTTAAAGCAGTGATACCAACACTAAAGTAGCAATGCTGTACACATTTCACTGCAAGTAAATCACATTGCACTCATTGAAGCTTACTTCTGAGTAGACATGTATAGGATTGCATTGTTAAGGAACCACGATATTAATATTTGTCATTTAATGGGACTGGTGTTAGCTTGTACTGGGCGGGAAACTTTTTTTGTTTTTTTTAAGAGTTATACAGTGAAAGCAGACATTTACTATACCTTGTTCAGAGACTGAGTTTGATGTGCCCACATTCCATGGGCAGCTCTGAATGAAACAGAAGGCTTTAGGGGGAAATGACATCTGCCCTGCCTGGGCAGGGGGGCGGGTGGTAACCTAGAAACTGGTGCTACTAAATAAAGCAAAAGTTTCTGATCTGCAAATGCAACCCTGTTTAAATCTGAGGAGCCCAGGATCTGATCTGTCTTCATGAAAAGCAGAGGTAGCATAGCCCAGGTGCAACTCAAACTCTATCTGAAGGTCAAATAGTTACGATGAATGCCTACTTTCTTTTATTTAAGCAGAAAAGATATCCAGACAGATTTACATATATAACAACATATCATTTATAAGTCAAAGCGATGAAGGCTTTCCTGACGTTAGCAATAAATGCAGAAAAATTGCTGGTTTCCCTCACTTTTTGCTGCAGTTCTTCTATACAGTCCAGAGGAGGAAAACAAGAAATCACTAGGAGAAAATAGGGAAAAACATAAGTTGTTGCATAAGTTGCTACTTTATCCAAACCATGAAGTTAGTGAATCTTAATATACTGGAGGTAACAATTCTTGCTGCAAAGATTAGGTGATTTTTTAAAGCAGAATCTAAAGATTAGGTGATTTTTTTTAAAGCGGAATCTAAACGCTAATGCCTTTTTACAGTGTGTGGAGAGAGAATGATGATCTGAGATTAGATTTATAGAAAACAGTTCCACTATGAAATGCAACAGTATCCATAAACTTTATACATACCTTCATAAGCTCCCTCTTCATTTATGGTAAGGGTAAGCATGTATGGTTTCTCAAGATCTTTGTGGTCAACACAACGGAATATAAACTGCAAATGACTTGCTAAAGGCAAAAACAATATTTCGTTAAGTGTGTCAGGTAACATTCATTTGCGTGCGTTTCATGTCCCTGCAACATTTTACTAAGTCTTAAACTGCTGCTGTATTTTTACCAAGTTAAAGGATTCACATTACATAGAAATGTATCTGCTCAGTCTAGATAGCACCAGCCATCCTATTTTGTTCAAATTACGCTCTGAAGATTAGAGTGGCTGGATTCAGAGATCCATGGATGGAGTTCTGCTCATGGGATGCTCCTGTTCACAGAATGAGGAAAGGCAAGTTTCATCAATCCCCCCCACTCCAAGTGAGAGGGAGCCTCAAACCACATGAGAGTTGGTTGTGGAGGCTGCAGGGGAAACTAGTAAAAATCATTTCCAGCCCTTTCCATGAGCAGAGGCCTCATTAGATCATGTGCCCCTTCAGTGAATAGGATTCTTATTCGGATGACTGATATCACCCTAACTGATGACTTACTTCATTATCATCTATATAATGCCACCATCCTACCCGTTTTCCATATACCTAGCACAGTATATTGCTCAATCAAAAGTGCATTTGGAAGGGAAGAGAGAGTGTGTACAATAACCCCAATTTTTGGTCTCTTCCTTATGGAAGTACGCAAGTAAAACAATCCAAGATTGTGATAATTGATTGGATAGGCAACATGAACCCGCCCCCCCCCAAAGAAGCATGCATCATTTTGGTTTAGGTACTTAGAAAACTGATAGCGTAATCATACATGATGTAATGCTAGGGTGTTCCATCTCGAAAAGTTGGTTTGTGAACAAAAAAGCAACCTGTTTGTTGCCATGATTGCAAAATCCTCTTTTCCCTGCTGCCCCTGTAAAATGAGATTACTGACAGCACTGAACAGTTGTGGCGGCTGCTTCTCACTCATCTATATAGGACCCAGAAAGGACCGGAACTATCAGCACCAATTATCCATTAGACAATGCACTTTCAGGACACGAGCATATGCTGGATGCAATGCCTTTCTCCTTTACAGCAGCCTTTTGTACAGGTGTCAGGGCACACTTGCATGGGAAACTGTTTCTATTCAAGTTCACACTTGTTGCACTTTTTATTGGGCAGTTAATGGATTAATTCTGCTACAGCAAAACAATACTAGTCACACCCTGAAATTATAGAAATGAACACATCAGTCTTACCACCAGTTTTGCGTATTTCTAACCCAAGCCGCTCTTTAAATAGTTTTTCAGACTTATGAAGTCTTTCCATGAATTCTTCTGGGGGCTTGCTTTTAACTGAGATTTAAACAAAATAAGACACAGTGTTTTTTTTTCATCCATGCCATTAACCTAAAGTTGTATTTTTTAAAAAACCATTTGATAAACCTATCAAATCTTGGCCTCTCTTGTTTGCTGCCTCGCCTGAATTCTACAAATGAGGAGTTAATACATGCTTTTTTTAAAAAAACACCATACTATTTAATGAGCCACCTGCCCCATCAAAATTTCATTTTCTTGATGTGGTGTGTTCCTACTCAACTGAATACTTTAATATGAATACATCTTTCCCACCAATGTTTTTTTTTTATATATATTAAGGTATTTTGATGGGTCATTTTGCTTCCCAAGTTAGAAAGCAAGCCTTACTATATAATCCTATGTATATCTACTCAAAAGTATGCCAAGGATTGCAGTCATAGTCCTTTCTATTGCCCTAAATGTAACACACTTATAAAGCTCCTAAAAGTGTCATATTTTAATGCATTTATTCAGAAGTGACACTTGCATAAGCTGCCAGATTTTTATAAATCACAGGCAAATACATCATACTTTTTAGTACACATTTCACTATGGGGAAATCATGGTCATGGAGTTAAACTAATGTGATGTGGCCCTTTGTCACACATTTCTCAAATAGTATGGCATTTTCCAATCTCTCCAGAACTAGAATTCTTTATCACCATTTTGATTGTGACTTACTTTTACTTTTTATGATCAATTCTTCTCTGAGCTCTTGAATAGTAGCCATCAAGTCTGCCTCTTCCTTTCTGCCATCCTTAAGGTCAGCAAGTACTTCGGATAATTTCTCTTGTTTTTCCTCAATGGATTTGTTCTTCTGACAGGCTTCTACATGCAACAGGGAGAACTTGGAAAACTTTGCTCACTGCTCACCCCATATTCCTGATAATTTACAAACAAGTTGAAAAGCATTGCTACCAATATTAATAATTGGCATGCCCCACCTCTTATATCCTACCATTGTGAGAACTGTCCACTTACTCCTATAATCAGCTTCATGTTCATTAACAAGTTTCTAATCCAGACAAGGACCTGTCCTCTTATCCCATAAATGCAAAGTCTGCTGATTAATCTTTAGTAACAGAACAACAGTTTGACATTTTAGATTTTAGAAACAGAGGCAGCACATCCTATTTTGCCGCTTAAGGCAAAACGGGAAGTGGCACCCTGCCCTGCTGTCACACTGCATGCCCTGCTGTATTTGCCATGGCAGAGAAGCGACAGTGCTTTTTTCAGACAATATCTCACTGAGGTGCTGCTGGCAGTGCTTCTCTGCTGTTGGCAGAGGGGCAAGGTAGGGTACCTGCAAGAGTGCCACCTGAGGCCGTGGGCTCACCCTGCTTAATGGCTGGGCCAGCTCTGGAAGCCAATATCTATAAGCTAACACAACAAAGCATTTCTCAACTCCCTTCTCACTATATTCAAACCTTGTTTTCAACCACCAAATTTTTCCCATATCCCCCACCTTCACTCGCTCTACTCAAACCTCAGCCATGGTTCAAAACTGCCACTCCCTGTCCCCCCTTAGTGTTGCTTTATCCCTGCTCTACTCAAACCTCTCCATCTTCCATTCCTTAGCTGCTTCTAATGTTGTTTGACTCCTAGTACTATGTGTTGTCTTCTACATTAAGTTCCAGATTCCATGTAGCCATTTAGAACAGGTATTTTATTAACAAGCAAGCACTCGGATATTTTCAACATCCATTAATTAACCGTCTCTAACTAAACAAGCTAAGTGACAGGCTCACTCTAAGATTTCTATACACCTGAAAGATACAGTAAGATATGTCTGCAAAAGTAAGAGGGCTACAGAATTGGAGGGAGGAAGAGGCATAGAAATGGGGGCAGTCTCAGTGCAAGCAAGAGTTGAGAAAAAGGAGGAAGGGAAAGGGAGGTGAAGATGAAAATGGGGGAGTGCAAAGGGAGTTCGCAAAAAAGGAGGGAGTGGGCAGCATGGCCATGATTGCGAAGTGAAAGCAGGAGTATGACAGTGACTTCAGAATAGGAGAGGCTATTTGCTTCATTATTGGGCAGAAGGTGAAAAGGGTGGCATCAAGTTAGTTAGTGTACAGGGTGGGGGTTGCAGAAAAGGGGAGACAAGAAGGTATGTACTCATGCAAAAATATTTAATGAACTCATACTCTACCATCTGTGTACTCATGAAATTTAGTGATCATCTTGTCCCCATCTATTAATCTGTTCGACCATTTATCTGTAATTAAAAACAAAACAAACAGTTATCTGCCAGCCCACTCCTGAAACATTTGTGCTGGTTTATAAACAATGTATACAAAACAGATTTAAATAACTTTTGCTGATAAGCTATGCTGAAAGTCTTGGCCCTCACAAAATTTTATTTATACCCAGATATGCCTTCCCAACCCAACATTGCTGAGAGACAAGTGCAGGAAATGGGATGACATGGGACCCAATTTGGCTTTTCTTTCTCTCCCACCAGCCTCCCTCCCAACAGCTTCTCAGCCATGGAAGGGGATTGCTACTAAGGTGTGTCCTGCATTCCACAAATGTTTTAAAGGAACACCACTTGCTCAGAATTGCAGTTTAGCATCCCTTGCAAATAGGAAACGGTTTCTGTGTAGAGCACCTTTGCCTCCGTGGCAGGAAGTGTCAATTACCAATAATTTAATAGCAATAACCCATATAAAATTGTACCTGAAAGCTTGCATAAAGACTCCATGCATAAATCACTCAGCCTCAGCGTCTGGTCAATCTTCTCATTGCTACAAGTGGTTTTGAACTTAGTCCATAATTCCTTCATGTGTTCTGCAAGTTTTGCCAGTTCATCATCACCTTTTTCCTGGGCCATGATTCTAAAAATAGATTACAGTATAATCACTCAGAAGTTTCTCCAGGTAGACAGACAGGCTTGCTGATTTCCTGGGCAAACGTAAAATAATTGCTTATTGAAAAATCCCACGTATCCAAGTCATTTAGATTTTAAAGGGCAAAAATCTAGGTATCAGAATAAGTGTTGGGCTGTTTACAACTGAATGCTATCATTAGCCATAAAAGCTCTCACAAGACCCTATGTAATTCTCAACATGACAGAACATATAAAATTACCGTATTTTTCGCTCTATAACACACACCTGACCATAACACGCACATAGTTTTTAGAGGAGGAAAACAAGAAAAAAATATTCTAAACGAAACAGTGGATGTATGATTTTTGTGGTTCATGCTGTGGCCACAGACATGATCTGACGGTGAGTTTGGGGTAGCCCAATGCAAAAATCCTGAGGATCCATGTGGATCCATGCTTTGTAACCACGTTTTTGCGCCATTGCAGCCCCATGAAACAGTGGGTGCGTGTGTGTTTTTTGGTGCAGGCTGTAGCCATGGATATGCTATGTGATCTGATGGTGAACTTGGGGTGACCCAGTGCAAAAATCCTGAGGATCCATGTGGATCCGTGCTTTGTAACCATGTTTTAAGTGGGGAAGGAAGGAAAAGCATTCAAGGGACAAGGAGCACGCGTGGGGTGTGTGGAGAAGGATGCTGCTAATAATGCAGAAGAGGGGTTTAAGGGGAGAAGGAACACGTGTGGGGTGTGTGGAGAAGGATGCTGCTAATAATGCAGAAGAGGGGTTTAAGGGGAGAAGGAACACGCATGGGATGCGTGGAGAAGGATGCGGCTAATAATGCAGGCGAGGGGTCTAAGGGGAAAAGGAACACGCGTGGGTGTGTGGAGAAGGATGTGGCTAATAATGCAGGCGAGGGGGTCTAAGGGGAGAAGGAACACGCATGGGGTGTGTGGAGAAGGATGCTGCTAATAATGCAGGCGAGGGGTCTAAGGGGAGAAGGAACACGCATGGGGTGTGTAGAGAAGGATGCTGCTAATAATGCAGGAGAGGGGTTTAAGGGGAGAAGGAACACGCATGGGGTGTGTAGAGAAGGATGCTGCTAATGATGCAGGTGAGGGGTTTAAGGGGAGAAGGAACACGTGTGGGGTGGGTGGAGAAGGATGCTGCTAATGATGCAGGAGAGGGATTTAAGGGGAGAAGGAACACGCATGGGGTGTGTAGAGAAGGATGCTGCTAATGATGCAGGAGAGGGGTTTAAGGGGAGAAGGAGCTCGTGTGGGGTGTGTGGAAAAGGAGCTTTTCGGCAAGCTGAGCAGGGAGGGGGGAGGGAAAGAGCACTGTTGCTTTAAAGGAGCCAACCGGACAGCAACCACTTACAGCAGTGTAAGCAGCTCCTTTATTCTCCCGCTTTTCTCCTTCTCTCCCTCTTTGCTGCTTTACGCAGCTAATGGCGAATCCCCTGCAACCCAAGTCCTGCTCAGCGGATCAGCTGAGACACTGGGGGAATCGTAATTTCCCCCTCTCCCTCATCCCATGCCCTCCTGTCCCCAGCAGCCTTTTAAAAAACTTTTTTACTGGTTTTCACTGCGCTCGTGGCTCAGAGCCCTCCTGTGCCCTGCCGTCCCTCTGCAGCCTCATTGCTCCATTTAGAGAGCGCATGGACCTTTGCTAGCTGAGGCTGCAGCAGCTGTTGCTGGCTACGCGGTGCTTTTTCCGGCTCGCTATGGCTCCCGTCTGTCCCTCCTCCCGTGTAAGCAGCTGCTGCCCGCTTTGCTGCCATGGCTCTCCTTCCCTCCTTCCTCCTCAGCTCCTCCCCCTCCTCCTGGCTGTAAAGCAAGCAAAGCTAGAGCCGTGCAAAGCCCTGCAAGCGGCTCCCGCTTTACTTGACTGACGGCAGCCATGGCTCCGGTCGAGTGCATTCGCTCCGTAACACGCACAGGCATTTTCCCTTACTTTCTAGGAGCAAAAAAGTGCATGTTTTGGAGCGAAAATTACGGTAATCCTAACACACACATAACCCTTCAAAATGAATACGACTTAATACTTTAAATACTAAATAATGATGGAGCCAAATAAATTTTTAGTGCGAGTGCGTTTCATCAATTGCCAAGAAAGCCTTGCTCTTGTTAATTGCCTCTTAGTGATGGGTGAGACTGCAGGGCCTGATTTTCTGTTATAAGGTTTGGTATGAACAGGCAACCCTTTGCATAGACAAATCCCAAACCCAAAATATGTTACCAGTACAGAATTGCTGCAATATGCAGCCTCCTTTGCCAAAAGTTTCCAAACCATCTTTAAAAGTTACCTTACTTACAGTGCTAATAATTCAGCTTGGAAGGAGTCAGAGCATCATTTACTAGGTCAAGTTTCCCCAGGAATATGATCCTAACAGGCAAACTAGCTTGGCCACTGATGCTCCTTGCACTGCCATTGGCAATGTTTGGGAGCAGATGCTCCCTTCAACTACAGCTCACCTTCAAGGGAAGTGTAAATCCCTCCCCTCACACAAGACAAGCTGCACAACTCCATCCAGGTGTTGCCAGCTTTGCCATTTTAAAAAAGGGGCGTGGGGTCAAAGAAGCTTTCCAGGGGAAGAAATCCAGTAGCAAAATCAAACCATATGTAAGAAGAGCTGAAACTGTTCACCCTCAGCAACTAAGTGGCTGTTACAATTTTGAACAAGGATAGCTCAGTCGGTAGAGCATGAGATTCTGAATCTCAGGGCTGTGGGTTCAGGCTCCACGTTGGGCTAAAATATTCCAGCACTACACGGGGTTGGACTAGATTACATTTGAGGTCCCTTTCAACCCTACAATTCTATGATTCTTTGAAATCCAGTTGGCGGAGTAAATAAAAAGCTTTCTGACCGGCCACTTGCTTTTTTTCTTTCTTTCAAGAATCTTCCTGAAAATGAGACCCTCACCATCATTAATGACGATGTCTCTCTAATAAGTTTTTAATCATTGGAGTCCCTTCCAAATCTACAACTCTATGATTCTAAGCAGGGATCGTAAGGGGCTCCCCAACCCCCTAAGTATGGAGGTAGACTATTTAACAGGAAAAAAATCAGGAGCATTCTCTTTTTTTAAAAAAAATGTTTCTACTTTGCCTGGCAAGAACTGAATTCTGTGTGTGTGTGTGCGCATAAGTGTGTGTGTACGCACACCCACCCACCCCATATATATACACCACTCACAAACACATATATACTATACATAGCCACACACTATATATACACATACACTACATAATATACATACACAGATATACTATATTGTATAGATCCACACACTATATATACACACACACACACTACATATATACATACACTACATATACGTACACACATACACAAACACATAATATCCACTCACTATCTATACACACCATTATGTGTGTGTGTCTACACACACATACGCATGTACACACACTCTCTCTCTCTCTCTCTCTCTCTCTCTCTCTCCATATTTATATAACGATAGAGAGAACACCAGCAGACACTTCCCCCCCTCCTCCGTCAGACGAGTCCCCTCCCTCCCCCCCCATACCAAGGGACGCGGCAGCTGCAAACCCGAGCCTGTCTCTCGGCAGCGAACAAGGGTCCGTGTCCAGGTCGCCTTGTTCTCGGAGCGGGGCTGCGACTCAACTCACGCCCCGCGAGCGGCCGCCCGACTCGCTCAGCTCTGCCGCCACTTTGTTCAAATCACGCGTCGCCTTCGCGCCCGCCTCCAACGGCCAACGGCCGCTTTCCTCCTTCGCGCTCAGCGTGCGCCGCACAACGGACCCAGCGATTGGTCCGCGTGCATTGAAGTCACCGGCGACGTCAGGTTCTCTCTTCGCTATTGGCCAAAGAGATGACGGGTGACGATCTGCATGATGGGAATTGTAGTTTGTTTTTCTCTCAACGACAAGAGCGGGTTAAAGCACCCAACACGTCCCCTAATACTCTGACTGGTCTCATATCACGAACGGCCTCTCTGATCCTGCTTCCCGCATGGGGTGCTACCTTGTCACCGAATCAGAGAGTTGGAAGGGATTCCCAAAGGTCATCTAGTCCAATCTCCTGCAATGCAGGAAAATCTCAACTAAAGCATTCAGGACAGATGCCACCCAACTATGCCAAGCTCCAGACTAGTTGTTTATATATTGTGTAGTATTGTGTGTTAATATTGTAAACTGTAAATTGGGAAGAGTGGAGGTATAGAAATGTAATAGGTAATTAAAATAACAGTAATAAAATTATAGGCTAGTGCTATCTACTACTACTACTATTTATTGAATTTATATACCGCTCTATACCCAGGGGTCTCAGGGCAGTTCACAGAATAAATCAAGATATAAAACCACAAAATACCTAACAAAAATAAAAACAACAACCCAATAGCCTGGTAGTGGCTCTCCAAGGATGCTACCTGACTTGACTGACACTGAAACACACAAACACACCTTTTAACTGGAGATCCCAGGGACTGAACCTACATTTAAAGCTCTTGTGCCATGGTAACAGTCATGGCAAAGAATCCTGAATCTTGTAAGTGCACTGGAGTCCGGAGCCCTACCTAGGGATAGGGGAAATATAGGGTGGCATCTAAGATGTGCCCCTGCTGCATCAGGCCAAAGGCCCTTCTCCTCCAGCATTCTGTTCTCACAGAGGTCAACCAGATGCGTGTGGGAAAACCACAAGCAGGATTTGAGCACAAGAGCCCTCTCCCCTCCCTGTGGTTTCAGGAGCATACTGCCTTCAACAGTGGAAGCAGAACTTAACCATTGTGGTTAGTAGCCATTGATAGCCTTATTCTCCATGAATATATCTAATGCTCTTAAAACCATCCAAATTGGCGGCCCTCACTTATCTTCGGGAAGCAGATTCTATAGTTTAACTATACAGAGTGTGATTAAATACTTTATCTATCTCGGATCTTGCAACATAGGTGTCCTCAAGCTTTGTACTATGAAAAGGAGAGGGGGTGAAACTCTCTCTGTCCGTTATCTCCACACCAGGAATAATTTTCTGTACCTCTTATCATGTCTCCTCTTACCCTTTCTCTAAACAAAAAAGCCCTAAATGTTACTTAAAATCTGCTCCACCCCTTGGTCAGTTGGGTTTCCCTTTTCTGAACCTTTGCAACTGGTATGGGCAACCATGGTTTTTGTTTTTTGTTTGCAGAGAATTTTACATATAAAAAACAAACATTGAAATATACACGGAGTCAAGATTTCATGCTCTTTATTCAGCTCATAGTGGTGAGGAGGAATGGCGTTCCCCCAGAATGTCTGCCTGATATACATTATTTACACAATGGGCCCCACGTGATTGGCTAATTCCGGCATTCTCCTGCAGGCCAATCAGGTTGCGGATTCCCTTCCACCTGGAACTAGATTGAGTGGCTCCTGTGGACCAATCAGACTGCTGCATTCTGAATCCTATTGTTCTAGGACCAATCATAGTGCTGCCTTTTGGATCCTATTCAACTCAGTACCTAACAAACGTGCAATAGAGATAACACAAGGACTGTACAGATGCTGTTTCAGTGAAGACTGATCACATATACATGAGGTTGTGGTCACTGCATGAAGCATCCTGTTAGCTGTGGCTGCAGACCAATCTTGCAGGGAGTTGAATCCCAACACAGCACTGAGCTATAGTAAAAGGGCCAAGAGAGAGGATTTCTAGGGCATTTACAGCACAATTTTTATAAATCTGAACTCCAAGGGTTTTTTGTTAGCTGTAAAAGATGCAACTGAGATCAAAATAAAGCAATGCAAACCTTAGTTATGTTGGTTCAAGGAATTGTTGGAGAATTCCAGGATGCCATGATCCAAGTTTGGGGCAAGTACTCTTTGGTGAAAGAACGCCAGTAGAGATTTAAAATCACAGAATATGCAGAAAAGCAAAGGGTGGAAATATAGGCTGTCATACATTTAAAAATATGCCCTTCCAAGTTCCTTCCCAAGTTCCTCCCCTAGTGTAGAAAATGACCACATGTTTGGTGAGTTAAAAAAGGTTTACTTGCAAACTCACCAAAGGTCAAATTCATGTGCTTTCCTGGAGAGTTCGGGACAGTAAAACTTGGCTTAGTTACAGTGGTGAAAGTTCCTAAATTATTGGTTTAGGAACTCAAGAGCAGCTTGTTAGAGCCATGCAGTCTGAGCTGCAGCAACCAGCTGAGCCCTCCTCACACCTTGAACTTCTCTGGTAGACTGAAGGGGAATAAGGGCTTGATTACCTAGTCCAGGCTTCCTCAACCTCGGCCCTCCAGATGTTTTTTGCCTACAACTCCCATGATCCCTAGCTAGCAGGACAAGTGGTCAGGGATGATGGGAATTGTAGTCTCAAAACACGGAGGGCCGAGGTTGAGGAAGCCTGATCTAGTCCATCCCAAAGTGAGCTAAGCCTGGCACTACAGCTCACTCTATGCCTTAATCCCTTAGACTTAAGCATGTTGGTTATATGAGGCTTGTTATCCCATAGGTTATTTGTAAAAATGTTGAGGAATCTCCACTGGGGAAGAACAGTTGGTTCAGGAAGAATTGCCTTTGATATTATGTTTGGGTTTGCAGAACCCCAAAATATATCATGTTACAAGACAGTTGGTAGATGGCATATATTTTTGAAGCTGCTTTAGCAGCATATGGAGTACATAGTTAATGAGCCCATAAAACCTATTTCAAAATTATATATAGTACTTGTAAGGTGGTAATCCCCAATATAATAAAATGTTTTTCTAAGCTTTCCATTAAATATTCAGCACAGAAAGGAAATAGGGATGCACTTCTGGTTGTACAAAACTCGGCACACTAGGGTATTTTCTCCCTGCCTTGTCAACATGTTGTTCTGAAATCCTGTTTTTGCAGACAGAGAGAAAATCTTTTTAAAACCATCTGTCCACAGAATGTCTAACAATAAATAAATTAGGTTAGCATTGATTTTCACTTCCCTTTCATTAAATTTAATGCAAGCGTAGATATTTCTTTTCCATTTCACAACCTCTATATATGTCATTAAGGCTGCAAGGACTCACTCCCCTAGGCTGGAAGTGCCAACAAAATGGAGTTTACTTCTGAGTAGGAGTTCACTGTGAGATGGCTATTTTGCACCTCTCATAAATTCTGGGCCAGAATGGGATAAAGAGCAAAGAATCAGACTGCTAGCTGAACTGCTATAATAAAACAGCTTTTATAATAATAGACTGTGTGCTCTGCAATTGGTTCTTCTTCAGTACTTGTAGGCTGAATATTTCTTTCATGTCACCTGTCTTGAGTTTGGGAACACATCATCCTCTTGCTTTTTAAATTGCCGTTTGTTGTTTCCTAATGAGTGCTGTGTGCAGCAGGATGAGCTGAATCCATTCATTTACCTGTTGCAAAAATAGTTCTGTGCAGCATGCGTTGATCTTTAGCATCACTCTCCAAAGAGCTTTTGTGTTTCCCTGGACTTTTTAGATCCAGTGAATTATATTGCATTCTTCTATTTTTACCTGTTGTCTAGCAAGCTGCCAGCGTGTCTTATACCAGTTCCCTGTCTGTGCAGGTGCTGATTAGAGACTTCATTTGAAATGCAGCAATGGCTTCCTCCCAGCTTTATTATTTTCCCATTGACGAAAATGTATCTACAGAACACAAAAAGGAGCCAGCACTCACCTGACAGAGTTTGTTAGCAATTCTCAGTTCTTTTATTAGGATTGCTCATCTCCAATTTAAAAAAAAACCACACCTGTTTTATGTAACAATGACAGAGTTTTATTTCTTTGCTCCTTGGAGAAGGATGAAAAAATTTGCAGATTTTTCCAAATCTGCTCATAAAGGACAGAGTACAGAAAGCTCTGCCTCAGTGGAGAAATCCTGTTAAATCTTTAGCACAGTCTCACCTGATAAATGCAACCATGATGATGATGCAAGGTACAACTGATAATAGATGCTTTTCCAAGCAGCTCAACAAGACCCCATAACAAACAGTAAGGTTGTCACAAACAGGCAGGACAATGGGGAGGAGAAAGAGGATCTTGGCGGGGGTGTAGCTGCAACTGGGACCCACTGGGGCAAGCCGGGGAGAGGGTGGTTTTGTGGGAAGTGCTCACAGGATGACAGGGGACAGCGAGGGGATGTGGTTCAGTGTGCAGGGACCAGAGCAGCACAACCCATCATCAGAGCCAAAGGGGTCTCCATGAACAAGGCGGGCTCTGAGGTGTAGGGAACAGTGGGAAGTATGTTCTGGGAGGCTGAGGCAGGCAAAGGCCCACAGCCTGCCAAGTGGGGCTCCTTAGCTCTGAGAGAATTCCTCAGCTGGATTCAACTCAGGACAGGTGAGGGTCACATGCCTCATCAAGCCCAGGTGCTACAATCAAGACTCAAAAGCGAAAAGGGGAGTAGGGCTGTTGGGCTGTGTCTGCCTATCTTTCTATGTTGATGGACCTTGACTTGGAAGCTCTAGAACATCTACAGGACTGTGCTTTGGGTTGGACTGTATTTCCTGACCATTGGACTTTGTGCTTGGCCTATTTGGATTGACCCTGGACTGTGCATCCCGGCTGTTGAGCTTTGGACTTGACCTACTGTATTTGTCAGTGGGACTTGGAGTCAGGGGTTCAGGTGAAAGGTCAACAATGCTGCTATAATTGTTGGTCCTAGCCCAGGAGCTACCACGCATATTCATCAGGTCCAAAATGTCTGTACATACTGGACAATGCACTATAAGATGCACTATTTGGAACTTGCATGTGAGGCATGAAAAGGAATCTCATGGTCAGCAATCTTATCCTGTTGCTTCTTGCTCTCTGACCAGTCTTACCAAGAAGTCTCCACGGGACACATGATAAATGGATGCTCATCAAAATTTGATAATTCTGAACAAAACAAATTAACTGAATTTTGGATCTTCATCATCATTATTTTTCATTCCAGTCGTTCTAGATGATGGATTTTATCATCCCTGTTCCATTCTGACTCTAAGTGGAGGGGGAAGGAAATTTGCTGCCTGATCTATGATGACGCCTGAAGTTAATGTTATTGTTGCCATGAATGAAAAAACATTGTGTACCAAGGGTAAGTGGACTTCAGCTAACACTATTAGAGAAGTCATTTTGCTTTGCTGCCTTGTCCTTCTCCTTGCAAACATTTGCTTAGCAACACCTGACCTCGGTTATCATATAATGTTTGCTTTGATAATATGCGTACAGTAATCATGGACATTTTCTTGCATTAGTTAAAAAGTTTGCAGACTGAGGTCTGGAGATCCCAGAGATGCTTGTTGGGTGCTTATCAGGGGCTCCTCAGTGAGAAGACCAGCAACGACAGATAAGCTTGCCAACCACTACAAAGCTACACCTGTCATGAACATACATGACAAAATTTGGGAGTGTCCTAGCGGTCATCTAAGGCTCTCGCAGGGTGACAGTGAGGTCCAAACTGTGTGAAATGCTTTGCACTCTAGAACCACACCTCAGAATCCTAGTTGATATTCACGGCCTTAGAAACCTTGCAAAATTCTTCTTTGGACGATCACTTTTTTTTTGTTGCTTTATTTCCATGCCCCCCCCCCGCTCTGCCCGCCCAGTAAATAATGTCAATCGAGAGTGTACAGAATTTCAAAACATAAAGGAACCTCCTGGAGGAGATTCATGGAGCCATCCAGTCCAATAGAGTAGACCATTTTCCACAGTGGCCAATCGGAAACCCACAAGCAGGGCATGGAGGCAACAGCAGGACACACCCAGAATAAAACCCCAGTCTGAAGAGGCCCTTTGTAAACTGAAAACGTTGCAAAAGTACAATTGGTTGTAGGTTTTTGTACCAGAACCATTGTCGGAGGGCCACTGTTGATCAGCACTGCAGAGCACCGTGGCCTGCAGCCAGTGCTTTTTTCCTGGGGGTACGCAGGGGTACGCATACTACCGCTAAACATTTTGTGAATCTAAGTTTGGCCTCATTGGGGGGCAGTATTTCAATATGAGTAGGAAAATGAGAGTACCCCTAAACATTTTTTTAAAGCACTGCCTGCAGCCAAAAGCTCAAAGTCTCTCTTCAGAGAGAGCCTCTCCTAGGAGCACCAGAGTTTTCATCAGTGGGGCTGTGGGGTGGGGGGTGGGGAATAAGGACCGAAGAATTGCAATTCCAAATACAGTACAGCAACCTCCATATGCCAGTGAACAGCAGACCTGCATATAGGAGACAGAATTCTTAGGGGAAGGATTTGAACTCTACTGCATCACTTTAAACCATCAGGCTTTGCCCAAGTCAGACCCTCCCAGTGTCCCTTTTTTCCAGGGACAGTCCTGGATTTACAGAAGCCACCCCAGTTTCTAATTTGATCCTGGAATGTCATGTTTTTCCTTAGGATGTCCCTGTTTTCATTGGGGAAATGTTGGAGTGTGTGGAGTTCTGTGACCCCCTGAGCCAAGGAGCCAACAACCTTTAGAATACACCTGAAGTCAGCCCTGTATAGGAAAGTTTTTTAAAAAAAAAAGTTTAATGTTTTATTATGCTTTTATATATGTTGGACGCCAGCCAAAGTGGCTGGTGCAGCCCAGTGAGATGGGCAGGGTATAAATAATAAAATTATGATTACGTATGTCCCTATTTTCATTGGAGAAATGTTGGGAGGTATGTCATTTTGTTGCCTGAGGTGGAATGACTCCCTGTCTCCCCACCCCCCAATGTTAAGGCACATAATACTTGAGGCCAGCCAAGTACTTCGTCACCGGAGGCAGAAAATCCCACAATTTTACTGCCAGTAAAAATAAGAGTAATAATAAATTAACTGTCATTCAAAACCTGGAGTCTGAGATGGCCTCTTCACTCTGTCTAATAGTAGGGCTGACCCTGTAAAGCATGGGTAGGCAAACTAAGGCATGGGGGCCGGATCCGGCCCAGTCGCCTTCTAAATCCGGCCCGCAGACGGTCCGGGAATCAGCGTGTTTTTACATGAGTAGAATGTGTCCTTTTATTTAAACTGCATCTCTGGGTTATTTGCGGGGCATAGGAATTCGTTCATTTCCCCCACCCCCTTCAAAATATAGTCCGGCGCCCCACAAGGTCTGAGGGACAGTGGACCGGCCCACGGCTGAAAAAGGTTGCTGTGAAGCGTCTACACTCAGAGTACTCGCGATGCTGCACATACTTGTTTTGGTGACTCAGGGGCCAGCAGGCAACTGACCAAATGTCTGGATAGTCACTGAGAACAGGTGACAGTTGCCTTGTGCAGAGTGCACTCTTTTGGTTCCTACGTGTATTTGCGTACTCACAGTTCTGCGGGCCATATAAATGTGTGGTTTGTTTCTTTGCTAGGACTTGCAGGTCCTGGTACTGTGCCATGACAGGTTTATGAATTACCCAGTCGTGGTAAGAGGTGAGAGTGGGGCAGGAAGGGAATCCACAGAATCCCATAAGAGTGTTTTAACTCTTTTGCAGGTGACAGGAGTGGGATCAACGCCTGAAGAAGCAGAGGATCCAGACTAAGATGCACCTCTCCCAGTGCACCTCTAAGTTCCATTTCCCCCCACTTTAAGGTTGGTGAAGTCTTCCCAGGATAAAGATTGGTATTGCAAGAGTGGTATTGATATCATTATCATTATCATTATCAGTGCTTTTTTCTGGGGGGACGCAAGGGTACACATACCCCTAAACATTTTGTGACTATAACAGGAGAAGCAGCTGAAAAATTTTTAGTTTCTTCTCTAGCATGGTGAATCGTCAGTTCCATTGCTACCCCTGATGGTGGCCTCATTTCCTGTCAAGGTGTTTCCTGAGTCTCAGATGGAAGCGAGCGTTTAATGTGTGAAGTAGGAGTTGTAATCTAGCACGGTGATTGGTCAGTTTCATTGTATTTACTTTTCCCAGTTTGAACTATAAAATGGTGATTTTCCCTGAGTCAAAATGAGAGTACCCCTAAACATTTTTTTAAGAAAAAAGCACTTATTATTATTATTATTAAAATGCACCAGGATTTAGTAAAGATTACTAAATTTAGTAAAGATTTAGTAAAGATTTAGTAAAGATTTAGTAAAGATCCCCTAGGCTGCAATCCTATTTATGTCTTTACTAACTCAAAAAAGGAGAGAAATAGCAAAGTTGGATAATATGGAGATGGGCAAAGTTTACTTTAATCATGCACGTCTAAAGAAAACCACTGGGATTAGCAGACCGATGAGCCAAAGGAAATGAATGGGCTACTTGGTGGATAAAATTCAGATTGCAAATGCAAATCAATGCAAGAGAGAGAGAGAGAGAGAGAGAGAGAGAGAGAGAGAGTGCAACTCCTACATTGGTTTAATTAGTTTTAAATTGGTTATATCCATGCAGGAGCAAATCTTGGGCACCTCATGGGCAGCCCCAGGAGCTCCTGCAGCTGTGACCCACATCCAGAGTTAAGTGATTTAAATGAGAAACTGGTAGAGAAAAGCAAAATAAATTGCCACTTTGGCATTGTGGTTACACAGTTTCAAAGCACTGAACAAAGGAGCATATTGGAGTATCCTTAACTGATAAGTTTTACCCATCACAGCTGGGCGTGGGGAGACCAGATTGCTCCCTAAGGAAGCAAAAAATAGTCTTATCTGATATTTGGCAGCTTCCTAGGTTTTTAAATTCGGAACCCAATACCCAGTTCATGTTGTGGCTTTTGCACTAGACAGGCACCACTGTCAGGGACTGATCACTTCATGCTGTGAAGGAAAGGAGAAGCCAAGGCTATTCTTGGCCATGTTGCCTCCTTCCTTTTCTCACGCCCAACAGGTGAGCAGAACCATCAGAGAAGACAGCTCTGATTTATTTTTATTTTTTTAATGATATTTATTGAAAATTTTTAAAATTACAGAAAAAGACAAAGCAGAGAAAGAAAAAAGAAAAATCAGAAAAGAGAAAAAGGAAAAAAAACCACACCCAACAATACAAATTCAAAAAACAAAAATACACCACAAACAGATAAAAATAAAACCCACATTCTCAAATCTTCGACTTTCATTACTTTCTTTCTTTGACCTCCTCCTCCTCCCTTTTTTTGTATCCCAGTTAATAATTATCGCAGCAAATCCTTTCCATATTTCATAATATTCTGTCATTACATTACCTTAATCTATTTTCATCTTATCTTATAAAAACCTTAAAACTTAAAACTTAAATCTTATTTTTACCCACTTCTCATAACCATAATATTCTTGCCTAATTCTTTAAACATTTTTACTAGAGCCAAGTAGTTTCGTTCCAACATTTTTCTAACAGTCATCAATTTTATAAAACAATCCTAGTGATAAAAAAAAAAGAAATAGAAACAATCCAATCTTCATCCAGCGTCCCTTCCTCCTGGTCCCGGGTTTTGTCAGTCCTTTGTATCCCATCGATCTAGCGCATTAACCTGGTAACCTTATATCCGAGGCCCTTAAGTCCCTTCCATGTCCCTTCCGCAGCTCTTCTTCATATTCACCTTTTACTCGTGGGAACTCCAACTTGGTAATGTTTTTGACCCTTTTCAACAAATCAGCCCCTTTTCCATAGTCCAGACTAAACTCCATGTAGTATTTAAAAACATGTTTCAGAATCCCTTCAAAATTGAGAGCCCCCACAGCTCCAAACATCTCACGGCCCATTGCCAGACTCGGAAAGTCCAAACATCCCTGCATAGGGGGGTCTATCCAACCCCCCATTTCCAAATCAGTCCAAACTTTATCTTTCCTAATCTGGCTTTTTCCAAGTTCATTTGTCAAATCCAAAAGCTCATGTTCCTGCTGGGCCGCAGCTCCCTCCATCTCTGGCGCCCAAGATTCCGCAACATCCTCTTCTCTCACAGAGAAGACAGCTCTGATAAACTGGCATGTGAAGCGGGAAGGCGGGTGCTCTAGGAGTGTGTAGAAAGTGTCTAAGTTACTTAGAAGTCACACTGTTTGTCAGTTGTCTGGATCTGAGAGCATTTTCCCTGCTCAGAGCGAGTTGACTTTGGGTGCCCTGGACAAAGGATGGCGTGGTGATGACAGTGGAAACTAACATTTCTTGTGCACTTATCTGACTGATCACCTGTAAAAAGGGACAGCAGACACCAGGCTTATGAGATCTATTTTATTTTGTGTCAGAACCCCAAGATCCACAAATGTGGAGTCAGGTGCAACAGCCATATATGCTAAGAATTAAAGAATTCTGAAGGCAGGAATTTGCTTTGCTTTTTTTTTTTTAAATTATTATTAAGTACCCAAGGCTTAACAGAGCTCACAGTCCTTCCATACAAAATCCTATTGGGAGTCAGAAATCTTTCATGGTCTACTGTAAATCAGCAAGAGGTCTACAGTAGGTCCCCATCTACTTTCTGTCTCCCTCAATGCTATTCGCTCATAGCTGTATATTTACAAATACACAGGTTACAAAGACACCAGTAAACCTCTGCCTAGCCCCTTTCACCTCCAAATGAAATTGATTCTTCGAAGACTTGATCTGTTAAAGAGAGCACAAAGCATTTCCCTCTCATGAGTAAATTTTTTTAAGGTCAACTGGTACTTTGTTGGGGCCAACACTGAAAAACAAATAGCTGTCGGACCGTCAGGGATGAGCACTTAAATGACTCAAAAAATAATGAGTCTAACCATCTGGGCAGCTTCATTTAGAAAGAATTCAATGCCACTGATTAGTTTGTATTGTTGAAACAATAAAATGTTCTTTTTAAAAAAGAGAGACCAATGTCTTGACATTCCGAAACAGACTGGGAGGCAAGGCAGTCCACTCATGCCAATAAGATGCTTATACTAAAATAATTTCCACAAGGCTCTGGGTGGAACTGAGGCTGTGCACATATTCGAGGCTTAAAATGCAATAACTTCGTTTCCCCTTGCTGCTTTTCAAGTCGCTTTTTCACATTGCTGTATTCATCGGAGAGTGGGTGGAGATGTCTTCACCCAATGCACATTACCTAATTTGCTTTCCCTCACCAAACTCCTGTTCAAGGAGGCTGTCGTCTGTGCATGCGTTGTCAACTGCACATGCACGACAGCTGTCTCAAATGTACACACCTAAGCTTCACGTTTTCAAATTGGATGATGGAAGCTGGTTTGAGGGGAAATGCATCAAACAGCAGTATTTCTTGAACTACAGGAGACAATATGGATTGTGGATAACTTCATGTGTGCTCAGCTTCAAACACCAGTGGCAGGAGCACACTGAAGCCAGAATCAATGTCAATGAGTACACAGCCTAAATCAGAATGGAAGTTGTTCAGAGTAGAGCAGAGTTTAAATACTTTAAATAAATAAATGTCTTGCTTAAAACTCTCCCTAGCAATTAAACATTATATGATTGAGATAGCATCATAAACTAGTTCCTACATTGTTTTAAACAGTTGCTGATTTATTTATTTTTCGAGTGGTTGAGTGAAGACATATGGATATGTTATATATTGTGATAAATAACACAGTTAAATTAATATCTAGCCAGCCAACTAGCAAACAATAACATGGCCGAGCCAGCTTGTGGAGCAAGGTTGAATTTGACATCACTCACACACTTCATCAGGAGAGGGACAAAGAGGGGGGAGGTGGATGCGCCAATCTGAATTACATAACAAAAATGCTTCTCAACCCCAGAGCATTAGGAAGTCAAATTACCTCTCTGATGCCTTTCCTCATAGCTTCATCAAACACTGCAGGACTTGAATCTGCTAAAAGGCTTCTTCAAACACATTTATCTCTGCTAAAGTAAATGTGTGAAATAGCTCTCCTGTAGAAAAGGTCCTTTAAGTTCACCCACTGAAACCATCTGTTGTGTGAATCAAATTCAATAGCTTTATATGATTCCATTAAACACACAACATATATAGTTGGCAGAATGTCTTCTCACCCCCTCATATTTTTTATTAAAGAGCCACAAGAGGTTATTTACTTTTATTGTTTTCTTAGTTCCTATTTTCTTTCATCTTATTGGCAAGGAGCACAATGCACACTGATTAAAAAAATGCATCCATAAAAATAACAAAACAATCAAGCCTAGACTGGTTCCCTCATTCATTTTCATTTTCATCTTTTTGATACGGTAGTGTCATATATATATATTTAAAACCATTCTAATTTCCTCTGGGGAATATTTTGTATGCAGGCACCCCCCTGTGGTGACAATTGGTATTTATGTCAAGTGAAAAGCTTGAAAATTGAACAGGATTACTTGACCAGGTAGAGATACCAGCCATCTTCACACAGCCAGGATCAGGACGCATTCCTAATTGTACGCGAGTGAAATTGAGCACAACTTCAAACAATCTCCTCGTGACTTTGCCACATCAGATGTGGTGGGCATCCTTTGCTTAACCAGTGCTATTTTTCTAGAAAAAAAGAGGTGCTGGAACTCACCATGAACACCTCCCTTGTTCTCTTATACAGTGGTACCTCAGGTTAAGAACTTAATTCGTTTTGGAGGTCTTTTCTTAACCTGAAACTGTTCTTAACCTGAAGCACCACTTTAGCTAATGGGGCCTCCTGCTGCTACTGCGCCGCCGAAGCACAATTTCTGTTCTCATCCTGAAGCAAAGTTCTTAACCCGAGGTACTATTTCTGGGTTAGCGGAGTCTGTAACCTGAAGCGTATGTAACCTGAGGTACCACTGTAATGGCGCCCACCTGAGAGGGACCGAAATGGAATTCTGGCAAGTTCCAGCTGTGAAAAAGCCCTGCTTAAGCCTGCTCTAAGGCCAAATATGTTACAATGCTGCTGTTGTCCATGTAAACCTGATACCTTAAGGAAGGAAAGGACCACACATTATGAACGGTACAGCGCTGCCGTTTAAATGGCCACCCCCACTGTGAGGTTTCTTCATCATCATCCCTACAATGAGGCAGAATGAAGCAGGGGCTTCAGGTGGCAGATTCTGAGGTCCGGGAGCGGCCAGAGCTGTGAGTGCCTGTGCCAGCCTGTTGCCCTCAACTGCAGTGGAAAACACTGTCCTTTCCCAGTATTGGAGTAAGATTCAACTACCAGTCCCGCTGGCTGCTATCTGTGCCTTGGAGAAGGCGCCATCTTGTCCTTTACCTCATAGCTGTCAACTTTTCCCTCTTCTTGTGAGGAATCCTATTCGGAATAAGGGAATTTCCCTTTAAAAAAGGGAAACGTTGACAGCTATGCTTCACCTCAGGTGGCAAAATGTCTTGAACAGGCCTTGGCAAAAGGGAAAGAGGGAGATCTCATAATGGACTACCGTATTTATTAACAGCAGGCCTCTTTTACATTGCGACATGTAGTTCTGCCCTTTTTCTCAGTATTTTCTAGACCAGCACAATGACCAATGCACAGAAGGTAACCTATTTGGAGGCACATGGTTTTTTTCAAGATCTTGTTGCTGTGTGTATTATTACTGTTTACAATTGCAATTTAGAAGTATAATAGGCTGTACCAGTGCTATTTTTCTAGAAAAAGAGGTGCAGGAACTCACCACGAATGCCTCCATTCTTCTCTTATAATGGCAATGGCACCCACCTGAGAGGTACCGAAACTCTGGTGAGTTCCGGCTGAAAAAAAAGTGCCCTGGGCTATGCTTAGAGATGGGCATGGTAACAGAAGCAGGTTTTAATTTCAAATAAAAATGCAAAGCTTTAATGGCTTTTGCCTGCAGCGATTATTCATGTATTTCTGGTTTTTATAGCACAGCAGCAGCAGTAGTTAATCAAGGGTGCAAATGGCAAATGCCCAGTCTTGAGAGAAATGAGCTGTGCAAAAGATTCAGACAAACATGGCCCAACTGTTCATATAATGGTTACATAAGACGTGTATTTAGCATCACACACCTTTGTTCACAATTTGCTGCAGATCAGCATGTCCTTCAGTTCTCTTCCTCCATTAAAATGGCAAGCAAACAAAGGGGGAGGGGGCTCTTTCCAAAACCAGGAGAGCCATGCGTCCTTGCCAAGAGTCACATGCTCCAGGAACGGACAATATAAAAGCAAAAAATCAACCACCGTTCACTGCCTTCATGTCCTCGTCTACTCTCCTTTCCATGGTTTCAATTCTCCCATTGAAGCTAAAGAACAAAAGGGAACTTGCTTCATGCAAGGGACTCGGTCTTAGTGCAGTTTCTAACAAGTTAAGATGGATCTTCTCCACAGCCATGGCGTGCTCATAATTCAGCATTTGCAGAAGGATTACAGGTCATACCAGAGCTTTCTAAACTTCATGTCACATGTCGGAGATCCTCGGAACATTTTTTCAATTTATTTTCCTCTTTGGTTCCAGCTTAATCAAGTGGTTGGGACAAAAATGATCTGGGTGGCAGTGATCGGTGATTGGTTTAATCTTATATTTAAATGGTAAGGTTCGTTGCTTCCTTGGAAACTTTGGGAATGGCAGGATCCACAGTCTTCTGAGATGAGAAATCTTCCGGGGACTGTTGGTTACTGAAATTATTTAGGGTTTCATTGAATGCTAGCCGGAGTTGATCCATTAACACTGATGTGTATAACTAACTTAGGCTCATTAATTCCAATGAGTCTGTTCCCTTAGTTGGATGCAACCTGTAGTATATAAGCTTTGAAGAGTTATCTTTCCCCCTTTTAAACAAGACAAAGGAAAGTAAGGCTTCTGCTTCAGCATATTATGGTAAAACTGATCTAGCAGTCAAGCAAGAATAAGAGAGACTGGTATGCTGCTAAATAACGTGTTGGATTTGTGTGTCCATTGAAGATAATGCTTTCTTTTCTGGCAGGATTTTGTTTGGTCATCGTCCATATTGGTGGGTCCAGGAGACAATGATCTATCCAAATCAAACTACCCCATGCCTTGAGCAGTTTCCTATAACATGTGAAACAGGACCAGGTAAGATATAGAGTATGATCTGGATGCCACTGCAAAGCAGAACTGGGGTTGGTCTGTGTCTGGGAACGTTGCCTTTGGTTCTATGATAGAAGGAAGGTGGGAAATAAATGTGAGAATAATTTTGTGTATGTGTGTGTGTGTGTGTGTGTGTGTATGCCTTCACTACTATGGAGTTGCAAATGGCCAGCTGTCCGATTTTTTTTGGGGGGGGGAGATTTAAATTAGGGAAGAAATTCCCCAGAATGATTTAAAACAGCATGAAGTACTGAAAAGACCTGGTTCAACTGCTTGTGATAACATTCACATCCTTGCCCCCATCTGTAGAAAAGCAGTGTAGAAAATGCTAGTCTTAGTAGGAGATTTCAACTTCAGAAGTAGGTTTCATAAGAATGATTAACTGCAGAAAAGAAAGAAGGAAGAGAAGGAAAAATTGCATATCATTGTAGCAATGAATAGATCAGGTACTATTTGTTCCACCAGCTACAGGGTAGCTGAGTCAATCATTTATAAGGATGGGCTTTAAGTTCTGGAAACCAATAAAACTGTTTAGGACCAGCAACATAAGTGGCTTGGTACTCATTTCCCTGAGAAGTTAATATCTAGTCTGGCTGCAAAGAACAGCTGCTTGAAGTGTTTCTTCATGCCATGCTTTCCCATACCATGTTACCAAGTATTACTACAGGCCAGTGAAATATGGATTTGACAAAAAGGAGCTGTGAGCAATTTACCAGGCACAGAAACAGAGCAAGCTGCCTTATCCTGAGCCCGTTTCGTGGAGCCTTGTCTACACTGAGTGGCAGTGGCTCTTCAGGATTTCAGGCAGGGAGTCTCTCCTAGCCCTACCTGGATGCTGGGGATGGAACCTGGGACCCTCTGCATGGAAAGCAGATGCTCTAACAGGTGAGCTATGGCCCTTCCCCAAATGCAAGTGCCATGCACCAGCACCACATGGTATTGAGATTAGCCTGAAGACATGCGATACAGTTCTACTGCTGAAGCAAAGGAACACTGGCCCCGTCAGCCAATCGCATGGGAAACCTCCTGGGTTTCGCATGTAAGTTGGAGGGTAAACGGGATACAAGTGAAATAAACTGATGTAAGGAAACAGCCTGTGAGAATGGGCTGTTTGTATATAACTGTCCTGTCCCACCCCGGCAGCTCCATACCCTCCAACATTTCTCTGATGAAAATAAAGGTAAAGGTACCCCTGTCCGTACAGGCCAGTCGTGTCCGACTCTAGGGTTGTGCGCCCATCTCACTTAAGAGGCCGGGGGCCAGCGCTGTCCGGAGACACTCCGGGTCACGTGGCCAGCGTGACGAAGCTGCTCTGGCGAGCCAGCACCAGCGCAGCACACGGAAACGCCGTTTACCTTCCCGCTAGAAAGCGGTACCTATTTATCTACTTGCACTTAGGGGTGCTTTCGAACTGCTAGGTGGGCAGGAGCTGGGACCGAAAGACGGGAGCTCACCCTGCCGCGGGGATTTGAACCGCCAACCATGCGATCGGCAAGCCCTAGGCGCTGAGGTTTTACCCACAGCGCCACCCGCGTCCCCTGATGAAAATAGAGGTGTCCTATATAATAATAATAATAATAATAATAATAATAATAATAATAATAATAATAATTTTATTATTTAAGTCTCACCCATCTGACTGGGTTGTCCCAGACACTGGGCAGCTTCCAACATATATAAAAACATTATTAAATAGTAAATATTGAAAAACTTCCCTATACAGGGCTGCCTTCAAAAGTCTTCTTATAAAGGTTGTATAGTTACTTATCTCCTTGGCTCAGGGGTAGCGTAACTCCATACCCTCCAACATTTCTCTGCTGAAAATAGGGGTGTCCTAAGGAAAAGCGGGACATTCCAGGATCAAATCAGAAACCAGGAAGGCTTCTGTAAATCCAAGATTGTCCCTGGAAAATAGGGACACATGGAAGGCCTGCAGCTCCATCTCTAATAGATTAGAGATTAGAATGCTAATTTTGCTACCATGAGTATGGATCAGTTACCTTTATGGTTAGGGATTTTATTTTCTTTGCTTTTTAAGATTCATTGGCTGCTAGTTTCCGTGGGTGATTTCTCCTTCTCTGGTCTGATGGGAGATGTCTCTTAAGATTGGGCATCTAGTTGCTCTGCATGAACTGCATATGAATACTGCAGGCAATTTAGTCCTATGGGCACATCTGAAGTTTATAAGGCGGCTCTTACCTGCTCCTGATCACTGTTTGCTGATCCCCCCTGTAACTGCAGTATTGTTAATTAAGTCGTTTGGAATGCTAGATGCCCACAACCCTGCCTTGCGACAGACACATGGGCTTTGGAGATATACTGGTGCCTTTTGGAATTTTACCACTGCCTTTGTTATTTCCCCACAGGAAGCCCCTCTGGACATGCCATGGGATCATCATGTGTCTGGTATGTGATGGTGTCAGCAGCCCTGAGCTACACGGTCAGGCAGAAAGGGAAATCAACCATTAATCTGCACAGGTCAGTCTCTTTCCCAAAGCCACCCATTTAGGAACATTATACATTTGCCACGAGATGGGCAGTGCGAAAATGTGAAAATGCTTTCGGTCACCTTTTGTTACTGTTTTTTTGATCAAGCAGCAACAATACAAAGGAGATTTTGCAGCGGTTCCTTTGGTAACTTAAAGCTTTATGTGCCATTAATGCCGAACTCAAGAGAGAGGAGCGGAGGGGGAGATGATAAAGACATGCCCTCACAGAAGGCTAGAGAGGCCCATTCCGCTTCCAATTATGGAGACCTTTCACCATGAAACAATTAAAAATGACAAAACATGAAAACAAAATAAAGCAATTTTTTTGGTCTGATGCACTTAAAAAACAGGTACAGTGGTACCTCGGGTTAAGTACTTAATACGTTCTGGAGTTCCGTACTAAACCGGAAACTGTTCTTAACCTGAAGCACCACTTTAGCTAATGGGGCCTCCCACTGCCGCTGCGCCGCCAGAGCACAATTTCTGTTCTCATCCTGAAACAAAGTTCTTAACCTGAAGCACTATTTCTGGGATAGCAGAGTTTGTAACCTGAAGCGTATGTAACCTGAAGCGTATATAACCCGAGGTACCACTGTAGTGGCATGCTAAATGCCAAAATAAAAAACAAGTTTCTAAATTTGAGGACTCTTTGACTTTGAGGTCCAGGCCAAATGACCCCTGTGGCATCCACTCTGATCAGCCCTGAACTGAGATGTGGATGCTGAGAAGAGAGAGGGGGAAAACAGTCTAATAATTTTCATTTGGTTTTTGTTATTATTTCCTCCAACTGTTTCTTTAACAGAATCACCTGGTCTTTCCTGTGGAGCATGTTCTGGATTATTCAGATCAGTGTGTGTGTCTCGAGAGTCTTCATAGCAACACATTTCCCTCACCAAGTCATCCTTGGAGTGATTGCTGGTAATAAGGACAGAGCTTTCTTTTTCTATGGCAGGATTTTCTATGTACAGGATTTTGAAAATTATGGGAAAGTGTGTTCATCAGTATATTATGTGGGTAGTGGGAATGCATATCTAACCAGGTGTTCATGTCAATGTTAAAGTTGTTTTCAAAATTCTGAGGCGATAAGGAGTAAGAAGCGGTGGCAGCAGGGCTAAATTTCACACACTGATTTTAACTTATTTAGCTGCTGGCTTCTAGTTAAGACTTTTAAGTGAAAAGGAAGTGTACTTAGTTTAGGCTATGTACCCATTAGTGACTTAAACTCCTCTGCATTTCAAGTCACATTTCCACATTGCGGTACACACCAGAGTGATGGTGGGGCTGTCTCCACCTGATGTGCTGGGCCTATTTGGTTTCCCAACGCCTGCAACCCAACTCCATTCAAGAAGTTGTCTTCTGTGCATGTGCAATGACTTTCTCAAGTGGACACACCTCAGCTTAACTGCAGAGTGACTGTGGCTGACCTTTTCAATTCAGATGGTGTGTGTGTGTGTGTGTGTGTGTGTGTGTGTGTGTGTGTGTTTGTGTGTGTGTGTAACCTCTAAGTGATTTTAAAAAAGATAAAACATTAAAAGTAACTAAAGGCAGTTAATAGGTATTTAAAAATGTTCAAAAGATGATTAAAATCAACAGTAAACAAAAGGATTAAACACATGCCAGCGTTCTTCATGTCTGGATACTCTTGCCTAAACAAAAACATTTTAAGCAGATGACAAAAAGAGAACAACGAAGGTGCCTGTCTTACGAAGGGATACATTTTGCAATACCTTAAATATCACACCAAACTCTCATTCTGGTGTGTGGGGTTTTTGGCTAAGCATGGAAATATATCCGTTTCAAGTAAACACATCACTTCTAATGTCTCATTTCTTCATTCACAGGCATGCTCGTTGCTGAAGCGTTTGAACATGCCCCAGCCATCCAAACAGCAAGTTTAAAAACATATATCCAGACAAATGTGTTCCTCTTTGTTTCCGCTCTCGGCTTTTACTTGGTTCTGAAGCTTATCGATATTGATCTTTTGTGGTCTATTCCGAAGGCAAAGAAGTGGTGTGCCAACCCAGAGTGGATCAATATTGACACGACTCCATTCGCCGGACTGGTGAGGAACTTAGGTGCCCTGTTTGGGCTAGGCCTCAGCATTAACTCTGAGATGTTTATCTTGGGCTGTAAAGGTAAACATGGCTATAAACTGAGTTTCAGGATGTCATGCATAGCTACATCCTTAGCCACGCTTCAGCTCTATGATTTTATCAAGATACCCACCCACACCGAGTATCTGTTTTACATCCTTTCTTTCTGTAAAAGTGCAGCCATACCGCTTACGGTTGTGGCCTTTGTTCCGTATTGCATATACTTGCTCATGAAGCCAACAGAAAAGAAGTTTCGGTAGACATTAATGGTTGGTTTGCCTTGGAAGATCCTGGAACATCTTAAGATGCCAAGGATGCTCTGTGGCCGAAGACTCAAAACAGTTATTTCACTTTCTCTCACTCTCCATTCCGAACAATGGTGGGTATATTTCTGATTTGCGAAATCGAAAAGAGGCTTACACCCAGGACTGAGATTCTCATACCAGGAATAATGATCAGTTAAGACCCAAATACTGATGATTAGAATGTTATAACATGGCTGCCTGAGCTTCCAACAGTTATGAAAAGTTTGTATATACGTATGTACAGGTAGTCAAAGCGTGCTGGATTTTTTTCTGCCCTGAAACTGAAAAGTGCTTTGCCTACCTGCTCCTCTGTCTCAGCCCAGGAGATGTATAGTTTTACTCAGCACTACATTTTATGTATTTGTGTGGGCATGTGCACATTTGTATAGTTACTAGTAAATTACACTTGCATTCTGCAAGCACCTACCTATGTTTCTGGCGACCCCTAGAGCTCACACTTCCCTCACATCCAAGCCTTAAGCAACTCTGTGACCCATGTGTGACTTACTTTGCTCTCTGCTGAAATGCTGACAACTATTCTGAGGTAAATGTCATGGCCCAAGTTAGTACTGTTAAGACCCAATATAGTCATTTTGTCAGACTTTTCTATTCATCAGTGTTTTGTGGACTGTATATGTGCCAAATATCTTTGCTAGGTGACCCAGAATTTCCACCACCTTTTGGGAGTATATGTTTTTTTGTCTTGTATCGTCCCATCCCATTTAGTAAGACACAGAGGCTACAACCCTATACTCACTTAGCTGGGACTTAAGATTCAGTGAACTCAATGGGATTTCAAGTAGAAATGTATAGGATTTGCACTGTTACTCTCTGCCTTTCAGAGCCTTTCAGTTTTTTCAGTTAACTGTGGAGTGTTTTGGACAATGAATGTGCAAAATTTCAGCTTTCTGAGAAGCTTTCTGAGAACCATTTGAGGGTGCTCTTTGAATCCTCTGTTTTGTGGGAGCTGTGTACAAATGTCCCATTTTCAACTTTGTGTAACAACTGGGGTGCTTTGGACTATACATGTACCAAATGTCAAGGCTCTACAATATTGGGTCTCATTTATTCACTGAAAATAGAGAAAACAAGTAATTAATATTTACCAAAATTATGCTTTTATATGATACAACTTATCTGGAGCATATAATGCTGTCCTCAGATTTTTCTAAGAATGTGAAGCAAAAGTAACTACTTAGTTGGTTATTACATAACAGGAAGGCAAGTATTTTTGCACTGATATGTCACTTGTGTTTTTGTATCTTGCATGGTATTTCTGCACCCTCCCTTGCCTTGAACTGTGCAGTCTAGTGATGAAAATGGAAACATCTTTTATACATTAAACTTCTCATTCAAATACTGGTAATATCTGCATTACTTAACAGGTCAGGAGTTTTTCCCCTTGAAAGCAGCTGAATCATTGTTAGATAAGTATACAGAGTTGTAGCTTAGAAAAGGACAAACTATTTATTGATACGCGTGCTCTGTGCTACATACAACTTGTATGGAATCATAATGTTCAGCCTCACAGCCTTTCCACCTTGGTAGACTGAGGAACTGAAAGACGCAAATATGCGAGAGATAATGCTTTGACCAAGGTCATGGCAGAGGTGTGACCTGAAGCCCACATTTCTTCATATTCAACTGGCACCCCAAATTCGGCACCATTAATTCATCACATCCCAGCTCCTGCTAGGAAAGATCCACTGCAATACCATGGATGCATGCCATAAGTAGATGTTTAGACGTAACCAAAGCTAAATAAATTTTCCTTATTAATGGCAGTCACAAAGATTAATCTATATATCATTCACACACATCCAACATTTGGCAAAGTCATTTTGCATCTGGAACAATAAACATGCACTAAATCTAAACCAGGGATGGGGAATCCTTTGGCCCTCCAGATGTTTGATTCCCAACTCCCATCAGCCCCAGGCAACATGGCCAATGGTCAGGGATGATGGGAGTTGTGGTCCAACAGAAATATCCTCACAATAAGCAAATATGAGTGTACTGTATTGTAATTCTGCCACTACACATTGGCACACAATGCAGCTTATCTCAGTCATTTCTGGGTGTCTACTGTTCTGCTCACATCAGCATTCTTGCGCTCCACAGCTGTTTACGTAAAGCATCATAACATTAAGCTACATACTGGTACTTTTCAAATGCAAAAAGTAGGGTGCCTTACCCAGGCAGCATACAATCATTTCTGAATACTGTATTCATAGTACGGTGCTTTTGCTTTGTTTTAACAAAAGCCACATACCTAATTGTATTGTTATATTGCTGTCTTGTGTTCTGTCTTTTTATTTTTATTTTAAATACAAAACTCCTCTAGAGGCACAAAGGCATGTTCCCTTTGAGAGACAGAGGGAGAGAAGTGCATCATAGCAGGGATGGTGTTTGAGTAAGGAAAGCTTAGCTGATGAACGATACACTTTAGTGAATTAAATTTACGTAAATATAAAATATTAACTGCGAAGGAAAAATCTTTTGCTTTTGATGGTAGTAGGTACTGTATTTGAAGAGGCATTCATTTCTTTTCTGTGTGTGCAAGAAGAAGCAATCCTATACCCACTTCCTGGGGGGGGGGTTAGGTAAACCCCACTGAACCCAGTGGGACTAAGTTTTAGTAGACATGAAAAGGATTGTACTATAAATGTTGCTGCCTTCATTTGCTCTAAGTACCGGTATATTATTGAGCTATTGCCAAAGGATTTCCCCCCCTTTTTCCTTGGTGTAAATGTCAGTAATTTTCACAAACATTTCTGACATTCTCCTGTTAAGTGACAATCACCAATGCTTAACAAGCCTGGAGGATACTAGAATGTCACCTTGTGAACTTAATTTGCAATGCATGAAGAGTTCCAACACAGAGCAGGGGGATTTGGGAAAACCGTTTATATCAAGCCAGCTACAATCCCAATTATTCTTTTCCTGTTAACAGTTTCCTCTCTGTAAATTGCTAACAGCTACATGAGGGAAATCTAGTTTTAAATTGATTGATTTTTGGCAGCATGTATATTTCCAAATTAACAGATTGCGTTTACGAGAAGGCCTTTTCCACAAATCTTATTTAAGATTTGGGGTTACCAAATACGCTTTAAAAAAAAACAACGCTCTGGAACATCACACCTCTATACCGATGGATAGCCCTTGTTTGGGACTCATCAGTTTGAGCTGCTTTACTTCTAAGTCACTGTTTGATGCCTAATTCGAACTCCCTTTCCACATTATGATGATGAAAGCCCATAATAAATCCCATGAATTGCCCAGATGAAAAGGTAGAAAGTATGGTCATGTATAGGCCTGGCTCTTCCCATTCAATCAGCCAAAGACAGCTGTGACTTGGCAGCACGCAGCTGTCAGGGACATCAAGGAGGATGCAACCACCTCTGGGTACCATCATGGCCCTGGAGACAGAATCCCCTTCTTCCGGGGATGAGGCTGAGGATTCTGAACCAGAACAGAGAAGGCAGTCAGGGCCAGCTTCCACCAGATGAGCCAGGGCAAAGTTCCCCTACAGCTTGAGAATGATTGGACTTGGGGGATTCCATTGCAGAAACCCAAGTGAGACCATTGCCTTTGAATACCAGTTCCTGGGAATCAGAGGTGGGCAGGATGTCATTGTACCTAGGTCCTGCTTGCAGGCTTTCCACAGGTATCTGGATGGCTGCTGTAAGAACAGGATGCTGGACTAGATGGGCCATGGACCTGATCCAGCAGACTCTTCTATGTTCCCACCAGAGGCTCCCCCACTCCACTGTAGTAGGAGGCTACAAGAGCAGGTTGGGGCCACTTTAACTGAAGAAACTCACTTAACCTTCCAGTGCAGGCAGAGCTAACCATTGGGATTTAGCTGCTTCTGATGCATAGGGCCCAATTTGTTTGTTGCTGAAGCAACACCAGAGCTTTGTATTGCTATAGCACAGCCTGAGCATTGCATCCAGCCTGAATTTTGCCTTGTGCTGCATCCAGCCTGGTCCCGGCCGGCCTCGTCCTGCACCCAACCTGAGCTACGCCTCACTGCAGAGTAGCACATCTGATTCCAGATAATAACAACAACAGTAAATTAAACCACAATTTGCTGCCCTTTCACGACACCCGCCTCACTCAGCCTAATGGTTCTGGATGCAGTTACTTCTTTCCATCCTTTTTTAAAAGAATGATATTTAGTCAGCAGAAAACATAAGACAGCAAAGACCCAAAATTTCATCCCTTGCTTTAATGAAAACATATCTGTACACAAGTAGCTGGGTAGCCAACTGGTAAAGTAAGGAGGATGGTAGTGATACAAATTCTCCTTTCTGTATCTCCACTTCCATACAGCGTAGATTCTTTACTTACCAGTCTTCCCCAACCTGGTTTTGGACTACAATTCCCATCAGCCCCAGCTAGCACAGTGGCTGGAGGCTGGGGAAAGCTAGTTCAGATATTCAGTTAGCATTGGTTGTTCACTTCTGCAAACACATGACAACAAACATTCCCTACCCCCAAAGGACCGAGTGTAGTGAGGCTGCATTTGCCTTTTCCTGCGTTTTCTTTTCCTGATTCAGCAGCACTGATGGTAATTTTTCTGTCACTTTCTGCAGCATCAGTATGAACAGCTTCCTGCACCCCCTAGCTGTTTTTATCAGTGTTCTTTGTTTTGAGAAAGGCATTGTGGCAGCTCCAGATGCCTTTTTAACGAGCAAGGGAAAAACTGCAGCTGACTTTTTCTCCATTTGAAAAAGCTCCCATAACAGGACCTATAGTTTGCTGGTGCAACACATGCCCTGCCTGATCCATTTATATTCATGTGTGCTGAATGGTTTGCAATGGAACTGTACATCCCATTGTCAAGATGCATCCAGACAGTTCAGCGTGCTGGAATGATTGCAATATGGATCAGCATGCAAATCCATACATAGATCTGCATTGGCTTTGTGCGAAATTTCTCCCTTGTTTGATCGGTGGTGAATATAATTTCATAACTTGCTGAACCTCCAGTGGCACATGCAGTGCACTCATGTGCAGAACTGGTGTCATGGGTAAGACGGCCTTTCTTGATGGACACACACAGCCACCTTACAATGCTTCCTTCATGTTTATGGATATGTGGACACCTGCGTTTAGATATTTCCATGATCGCAACTGTGAAATGAGTAATAGTAGGTCATGCCAGTGGATGCCACTGTTTGCCCAGAGTGCCAAGTGGAAGCTGTTAGGATATTTCCGTTCCTCCTTAAAAAGGGAGCAGGCTGTTGTGTGTCACAAGCCTGCGTACTTCCTGCTCACAGGGAGTTTCCGTTTTGTATATAGCTTTTGTATCTGTCTGTTGCCTCGACGCGAAGGCAGGCAGTCATGTTTTTCCTTTTTTCAGACCAACGCTGAATAAAGTTGTAAATATGCTCTTCTGGGTGCATCTTCTGTTGCGGAGTCTGCTGCAAGGGCATGCACGAGTCCTGGAATGTGTCTGAGGCTTGTGTCGCTAACTGTCTGATGCTGTCCTAAGAGAGACCGATGGATCGCCTGGAGATGCCTGTCTCTCTGGCAGTATCCCAACAGATCTGCAGTTGTTGACTTCACTGGTGTCACAGGTATGTTGCCTAATAATCCAGACATATAAATACTTCGGCAAAACTTTAGTTGATTAAAAAAAAAAAACAGGTTTTGAGCACTCTCCCAACAGCATCACTGTTTGAGTAGATGTTGCCTTTCTTCGTACCACAGCGAGTTTAATGACTGATGTCACAAGCTGGCAAGCAGGGTGGTGGTGCACTTTCTCCTGCACATTTGCAATAGCAGAGTGAATGTGTAACATAAAGATTATTGACATGTTCATCCTTGGTCTTATCACATCCCCAAGTAAATTACATTGATTGTGTCATGGAGTAAGTGTGAAAGCTCAGCTGATAGGTGCCCCAGTGGTAACCAGTTTGTAGTATGCCCCTTGCTGGGCCATCAGTTCTTCATGAGTGCCCTTTTCAACGATCACTCCTTGCGACATGACAGCTATGATATCAGAATGCTGAATGGTAGAAAGGCGGTGAGCTATGACAATGCACGTTCGGCCTTCTCTAGCTTTATCCAGTGCAGCCTGCACAGTCTGAAGACAAGGGAGAAAGTAACAAAGTAAAGGTAGTAAAGGCAACTTTCTGCAGAGTATCTCAATGTTGCTCCTGGCAATTGCATTCTAATCTGGTCATTCACATAATTAATATATATATGTAACCAAATAAGTCCTTTCTCCCCGAAGTAGTGCTCAGCCTTTTGGGCTTGCTGATCGTAAGGTCAGTGGTTTGAATCTGCACGACGGGGTGAGCTCCCATTGCTCTGTCCCAGTTCCTGCCAACCTAGCAGTTCAAAAGCATACCAGCACAAGTAGATACTGTAAATAGGTACCACTGTGGTGGGAAGAGAAACAGCATTTCTGTGTGCTCTGGCACTCGTCATGGTGTCCTGTGCACCAGAAGCAGTTTAGTTATGCTGGCCACATGACCCGGAAAAGCTGTCTGCGGTTAAACATCAGCTCCCTTGGCCTGAAAGCGGATATTAGCGCCACACCCTATAGTCACCTTTGACTGGACTTAACAACCCAGGGGTCCTTTACCTTTTACCTTTACATTCAAGCATTCAGTCTAATTATTAAGAAAGTCATCGCATGATCATCACATGAATGTATGGGAGAGGAAAGAACCAAAGAAATGTTTCTGCACCCTGTGATTCACAATTGAGAGAGCAGCTCTTTTTCATCCTATTCATTTGTTATCTTTGAGGCATGATTGATGCTACAGAACCATTCCTTCACAGCTGGCCTTAAGATACGGTATGGGATTCAGTCATGGTGAAATAGCTTTGCCCCAACAACCAAGGAGCAAAGCGTAAATTTACAGTGAAGAAGGTTGGTAAGAAAGTTCTGCTTGCAAAGTTTCATCTGTGAGGATGACTTACTCGTCATCAAAAGGTTAATATGCAAGTATGAATTGCCCTACTTGCGCTATGTTGTTGTTTCTTAGTCCACGTGGTTTACTCTCCCTCCTGTTTACCTGTTCACTTTCGGTATCCAGAGCAGATGTTGCTTCATCCAGTAGTAAGATCTTGGGATCTCGGATGATGGCTCGGGCGATAGCGATGCGCTGCTTTTGCCCACGAGAGAGCAGCGATCCCTGAGAGCCAACGTTAGTTTTGTATTGCTGGAAAACATACATTGGCTGAATTTTAAGCAACTCCTTTTACCATCAGAAATATGCACAGTGCTGCAGTACTGGAAGAAAATAATGGTGCTGCTTGTGGAGGCAATGTGGCATGAAACAACTCTTATTCGTGTTTTATTGGTGATATGAACTACCCTTGGGATATGGAAACTTTCTCAGGGCAGAGAGTAATCCACGTTTTATCCCCACAATAAACCTGTGAAGTAACTGAGAGATGGCAACTGGACCAAGCTCAGCCAGTGAACTTTATGGATGAGAAGGGATTTGAACCTGGGTTTCCTCGCTTTTAGTCCAACAACTCTAACTGCTACACCACACTGGCTGTTCAAAAGTGAGCTGCTGTTCAGGAGCATATTATAGCATGTGCATAGCTGCATCTAGGAAAATGGCTGAGATTCTGTGACTCACACACCATGGATTCCTTATTTAGCCACCATTCCCTTTCACAACACTGAACACTAGTGAAGAAAAAGATGCTTACGTCAGGAAGCGATATGACGAAGTCATGCAGCTGGGCCTTCTTAGCTGCTGCTATCACTTCTTCCATAGAAATCTCTCTGGTGTTATCGCCGTATTTTATATTGTCAGCAATGCTACAGCCAAACAGCACAGGTTCCTGGGACACTATCCCAATTTTAGATCTCAGAAAGCGGACATTTACTTTCTTGCTGTCATGTCCATCTATCAACTGCACAGGAAAAAACCCAGAAAAGACAAAATATTTATTTATGGACTATTGGCGCCGTCGTAAGGGAACCTCAGTTTTAAATTTTAAGTTAAGCTTACACTGAACTTACTAAACTTTAAATAATTTTCACATGAATCTATGCTGAATGCTTAAACCCCTTTAAGTAAAATTATATTTGAAGTATCTCTTCATTCCAGTGCTGTTTAGAACTAGCCTTATAAAAGAGTGCCTGAATTCAGTTGGGTAACTTATTTTGAATGCATTTAGATGAACCACTTGTTTGGTAGATTTCATGCAAATAAGTCCACTTACTTTAAATGGTCAGGCGGCATTGCAGCCTGGAGACGGCCCCATGCCAGCCATCTGGAGGCCAGTTTGGGAGGACTGCAGGCCTGCCTGTGGATTGGCCAATGGTAGGCAGGCTGGATATGGGGATTCCCCAGGGGGCGGGACCAACCAGCTGGTGACCACTGAGGGGTTGCTTCTATCTGACACCCAGATGGGGGCTAGAGCCATAGAACGTCTCCAGTGGTGACCCTTTGGGGGGGGGGGATACCCTTATTTGATGTAGGCCATAGGGCCTCCACCCCCACCCTGTGGTGTGGTTTACCCTTAGATACACTCCCAGCAGATGGACTGGAGTTAAATAAACAACTTCACCCAATGCCTATGCCAAAACCTCACATATGTAACCAATAAAGTTGTGGCCTTTTTGAACCCAAAGACTCTATATGCTGCTTGGTCACGGGGTCTTGGCACTCAAGCTTTCATCCTCATTATCAGCTGTCATTCTGATACAAGGTAAGTTTATTATATGGAATTTACCAAGCAAATTGTTCTCCAAATTCATGTGAAATATGTTACACAAATGAGTTCAGTGGAACTCGGGTTACCTAGTTAAAAAAATGTCTGTTTGTCATAGCTAATAGATGTACAGGTTTCACGTAAATTTACCTTTACGTTTTACACATTCATAGCCTCTCTTTACTTTTTTTTAAAAAAGGGATGTCTGTGTAATTTCATTTATCGGAAGCAGGGCCAGCCTATGCATTAAGTAGAGCGAGGCACCCACGTCAGGCAGAGGTTGCCAGCATTTTATTTTTATTTTTTTCATGTAATTTTTATTAAATTTTCAATATACATTCCACCAAAATTTAACATCCGCTTCTATCATCTACATCTTTTAGACTTCCCTCAGCATGTCTGACAATTTTCCGTATTATCACTTCTACTCACATTTCTCAATTTTATATTGCACTCTGACAATCTTAATCTTATCATATTTTTGAGGTTGCCAGCATTTTAGTGTGCATTTCTCTTAATATACACATTTCTGAATGCAATCATAACACATTTTATACACAAGTTTTATGCACATATTTTATAGACGTATATGCAATTTTGATCTGGAACCCATGGGGAAAGTGTCAAGCCTGTTCGAAAGCTACCAGACCACAGACAGCACTGAGTGAGCAGTTTGCACCAACAGATGTTGGAAGCAGACTAAGTGAAGCCTTTTATGCTTCTGTTTCCAGATTGCATTCTCCTGGCTCTACCCCCAGAAAGGGCCAATGCTCTGGCTTGAAGACAGGCACTCCTCTTTTATTCCATGACCTCCCACCTGATGTATTCCTTGCACTGCAAGCTGGGTGATTTGCAGTGAGATGCACCTGCTCCCTTAGGGGGAAATGTCCACCAGAGTCCAGGCTCTGGCCCCATAAGCACTGATGGTCTGGGAGGTTCCCCTAGGAGTTCTCATCCAACCACTTCATGCACTGAAACCAGAACTGGCTGCTTCTGCATCCTCCAACTGCTGGGTTCAGGGGGTCGTGATGGGAGAACTGTGGGTTTGCTTTATAACAACTCTTCGGCACTCTTTTACTATGTATGAAAGCAGAGAAGGCTACATACCACTCTTCCTTCCTCAGGGTCATAAAAACGTTCCAGAAGTTGGACACTGGTACTTTTGCCACATCCACTACTTCCAACAAAGGCAAGGGTCTGTCCAGATTTCACAGACACCGAAAGACCATTTAGCACTTGGACGTTGGGACGAGAGGGATATGTGAACTTGCAGTTCAAGAATTCAATGCTTCCACGAAAGTTATCCTGATTATACAAAGGGAGAGAGAGAGAGAGGGAGAGAGAGAGAGAGAGAGAGAGAGAGAGAGAGAGAGAGAGAATGTTCTGCGTGTGGTTGAACTGATTTCACAAATGACTCTTATGGAAGTAATGATTACTATTACCACTATTCCTATAACTGTCACGATCAATTACACTTTTAAAACCGATTAGCCATGTAGCTCTTAAATGATAAGCAGATGGAATCTAAATCAATTTGCATGTTGCAAAACCTCACTGAGTAAGGAGACAGTTGCACCTTAGTGTGGGAACATACAAGACATTGGTTAAAAGGAGAGGTATTAGTAGGTTCTGGGGAGCCCCAAGGTTTGCACAAGTGCAAAAACCTTTACGGGGAAAACCCCAAAAGGGTGGGAGGGGCTGCAAAAATAGCCCCAAGAAGGCTGAGCACGCGCAGCAGCCACCAAATGCTGATTGACTGGTTTGGTTGGGCGGGAATGACAGAAAACCAGGTGGAAGAGCAATGGAATAGAGTATTCTGAACCTCCACATTTTGCAACATTTTGTCTCAGGTACGACTTTTAATTAATATTGAAGAAAGACACCACTTAATGCCAAATCAATACTTCACTCACACATATTCAAGTCATTGTGTGATGGCTGCAGTAAGCAGGTGGCAAACATGGTGAGCCCATAATCTACTCTGCTGAAGAGTTATTATGTGGTGTGAACTTTCACTAGGAAGCTAAGTAAAATTCTGTGGAGCTGCTCAGTTCATGGCTTTGTTTCAGGTGGAAACATTTCCCACAAGTTCTAAATGCTCTGATGGTGTTTCCTGCTTGGCAGGGGGTTGGACTCAATGGCCCTTGTGGTCTCTTCCAACTCTATGATTCTATGATTCTAAATGGCCTGAAGAGTTGTCCATGCATGCTGGCTGTGACTATCCAGGGATCTAGACAGGGTACATACCCAGAGAATGGAAGGAAATGAACTGGGGACCTTCTGCATTCAAAGCAAATGCTCTGCGATGGCCACTGAGTCTCAGCCCTCCCCCCATGCCAGTGCTATAGCAGGTACATGGCTATGCTGGCACTGGGTTCACAAGGGTGCTCAAAGCACAGCTGCTTCCCCTTCTTCCTAGGAAAGATTTCCTAACAGACCACATTTTTTGCAGACAAAGAAAAAGGAAACCCACAATTGCTGCCTGTTAAACCAGGAAGTTTGACAATATTATTCCTCCTTAGTCGCTACCATCTGGTTGTTTGTTTTTTAATTCTGGTTTTTTTTATGTTGTTGGTTTAGTTTCTAATCGGTTTTAATCACACCGCCTATTTTTCACAAGGTGCCTTGAGGACCTTAGAAATGTGTCTAACTTTCAGAACATCAGTGCTCACAGAAGACTGCAAGAACAATAGTATGTTGGGAGGACTTAACAAGGGGCTAAGATTGGAGGGACAAAGAGCATATAAATCTTGAGACGGGGAGAAATTTATCAGATGAGTTACCAGGAATCACAATGAAAAGTTGGGCCACATTCATGGTGCCTGGGGTATGTGCCCTAACTTTATTCAAACTACAATTGACCCCAAATTGCCTTACCCTGGGCATGTATTATTTGTTCAAGCCAATGTGGTTTTCTTTAATCAAACATACTCTGTGCCCTCAAGGTATCAGCAGACCTTGTATTGCTCTAATTTTATGTTCTTGACACACTATAATCTTCTTTGCTCCAGTACAGAAGAGGGAACTGGATGACCTTCGGATGCTACAATTATGTGATTCTAATAACATGAATTTCTGCTCTTACCCATTTCTCTCCAGCATCACTGTAAACACTGATTTGGGGAACACGATCCACCAGCTGAAAAAAGCGAGCTGCGGCTATTTTTGCTTTGGCATAATTTGGCGTATAGGAGGATGCTCTTCCTAATGCAGTTCCACTGGTCACAATAGCAGAAATCACCCTGAAATCAAGAAGGAAAGACGTCAGCTTACATGATACTTAGGAAGAAGAACTCAAGGTCTACTATTCTGTTTCCATCAGTGGCCTGCCAACTATGTCAAGCAAGGCTGGAAGGCAACAGCCTCCCCCCTCCCCATGGTTGGTCTCCAATAACTTATATATCCAGAGATATACTGTCTCTTAACATTGAGTTGTCATTCAGTTTTATCATGCCCACAAATGTGTCTGTTGAGAATGCACGATCAACTAACAGGTTCTATTTGGGAAAGATAATTTGTGTGGGTGTGTTTCTGTTCCTTTACCTAAACACATAGCTGTAGTGAAGTCCTTCCTTGTCAACTAAAAATCCTCCATACCGATAGGAGACCGAATTGGCTATAAACAGAATACTCTGTGCAAAACCAAAGCAGAATCCATAAACATTTGCTTTTTTGACTGCTGCTCTGTAAGGGACGTCCAGCTCTTTCTCATATGCTTCAATAAATTTTTTCTCCTTCCCAATTCCTGCGACAGTCCTGATGTTTGCAAGTGCTTCATTGGAAATCTGTTGAAAAGAAAAAGAAATGGAGGAGTAGCAAAGATCTGTTAGATGTCAGTGTGAGAGATATGGCCCATACATCTGGTGAGCTGCTGTATCTCTATATCTATCTATCTATCTATCTATCTATCTATCTATCTATCTATCATCTATCATCTATCTATCATCTATCATCTATCTATCATCTATCTATCTCTATCTATCTTTCATCTATCACCTACCTACCTGCCTATCTATCATCTATCTATCTATCATCTATCTATCTATCTATCTATCTATCTATCTATCTATCTATCTACCTATCTACCTATCTACCTATCTATCATCTATCATCTATCTATCTATAGTTTTAAAGTGTAAGTTTGGTTTCCACACCAGTTTACTAAGAATCTCTAGTTTTGAACTGATTCAGCTGAACTTACCAAGGTCAGGCCAATGGAGACACTCTAGGCCCTCATACCCAAATCAGCTCCTCAGCCTGAGGAACTTGCCTCATTGAATAGCCACACAGACTTACTTTGCTTTTGACCATGTGCTCCACCTCTGGCCCTTGCCTGTCTATCTCCACCAGCAGCCTGTCTTTGATCATATCCTTGAATTCTGTCTCTGATCCTTGGCTGCTACCATTGGAACCTGACTACTAGCATATATTTGCCCATGTTCTTGCCTTCTGGCCCTCTTACTGCAGCTAATTTCAGAATCTGACCAAGGCCTGACCCCAGGTTTCCTAATCTAATAATTGTTTTTTACTGTACTGGTGACTTTTCCAATGTTGGGCAAGAAACAATTCCTGGCATGGGTTCTCATATCTGGGCGAGGGTGATGCTGTCTACATAAGCATCTTAAGTACACATTGACAATAGAGCTAAACGAACAAATGGCTTGTCTTAGCTTGTTCTGCTCCTATTCTTTATCACATTCTTAAGTTGCTGGTAATAGCTATGGACAGACACCGTTCTCTCGTTGTATGCTTTTACGTCATTTGTTCTGCGTAGCTATACTGTCGCTTTCAGTCTTATTATCAAACTTTTAGCAGCTTTGGCTGATTCTCTGGCTGCATCCCTAACTGGAGAAAGAAAGCAGACGTAGTCCTGGTTACATCCGGATTAGACTACTGTAACACACTCTACACAGGGCTGCCTTTTGCAGACAGTTCAGAAGCCTCAGCTGGTGCAAACTGAAGTTGCTTGTGGAGGCTAAGGAAATATGTAAGATCGATTGTGTACCAGCTACACTGGCTGCCAGTACATGCCAAGGCCCACTTAAAGCACACACGCCTTTGTGATTTGGATGCGCATATATGCAATGCCAAATGTGTCTTTCAACTCTATCCAACCAATTGCAACCAGAAGCTAAACACTTTATTTTACCCTCACACTGCCCTTCTGAGAAGAAAAATCAGGCTTCCAAGGAACAGAGACTTTAAAATACTGCTTGACAAGTAGCGGGGGGCGGGGGGGGGACGGACATTTCAACCCTACATGACTATGCCAGGTCCAAAATGCCTGTTATCATTGACAACACTGGATGATTGCATTGTTACTCACCATCTCATTTAATCTTAAATGATGTGCTTTTTTGTAGTTGTTTTAAACATTACCTTCCCAGTTGCTTCCAAAGCTTGTTTGTCCTGAGAGGCAAACCCTGTTAGCATCTGAGACTGCACCACACCAGATAAAGCCAGGAATGGCAAGAAGCAGATGATGACCAAGCTGAGCTTCCAACTGAAGTAGAAAGCAATAACAATGGCCACCCCAATGTTGGTGACAGAGTTCACAATCATTCCGATCTGGCTGCCAGTTGCCTTAAAACAAGCAAAAGGGGGGAAAAGAAAGAAAGAAAAAAGATCACCAACACACTCTCCCACATTAAGCACTGGGACACTTTTTGCTACCTCAAAGCTGTGAAGGAAGGAGAGCTATTGTTTAACTTCCAGCTCCTATTGCCAAGGAGAAGCAAAGAGTTAGAAGGGATTTTGGGGGTAATCAGTTGCACCTTCTCTGTGCAGGATCTGCAGTGCAGCCTCTCTGATAGATAGCCATTCAGATAATAATAATAATAATAATAATAATAATAATAATAATAATATATTATTTATACCCCACCCATCTGGCTGGGTTTCCCAAGCCACTCTGGGTGGCTTCCAACAGAATATTAAAATACAATAACCTATTAAACATTAAAAGCTTCCCTAAAAGTCTGGTAGTTGTTTTTCTCTTTGACATCTGGTGGGAGGGCGTTCCACAGGGCGGGTGCCACTACCAAGAAGGCCCTCTGCCTGGTTCCCTGTAACCAGGCTGTAACCAGGATGTTGAAACACCTCCAGTGAAGGCAGTCTGAGGCAGTCTATCCCACTGCCAAACAGCTCTTTCCATTACAAAGTTTCTCCAGGAAATTTTATCCGAAATCTATTTCCCTGAAGTGTTCTAGACCCACCTTCAGGAACAAAGAGACTGAGCAAGGATGTGTTGCCAAAGCACCTCTTTTTCCTGCCTATGTTACTGGGGGGGAAAAGCCTTTGGCACTCCTAATTGTGAAAACAGGCCCATCAGCAACACACTCATGGAGAGGGTCTGAAATGGCTAAACCGCCCTCGTGGCTGCAATGTGCTTTGTTCATTTTCCCCAGTTTGTAGCCACCTTCCAAGAAGTGGCATATGGGAAGATAAGTTGGGTCCAAAGTGTGAATTATGGATTTGAAAGGAATTCCCATTTATGCTGTCTGCTCCTCTCATTTAGGCCTCTATCTCAACCGCTTCAGACTGCAGGTGGGGGCTCAAATGAGGGAACAGTTTTACACCCCCATCGCCTCTGTACATGGGAAATTGAACATTAGGGGGAAGAGTCCTAGACTGTTCCTTGATGTGCTTGGTTTTTTGTGTAGGAATCTTTGAATTTAATCTGTGAAGAATCATTCCATCATGTAAGCCTGCACTTGGGAACGAAATGGTACAACTGAGACACAGCTTTATCGTTTCAGTGAGAACTAGGCCTTATAGTTTTGGCTGAAAGTTGAATGCTAAAAGATGCTCCAGTGTTAAAAAAAAAATTTAAGGTGTGAAATAGCCATTTTTTCTCCTTAAAATCACCTTACCAGCAGCTTTCATTTCTATGGAGTTTCAGAGGCATGTTTGCATGTCGAGGTCCCCAAGCCACCCCCTAAATAAATCACAATTCACACAGAATTTTTTATTTAAGGTTTTTGGCATAATTTTGGCCACAACTTTATTGAAATACATAATGTGAGTGGTTGCTTAGACATGGGTTACAACTATCTGTCCCCCGCCCCGGGACAGAACTGACTTCTGGAAACCTGCGAAAGTCAGTAAGGGAAAACATTTTGGGGAGAGAATGGGGCTGGACACCACACCCTCACCCCTCCCCGCATGCTCCCAGGGGCTTGTGTGGCCCAAGCCCCTTGCCAGGGATTCGGACAAAAGCATGGTGAGCCCCTGGATTCCTTTAACGGAATTCCCTTGCAGCAGCAGCATTGGAGGGCCAGGCACAGCCAACCCTTACCCCTCCACCAACCAAATTTTAACGAATGCCTAACCGCAGCCTTACAAGTTGTGACAATTTGCTATGCAGTAGGCAAGAACCAAATGACACCAGCCAATCTGCCAAATGGACAAAATTTCTACCAGGCCCCTGCCCCAAAAGCAGACGACCCCATGACAGGCATAGCAAGGTCAAACGCAACAGCCCTAAATTAGGGAGGGTGGGCGGGCAATCCGATGCACACAGCAAAAGAGGCCGCACCACGCTGCATGCAGAGAATATCTAACCTTTGGGCCAACTCACTAAATGGTAACATCAAAATCTCCCCAACAACCCAAAATAGCCCAATCACAGTCTTGGCCATCCAAATGGTCCCGCCCAGCAACCAAGAGGGGGTGTCTTGCTAGACCCCACCGCAACATGTGCTCTCCATGAAGATGAACATGCTTTATCCAATAAACCCATGACAATAATTATCTTGTCTCAATTTCATTGAGTGGATGCCCAGCTGATGTGGCAATATCTGAAGTGCGTTAGCTACTTTTATATAAAATCTCTTACCCCTTGAACCTGAGAGGCATCAGTTGCTAGTCTTGTGGTCAAAGCCCCTGGGCTGTTCCTGTGGTCATCAAACCAACCAATTTCTTCACCTAGCATGGCCTCAAAGCCAACCTTCCTTAGCCGTCTTGTAAGCAGCTCACCAGACTTTGCAAATGTATATCCCTGAAATGCATTTAAAGAATGTGTAAGTCTAGACATGCCAGCCACAAGGCACCTAAAAACGAGAAAAGAAAATCAACGGAACAGCCAATCTTAATGGTCATTTACCTGTAAAAACTGTGTAAAAAATGATATAACTCCAACCAATACAAAGAGCAGGCAGATGCCGTTGATCTGTAATCTTTGTTCTTCTTCATCCAGGATAGAAAAGGTCTTTTGGGAAAGAAAAGAAAGGGCCATAATATTAAGTGCCAACTAAAACAGTATAATTTTATTATTTATTTAGGCAATTTATACACGGCTTCATTATAATCATCTCTAAGCAGTGAATTGAGAGTCTCTACTTCAGAATTCATGTCACATGACTGCAATGATATTGGAAATCATAGGATCATGCAATCTAGCCCATGGGTAGGCTGCAGATGTTATTGGACTCCAACTTACAGCCTGCATGGCCAGTGGCCATGGCTGTTGTGAGTTGTAGGGGGTCATTGTATTGGGTACCCCTGATTTAGCCCATTTTGGTTTTACAGTTGCCTTGAGTATTGCTCGTGTGAGATTTCAATGGAGTGCTGCAAGCAAATTTTGCCCCCTATTACAGCACTTCTTAAAGGACAGCTTGACCATAGCCTCACATCAGTGGAGGTTTATTGATTTAAATGGTGCTACGATTGAATTTCCTCAAATGTAAACAATAAGCTATAGATTTTTTTTTATAAGGGACGTTTCCTCTACCTAAGTACAGCTTGGTACTAAAAAAATAAAGAGGTGCTAGGCCTTAAATCTGTCAGGAGGAGAAGCCATTCTCTCTAATCAGAAATGTATTTGGTTCTACTATAGTGGATCAGACAAAGTGAATATTGTTTTTCTATCTTTCTCTTAACCTCTTTTCTGTTTTTTATTTCTTTTTCCTTCTCTATCTCTCCCCCTCCCCATATTTCTGTGTTTTTATTCTATCTCTATAAAAGTCTTGGTTTGGTAAAAAAATGGGGAAATGTATAAAATTTTGTATTTTTCTCTATACGCTTTCATAAAATTTATTTTTTTAAAATGAAATGTATTTGTTTCATATAGAATAATTATCCTACTTTTCTTTATGTAGTTCGAGGCGATAAATAGCATAATTATAATAAAACACTATTAAAACCATTAAGAAAAAGGAAGTGTTGAGAATATCAGGCCAGCAAATTAAACTGTGTTTCAGTAGTTGCTGCAGGGAAGTATCCCATTTAAATGGTGTGTGTGCTATTCATAACTGATGGCACTATGTTTAATACCTGGGTTTCAAAAACAAAGGATTAATCCGCACCAAGAAACTAGAGAACTTGGACCCAACTGAAGTACAAACAAATCACTGATGTGGGGGGGGAAAAACCACACAAAAATCTTCCATGCAGCTTTTAAGAGGCATAAGGGACTAATAACCAGAGGAGAACAATGGCAAGTAGCGAGTCTTTGAAAAAGTCAGGTTTTAAAAGCCCTTCAATCCACTAATAAGTCTTCAGAGAAGGAGCAGAAGGCTCAGCAAGTCCCACTGCCTCTTTTTTGGTAAGCATTTATTTAAAACGTTCCCCTAATCCTCATAAAGTCAGCTGCAATCACATGCTCACTGGGAAATGTAAAACTAAATGTGTGTGTGTGTGTGTCAAAACTCAAATGGAAAAACAGGAAGTTTTCTGCTTTCTTATAAACATGCCCAAAGCCCCACATCCGTGTCATTAAGAGACACTATAATCAGTGTGCCTTCAAGGGAGGGCATAGATCCTGTTTGTTAACTCTTTGGGACATTTGTTTTAGAGGTCAACAAGCTACCTGTTATCTTTGGCAGAATGGGAAAAGTAGCCAATAGGAAAAAGGATGAGCGCTCAAAGAGGGGTCATTCTTTATGCTCATTAAATCCATCCCTCCCCACCCCCCATGTCTTTCGGACAAGTTTTTTGAGCCACCAGTTCACAGGGATGTTGACAACAACAGACTTAAACACTAACTTTTAAAGCAATTGCTCTTAAGCTATAAATGCTGATCTCTGAAGTTTGATCTTCCAGACTTGCTAACTAACTTTTACACTATCGCCAGGTCATGAAACACGTGCTTGTGTTCCCGTTTGATGTTTGTCTATACAGGGCAAATCTTAGTAAGTCAACTAATCTGTAAAAACTAAGTTGAGCAGAAGCAATTCCCACACCAGCTGGATTCTAGTCTTCAAGTTTGCCCCCTTAAAAGGGGGGGATCTGCCTTGGAACTAAACATTATAGGTAGAGGAAACCTTGGACTCAGCTAATTTAGTCAAGAAACAGCGTTCTAAATGCATTATAAATATGCAGCACCAGATTGAGCCAGAGAAGGGGGGGTGGGGGATTCTAAGCAATTTTCCATAGCTTTTTTTTCTTTTGTTATAAAGATTTAATTTCTGACTTATTTATAGCATTTCCCCCCTGTGTGTAGATCCATCCCTTGTGTCTGTAGCAAGTAGATGGATCAGGACACAAGTTCTGGCCCCATTGTTAGAGGCAGTATGCTCTGGATGCCCGTGGTTGTGAACCACAAGTAGTTATCTATTGCACTCAAATCCTGTGGGTGTCCTTCCCAATAGGCATCTATGCAAACAGAATGCTGGGCTAGTTGAGGTGTTTAGACTTGATTATCCTGCCTTTCACTCCCCTTAAGGAGTCTCAAAGCGGCTAACATTCTCCTTTCCCTTCCTCCCCCACAACAAACACTCTGTGAGGTGAGTGAGGCTGAGAGACTTCGGAGAAGTGTGACTGGCCCAAGGTCACCCAGCAGCTGCATGTGGAGGAGCGAAGACACGAACCCGGTTCCCCAGATTACGAGTCCACCGCTCTTAACCACTACACCACACTGGCTCTCAGTTGGCAGAGGGAGCGTGTTCCATTTTGCTACCTAAGGTGAAACAGGAAGGTGCCACCCACTACCCCTCCACCAAATCCTCGCTCGCCAGGGCTGCTCAGTGTGTGGTTTCCTGGTTCTGTCAAGATCTCACAAGAGAGCTATAAGATCCCAGAAACCACAGCTGCTTATTGCTTCTGCAGTGGCAATGATGGCGGCGGGGCACCCCTGCCACAGGTGTTCTGCAGATGGCCAATGTGCTTCATTTTTCTAGGAAATGGGATTAGCTGACTCCCAAAAGGAGATGCTTTGTTCACAATAAAACAGAGCAGTGGAATAAATTATGGCTGTCTTCGCATTAACTTTCAACCAATACTGCTGCCCAAAGTCGATCAACGTTGAGTTTAAGTGACTATAAAATGCACGGTGCAAAAAGGGAGCAATATATGCATTTGCTATCTAAAAGCATATAATGCCTTCATGGGAGTCTGTCAGCATGCCTGTTTTGTTGTTTTGATAAAACCATGCAAAGGGGTTGTTCAAAGCCTTTGTGGCTTTAGTGCCGGTGAATTTAATTCACCACCAGCACTGGCTATTGTGTCTGTGAGTTTACTGTCTAATAATAAAATGCCTCCATACTTCAGTCAGGTAGGAAAGGGATAAAGTATTTTTTGGAATATTGTAAATGTATAAAAGCAGACCCTTATTATATTGCTCACTTCTTTATAGAATCATAGAATTGTAGAGTTGGAAAGGAGCATGAGGGCTATCTAGCCCAACCCCTGGCAATACAGGAATCTTTCACCTAATGTAAGACTCGAACCCAGGACCCTGAGATTAAGAGTTTCATGCTCTAATGACTGAGCTATTTATGATTACTAGGATGCCATGGAATGGGACAATTTATCAAGGGGAAGAGGGCATATAATTATTCTTCTCTTTTCAGATTTAAGGTTGCAGTCCAATGCACTGTTTTATGGGGAGATGTCTCCGTGAACTCAGGGGAATTTGCCAAACAAACAAGACTCAGAGTCTTCTACTTGTTTCTCTTGAAAGTAGCCATTGGTGTGAGGTGGAGGGATGCTCCAAGCTTAATCAAATTAACAGTACTGAGGTATGGGGGAAGAAAGGTACCTGAATTATGCCTGTCTCCCCCTCTCCACTCCCAGCAGGGCCAGTTGCAGGATGTGTGTGTGTGTGTGTGTGTGTGTGTGTGTGTGTGTGTGTGATTTCAATTGAGAAATGTATGGAAGACAAGGCTGGACACCCACCCCCCAGTGCTGCTGCTCAAATAACTGCTTTAAAGGAGAAAGAAAAATGAAACCCTTTGGAGATCTGAAATATCTCCTTTATCACCATAGTGCCTACATATATGAAAATATGTCCCCCTCCTAGAATGCATGAAACTGGCTCTTAATGCAAGACCCCAAACCCCCTGCTCATCTCCAGAGTACTGGTGTTTATGGGTCTGTTGAGGAAACAGTCATGTCTTTTTTTGCAACTGACTCAACCCACAAGTTTCAATCATACATTCTCCAACAGTTTACAAAACTGTTGGTGGGCCTGTCATTGTAACAGAAGACCCTCCTTCCCAAGATAGACCTCTCCCCACCACCACCAATGAATTCCAGAGCACCCCCAGAAGCCCATGAACCTCAAGATTCTGGAATGCAGCTGCCCGGTCCTTGGGGTCTGCTGGGAGAGCCAATTGTCAACGGTCCCCTTCCCCAACCTGGTGTTCTGCATGGGAATTGGGCAAATGACCACAAATGTTCAAAAACTACTAAAAGCAGCAAGCCAAAATGTTGGAAATGAAGTAATAAGGACTGCTTGGCACACTGTTGGCACGCAGTTGTCCTGCATAATACAAGGGTAGTGAAAAACCATATTCAATACAAGAAGGAGGAAATTGGTCATGACCTACTCCAAGAATCTGACTGAAAAGCAAGGCATAGAGTGGGTTGACTGCCCCGTTGAAGCCTGCTCCAAGGGATCCAATCAGCATGTAGGGCCATTCAGCAGCATTGTATTTCAGAATTCTGGTAACATTAGCAGGCTTCACTTCTTCCACTTTTACAGCCGTTGGCTCCTAAAAGAGAAAACGGGCAAATATGTTGATATTCTTCTTTCCGTGCTGCCCAGTAGAAACTTCGAGGAAGGGTTATACAGCGAGCTTTTCAAGAGGACCAGAGAAAGGAAACAAAATGGATGTTTTTGTCAAATAATGACCTTCTTAAATGGACTGCCATCTTCTTCATACTGCCCGGTGCTATAGATATGTTCCGAATGGTTCTGGGCAACTGACATTGGGTGGTCCGGTACTATATTTGACAACTGAGATCTGGAACGCTGTCGAAGGGAAGCTCTATGAAAGAATAAAGAGAAAAGGTGAAGTCTTAGGAACAGCAGTTTAAGGAGTTTGCATCTAGCGTTATTACCGTACTTATCACGATCATAGTTTACGGAAATACTTACTATACCCATATCCTGAGATTTATGGCACAAAGCTTGACATGTTTGCTCAGAAGTAAGTCCCGCTGAGTTCAAAGGGGAAACTTCCAAATAAGGGCTCCCCCAGACAACCTATTCACAGTATTAAGCCTTCATCCCGATTTGTTTGCACAAAACTTAAAAATCAATCAATCAATTATTATTAATTAACAAGCCTTCTGCTCCTGTCCCTTTGCCAGTTCAAAGAATACCCATTCTCAATGGTGGGCTGATTCTCATTAAAAAAATAAAACTGCCAGGTCAAACTCCAAAAGAAACTGGTTGCTGCCTGTCATATTGGGAGCCTGTCGATTGGGAGCCACCCAGAGTGGCTGGGGAAACTCAGCCAGATGGGCGGGGTATAAATAATAAATTATTATTATTATCATCACCATCATCATCATCATCATCATCATCATCATCATCATATGTCTAGGGGTGCTACATCCTTTTTCCTCACCTGAAGCAAAACAGGAACGTGCTGTTACAATGCTGCATTGTGTTGTGTTTTGTCCCCCACTGAAAGGCTTACCTCAAGCTGTCCCGATAACTTCCCCTGACGAAAGACTGCGTTTTCTCAAGATTTGGTTCGGCTGCTGTAAAACAAAGCCAAAGAAGCCCATCAGAAAATGAGATCATCCATTCCATTCTTATATTTTGGTATGTGTTTACAGTGTATAAAGCAAACCTGTTACAAGGCTGAAAGTTTTTGCTTCATGGTGGTTTGTTAAATATTCTACCTGAAGCACAGCAATTCTCTTTAGTTCAAAAAAGTGTGAGCTTAACTTAAAGTACACTTCTTTGGCAGAGCAGCTTTTTAAGGGTCCTGGATGTGCTCCTTTAGCAGCCCATCAGTTGTCCACACATGGTCCTATGACCCCATGTTGAGCTGTATGGCAATCACTGGATTTGCAAAAGGAAGCTATGAAGAACAATGCTCTTTGCATGTACAAAGCACAGACCACTAGCACATGAAAGGTCTTGAGCAGCTGCCACACTAAGAATAGAAGCGAGCAGACATAGGAGCCAACTCCTAGGGGTCAATGTCCCTTCCCCCCCCCTAAACTATTTGAAGCCCCCCCCAGTTGAGACAGGCATTGCCAGTCAAATGGTGTGCATACATTGTGTCTTGTGATCTATTATGTGGGGTGGGGCTTACCTGCCCTCCCCCCAATATTTTATTCGAGTTGGCACACCTGCGAGCAGAAAAGCTACATGTTTTTGTTGGGGTGTACCACTTCAAGCAGGATGGGGGTGGCGCTGTGGGTTAAACCACAGAGCCTAGGGCTTGCCGATCAGAAGGTCGGTGGTTCGGATCCCTGCGACGGGCTGAGCTCCCGTTGCTTGGTCCCTGCTCCTGCCAACCTAGCAGTTCGAAAGCACGTCAAAGTGCAAGTAGATAAATAGGTACCGCTCTGGCGGGAAGGTAAACAGTGTTTCCGTGCGCTGCTCTGGTTCGCCAGAAGCGGCTTAGTCATGCTGGCCACATGACCAGTTGTACGCCGGCTCCCTCAGCCAATAAAGCGAGATGAGCGGAACAACCCCAGAGTCGGTCACGACTGGACCTAATGGTCAGGGGTACCTTTACCTTTACCATTACCACTTCAAGCTACAAGGGGTAGCTTGCATATTCGAATATTCCCTCACCTCAAATTATCACTGCAAATACACAGCTAGAATGTCAGGATATGAAAGCTAAATTATAACCATTTTATCCTGATGTACTGATTTTACAGATACAGATATGTTTCATTCCGAGCAGAATTCAAGCATGCAGTCTCCCCTCCTACACTCTGAAATGGTGAATCGCAGTACAAATTGCACTCTGTCTTTAGTTTATTCTCACAAATGCAGGGGACAACGGCTCAAGGCTGCTATAATTTTCTTCTTCACTGGTGATTAGGAAACACAGTGGGAATGGAAGCAGCCCTGAGACTTAACAATTTAACAAGATGTTAAATTGTTTTTATATGCCAACAACTGCGGCAAGAGTATTGTTAGCCCAGAAATGGAAACAAGAAGAAATTCTGATGAAAGAAGAATGGCAGACGAAATTAATGGACTATGCAGAATTGGACAAAATGACAGGAAGGATTCGAAACCTGCGGGACCAGAAATTTACAGTAGATTGGAAGAAGTATATGAATTATTTGAAGAGCATCTGTAATCAACAAATTATGCTAGTAGGACTACAAGAAGTTTTGTAAGGAGAAATATACGAAGTGTTACAAAGTAGAAAAAGATAAAGATATTGGTTATGAGTTTGAAATGCAATAGGGAAGATAAGAAATGCATACTAAGAGATTAGATTGGAAAATTTTCAGACAGGATTGATGGAAGTAAAAAAAATTGAATAGGATGTAAAAGTATGTTTAATTACTGTTGAAAATGGTATGTTAAAACACACACACACACACACACACACACACACACATATATATATATATATATATATATATATATATATATATGAAGCAGCCCTGAGACTATGTAGGCCCTGTGCCTTATATTTCCAAACAATGTATCCCAGAGTAGTAAGAAGATGCTTTCAGTTAGAAGAACGCCAAGATGTCTGAGGTTATATCAGCTCTGCATGCTCCAACAACTCTTTCGGAAATCTGAAGCGTTCTTAAAAACGGACTGCAGCACAGCAAGAAGGCTTGTTCAGTTTGTGTCAGCAAAGAATGCTGGTTGAGGGGTCATCAAAGTTTGACACTAGTAAAGTGGTCTTGCTCCCAGGGACCATAGCTCAGTAGCAGAGCACAGGCTGTGAATGCATAAGAATCCAGATTTGAACTCCAGCATCTCCAGTTAACAGGATCACAGGTAGCCATAATGGGAAAGCGTGTTCTCCTTCATGGAGAGCACGTGTTGCAGTGGGGGCCGCCAGGACACTCCAAAGTTGTGGGGTGGGCTAATTGATTGTTGGCCACTGTTGTGATTGGGCTTCCCTTGTTGTTGGGAAGAAGTTAATGTTGCCATTTGTTGATTGACAGCCAGAAATGCTAAAACTCCTTGCACAAAGCTAGGGCTTCCTCTTTTCGCCCGTGCATCGGATTGCCCACCCCCCCTCCCTATATTTAGGGTTGTTCGCTTTGACCCTGCTATGCCTGTCATGGGGTCGTCTGCTCTTGGGGCAGGGGCCCAGTGGGAATTTTGTCCATCTGGCTGATTGGCTGGGGCCATTTGGTTTTTGCCTACTGCGTAGCAAATTGTCACAACTTGTAAGGTTGCAGTTAGGCATTGGTTTATGGTTTGGTTGGTTGAGGAGCATGGATTGGCTGCGCCTGCCCCTCTAATGCTGCTGCTGCAAGGGATTCTATTAAAGGAATCAGGGGCTAACTATTGTTTGTCCACCCTGTCAAGGGGGCTCGGGCCATGCAAGAGCTCCTGGCTGCATCTGGGGAGGGCTGAGGGCAGGTTCCCTGCTCCATCGCTACCCCCAAGTGTATTCCCCTTTTCTGACTTTCGCAGGCGTGCGGAATGTCAGTCTGTCCCCCATGGGGGGGCAGATAGTCGCAACCAATGCCTAAGCAACCACTCACATTTTTGTATTTTAATAAAGTTGTGGCCAAAATTATGCCAAGAAACCTTAAACAAAAAATTCTGTGTGATGTGTGAGCTATTGGGGTGGCCCTGGGGACCTCGACACACAAAGAGAGAGAGGTGCATCAGTGACCCAGAGATAGATGCACAAATAATCTAACCCTGGAATAAGGCACAGCTTGTTTTGTACCTATGTGTAGGACTGATTTTTCATGGGACCATAGGGAAATAGTTGTGTTAGTACAGAAAAGGAAATTAATTCCTTGAGTTAGTAAACCTTGACCTCGTTTTCAGAAATGCAGAATAAGGTACTTGCTTTGCACCGACGTGTCAGTGAGTGCCTTGTCCCCTTGGCTTTGCAAAGTTACCAGTGTGAAATAAACCCCTTTCCGTTCCATCAGCTCCTCGTGTTTCCCCCTTTCCACTGCTCTTCCATGCTCAAAGCCAATTATGACATCAGCAGTTCTGATTGAGGACAAGCGGTGAGCAATGGAGATGGCCGTGCGCCCAACGCGAGCCTAAAGCAATGGGGGGGAAATATCGGTGAAGCAAACAGATGAGTAAAACAGGTAGGCTTTGGTCTCTTTGCTTTTGTGTGTGTGGTCGGTCACAGAGCATGGAATGAAGCCTAACTGGTGTAAGGACATGCAAAGAGCTCTATTGGATCAGACTAATGGCCCATCAAGGCCACTCACAGTTGCAAACCAGGTACCTATGAGATGCTTGGAAGAGGGACATGAATGCTGGTACACAGAAATCTGTACGTTCTGTGGGTGCCCGTAAAGCTGTCTTACGCCAGCACTGATATTTATATTTATTTCCAAGCAAATGTTTGAAGAGCAGCATGCCTACCTCCCATCTCCAGCATTGCCTGCTATTTACTGAACAATCCCCCCCCCCCGCGCTTTTTTAACCCACCCTTTGTGCCTGTGCGCTTCCTGGCTGTGCAATTCTGGTACTGGAACACTCATCTACTCCCATTTAAATGCGAACAAAAGGTTGGAAGCTTAAAAGCTGTGGGTTTCATTTAATTAAGACATACTCAGAGCAGACCCACTGAGATCAAAGGACTTCAGTCAGTCGTGCCCATGGATTTCAGTGGGTCCATTCAGAACAGGAAACACTACCACTTCCATGTCAATCCCCAACATGACTCTTCCCAACAGCTCTTTGAGAGCTGTGTTGGGAAAGTCTTTGGGGTAAACTCTTCCCCACCACAGGTCAAGCTTCTGATCTGGCACTGCTCCCTCCCCAGGTTTCCACTGCTAACAAGCCTAACAATTCTGGAAACTGCATGCACGTTTGTTGGTTAATGTGTCGATGTGAGGTTCTAGGCTGTAGAACCTTGCATCCACTCTACTGATTTTCTTATGGAAACACGCAACAAGTTCCAGAGTGCACATAGCAGGGCCCCAGGCTTGCTCCTAAAGGCTTCTCCGTTCTTTTCAAGAACACCCAGAGAACACCAATTGTGCATTGGAGCAAATGCAAAGCTCTGAATAGCACTGTTGTTGTCGTTGTTGTTGTTGCTAACTGGATTTTAGCCTGCCCTTCCTCTTTCTCTTCCCCACTCTGATCTCATCCTCACATCAGAGATTGTGACTGCCTGAATGTGAGGGTTGAATATCGGATTCCCACTCCTACTCTGGCACTATAATCACTATGTCACATTAGCTCTCCTAACCACACCTCACCATAATTTTGTATCTTGTAAACTTATTATAAAAAGAAAGTTGTGGAGGGGAGAAGAGACTAATCTCTACCATTTAAGGAGATTATACTTAAGAGGGTGTGTGTGTTTTTAAAAGTTTCCTACCCCCACCTCCATGATATTGAATTATTATTATTATTATTGTTATCCCCTGCCCATCTGCCCATTCATTAAATATGCCAAACCTTATGAAGGGCCTCTTGCACTGTAGCTTCGCTTTTGTTGTCCAGTGCTGATGTAGCCATGTCCAGTAGCAGGATTTTGGGGTTTCGAACCAAAGCACGAGCAATAGCAATCCGCTGCTTCTGGCCTCCACTCATCTGACCACCACCTTCTCCAACTAGGGTGTCAAATTTCTAAAACGGTGGGATGGGAATATGAAACCAGTGACAAAGGTCTTTACCTCGATCCTATTCAATGGTGAGAGCTGCACCCATCCTCTGTCTGTGCTCCCAGTGCCGGTGTGAGCTCATGTATCTCTCTAGTCTAGCAGGAAACCCCCATGTGATCCCGAAGCAGGTATCATCCACACAATTCTTTGTTAAGGAAATAAAACAAGCTTCTATTCCTCTCTGCATGAAACAGAACCATGAATAGAAGTCTGATCCACCTAACCGGGTGCTATCTATCTTTTTTGAGTGTCCTGGATCTCAGACAATAAATTTCAGCTGGCTTTCTAGCTAAGGTCTTTTTGGTGGAGCTTACACAATCAAAGCATGTGCTCTGCCATGGAGATATGGCTAGGTCCCCTCGAAATTGTCAAAATAAGTTTGAGAATGACATGTGTTGTACACCCTAACCCACCCCAAAAATATCAAGGCACCTGAAGAAGCAAGTCTCTTATATGTGTATCTTTGAAGATAAGAACACCTGGCCATAATGGCCAACTAGGTACCTATGGAAGCCCACAACCAATACCTACATGCAACAGCACTCCTCCACCCCCCAACTTGTGTTCCCCAGCAACTTTGACAGTGGAGGTAGAACACAGCCATTGAAAGTCCTTATCCTTCTACTAGCAGTCAACTTACTGAGAACAACCATGTACATTTAAACATCACTTTATGTCTCTTCATTACCCGGGAAAAGGAAAAGGAAAAGGAAAAAAGGAAAAGGAAATACCAATAATGGTTTTAATCCAACAGGGGATTGTCTGCTGAGAAGCAATTTACCCAAGAAACTCCTAGTAGGTGCATGAGTGGCTCAGGCACACACCTTGGAATTGCAGCCAATAAACACTGGCATCACCAAAAAAATCTACTTTCTCTCTCTCTCCTTTGAAGGAAGGAACCACAAGTAAACTTCAGAAGATAGTGGCCACTGTAGAAGACGGCAAGTGTCCATATTGTCTTGAACACTGCGCATAGACCTACACAGTAATTGTCCACCACCAGCCACGTATAAGAACCCACCAAGGTGTGATAAACATTCTGTTCTCATTGCCTGCCTGAGGCTGCAAAAACAGATAAACACTTCTGGAAGACCACAATGTCTGACTGGTGAGCTGTGCATGACTTTGTAGGTCAGAAGCTAGATAGGCATGCAGTCACATCAGGATTTTGAATATTGTAAACTGAAGCTTGCCTTACCCCAGGCAGATCCATGATAAAGTCGTAGGCATTGGCTTGTTTGGTTGCTCTGATGATGTCTTCCATAGTGGCATCTTCCCGACCATAGCGAATGTTCTCTGCAATGGTGGTAGCAAACAGGACTGGTTCCTGCTCAACTATGCCAATCAAAGAACGCAGCCACTGAATATTAAGCGAGCGAATATCATGTCCATCTAGAGTAATCTACACAACAACAACAAGTTGTTTGCAGGATAAATAGTCATAATACACTTGTTCAGTCACTCAATATTTGATATTGGAATAGACTCTACACTAGGAATAGATGAATCTGTCAATTTTGGTTTCTCCCAGTTTTCATATTTCCACACTACTACGTGATTTTTTTAACAAAAAAAGTACCCATGAAAGTTCTTTAGCATGAATATTGCTTAATACACACATTTCTGAAATGCAATTTCCCTAATACAATGCAGTTTTATATGCTATATTTACTAATCAATGCCTTTAAGCACTTTGTACCCTACTCTATGAGGGTGGCAGGTGGCGCTGTAACCAAATCACTGAGTCTCTTGGGCTTGCCAATCGGAAGGTCGGCAGTTCGAATCCCACGATGGAGTGAGCTCCCACTGCTCTGTCCCAGCTCCTGCCAACCTACCAGTTCAAAAGTATGCCCGTGCAAGTAGATAAATAGATTCCGCTGCGGCGGGAAGGTAAGTGGTGTTTACATATGCTCTGGCTTCTTTCACAGTGTTCCGTTGCACCAGAAGCGGCTTAGTCATGCTGGCTACATGACCCGGAAGGCTGTCTGTGGACAAACGCTGGCTCCCTCGGCCTGAAAGCGAGATGAGCACCACAACCCCATAGTTGCCTTTGACTGGACTTAACCATACAGGGGTCCTTTACCTTTTTACCTTACCCTATTCTATGTACATGCTACTCTGCTGGAGAACTGCACTGCAAAATTCAGAAAACTGTGAATTTCAAAGGCTGGCTGGATTTCACTTCATATATTGATTCAGAAAGCGCAAATTACGTATGTTCACCTTTAAATGCAAACTGAATCTAATTTCTCCCCTATCTCTGCTATATACCAGGGGTCAGCAACCTTTTCAGCCATGGGTCCACAGTCCCTCAGACCATGTGGTGAGCTGGACTATATTTTTTGGGGGGGGAGGGAATGAACGAATTCCTATGCCCCACAAATAACCCAGAGATGCATTTTAAATAAAAGGACACAGTCTATTCATGTAAAAACATGCTGATTCCTGGACCGTCCACGGGCCAGATTGAGAAGACGATTGGGCTGCATCCTGCCCACGGAACTTAGGTTGCCTACCCCTGCTCTATACCCACAGTGGGAATGAATCATGTCCCAGGATTCTTTAAATGAAAATGGAAGTTATGTAATTGTTTACAGGATTTTTAATTAAAAAGGGTGGGGGGAGGGATGAAAATGAAAGTGACCACTCTCTTACAATGAAGTTAGGTAAAGCTCTCACCATGCCTTCACTAGGGTCATAAAATCGCTGGATGAGCTGTATTGTGGTGCTCTTTCCAGCTCCACTGGGTCCAACAAAAGCTGTTGTTTCCCCTGCCTTGATAACCATGTTGAGTTTTTCTAAAATCTGGAAATAAAAATGAAAAAGATCACATGTTTAAAAAGTGTTTTCCCTGATGTTCAAAGCAGTACATGGAAGCTGCTATAATGGTTAACCAGAAAAGTGAAGCTCTTACCTTTACGTCAGGCCTGGATGGGTAGTAGAAAGTCACATTATGGAATTCAATTTCACCACGGACTTTATCCAGCTTGTAGCCATCTTCTGACATACAGTCAATAACAGGTTTCTGGGGCAGAGTTAATCGGTTATATTACTTCCCTTGTAGAAAAGCTGCTTTCTCTCTCTTTTTTGCACTGGGTAGAATCCAAACATATGGAAGACCCTTGTAAGAGGGTCTTAAGGAGTTGCTCCAGCTCCTGGCCGGAGCCTGGGGTTGGCTGGGGATGGAGCCACCCATTTCAGATTACCAATGGGATGCCTGCCACTTGGGTAGCCCCCACACTGCCTCCCTAGATGCCAGTCAACTTCCATGGCACTCCCCAACAGGTGAATTGAGATGGTGAATCGGACTTCAGATGAGAAGTCTAAGGATGTTAACAGATCCTGGCCCTATGCCATGCCAACTCTGTTCATTTTGCTGCAATCTGTAAAGTTTTGGCCTGTTTTCATCCACCCCCAAGTTCCGTGCTGTCCACCTTTCACCTGGTCTTTGAGTCAAGGGGCACAATGTGCCTGCTATGCAAAGAGACCACATGCCCAGACCATGCTTGGGGAATAACTTTGGCTTTCCTGGGAGTCAATCCCATTGAACTCAGGCTTGCATCTGAGTAGCCATGCACAGGATTGCACTGCTAAAGATATTCTTTAAAAAGTGCAAGACATTATACACATTTTCCTACGACCCACTCGTCTCGTTCTCTAATCACGCGCATCAAAGCTGTTAAGTAAGCATTATTTTCTGCTATGCGAGAGCTAAAAGCAGAAGAGCACAGCTGGCTGCTACGGACGTAGCTTATTTGCCTCCAATGGGATTACAAAGGGTTATATTTGCTGGCTATTCCATTCTCTCCATTCCCTGAAGCTTTGGTAACACTATATGTATTAATGCCCTTATCTGAGCCTTTGGCTTCACTTCATTCCTTATAAATCAAGAGAGACCATAGCGGCTTAATTCCTGAAACCACTTTGCGGAGCTGAGTGTCTTGGCGATCAGGCCGCTTATAGAGTTGACTCCTAATAGATAAATATTGGAGCTTGCTGATACTTTGAATATTCATAAGCAATCATTTAGAACTGCCACTTGGACGAATGCGCTCTTTGTCAAATGCACAGGCATGGTGCTGGTTTGCTTTAATCTGCAATCAATTTTTCCCTTAATCACCATAATATTTCTCATCTGTGCTGTTGGCAGAAGCCCTTAAGCTGATGCAAGGCTCATTTATTTCACCCTCCAACACAGGCTAGTGGTGCTGAACCAGTTGAGCTACTCACTTTATCTATCGTCTCAAAGATATTTGTTGCAGCTCCTCGGCCAGTGGCAAAGGCTTCCAGGCAAGGAGAAGCTTGGCCAAGACTTAAGGCAGCTACCAGAACTCCAAAAAAAACCTGAAAAGAAAGAAAAGGGGGTGGGGGAAAACAATTATGTTTTCTTGGTGGCTTTAAAAATTGCATTGGAGCAGAAATTAAATTATAATTAGAAGGAATCGTTCTGGAAGGCAGAAAAATGTTTTCGCCCTGTGTGATATATTAAGGAGGGTACAAAAAAGATATTTATAGATCTGAAGGCAGGAATGCAATTTAAAATGGCATTATTGTTTTCTTTTCTCAACTAAGGGAAACATTTCAAATTTTCAGATGAGTAGAGGGAGGTTCCAAAGAAGGTTAAAGGATGCTCTGAAATATATCTTATATGCTAATAGTGAATTCGTTGTCTGAGCGGCAATCCTTGTGTAGTCAAAATGACACCATTTGTGCATAGGAGGAAGGTCTCAGCCAGCTGGAGGGGGAGAGGAGGAAATGACCCCAAGAGACACCCCCCCACACACACAAATATCAGCCCAGTGAATATGCTTGGTAAGTATAGAATGCTGACTGGCTGTAGGGAGGTGTGACAGAAAAATGTGTGGGATGGTGGCAAAAGAAGAGGAGAATTCTGCACAAAGGCTAGCTGGAACCCTGAACAGAATACCTCCTACTAGGTACGCTGCAGCTTTACACTACAGGTCCCACCTGTTAAGGTTACACTGAAAAGTTTACAAAGCACCCACTTTGTTTTTCAAAGCAATGAGGTGGCTGGAAGTGCAAGTGCTTTGAGGTGGGAAAACGGGGGAAACCACTGAAAGCCTTACCTGTATAAGTGTGCCAGGTGAGTACTCCTCATCTTCAAGAACAAGTTTTGAGCCGTACCAAAATGCTAGCGCATAACTCAGGAAAATGATGCACCAGATGTAACCGGTGAAAAATCCCATTATTATTCCCTTTCTAATTCCCCAGTTTTGGGCAAACACTAGGTTTTTGTCATATCTGCGGAAAGAACAAAAGGAAAATTTAAGAAGTTCATTTGAGAAAAATAAAACACAGCAAAGGGGCTAAATAAGGGCCATGTTTGGGGTTGAAGGAGTTACAAAAGAGGCATGCTTGCATGGTGCAGGTGTAATGCCTGTAGCTCAGTGGCAGAGTGCACACTTTGCATGTGCAAGGTGCTCAGTTCGGTCCCCAACCTCTCCAGGTCAGACTGGGAGAGACTCACACGTGAAACCCCAGACATCTGCTGCCATTCAGTGTAGGCAATGCTGAACAATTTGGACCAATGGTCTGATTCAGAATAAGGGGTGGGTAGTGCAAGGGGGAGGAGTCTTATCTTCTACTTTTTTGGATGAGGGGTGCTGGACCCCTTCCCCTTCCTGCACCTTATTTCCTCCCCATATCATATTGAAATACAGGCATTCTCCCCACCTACGCATGACTGACTGGCGTGTCACTGCATATATGCGCAGTGCTGGGAAATAGATAGATAGATATGATACGTTCATCCCTAGAAATAGTGGTAGCGAGCTGGAGAGTCCCTGTGGCTTGCAAGAAGACCCTTTCCAGAGCCCGAAGAGAACGTCAGTGAGGGCGGAGGAAGCCCCAAAGAGACCCAAGGCACAGCGGGGCTTTGTTTGGGCTGCTCAGCTTCCCCACCTAACAGCTGATGTGCAGGGTAGCACAGCAGCAGCCACTTTTTCGCACGTCCTCCAGCTGGTCCCAGAGCTTCAACTCTAGTTGGAGATAGAGTTGTGTAGAGAGAGAAAGAGAGAGAGAGCGAGAGAGAGAAGTAGAGACAGAGCTGGGGAGCAGGGGGGAAACAGGCATTTAGAGGCTTTTTAGAGGATGCTCCCCACTTACGCAATTTTCGCTTATGTGTGCAGGGGCCTGGAACATATCCCCAATGTAACTGGGGGGATGCCTGTACTAGAAAGTTTGGGGGAAAGTGTACTGTATGGGATGATAGACTGGGTGGATCTAAGCTATAGCAAAGGAGAGGATTCATCTTCCTGCACGTGTTATGCTCTTAAAATCATAGGCTTTGTTGCTTTTAAATTTCTTCAGGTCTGTGAGTCAGTCATGATATACGAACCAACCTTGCAACTTCTTTTCTTTCCCCTCCAAAAGCAGCCACTGTTCTGATGGATGAGAGCACTTCATCGGCCACAGCGCCAGCTTTTGCATAAGCTTTTAATTCTCGACCTGTCAGCTTTGCCACAGCCTAAACCAATCAGTAAGAAGATTCATTTAGGCAGTGAAGGTTTTTCTCCTTTGGATTGTACAAGCTCCTTGCTGTCACACTGGGTTATCTACATTTACAAAGGACACATTTATGTAGCAAATTCATTCTTCTTTTTCTTTTTCTTTTTTCGCTCACTTCACCTACCCATAGTCATGTGCTAAATAGCTCATGTGATAGATCAGGTTGGCTTATCTAGTGCATTATATAGGTGCATTTTAGGCAACATCACCATATTCCACTGTGCTCTAGAATCAGCTATATAAAATATTGATGTTGCATATGCCATCATACAACTGTTACACAGCACACCTAATATTTCTATTACAAAGATTTTGTCAGCCTTCCATCTTCACAGAGGATTTCTCTGTGAACGTTTAGACAAGGTTGACAGGGAGTTTGTTAAATGCCTGCCTTCCACAGAGTCAGCTTTCAGAAGGCTGGACGTGCTTGCTTGTGCAGCAAAACCAAGGAAGAGTCTTATAGCACAACAAAAATCACCTAATGTGGCATTCCCCAACTGGATGCCCCCCAGATGTTGCTGGAATACAACTCCAAACAACCCTGGCAATGCTGGTTTGGGACTGATGGGAGATGTAGTCCAATAACTCCAGCTGTAATCCAGTAACATCTGCAGAACACCAGGTTTGAGAAAGGTTGATCTAAGGTATTGTGGCTTCCATTACTGCATGCACATCCCACTGAAGTCAATGGCAAAAATCCAGTTGGGTTTACTGAGGCTCTCAGTTTGGTTATAGGAAAGACAGACAGCATTACTGAACAACAGTGAAAAATAGATATTGGACAGATTTTTAAAAACCCTTAGTAGGTGGTTTGACAGAGTTCTGTGGAGTAGTTGTTGTTTTTAAACAGCCAGCGACTTTAAAATCTTGCCATAGTTCTCCATGACTACAAAGCAGCCATAATTAGATACGAATGGCATTGTTCCTTACCAGGCCAATCATGGCAGCTCCAACCCCAAGTAGTGGACTGACTGAGATAATAACCAAGGTCAGCTTCCAGCCTCTGACAAATCCTAACATGAATCCACAAATAAAGGTGGTGAACCGCTGGATAAAGACTGCTACTTGATCAGCAATAGCATCATTTATTTTATTTACGTCACTGTGGAGAACAAAAAAAGTTGAAGCAGCAGTTGCATATGACCCTTATTGCAATCCCAAATATTCATTCAATTTGTTTCTACATTGGAGAAATATTGGTGAGAGCCATTTATCTCATTTGCTTTTATCTCTTCGTTCCTTTGTTCAGACATTTGGGAACTGAGGTCTGAAGTAAACAAGCCTTTCCTTTTAGATTCCAGGCAGGCTATAGGTTCTTGGGTTTCTGGGACAGGTATTTGGCTTACGAACCACCCCACTCTTGGACTCTACTTGCCAACAAACCTGTGCTTGTGTTCCTCCTCACTCCAGTTCTCCTTGTAAGCTTGGAGACTGGCTGTGCTATGTGTCAGCCATGGAAAAGGAGAGTGAATGAGCATTGGCAGGGTCACTTAGCAACAAAAGGACATGCTCATCAAGCATCACCAGCTTGTGAAAAAATGGCAGGCCAGTTGATGGTGCAAACAGGGCTGCCTTCCAGATGTTTTGGACTACAACTGCACTGGCTGAGGATGATGCAGTCCAAAGCACGTCGAAGGTACCAGGTTAGGGAAGGCCTTAGATTTTTTTGCTGGGAAAATGTCTACATGACACACCTGCCTTGCTATCTGTGTGTTTCCACCCTCTCCCTGTGAGGCTCATGGCTGCTTCCTCCCACCTGCTTCTACATCTCTGCTTAAGTGCCTATGGTGGCCTTTTCGACATCTGAACACACATGCAAAGTAATGGTTTCCTAATGGTAGGAAGTTTCAAGCAGAGATAATACTTTCATCTTCTACCCTTTTAATACCTGTTGTTTTCAGCAGCTGCTAAAGATGGACAAATCCATCAGTTTTGGTTTTTTTAGTTTCTCATTTTTTCTGGTCTTTGCAGCACTTTCTCATCAGTTTGTGATTATTATTTTTTTAATGTCCTCACAGAAATGCATCAGTGTTTCCTTATTATTATTTCATCAAATTTATGTACCTCAAAGTGGTTTCAGTGTGAACATGCATTTTTGTATGTAATTTTGTCTAATGCACACATTTTTTTTGCAAGCAGTATTCCTTTATGTAATGCATTTTGTGTATGTGATTTTCACTAATACATGCATTTTTAATGTACACTTTTCCCCAATATATGCATTTTTCTACACATTTTTAATCAAAGAACTGCATCACAAGTGTGAATTTGGAAAGCCAGCTCTGTTTTCAACTCATTTATTGTTCTAAGAAGTGCAAATTCAAACCAATTTTCTCTCACATTGCTAGCAAAATCCAGTGGAATATTAGCTCTGCTTTGGAGTCAGACCCCAGTCTGGTACAAGTAATACTGTAGATATTATTCTTCACTCACATAACCTCGCACAGACTACTCATTAGCATGCAGCGTCTTAAAAACATGCTGACCTCATCCACCACTGGATGTCTGAGATTACTCACTCAGAAATACGTGTACTGAGTTCCCCCACTGATGTACAATCAAACCAGCCTATATCCATCCTCATTATTTTCCTGAAATAGGCTTTTCTGATTTTCTGTGTCTGTCGAGCGGCTGAGATTACCCATAAGCTGATCTGTAGGGGGTAGGGAAGAATGAGAGATAAGGAAAGTCACGGTTAAAAGGGGGAGGGGGTGATCATCTAGCAACTACGAAAACACGATGCAAATATTGACAGCACAGCCAGCTAAATGGAAAAAAAAATTCTAATTTTGGGTTTATTTGGCATTGATTATTTCTGTTATAAAAACCCTGCACATGCTTTATAGGTTGATTCCGGCATCTACAGATATATGCTACAATGACTGGCAGGAGCCATTAACACAGTTACATTAGTGGGAATTGCCTGGCTTTAACCAGGAACAGAATATATACCGTACTTTTCCGTGTATAAGACTAGGTTTTTTTCTTTTAAAATTATGCTAAAAAGGAGGGATCGTCTTATACATGGATAGTGCATAGGATGGACATTTGACTGGTTGCTGCCACGGCTGTCAGCGGCTATTGGGCGTGTTATTGGTTCCTGCATCAATGGCTGGTGTTGAGTGGCTGAAGCTGCGGTAATTTGGCGGGCGACTGGCAGCTTCTGCCAGCGAGGGGACATTTGAGAGGCAGCTTTTTGGACGCATGCGGGTGAGCGATTTTCGGCAACCCCCCACAACAACCCTACGTAATTCCCCCCAAAAAACTCAACAACTCCGTGCCATCTCCCCCAATTTTCTTAAATTTGAGTCCCCCAAAATAGGGGGCGTCATACATGGGGGCATCTTATACACAGAAAAGTACAGTACATAACAGGGTGCTTTTATGTGCTTGGGAACAGTAGTCAGGTCGTAACATGCACTGCTTTCATAAATTTCTACCTCCACAGAACCCTTTCCACGTCACATTGTAAGCCACATAGTGTTCTTGAGGAGCAAATTCACTGCTGCTGTCTGAGATAGTTGGGCCTTCCCATCAGGATTTAGAATACACCCTAGAATACTCAAACCTTGCACATTGCAGCTGCATTTTATAAGGCATGGTGAAATGTGGTGGGCAAGCTGCCTCCAGAGAGCCTTGCCTACCATTATTGATCTTGACATTGAGGAGCTAACTGTAAAAAAACCAAACCACTTCTGTTAACTCTTATGATTAAAGGGCAAATAAACACTTGGTCCCTTTGTGTGCATTCTACATGACATGGAGCATGGGAACAAATCTCAGGCTTACAAACCTACTCCAGTAGGGCTACTAAACACATGGACATGTATATAACTGGATCTGGATCATCACCATGAGACAGCAGCATAAAAATTGCCTCACAATGCCCATAGCTGAAGGATTCCAGTCAACAAATGTCCACAGGAAGTTGGGAGGGATGAATGGGAACACAAGGCAGGGCCTTCTGGGTGGTTGCACTCCAAACTGGAAATGCCCTGTGACTGTGTCCCAACTGTGGAGAAAGGAGTTTAGCTGCCTTTTTGTTGTTTTTCAGGTAAGCCATTTTCTATTGTGGAAAACAATATGAGGAAGTAAATAATAATACAGTGGTACCTCAGGTTAAGTACTTAATTTGTTCCGGAGGTCCGTACTTAACCTGAAACTGTTCTTAACCTGAAGCACCACTTTAGCTAATGGGGCCTCCTGCTGCTGCCGCGCCGCTGGAGCCCGATTTCTGTTCTCATCCTGAAGCAAGTTCTTAACCTGAAGCACTATTTCTGGGTTAGTGGAGTCTGTAACCTGAAGCGTATGTAACCTGAGGTACCACTGTACTGACCTGGAAGTATGCCAGCACAAGCACTGCACAGCCTATTCCCCCATAGTAACTTGCAAAATAACTCATTTCCATTTCAATGTCCAGCAACCTGAAAGATAAAGAAAGAATTAAAGAAGATATATGACCTTGGTAAATCAGTCCATCTTGAATCGATGTGCCTGTAGGCAAAATTAATATGAGAAATAATGTAACTTCATTAGCAGCTAGATGAACTTATTTCCATTGTTCTTTTCCCTCAGTTAATATTTGGGTATGAATTCAGAGAGGGCAGAGTAATGGATTATAGTGAAAACAAAAAACTGACTTTCCAAAATAATATGCACTGTAAGTAGCAGACAGTCTGACAAAATAGGTCCACCATATTCTCCATTAATATTAATATTAATATTAATAATAACAACATATCATTTATATGCCACACATCTGAATGGGTTGCCTCAGCCACTCTGGGTGGCTTCCAACAAATTATAAAACCTCAGTAAAACATCAAACATTAAAAGCATTAAATGCTAACTGGTTGATGTGTAATTCAACAAGGGCAAAACAAAGAAGGAATATTAGTTATTGTTCAACATTTGCATAAACTGATCCAGTTTCAAACTATTTAATTGTGGAAGACTAATGATGCAATCTATGCACATATACCTGAAAGCAAGTCCTATTCCATATAGTGGGACTTACTTTTATGTAAACATGCGTAAGAGTGCTGAATCTGAACCACTGCCAAAAAAAACCCAGTGCTTAGGTGGGACAAGTGAATCAACCTTAAGTTTAGCTCAATTATCTTTGGCCCTGAAATCCAAGTACTCAACCACTATTGACTTGTGGGTTGCAGCTACAACTTTTGAAGCCAAAGGACATTTACCTTTGTGTGATTTTCCAGTTGAAATTGTGCACAATACTGTAGTTCTAAATGCCAAAAGTAAAGATATATCTTTCTTTTTCTTTTTTTTTACTTCTACAGAACCAGGGCAGTACAAAGCAAATCTTAGAAAAATGACTGACGAATTTATATTTTTACACGTTCTAGTAAGAGCCAGCAGTTGGCAAAGCTGGCTAGACTCAATGGTAGGGGAAGCATAAATTAAAATGAGCAATTATCAGCCAGGAAATGAACAAAGTAGCAACACCTCCAGCTCTGGAGAGGAGATGACATTAGTCCAACTGAGATAGGACATGGTATGGGAATATTATTTAAGGCATGGGGTTTGCAAAACTACAGAGCCAACGACCAGTGGTGTAATCACACATATATGAAGGCAGGCTGGTAAACTGACCTGGAGTATCATTGGTTTGTCTTCTGTGCAAGAATGCAGAAGATTTCAGACAATGTCATTTAATAACAGGGGAGATAAAATGCTTTGCTCATTTGCAAGGTCTATAAATATCGAAATATTGAAATATTACTGTAAGGTTATGTCCAGCCTCTACTCATAGTCGACCTGATGAAACTAATGAACCCAAGTTAGTCATGTTCTTTAACTTCAATGGGGCTACTCTGAGTAGTATTAGCACCGGACACAATGCAAAATGTCTTGTTCACTTACCCACAACTCACTGGTGTATTATTGTCGTTTTGATGATAGGAACTGTTGATCCACACTATAGTGTTATTCACACATCCTTTGTTTGGGTCACTAAGCTCTTGCTTCTCGATATCATATTGAATAAATGTGTCTGTCATCACCCCAAAGACAATCAACATGGCTGGCTGGGCAGCTCCATGAAGAGCAGCGCAGATGCCACCGAAAACCATCATCAGTTTCTCAGATGAAGAAGCAAATCTAAACTTTAAGTGGGGGGAAACAGACAAAGAGCATTCACAAAAAAATTATGCATCGCTCCTTTGTATATGAATGTTCCAATTGTTTTTCTTACTAACAATGGCTGAAACCCAAGGCTGTTGCTTCACTGGCAGAATGGCTTTGATCCAGCAGAGGTGGCCACTAAAATAAACGGAAGTTGTTTTCCCATCCCACCTTCCTGCTACAGTCCCTTGAGAACTGAAAATCTGTTGCAGAAGCTTGTAGGACCCTCTAGATAAGTGTGGAAGAAGGCACAAGGGTTGTGTATGGAAGAGAGATATCAGTGCAAATCACCTCCCTTCTTTTGCATTAATAGATGCTCTTCTGAGTCAAAAGCCACTCCATGAGTGGAACTATAGCACTGGATTTCACCCAGGTGGCGCTGTGGGTTAAACCACAGAGCCTAGGACTTGCCAGTCAGAAGGTCAGCAGTTCGAATCCCTGTGACGGGGTGAGCTCCCGTTGCTCGGTCCCAGCTCCTGCCCACCTAGCAGTTTGAAAGCACGTCACGTGCAAGTAGATAAATACGTCCCGCTCCGGTGGGAAGGTAAACGGCGTTTCCGTGTGCTGCTCTGGTTCACCAGAAGTGGCTTAGTCATGCTGGCCACAAGACCCAGAAACTGTACGCCGGCTTCCTCGGCCAATAAAGCAAGATGAGCGCCGCAACCCCAGAGTCAGTCACGACTGGACCTAATGGTCAGGGGTCCCTTTACCTTTACCTTTAATGCTAAGCTCCACCATTCCTTCTTGGAGTAACGACATGCACCACCTTCACAGTGAACATCAGGCTCCCCATAACAGTTTTGGAAAAACAAAATACAAAGCTGTCTCCATTTGTACTTGAATCTCCAAAGGGGTAGTTGCGATTATGACGACCCTATAAGCTGGGAATCTGACCACCCTGATCTATAGAACCACAGCAGATATACGAAGTGGTGAAAAGCAACAATTTTATTACCAACTCAAAGAAGCCAACTCGAATCTCATTCTTCTCTGATGTCCTGTTTAAAAAAGAAAGAAAGCAAAATGTGTTGTATTATGAAAATTGTATTCTTTCCCCCAGATATGCTAGGAATCAAATTCCTTTTGTTGTATTGCCTGGTGGAAGAACCTCTTCACAGTGCCAAAGAAGTCTATGTGTAAAGGCAGCTCCATCCTACCACCAGCAGCCTCTTCCCCCCACCATTGAATCAATCCAAGACAGTCAAGAATTCTCCAATATTTTCACACACACACTGCGTTCTTGAGAAATCCAGTTTCACGGCATGTTCCCTAAGTGGTGTTTTACAGATGCTGGACTACAGGAGCATATCTCAAAAGCCCCCCTCATGTAATCAATATTGACTGGTGTTATAACAAAACATTTGCAAAAATAGCATATAAAAGTTTGCTGTAACGCCCTTTTCTGACTTCTGTGAAAGAATGTGCTTTCCTTGACAAATTAAAGGAGACTCTTGTTATTCTAGATCCAGCCACAATTGAAACCTATTTTAGGCCCCAAAAGAAGAAGAGTGAGCATAGTACAGAAGGCAAGGCGGTTCTTGGAACAATGAGGCAGAGATGGGAGAGGCTGGCAGATTAATCTGAGGGATAAATTTGTGCTGCCTGAAGAGTTACAAGCTGTGGTTTGATATTGCTGTCATTGAACCACCCATATACTTGCACGGCATCAATACTTGCATTGAAAACACAAACACACACACACACACACCCAATATATTCTAACAGAATTTACCACACATTATGCACCAATCTGTATTGCCCTGCCCAATGATGAAGCGAATCTTCTGCACGTGAGCAGAAATATTACATAGAAGCAGGGCTCCGAGCCCCCCCGCCAGAATTCAGCTCCGGCCCCTCTCAGGTGGGCGCCATTGCCATTATAAGAGAACAAGGGAGGTGTTAATAGTGAGTTCCAGCACTTTTTCCCCCCTAGAAAAATAGCACTTGGTAGAAGGGAAGTGGAAAAGAATCTTATTGCCACCATAGATCTGGATGATACAGATGATTAAAGTATTAAGTTGTTGGTTACACACACACACACACACACACACACACACATCATGGTAAATGATTACCTGTCTTACACAGTGGCATGAAGTGGGTCTTGTGAGGTAGAAAGTGAGGTATGTGAGTGCATGCTGGGGTCTTTGTAAAGAAGTAAGGAGTTTCTAGAAATGGGTTCATGCTGGGTTATTACATTTCGGGACTGACGTGTTGCATTTCTTTATTACATAAGAGCCCCACAAGATCAGAGCAAAGGCCACATCTAGTCCAGCACCCAGTTTCCAAAAGATACATTTGGGGAGCCCACAAACAGGACACAAGGGGGCAATAACCCTCTCTCACACACAGTTCCTCCCCATCATGATCCTGGCCACAGTTTACAACCATTATGGCTAGCACCCAGTTAATAGCCCTAGCCTCCGCGAATTATTTGTCTAATCGCATTTGAAAACTGTCTGAAGGATGGCTGTCAGCACATCTTGTCCCAGAGATTTTGCCTCCTTTACCACCCTCTGTCACTCCTGCAAAGTTTAGCAGAATGAATGGGCCCAGCAATTATCCTGATAGAAGAGTAACCAGCTTAACTTACTTGTTCCCTTTTGTATTGCTCTTTGAAGAAGTTTCCTTTTTATTATGGAAATACCTGTGAAAGGCAAGGCAATATCCATGTGAGTACTCTTAAGGGGCCTATTCCCATGCACTTCCATTCAAATTTATTTTATCTATCAAAATGTATGTTATCATCTTGGGACATTGTTATGGCTTCAGTTGCAACAAGATCATCATTTTGAAAAGAGGCATTTGAAATACAAGGAACTGGACTTTATTTTTAACAGACTTGAAACCTGCCCCCTTAAAAAGTAGATTACAACAAAGGTTCTAAAAAGCTCTATTCCTTCAACAGGTCTGATTTTTGTGCCCTTTTGATACCATTAGTCCCCAGGACAGCCCATCCCCATTGCTGTTCTCTTCACATTTCTACACCGATTTATGACTGTAAAAAATAATTCTCATGAAAATGCACCTGCATTTTAGTGCAAATTTCCCCTAATGAACACATTTTTGTATGCAGTTTTGACTTAAATACATATTTTCCCAAGCATTTCCCCCATATATAATGCATTTTTGCATGCTATTTTCTCTAATATTCATCCATTTTTATGACATTTCCCCCCTAATTCATGCATTTTTGTACACTGAATAGAAAAATTCAAGAAAGGTCAAATTTCAAGTATGGCTGCATTTCAGTTCATGTATTTGTTGGGGAAGAGTGAATTGGAATGTATCTCATTAAAATGCAAACAAAATCAAATTTCTCTTCCATTCCTACAAGGAAGGCAGTGCTAGCGGAACTCTTAAAGGAAAGGAGTAAGAATTCTTTAATGCACCATTAATTTTAAGGTTGGGACTGTCTGGCTTAATGCTGAGGCTCAGAGGATCTTCAAAGGTACATGATGTGAGAGTGTTTGAGGCAGTTCTGGTTATAGGATCATAAGCTGTGTCTTATCCTATATATCTTAATATTCCACCTCATTGCTTCATCTGGCTGCACTCCCACAGGAAAAATTTCGTATAGCGCTATAACAATGAGAGAAGAATATAACAGGGGATGGCACCCTTCCCAGACCCTGCTAATCCCATAATTGGTCCACTATAGTATAAAGAGCATTAACTATCCTGTTGGATAGCCTGGGTGGATACTTGAAAAATCAGTATTGTTCAGAAGGGAGAGACAGTTTGATTTACTCCTTAGAGGCCTAGGTTCCTCTTGTACTCCCTGAGTGGCCTCAGGCAAGTCCTCACAGTCTTAGCTGCCATCAAGAATTACACATGAATAATGCCTACAGGTCTCTGTGCTTTTCCTAGGAAAAAGCAGCTTTGGGGAAAGGCAGTGTTGAGTGGGGGAAAATGAAGAAGGGTGCTTTATGGTTAACACCTTTCCTTCCTGTTACCTTTCTACCCAAAATCATTACAGCAGAGGTTTTCAACCTTTCTGAGTCCACAGTTCCCTTGACCAGCTACATTCTTTCTACAGCACCCCTGTGGGTCTCAGGAGCCCAGTTATGTCACCCCTGGCCCACAGAGCTGGCGGCCTCTCACCCTTTTTTGAACACCCTCCCTTGTGGAGTGTTCCCTCAGCCTCTTTTCCTCTCCCCTCTGCTTGGGAGTCCTCTGGGCAGTCACGGCTGCCGCCCCTAGTCTCTGAGCTGCCCCCCTGCCCCAAAAAGAGATGCTTCATCACACTGCCCCACAGGGACCTGGGACTTGTCTGTCCATTCCCAACAGCAAAGGCTGGTGGACTGGTTGGCTGGGATCCCTCACCCACTTGCTTGCTTACTCGAAGGCCGCCTGAGCTCCTGGCAACCAGCACCCCCTGGTCAGCCCCAGCAGAGCTTGTAGCCAGGGCTGCTGCAACACACAGTCGTACAAGCCTTTGGGAGGCAGAGATGTGAGAGGGCATCAGAGGAGGGAGGGAAGGAAAGAGGGACAGAGGCCAGTGTTGTCCACGGCACCCCTGACCATCATTCAAGGTACCCCAGGCTGCCATGGCCCATTTGATGAAAACCACTGCATTACAGAGGCAGAGGCAAAACAAAAAACAAAAAACCACACCACCTTGTGGAGTTCCTCAGAAGTGTATTAGTGTCCCTCATTATGCAAATCAGTTAATGGGGCCAACACTTTCCTGAATGATAGCTATCCTATCTTTACTGGTCTCTTATTGGAATGCTCATCTTTGCCCTCATCTGCACATAACACTAAGCCAAACCATAGTTTAGTGTAAGTGACCAGATTGGCAGAGAAGGCATGTGATTGCTTTTTCATCCCTATCTGCATGGGCCATATCAGGGAGAAGTACCATCCAATTCAGCATAAATTAACCTTTCGTATACAAAGTTCACCTGTACGAACATGAATTTTCAGTTTTGAAGGGCATTGATCATATTGCTATAATGGTTAGGTTACATTATACTGCTGGTAAAAACGGTCAGATCCCAGTCCTTCCAGAATCATAGCTGTCAACATTTCCCTTTTTTAAAGGGAAATTCCCTTATTCCGAATAGGATTCCTCGCAAGAAAAGGGAAAAGTTGACAGTTATGTCCAGAATGCATCTCCACGCTACTCTGAGTTTTGCCTCACCAGAAGGCTTAATTTGAAACTTAAATCCCATTCATGTGTGTACCTGGCACCAAACTTCGTGATAATCAGTTTGAGTGCGGTTCTGAGCTGTGAAAACATATGTAAGGGCTTGGTGTTTTCTCTCTCTATTTCCGCATATCTGGAGCCCAGCTCCTCAGAAATTTGCTTAAGGCTATATTCTCTCATCAACTGTATAGTGATACAGCAGGCAAGTTTCTATTTTAAGACATATTAGTTTTGCTTTCACCAAATTATAGCCTAGTACAAATCTCTTCGTATTTAATTCTGGGGTTTTTTGTTTTATTTTTTGTAAGAGGGTTTTCCAGCAAGAATATTGTATTCTGTTCTAGAATTTTCTGTTGTGGCATAGACCACAGCCATGAACCCACACAAAAGTGATTGATTGGCTGTCAGTCAATGTCATATCTAAGGAAAGCAGCCAGAGTGGAAAATATTTGCACTTGGAATTGTTAATTGTCACATCATGCCATGAAACCTGTGAATAGCTCCAACCTGCATTGTAAGAGGAATTGATTGAAATAGTAGCATTTTCTTCTGGTATTCTGTTATTGCATATTGTGTTCTGAATTTTTGCTTAACTCATACCAGTTGCATAATATTAGAGCTTAGAAAATTGAAGTGGCTGCATTTCCTATGTTGCAAACACACCAATGAATTATGAAAACTGCTTTCTAGGCATCAAATAAATGAATAGTGTGGATCTTTATACAGCCAAAACTGCACCATCCACTCACAACGGGGAAAGTATCAGCAGGCTCAAGAGATCCCTCCCCCCACGAAGTACCAAAGAGGTGCAAAAAAATTTTTTTTTGGGGGGGGGGAGTTCAATGAAGAGGGCAAAACCAACAAAACAGACAAATGAGGTCTGCGCATGCTCAGTAGTCACAGAATGTTCCTTGACAGTTGAAGGAAGGAGAGGGTGTAAAACCAGGAGAGGGGAAATGGAATGAGGCATGGCTGGCTAAAATCCAGAACAGAAGGACTCTCTACACTGCAACATTTTGTTGCATGTCCTACTTGTGCAACCAAATACTTTGTAAATATCTGCATTACTTACTCTGGTTTGCAGATGCCGTTATCTGGTGGGGAAAACAAACAAACAAACACATCCTATAGTTAGCATTCTTTGAAAATTAATCCACACACACACACAAAGCCATTTTAATTACCGTATGTACAGGCAGTGTTTGATTAAAGAGAACTCAAAGAGTTCGTACAAAAATCCCAGTAAGATCCAAAATGGACCAAATTGGAATGATTCATGTTGGAGATCTGATTCTACAAACCAGTTCCCAAAACAGGTTCAGGAAATGGAAAGAGACATAACTTAGTGGTGGAGCCAATGTTTTGCATGCAGAAGATCCCACAGAATTGTATCATCTTGCCATTGCTAACCGAAGAATGACTATGTTCAGGCACAGGAGCGCTTGTATGTCAAGGTCAGAACAAGGCTCTGTTTTTGTTTCTTAAGATGCTTCTATTATTACAAAACACTGGGAAAATTCCCGCTATATTAAAATGGCCGCTGTATTTTATTATGTATGTGTATTTATCCAGGCTCCTATTCCACTTCGGAATAAGTTAAAAAGTAACTCTGAAACAACATAAAATAATAAGCATGATATTACTTGGGGGGGGGGTCAATCTAATGCAGAAAATACCACATCAAGATGGGGCAGCTGGTTGCCCCATTTCAAAATTCTGAGACTTAATCTTGCCTGCTCATCACCTCTGCTGCTACCTCTTCCTCCTTCTCCAGCTAAGAAAGGTAGCACTCCGCATCCAAGATCCTGAGATGCTCAAAAAGAGAATATCAGTCTTGGGACCAACCACAACCCCTGCAAACTGGTCTATTGCACACTGGAACTTGGGGAAGAGGACAATCCTCTTGAGCTGCATATCCTCCTTCCACATCATGCCAGATAATTTGTTAACTTTTCCACCCAGAGGAAGAGGAGGAGTTAGCAGTAGTGAGTGGGCAAGCAAATACTCCCCCCCCCAAAAAAAAACCCCACGAGCTTGGGATGATATGAGCAAATGGGTCTTGAAGAGATTTACTGACATGTGCCTAAAGTCAAGAGGTATATAAAATGGAAAACATCATACGTGATTCTTCCGGCTCAAAGCCATAGTTGTCTTCTCCGATTTTCTTAATACTGCGCAAAGTAACTGGCTCAGGCATGATCTTCCTCTTTACGCTGCTAAATAATGATGATAATGATAATAATGTGTCCCAACTTTGCAAACCAAATGACAATTTTCTAAAGCTCTCTTTTGTACTTGTATGGTTTCACTGAGTAAAATGAAATGAAATTCTTCTAAGTCAGTAGGTCCATGGTTCATCTCCACTTTACCTACTTACTTACTTATTTACTTACCCACTTACTTAAAATAAATCTAAGCTTCAGCTTGACAGCTTCCAGTATGAGTTACAATTAGTCTTTTTAAAAAAGAAAAGAAAACCGCAGCAATTTACATTGCTAGACAGCTCTATCCCCCCCCCCATAACTAAATGGTGGCAGTGGTCTAAATATTTTGATGGGGCCCTGGGGTAGCTGTTGCTGAAAAATAAAGTGAAGGCCTTCATTTGCACCCTTACCTAAGCCTCAGAATATTCCACCCCTCATGCAGAATAGTCTGAATATAAGGCCGACCCTATCATGTGACAGAGGGAGGCAGCTGCCTCAGGCAACAGATTTTGGGTGTCATGAAAAGCAGCAAATTGCTACCTATTTAATTAATTATTGCTGCATTTTTATTTATTTTTTTACCACCTGGTAGCGGCATTTGTGTAATTGTGAAGAGATAACTCAATGGAGGTCAAGGGGGAGTATTTTGCTGCTTTGCCTCAGGTAGCTAAATTGCCTTGGACCAGCCCTGCCCAAATAACTGCCGTTGTAGAAAATTGTATCTCCTTTGCCCAGTATCTATTGGGTGTTCTTGATAGTCAAATTCCTCTTCAGTTCATTATTAGCTTCCACTTTAGGAACCCTCTTTGACTGAGATTGCAGGGCAGGAAAGTAAAGCATAAATGTAATATTTACTCCCTCTGCTCAGTTCCTCCCTCATCAAGGCCTTTTGCAACAGTTAGTGCAACAATTATTATCATTGTTCTTTATTAAATTTATTAGGGGTTTTTTTTGCCATGGCAACGCAAAGCAACTTATAGTATTTTTAAAATTTTAAACACACACACACATTGAAGTTACCATTAAAAAAACCTAAAAGACCATTCTATTTTTTTATTTAAAAAGCTAGATTAAAACATCCCACTCATACAAAAAAGGCCATAGATAATTAAAAACCAAAGGCCTGATGTCTAAAGATACTGTAGTACCTCAGGTTAAGTATTTAATTTGTTCCGGAGGTCCGTACTTAACCTGAAACTGTTCTTAACCTGAAGCACCACTTTAGCTAATGGGGCCTCCCGCTGCCACCACGCCGCCGGTGCACGATTTCTGTTCTCATCCTGAAGCAAAGTTCTTAACCTGAAGCACTATTTATGGGTTAGCAGAGTCTGTAACCTGAAGCATATGTAACCTGAAGCGTATGTAACCTGAGGTACCACTGTATGTAACAGCAGTTTCACCAGCTTGCAGATCTGCCTGTAGCTACCCTGACCTAAGACATTTCCTGTGCCTTTAAGGTTTAAATTCTATGCACTCTTACATGGGAGAAGTAAGTGGGTAAGTAGAAGGAAGAATCGCAGCAGAAGTCACTTAGACCACTTCAGTCCTGAAGTGATAGGCGAAAACATACTTAAGTATTGCACAGAAGGGAAAATTCAATTGAGGGTACAGCAGCCACCCCAGGATTCATAATCAGCATAAAAACAGAGACCTGACTTGTCCCCCTCCCCAACCACCCCCCCATTAACAAATGGTCTTTGCTCTTCTATAGGAATTTTGAGTTGTGTTAGTGAAGAACAGCAGCAACATCATCATCACCATTGTAATAAAATAACAGTTTAAGACAATGACTTTAAGTAGGCTTTTAAAGAACACTCATGCTTACAAGAATAAATATTTGTTCCCAGTAGGAAAAAGAGTAGCTGCAGTGTATTATATCAGAAAACTGTTGCAAGAAGGAAGAGATATCAACATATTCCAGTTCTGCTGTTCCAATCCAATTTAGATTCCTCCTTCCCAACACACATCTCTGCTTTTAAATAAAACTTAAAATATCAAGACATGCAGTCATGGATCTCCTATATCTGTTTGGCCATAAAATACTCTGAAAACTTCTTCAGTTAATATAGCAAATTCATCTTGTGCCCAGGAGTATTTGAAATAGTTATTTCAAATTATTACTTATTCTATAACCTAGTAAAACAAGAGTTTCAGAAAAAAGCAGCTTAGCTTAACACTTTTCACAGAATGTTCCTTTATTTCCTTAATTACTGTTAAGACCATTACAATCTAGTCACAGTATATTTTGTAATTTATTTAAGTTGCTGAGGTGCATGTTCTTATTGTTTTATCCAAAGCTAACATTGTAAAAATACATATATTTTTCCTCACCAGTTGAAGTAAAAAGAGGAAGAAACAGAGAAACAAGCTCCAAAGATCCTATGGAGTGAAATTAGTCAACAGTTTGTACATCCATTTTCAACACCCATCAGCTTTCAATGTAGTAACCCATTTATCAAGAGTTAAGCCTCTAAGTAGTCAGAGACTATTTACACAAAGGTCAGTAACCGAGTGGTCCTCAGAGTTCATTGACATTCAGTGTAGAATTTTAACTTGAGTAAAATTATCATACAGCTGAACAGCAAAATGAGAAAATAGAAATCTTTGAAAAACTACACAGAAAACAAAAACAAATGTCTTATGCAGTCTCAGAAAGGCAACATTATAATAATTCTTGATTAAAGGTCAACAATGAAGTCTTATGTATGTGGAATGGGTACAAAAATCACTTTGAAAGTCCATCTCTAAATCTGAAGCTAAAAATCTTTGTTCCTTTTCCAAAATTTGCACAACATTCATTCTTTATCTTTCTCAGCTGGAGGCTAAGCAGCTAACTAGCCAGAAAAGCTTCACAAAATTCCCCTTTGATTCGACCTAGGCTAGAAGCATTTTTGAAAGCTTTCTAGAGAAGTCATTTATGGGTTCACCACCCACAGCAATGTTTGACGGAAGCAGTAAAAGGTCTTCTTTGGCGTAAATAGCAGAAACCCCTTCTGGAGCTCATGGAGCCCCAATGGAGACATTACCAATTAGGAGCCAACAACAAAAGCTCTGAGCTATATGTTTATCATCAGTGTGTTGCCAATACACAGGTGACCCTTCATGTGGTCGCTGAACATTGGTGTGTGATGCAATTGGACCCCGATAACAGCTGGTGCAACCACAGTTTAAGCATCTTAATTCACCTGTCATCTTTCTAATCTTTTCTATTAAATTCACAGCTTCTCTGCAATTTTAATTACTGGCTTTCAGAATTAAAGAGTCAGGTGTGTAGCTGATCATGTTGGGATCCACCTTTCACACTTCAGTTATACACTAGATGAGCAAGTTTTATAATTTATTCTAATGGGTCCTAAAGTTGCCCCTCTTTGGGGACATACGTAGTCTATGGTATCCCATGGGTGTTTTGGGAGGGTGCCTCACCTTGTGAGGCAAACTTGCAGTGGGTCTGCCCTAATGCCAGGGAGCAACAGGACTCAGGGAAACTCCAACATTGGTATTTATTTGTGACAGGGTGAGCTCCTGTTGCTCGGACCCAGCTCCTGCCAACCTAGCAGTTCGAAAGCACTCCAAAAAGTGCAAGTAGATAAATAGGTACCACTCTGGCGGGAAGGTAAATGGCGTTTCCATGCGCTGCTCTGGTTTCTCCAGAAGCAGCTTAGTCATGCTGGCCACATGACCTGGAAAAACTGTCTGCAGACAAATCCCGGCTCCCTTGGCCTGTAAAGCGAGATGAGTGAACAACCCCAGAGTTATTCGCGACTGGACTTAACTGTTAGGGGTCCTTTTTACAAATGAGCTTGGACTTGCTTCACAATAAAGGCAATACTGTGTGTGTGGTGGTACTCATTGGTACAGAGTACTATCACCTTTCTTTCCCTTTTGGCTACCCATGGCAGCCATTTTCTGCTGGCGCCCATGGTTCTTTCATCAACAGATGAATATCAGTGCCTCATTTTTTTAGAAAAGCAAGCAAGCAAACAAACAAACAAACAAACATAACTAAGTAAAACTAAGGTTCCAAATAGTTCCTGTCACCAAACTGTGGAGGGAGCCACACCTGTGGAGGGAGCCAGGGCGGGCATTTCTATTACAAACCAGGCATTTTATATCACCCAATTATCACCACCACCAACTAGTGGCTCTAACGACAGCTGCACTTACTTTGTAATTACAGTGGTACCTCGGGTTACATACGCTTCAGGTTACAGACTCCGCTAACCCAGAAATAGTACCTCGGGTTAAGAACTTTGCTTCAGGATGAGAACAGAAATCGTGCTCCGGCGGTGCGGCGGCAGCAGGAGGCCCATTAGCTAAAGTGGTGCTTCAGGTTAAGAACAGTTTCAGGTTAAGAACGGACCTCCAGAACGAATTAAGTACTTAACCCGAGGTACCACTGTACCATATCCCATCACATTACTCAACTCAGAAATGTTGCAAGGCATGAGATCTAGAGCAAAAGTCGCGGCTGCACTGCTTCCCACAGTTTTATGACATTTGAAAAAGGAAACATGACACACGCAGGAAGCACAGCCTTCCAACAACCAGTTAATTCTTAGGAAATAACCTCGTGTAGCGATGGGCTGACATCAGCCTGCTCACTTCAGAAATGACAGTCCTCATCACCAAATATTTGTGTGTGCAGAGAAGAATCATAGCTACATTACCATATATTGTATTGCATTCCTTCTCTTTCTTCCGCCCACCTTTTTCACTTTATTTTGTACCACTGCAAAGCTTTAAAATATTAATACAGTTGTACCTTGGATCCCAAACGCCTTGGTACTCGGACGTTTTGGTTCCCGAATGCCCGGAAGTGAGTGTTCCAGTTTGAGAACGCTCTTTGGAACCCGGATGTCAGATGGGCCTTCCGCGGCTTCTGATTGGCTGCAGGAACTTCCTGCAGCCAATCAGAAGTCGTGCTTTGGTTTCCAAACATTTTGGAAGTTGAATGGACTGCCAGAACAGGTTCCATTTGACTTCCGAGGTACATCTGTACTAATGATATCGTGGAGTTGGCAAAGGTTATACTCTGATACGGCAGGTGTGTCTTGGTGGGAAGTGCTGTAGCTCACTGGTAGAGCATCTACTTTGAAAGTCCCAGGTTCAAACCTTGGCATCTCTAGGGAATGTCTCATCTGGAACCTTGGAGAACTGCTGCCAGTCAGTGAAAACAATATGGAGCTTATACTGGTCTGACTCAGTATAAGGCACCACCCTATATTCTTGTGGTGAATATGGGGAAAAAATGAACACCATGTTGGAAAGTATTTGTTCGAAAGGGAGTGGTATTAAAATGAGAGAACAATCGCTCTCAGGGTGTACACTGGCTGCCAGTCTCCTCACTTACTGCATCAGGTGAAGATTACTTCATTTGATCAGTATTTCTCCCCTACTCTTCAAGTTAAGTATAGAATCACGACTGATCACACATTTACCGCATATTCACCAAAGGGAAATAGCTTTCCTTTGTAATAATGACTGACCCAAAGAATTGTTTTTTCTTCCTAGCTCCTGTGGCAAGAACTCCTATGGCTTTAAAAGCTAAAAGGCAGCTAGAAATTTAGTAGGTGAGGTTTTTCCAAGAAGGGAAAGTTTAAGTGAATTGGGTGGGGATGGGGAACCCTTTTTCTGCCTTTCCTGCCTGCAGGGCACAAAATTTATTTATTTACCTAATTTATATTTTGCCCTTAATCCAAAGAGCTCAGGGCAGTTCACAAGATAAAAATACAGGATAAAAAGCACAAAATAAATAGTTCAAAGAAAAACAAAATAATAACCTCTCCCACAAACACATTTAAAAGACTGTAGAATATGAATCAACCAAAATTCCTAACATAAAAGGGTAATGTGATTATCATTCCTGACAGACTGTGCTATTATTGTTCCCTGATGGACAGTATAGTTTGGTTCTATGTTTGTTGAAACTTGCATATTTGATTCATCCTCTAGCTCAGATTGGAGACCTCACTGGTTTATTAACAGGGTTCTGTACTAATGGTGGGTCACAGGGGTGCCAACTTGAACAAAACTTTTTTTGGGGGGGGTCCCAGGCAAGCCCCACCTCACATAAGCGATCACAAGATACGGTGTGCACACAGCATTGGAATGACAATGCATAGCTGTCAATGTTTCCCTTTTTTAAAGGGAAATTCCCTTATTCTGAATAGGATTCCTCACAAGAAAAGAGAAAAGTTGACAGCTATGTGACAATGCCTATCATGGGGGGGCTTGCCCCCTCAAATATTTTTTTTTGGGGGTCAAAGAGACTTTGGCCCCTAGGAGTTGGCTCCTATGGTGGGTCAAAAGTTCAACAGATGGCTTATATTTTTTTTACCTGGGAAGCATGGAGCTATTTAGTGGGCAAAAGGGGCCACTCATCCCCCTTATGTCTTTTTTTGTAGCTGTTACAAGAGTTTAAAAATGGCAGCAGCAGTCCTGCTGGTGTTCATCTTGATGGCCGCAAGCTGGTAGCTGTGGAACCACTGGTCTCACCATTCAGCAAAGTGACGTGGCGTGTGAGGGTTGAGGTTAGTAGCGACAGTCTCCTGCCGTTTCCTCGTGAGCTCCCTCGCCATTCGCTATGTTGAAGAAGAGAACTGTGAGTGCTATGCGGCCTGCTCAGTAACCCTAAGCTAGCCTTCTGTGGTAGAAAAGGGCAGCGCTGAAGTAAGAGTCCACTTCCAGTTCAGTTAGCTTCTTCGGAGATTGCTGCAGGAAGCAAAATTGCTTTGGCCTAAAATGCCATGTTTTGCCTAGAATGGCAGAGGTGTCCTACAATGAAGTTGGAAATGGGGAGACTTAACCTTGAAAGATATAAACAAGCATTGATTAGGATGCCAATGGTGCCAGTCAGAAGGAGGTTTTTGTCTTGTCAGAGATAATAACCAACCAGAGCAGGGCTTACTGTGTTCCCCAAGATGTTGCTGGACATGATTCCTATGATGTCCATTGGCCATGCTGACTGAGACTGATGGGAGGTGGAAATCCAGGTTACCAGTGGTAAACTGCTAAGTTATAAACGTTATTTTAGATTGTTGTTTGTTTTGTTTTGTTTCTCCCGCCCTCCAGTTTGCAATGAAACTCCCATGGTGGCACACAAAAATATAACACCACCATTAAAATACAGTAATTTTAAATAATTGGCTAAATTATTTAATTCACTTGAAGGAAGTATTACTCCTTTACACCAATACTGTGACCCTTGACCCTGGACTGTGTGTTTCGTAGCTGAGGAAACACAAGTGTGACTCACTGCCAAACTGAATGCACCTGTACAACATATATGACTTATGTAATCAACAATGTGACTCATGAGACCTGCAATTTGTTTATGACTTGAGTCAGAAGGCACTCATTGTGATGCCTTAATTTAAAAAGTCAAAAGGTGGTTCTGTGAAGGAATCATCTTTAGAAGATTGCCAGGGAAGAAGGAGAGAGAGAGAGAGAGAACACAACAAGTTTTTGGACTAGCTGTACTTGTAAGGCGCACCTTTAACAGCCAACCTGCCAACATATTTTCTTCGACTGAGTAGGTAGGTACCAATTCCATATTTGGGATGCAAGCATTTTACTAATTGGTGTAATGTAGTGGCTGTAAAAGTGTGAGTTATGAGATGGTAATTCTCTGGTTCAAATTTCCATACTGTCATGGACTTACCTGAGAGCCTTAGACAAGCCAAAGCAACAAAGAGTATTGTAGCACCTAAAAAACCCCAACAAACGTAAGCTGTTGTGGGCTTTTAAGTCAGCCATAGCCTCCTAGACACCCAATCCCCTGTAACGCAGGGACCATAATGTTGCTGTACCACAAAGGGTTATTGCAATGACGAAGATCATGCATAGCAAGTACTTTGGGAACTTAGGGCAACACGGTACGTAATTATTATTGTTATTATTTATTCTAACTTCTCCTTACCGATATGGATAGCCTCACTTAACAGGGTAGAAGATGAAGCATACTGTATGTGCATGTTGGTCTGTCTGACTATCCACCCATCCTTCTCGCTGGGTTGTGAATGATTAAATCATGCTCTATGAAACTATGAATGAAATCAATGGGTATGACTGACTCCTGTCAATTGTTCAATGGGTCTACTCTATTATTTACTTATTATTGTTGTTACTTATCATTTCCTTTAATATTTACAAATGCTGTTGGAAAAGAAAAAAGAAAGAAAGGAGATTCTTCCAAATTATTGCCTGGCAACCCTACGCTGATTCCATAGGGACCTTGAGTTGCCACCTTTCCCATGACATACGCACATGCCCTCATACTCCCTCACTCATGCAGTAGGAAACACGTGAAATTTGCCACCCCCCTTTTCTGGTTTCATCTGCTCTTTCAGCCAGCTCTCTGGCCTTGCGGTGCGGCTTTTAAACACCAGGTTCGTCTACTGTAGGTCTTTAATGCCTATCTGATAGGCAAAGCCTCGTTTGCTAAATTTTTAAATAATCATTGCATCACCCCCTGAGTTTCTGAGACCCAACAACTCCTGATTCACCAAAAGTCAAGAGGTCAGGAGAAAAAGATCCCAAGGGACAAACATGGTAGGGCTCTGCTAAATTGTTGGGTTCATTTTCTCCAGACTCCTGGGAGGGAGCAAGGATTAGGAAGGGACTGTTAGGACGTTGTCTGGATAATACAGGTAACACGGAAAGGGGGAGGATGTTAGGATATTGATGTTCCATTCCAGCTTGCTGGGAACTTCCGTTTGTGTATAGCTTTTGCTTTACGCTTCTTGCTCTTGAACATGAAGGAGAGCCGACATGTTTTCTTTGTCCTGATGTATGCTGAATAAACTGCTTGTAAATATGCTTTACATATGCCTCTGTCTGCCCTTCCATCGCGAAGAGTTTATTATCTCTGCTGGCTTGCATGCTCAGCTTCTGAAAGGCTTCTGAAGCTCTGATTGAGTCGCTGATTGATGCAGAACCAAGGGCTGGAGTTCGACCGGCAACTGGCCGGTGGGCTGGAACCAGCTGGGGGCTTGCCAATTGCCCCCGTTCCCTCAGACGCATCACCACAGGGACTTGGTTCAGTTCAGATTTGAATGCGAACCTACCTACTTCACATTTTCAAAAACAATATGCAAACCGAAACACAGCTGTCTTTTGAAATGTGCACTGATCCACATTTTGTGATGCGGTTCTCCTGCCAAATGATGTATACAAAAATTATTGTAGCACAGAGAAAAGGAGGGAGGGAGGGAACAGGGCTTGGACCATGAGCATCCATGAAGGGGATGAGCAGTCCTTTCCCACTAGTAAACCATAATTCCCAGAATTCTTTGTTAAACCAGAGTATGTTTCCAGCCTTTGTAGACCCTGAGATATGGGACAAAACGTACAATTGCGGTTTGTCTTTCCTTTGTGCGTGAAGCTACCCTGCTCTCCCCCCTTTCAAGCATTTTACTCCCCACTGGAAAGGTGCCTGTGGACACCCATAAATGGAAGAATTTGGAGAGGAACCAAGGAAGAGGGGAGTCAGAGAGAAAAAAGAATATAAAGGAAAGGAAGAAGGAAGCAATTTAGAATGAAAGATAAAGCTAGGAAGAAAGTAGATGTGGGTTGCATTGCTCTGTGTGTGTGTGTGTGTGTGTGTGTGTGTGTGTGTGTGTGCATGTGCGCGCGCGCACCCACGCACCCCACACACACGCCCATGGATGAGTATGAGAGAGAGGTGTGTTTGTTTCTAGGAATGTTGGCTCATTTCCTTGAGTGATCTGCTTTGCAAGGGCATGTGATCTTCACTCCATGGATTCATAGGATTTGTGACATCACTAGAGCTTGCCTTGTGACATCACCAGGCCCTGCCATGTGAGCCTCAGGCTTTTGGATGCTGGAGACCAGGGAACCTCAAGGGCACTAGATCTGCTACACTCGCTCTGCCCTGCCAGGGAAGGAACATGGGAGTTGTGTCAGCAACCGCTGGGTGGATCCAACAGTCAGCTCCTTACAATCACAAGGGTGACTATTCTTGTTGTCATCTCCTTCACGATCAGTGTAGCTCACCTCTAAGTGTACATAGCTTAATGACAACCTCCTTCCTCAGATCAGGACAGCAAACAAGAAAAATGAGCATGGCATACTCTCAGAGAGGGTTGAAAACTGAAGTCCACATCTTTCTAGGTCAGGATACCGTTAGAGGGAAAGAAATGAGTGTACATCTTGACCCTGATTTTAAATAACATTTGGATTTCTGAGACTATTTCACCCTTTCTGTGTGCTAAGTTGTAATTTCTTTTTTATTCAGTCAGCAAGCTACAGAGCGGTCAAAGAAAAGCATGTGTGAGACCAGGAAAAGAGCAATTGAGACACTCTTTCCAATCCAAAATTGTATGGCATGTAGAGGGCTCTTAAAATACAATATGAGAGGCTTTCATATATTTTTTTATTTTATTTTTTTTGAAAAAGTATTAGTTTCATATAATCCAGAATTTGTAAAAGAAAATTCTCAGAAAGGAGGCATTGGAATGTGGCAGTAGAATAACCGAACCACTTATCTCAGACCTGATTCATTGTAAATTAAAGCAAAATTGAAGCATCTAAATAAGCCAAGGAAGAGCTCTGCTCATCTATCTGTTCTCCAAAAAAGTTTCCTGTGCAAATGCAGGTCAGTGCCTTGACTGCCAGATTCAACATGCACTGTTAAGATAAGGAAATATGATCTGAGGCACTATTCCTGGCAGGTGTGGGTGTTGAATGGGCATTCCAGGATAAACTTGGAGATGAAAAGGGAAACGCCTAAATTTACATGGATTCTTATTAGGAAATGCTGGTAGGTGAAGCCAGAGCCAATGAAAAGAAGAGCTAGCCTGATTAGTTGTAAGATCATAGAATCTTAGAGTTGGAAGGGACCCCAAGGGTCATCTAGTCCAACCCCCTGCAGTGCAGGAATCTCAGCTAAAGCATCCGTGACAGATGGCCATCCAACCTCTGCTTAAAAACCCCCAAGGAAGGAGAGTCCAGCACCTCTTGTCTGTTCCACTGTCAAACAGCTCTTACTGTCAGAAAGTTCTTCCTGATGTTGAGTCAGAATCTCCTTTCTTGTAACTTTAATCCATTGGTTCAAGTCCTGCCCTGCAGAGCAGGAGAAAACAAGCATACTCCCTCTTCCCATGTCATAGCCCTTAAGATATTTGACGGTAGCTATCATATCTCCTCTCAGTCTCTTCTTTTACAGGCTAAACATACCCAGCTCCTTCAAGCGTTCTTCAAGGCAGGTGTTGAGGGGCTGATGAGGTAGTTCTCCATTAGCCCTAATTGGTCTCCACTGGCTCTTGCAGACTGTCAAGTACCACATTTTTTGCTCTATAAGACTCACTTTTTCCCTCCTAAAAAGTAAGGGGAAATGTGTGTGCGTCTTATGGAGCGAATGCAGGCTGCGCAGCTATCCCAGAAGCCAGAACAGCAAGAGGGATTGCTGCTTTCACTGTGCAGCGATCCCTCTTGCTGTTCTGGCTTCTGAGATTCAGAATATTTCTTTTCTTGTTTTACTCCTCCAAAAACTAGGTGTGTCTTGTGGTCTGGTGCGTCTTATAGAGCAAAAAATACGGGTACTTTGTGTACAGCAAAGAAAATGGGTTTGTGCGATTAAAGTGGATTAAAACGCTTTGTTGCCCTTGTGCGAAAAACCCACTTTTTGCAGTTAGGAAAGTGATGAAGAAATGCCTTGAACAGTGTGGAATGCATTAATGATTGATTGGTGCGAAGGTGAATATACGGCCTGTAAGCAAATCAGAGTGAATGTAAAAAGGGATTGGACAGATTTGTGGAGAATAAGGATATGAATGGCTACTGGTCCAGTCTCAGAGGCAGTACAGCTCTGAACACCAGCTCCTTGGGATTGTGAGCAGGAAAGGGCTCTTGCGCTCAGGTCTTGGTATCTGGTTGGCTGCTGTGAGAACAGAATACTGGACTAGATGGGCCTCTGGTTTTATCCAGCAGCCAGGCTCCTCTTATGTGTGTTTGAAAAGAGAACAGAGAGTTTTAAAGGGTTTCCCTTTCCCTGAAGAAGTGAGAGGAGACTGAGAAGCATTTATCCTTCTTCCATTTTAAAAAAGAGGAAGTAATGAAGCTGAGAAACCTTACTTGTCTGAGAAAAGCTGCCTGGATGATCTAAAATAAATTTTAGATAAAAAAAATGGGGGATTTTGAAACAAACGGAAGTTGAGGAATGTCATGCTACTTGGGGAGGATATAAGCTTCTAAGAACAGAGCCTATTCAATTGTGGCTCTGAAGTCGTAGGAGGCACACCCTTCAGGGGAGGTTTGCCAGTGTTCCTCCTGGGTCTCCTTTCGAAGGCAAGTGAAAACATTCTTATTTCACCAGGCATTTGGGATGTAATTGGAGGTGTGCTTTAACTGTTGCTCTGTTATCAACAACTTTCGTGACTGTGTATCTGCATGTAAGCTGTTCTGGGGGGGAATTGTATGGAATGTTCAATATTTGCATGGAATGACACAATTGGTGGGTTATTTTCCTTGCAGGGTAGAACAAATTTATATGTTTGTTTGTTTGTTTGTTTGTTTGTCTTTTAAAATTATTGCTTATTTGTTTTAAATAGCGCTATAACACCCCTTGCCAAATTTGGATTCAGGATAGTTTGCAAAGAGGGTGGGGGACTTTTGATCTTCCAGATGTCATTGTATTCCCAACTCCTGTCATAGCTGACCATTGTTCATGCTGGCTGGAGCTGAAGGGTCATAGATTCCCCGCCCTTGTTTTACAGCATTAACAGTACAACCCTATACATGCCTACTCGGAAGTAGCTTCCATTGAGTTCAGTGGGTTTTCTTCCAGAATCGCAGTCTAAAATGTCAGAAAGCTATAAGCTATACAATTAAAAAAAACACCCAACTACTGTGGTACCTCAGGTTAAGAACTTAATTCGTTCTGGAGGTCCGTTCTTAACCTGAAACTGTTCTTAACCTGAAGCACCACTTTAGCTAACGGGGCCTCCTGCTGCCGCAGCGCCGCTACCGTGCAATTTCTGTTCTCATCCTGAAGCAAAGTTCTTAACCCAAGGTACTATTTCTGGGTAAGCGGAGTCTGTAACCTGAAGCATCTGTAACCCGAGGCTCATAACATACTAGTCCGTAGTGAGTGCTGCAAACTTATTTCAGATCTGTGCGAGCTTACTAAATAGCAGCTGTATTGTTCTGTAATTATTTCACCAATAGGTTGACTGCATCTTTGCGAGCGAAATTCCGGAGGAAGTGAGGACAGACAGCCACATCTACCTATTCCGTTCCGCAACATCGTGTGTGCAATGTCCTGCTTTTAAAATGAGTCCTGCCACACAGAGGGAACTAATCTGAGAAGATAAGCAAACAGCATATTGATCCAGCCAGATCATATAGGAGGAGAAACACCCTTTCCCTCAGGAGCCACAGCCAGCATGACAGAGGTAAATGTATAGATGGACTCTGTTTTGTTTTGCAACTCTTTAGTTTTCAGCCAGCCTCCAAAACAGGTGATTGCTTTATGCCGCTGTAAGTCTATGTGTACAAGTGATCTGAAGCCATGGCACTGAAGAAGTCAAGCTAGCAATGCCTTCAGCAGCACTGCAGAATCAGGGCAAGAAATGGGTGTACACAGGTCTGAGCTCATCTGTGAAATCTCTTGATGGCCTTGGTCAAATGATTCTTTCCCAACCTCAGTTGCCTCCCTCTGATGTGATGATACTGGTGTCCTTGTTGTGAGGATGGGTGAAGTAATAGTTGTAATTAATTTTGTGCCGTGGAAATGTTACAGGCATGCTCGTTCCAGGCTGACGGCATAAGGTGGAGCCAGCATGCTGAATGAGCTAAGCACAGCTGAGTCTGGAAAGTGTGCATAAAAATGCATTTAGACTAGGTAGGGCGACTTGAACAGATACATAGATTAGGCAAAACTGCATTAAAAACGTGCATATTTCAAGAAATGCACATTAAAAAGCTGATGAACTTTTCATAAATGCATTTTTCCCCTAATAAAGAAATAAATATCACAGCCTGATGCAGAAATGTTAGAAACATATATAATTGTAGTGTTGGAGGGGACCGCAAGGGCCCTCTAGTCCAGCCCTCTGCAATGCAGGAATATGCCAGTGGCCCATATGGGGATCAAACCAGCGACACAGGTGGTGTTAGCACCATGCTCTAACCAACTGAGCTAACTGTCATTGTGGCAAACTGAATTTAATACCGGGGAAAGTGTGAAACTGAGAGAAACTGAAATTGGCAGTTGAACATCCTAGATCCTGCCAGTGCCTGAGTGGGGATGTTCAGGAAGCCCCATATAATAAGATACCTTGAGTTCAAAGGAAGAAATGTAGGGTATAAATACTCCCTCCCTAGAAATGCTAGGCTGGCTCCCTCCTCGCTGCCCTTCTGCTGGCAGGTGAAGACTTCCTTATTCCTACAGGCTTTTAGGGACTGACTGCTTTGAATGAAAATTTCATTGTAACTATCTGTATGATTTTAATAATAATAATAAAATTTTATTTATATCCCACCCTCCCCAGCCAAAACCGGGCTCAGATATTTTCAGCCCAACCCCATAGTGTGCTATTATTTCAGATTCAAGGGACTTTACTCCCCATATACAGCCTGACTGAGAGGCCACAAGTCTGTGGTGCTTCCTAACTACTTAAAACTTCCACACGCTGATGAATGCAAAGTGACCATTTTATTTACTGGCCCCCAGGGAAGCTTTCCTTATTTTAACAGAAGTTAAAGGCTGGTGATGGAAAGTGTGAGTGGCTCTCTGTGTTGCCCCCGCTTTTTATTTCCTTTAGATTTTCATGGTCAGGAAATGATGCTAATGGCAGGGAAATGCCTGTTGTAACGAGTCTTTCTGTCTCTTTCAAGGAGGAAATGGAAGATAGCGGTCTCGAAATCGGACTTTTTTACTACGTGTTGATGTGGTTTGTCATCTGCTTCGTCTGGTGGAAATGGAGAGCAGGGCAGAAGTTAAAAGATATGTACCTTGTAGGGAAATATGTGTTCATCACCGGCTGTGACTCTGGATTTGGAAAGCGAGCAGCCAAAACCTTCGATAAGAAAGGGTTTCAAGTGATTGCTGCCTGCCAGACTCAACAGGGAGCCGCAGAACTGAAAGCAGAGACTTCCAGGCACCTCCACGCTGTGCTACTGGACGTGACAAACACAGAGAACATCAAATCAGTTACGGAATATGTTAAAAAAGAAGTAGGGGATAAAGGTAGGTGACGGGCACCTGAACTCTTCCCAAAATCTACTAAATGCGGTGCAGACCCCCAGAGGGCTCCTGCACATTTAAGAGAAGCATAGAATTGGGGCTGCTGTGAAGGAGGAAGGCTTAGCGCACAGAATTTCGGCTTCTGTGCAACCTTAAAGATATAGCCTCCAGGTACATATCTGCTAACCTGCACAGAAAGCCAATGAATTGTTTTGGTATTTCTTAGGTTTTTCCTTTCCGTCTTAGTGCAAGCTTTTAATTAAACTTACAGTTTGGGGTATAAAGTGATCACAGTGCACTGTGGCCTCCGTCCACTGGGCGAGGGCTCATCCACATTTCTGCTTGCCCCATGCCTCGAAAGCATGGGTCCAAGTGATTTTCCCCTTGTCCTCCTGCTTTCCTCCAGGGAAAATCCCCTGTTTAGTGCTAAATCGAAGCAAACGTCAATCTGGAGGAATGCCCAAATTGCCATTTGCTCCGATTGAGCGCTAAAGAGCAGCTTTTCCTGGGGGAAAGCGGTGGGGCGAGAGGAAGTGTGGATACCTCCTGTGTCTCTTAGGTCCAGACTTGAAATTATTTGTATATATAATTGTTGGTAAGTCTTTCATCCACTGTTTTGTGCAGAGTGCGCTCTTCCCCCCGCCTTCCTGTTTCCACAGCCTTCATGTTTTAAAAACATAGAAAGGAAAAGCCAAGTAGGTTGTGCAATGATGTGGCAGAGTGTGGGTGAGGCTGTAAAATTCTAAAACTTATTAAGAGGCTTGTTGGGGCTTACTTTTGAGTAGGTATGGGGGTAATAGCATGTGAGCAGTAGAGAAAGCGGTGAAGATTACAGGGAAATTGCAGGCATTTTAAAATTACGGCTTTTTACTGTTGTAAGCTTAGTGTTGTAACTCAATGTTGTAATTTAGTTTAGCCACTGCCGCACAAACCTTGACTCTTATTAGGAGCAGTATTGGCTATGGCAGGGTAGAAATAAAAACGGTGGTCTTATTTTTAATAAGGGTTTTCCGCAGGAATTCTTCCAGGGTTGGGGGACAGTAGAATACCAAAATGATAGGAATGTATGAAATGGCATGGAGAAAGGGGATAAGTAAGTCTTTTTTTCTTCAAGTCTCATAACACTAACACTCTAGAATAATCGCTCCCATAAGAGGCAGTGACGGCCACCATCTTGGATGACTTTAAAACAGGATTGGACAGATCCATGGAGGATCAGGCTGTCAATGGCTACTAAGAACAATAACTATATTCTCCCTCCACTGTTGAAAGCACTGCAGTCTGCTTCTGAATACCAATTGCAGGAAACCACAGGGGCAGAGAGTGCTGTTTTGTGCTCAGGCAGCGGCGTAGCGTGGGTTGTCAGCACCCGGGGCAAGGCAAGTAATTTGCACCCTCTAACCCCTAACCTGCCACTGCTGCCAGCTGCTTCTTGCTGCTGCCTGGGCTGGTTTGGTGTGGTTCTCTCCCGTGCTCAGCGCTGCGCTGGGTGGCCGCTGCACTGTCCCTCCCCCAGATAGTCCCTCGCTCTCTCTCCGCACTGCACGACTGGCACCCACACCCTCCACAGTGGGCAGCGAACCAGCGGCTCGGATCGGATTCGCACAGCCAGCGCTGCAGTGAGAGAGAGTGAGTGAGCCAGGTAGGGGCAGAGAGCTGCGAGTGCGAGCGCCCCCCCCAGATGTTGCGCCCGGTGCGGCCAGCCCCCCCTGCACTCCCCACGCTACGCCACTGTGCTCAGGCCCTGACCATGGGTTTCCTGTGGGCACCTGGGTTGCCACTGTGAGAACAGGATGCTGGCCTGATCCAGTAGGTTCTTGTTATGGTCCTGGGGAGCAGGCTAGTTTCTCATAGACCAACAAACAGAAAAACGAGAAGAATACCTGCCTGATTTCGAAACACTTTAAAGTTGCTCTTTTTAAGGTCACGCTGCTGTTCATGATTTGGATTTCATTTTAACTACATCCTGTGTTGGGGAGGTACTTTACTATTTTATATGGCAAGCTCCCTCATATGACAGGATGCAAACCCAAGTACTGCTTTAGAGAGTGAGCAATTACGTGTATGTGTGGAGATAATTGTCCTATTCAGAGCTTTCACATTGCCCTCATAATATTACAATACTTTTCAGCAATGGCAATGCACACATTCATCAGTGAATTTCTGCATGATGAAATGTCAAGTGGTGTGCATGCGTGTGCGAATTAGCCCTCGCTCACTCAGACTAAAGTGTTCAGAGTAAAGAAATGGCATGATTGTGAATTGCTACCAATTAACATAGCTGGGTTACTGTTACGACCTTTCTGTTTTTACGTAGATGTAATGATATTTATATACCATTATGATGATGATCTTATTCTCTGCCTTTTGAATAATAATGATTATGGGGATGTTAAATTACAGAAATCAATTTCTCCCCAAATGTTTCATTCTCAGACATAATAAATTGTCTTTTTCTTTTCTTTTTTATCTCTCCCCCCAATAGGTCTGTGGGGCCTGATCAATAATGCAGGAATTATGGGAGTATCAGCACCAACTGACTGGCTGACCATCGAGCACTATAAAGCACCGATTGATGTTAATCTAATAGGCCTCATCAATGTTACTATACACATGCTGCCATTGGTGAAGAAGGCAAAGGGAAGGATAATAAACGTAACCAGTGTTGGAGGTGTTCTACCAATATGCTCAGGTGGTTATTGTCCATCCAAATACGGGGCAGAAGCATTCACCGACAGTTTAAGGTAAAATGATAGTTAATGGATGGCCTTCATAATGCATGCATGATTCAACCCAAACTGAGCATGGATTCCGTGCCTGCTTGCCTTCTCTTTCCACCATGCCACTGCCCTCACCACCACTGACATCCATCCAAATCTATCTCTCATGCTACCTGAATCAGGGGTCATCCAGCAAAATGGTACACCCATGAGACAGTGCTCCTTATATGTATTAGTTCAAAAAACTAATGTAGTTCTTGGTCATCTGTTTTTTTACTCCACTTTCTCCACTTTTCCTACATTGCAACATAGTACACAAGATACTAATATATAAGACTTATTTGGATGTAAATAATGGGCTCCACCTGTCCATGTTCTATCTGGTGTCTGTTCACAAATGATATCTTACTTGAAACATAAGTGCACATCATGAAAAGGATTTGAAGGTCTGTGCTGAACATCTGAACCCAATGTCTTCTTGAGTTGCATTGGGCGCATTAATTGTGAAGCAAGAACCAATTACCAAGTTATTGCAGAGAATGGCCCAGATCCCTGGGATCTGGTGGAGCCATTAATATAAAATGAATGAAGAGATACAATCTGGTTTAAACGTCAAGGAGATAGACAGGAGTTGATATGAGGACATGCATGATGGATCTCTTGTATTCATGAGGTTTAACCACAAGGACTCCAAAGGCATCCCATGACCTTGACTCATTTTATATAGAAACTGAGAAGTTTCATTTCTAAGATCTTTGTGTTTGTATGCAGAAACTATAATGTGCTGCTGACAGAATCTACATAGCTCTTTCTCTAAAAATCCGCCCAAATTATTGACCAAAATTAATGTCAGCTTTTTACTTTCTTTTCAGACAGGACATGAAACCATTTGGAGTGAATGTTTCTTGCATTGAACCAGGGCTGTTTAAAACAGGGCTTTCTGACAGAGACATGGTCATGAGACAAAAAATGGCTGTTTGGGACAGTCTTCCTCAAACTATACAAAAGCAGTATGGTGAAAAATACTTAAAGGAAGGTAAGCCATGAGTTGCCTTGTTTTGTATTAATGGAGAAAGGGCCTAAACGTAATACTGAAGTAGTCAGAAGTAGAGATGCCATCAAAGTTCACCCAAGCCTGGTTGAGAAATTAACTTCCAGGTTACTCAAAAAGGCACCTCAAAAAATAGAACACTGTGACTGAGTCAATATATTGAATATGTCTCACTGAAAAATATGAGAATAATAAAAAGAGATTTTCTGTGGCTCGGATCAATATCTAGGGCAGAGAAGAATTCCTAGCATTCAACCTTCTCTCATCTCCACCAGCCCACGGTCAAAGCACACTCCTAATCCTTCCCTTCATTTACCAGAGGTGAATGCAGTAGCAGCAACATGTGGTAGAAAGGACGGAAGCTTTATTGCTTCCTTCCCTCAACTTCATGCTCCACAGTATACATCATGACTGAAGAGTGGTAGGCCTTGGAATCGTCCCATGGATTACCCATAATGCCAATAGACCTTGCAAAGACTTCCATGTCCTGCCTGCAGCACAGCTGGATAATGGAGAGAGAAGGGAAGGGAACGAAAGGAGATAGGAAGCCTTATTATTTAACTGCAAGTAACAATATGTCAGTGCTCTTTGCACAGTGCAAAACTAGCTCCACGTCAACAGTACTTCAAATAAATAAGTAAGGATTGCACAGAATTAAGACTCTTGAAGCTTATTGCTGCATTTATTTTACCTCCCTCTCCTGGTTTCATTCTCTTTGCAGATGCAGTAAAGAAGGAGAAACTAGTGAAGCTGTGTCAGAATACAGACATCTCATTGGTTGTGAATTGCATGGAACATGCCTTAATGAGCAAATATCCAAAGGCCCGGTACAGTGCAGGCATGGATGCTAAGATTCTTTGGCTACCACTTTCAAAAATGCCATCGTTTGTGCAGGACTTTGTACTCATGAAGAACAAAGTTCAGCTATTTGACCCAAATGCTGTGTAAAATTGCATCCGAAAAAACTCCAGCTCATGCTTTTTCAAGCTGTGCGTACCGAACAATGAAGATGAATACATCTGTGTTCACAGGTGATCAAGCAATCCAGAGATGTTGGAAATAATTGCTTCTCTTTTCTTGTTTAGCCCTTTTTTTAAAGAGCAGTTGTCATAAGGACTGCTTTGCCCAGTGGTAGTGAAGGCAGATCTAGATGACTCAGGCTTAGCATTTGCCAACTCAAATAAATCTTAGTGAATCGACCAGTCAAATATTGTTCGAGTAATAGTTTGAAATTATTAGTTTGTCAGAATGTTGTCAAAGTACACAGACAATTATGCCCGTTACAAATACTACAACCTGTTAACAGAGCCTGGTTCCTCCTAAGAGCTCTACCCAACACCATGGAGGTATCTCTTTCTCCTCCCACAGAAAATACTATTGACTTGTACTATTGACTTCCCAGGAACTTATGACTTGTCCCATTTTTCCTTAACAAACATTTTCTGGTGCTAAATGCCTCTGAGCATATTTTGGCTCTCTTTTCTTCCCAAAGGCAATAGATCCTTTGGGGGGATGGCTTCCAAGGGCCCCTGAGCATGTATAGAACATATGTTCCCTCGCGTATCTGAAGACTGGAAGCGCATATCCCATGCCCCACCCCCAGGCTGCTTGGCTAGGGTCTATGGGGAGGCTAGTAGAGCAGAAGTGTGCTGACTCCTTCCTGAATGAGTGGCTGGCCTGGCCGGCCCATGAGGCAAGCTGAGACTCCTGGGCCGGCCCTAATGAGCAATGAGTGATCCTGACTCTTGCAAAGCTGGTAAGTGAGGCCCCCTTACTTCTCCCACTGCTACACCATGGTTCGGGGGAAAAGATAGGTTGCTACTGCCAGAAGGGTGCTCATGACATATTTGGCTATGGCTGGATGGTGTCAACTGACACAATGCAACTGGTCAGAACCCCATGTTATGTGTGCTGGCTGAAAGTGTGTTGTGTGACAGAATGCTGGTGTGAAACAGCTACTTGCAGTTTGAACTGTGGCACCACAGTCATCTGCCATAGCCAGATAAATCAGATTGCATTGCCCACCAAAAGGAAGAGAGAAAGAGCACTTGCTAAATACCACCTTCTAGTTAGCATTTTTGACCTTGTAGATAGGGAGGCAGGTGATGCTGTGGGTTAAACCACAGAGCCTAGGAATTGCCGATCAGAAGGTCGGCGGTTCGAATCCCCACGATGGGGTGAGCTCCCGTTGCTCAGTCCCTGCTCCTGCCAACCTAGCAGTTCGAAAGCACGTCAAAGTGCAAGTAGATAAATAGGTACCGCTCCAGCGGGAAGGTAAACAGCGTTTCCGTGCGTTGCTCTGATTCGCCAGAAGCGGCTTAGTCATGCTGGCCACATGACCTGGAAGCTGTACGCTGGCTCCCTTGGCCAATAAACCGAGATGAGCACCGCAACCCCAGAGTCAGCCACGACTGGACCTAATGGTCAGGGGTCCCTTTACCTTTACCTTGTAGATGGTTCATCCAAGGGTTTATAAGTGTTGAGCAGTAGGAGACATAATGATTCTGCTGCATGGCAAGCAGTCAGGCACACACTTTCAGTTGTCTTCGACTTTCCAGTGGGGGGAAAAGAGGACCATGGGGCTGAATTCCAATCTGCAAACCAGTTCTTTGTGTGGCTTATAAAATTTACCTGTGGGTGGTTTACCTTACAGGGAGGGGGTTATTGGTTTTTTTTTGAGGGGGGGCTGGTTGTTCTTGTTTCTGTGATGCATTTTGTGTTTTATCGTGTGTTTTTATATTGTGAACTGCGCTGAGATCTCAGCAGTTCTCAAACATGGGGAAGGTTTCTCTTCAAGTGGTGAAGGTCACCACTTGGTGCTAGATATTCCAGAGAAGGACAGAGTCCTGAGACAGGTGAATCCTCCTCCTCCAGCTTTGATCCAAAATCTGGGTAAGTGGGTGGGCAGCTGGGTGGGGTGTAACTGTCAGGAGCTCGTCCTACGCTTGAGTAGGACCCTGGTAGAGTCACATGCCCAACTGGTATTTAGGAGGGGTGAGCAACATATCCTGTTGTATTCTTCTAAGGCCAGTAGTACCCCAGTCCACACATCTGTGATCATGACTGTAGAACACGAAAAGCTCTGTGTGTTCACATTTGAAACAGATTATTAGTGTTGCATTAGGAGAGCTTGCAAGGTAGAGTAAATTCAGAACGGCGATGTGAGTGGGCAACTTTCAGTTGTTTGAGTAAAGCTCCTCAAATAGCAGCCAGTATAAAAACATCTGTCCAGTCTAATTTTTAGAGTCTGTTAAAGCTAAAATAGCCATTTTAGTGCATCTCGGAGAATTATCATATGTATTGTATTATTGTTTTTTCCGTGCAGGAGTCATTAATTTATTGTGTGTTACAAACTATACTTTTCTGTATTTCAATATTACGTTATTTGTACATTGTAAATATTGGTAATGTTTTGTTAGAAGCAACATACATGTCCCACACAATAGTATAAGGTATGCTAGCTTGCCATGTTTATAATTGTTCCTTCCAATGGACATAAGGGCATTCATAAAATAAATACTTGAAGACTATCAGAGTAATGTGCCTGAAGTGCAATAGGTTTATCCAATGTTAGTTCTAAATAGAGTAGACCCACTGAAATAAATGGACCCAAGTTAGCCATTTCTATTAATTTCAATGTGTTTACTCTGAGTAGGGTTACAGACTAATGGATTTTGGAGTGGGCTCTATGAAATTTTGGTTTTGTGTCTTGTTAATATTTCTACCTCAGTTTAGGCATGGCAAAACCACTGAAGCTATTTTTTCTTTTCCCTTTTGCACTTTCCATTCAATGGGCAATTGTGTTTGCTTGCTTCCTCTGTCATTCATGAAAGCCTTTGGTGGGTTTACATGCAAAAAGCTTGTGATTCTTAACTGTTCAGTGCTGTTTAAATAAACATACCTTTCTTCCTGAGGAATCATCCTATATATACTAATAGTGAAGTCCGTTCTATAAGTGCTTGTCCTTATATGGCCAAAACAGTACCATCCCCACAGAAGTGGGGAGGTATCAGCACACTTGGTGTAACCCCTTTGCATAAATAAATGGAGAGGATAATCCCAAAACAGGCCAATATAAATAGTGGTTTAATTTGCTCTCTAAAATAAAGCCTTAAAGTAGTCCATATGTTTCTATAACACTGATATGCAATGGTTTCTTGTGGAATAACAGAATTTCCAGTTAATATAAACTTCCTTTTGATCTATTTTGAGAATCAAGGCCAGTCACTTGTCATGTCAAATAAGTCCTTGGGCTGATGGAACTACAAGTTCCAGGGTGTGTAATATAATCATGGGATGGCCCCATGAACTTACTTGCCACTGGTTGTTTTCATGACCTTTTAATGGTGACCTGAAAGCCTGATCACTTTTGGTTTAGCCCCAAAGTTGGAGATCTCATGTCTACCTTCAGGAAATCATGTTTAGAACCTATATAGCCTTATTATCAGGGGCAGCCCACCTATGAGGCAAGGTGAGGAGATCGCCTCAGGCAGCAGGATCCGCAAGGGCATCAAATTCCAATGTAGATCTTTATTTCCCCCTTGTTCCTGATGTAGATCTTCACTCACCCCTTCTTCCCTGGCAAGGAGGGATTCCATTTTGTGGTTTGCCTCAGGTGCCAAAATGCCCAGGGCCGATCCTACTTATTATTACCTTTGCTAGAAATCATTTTAAGCATCTGATACTAGGGATGCGGGTGGCGCTGTGGGTAAAACCTCAGCGCCTAGGACTTGCCAATCGTATGGTCGGCGGTTCGAATCCCCGCGGCGGGGTGCGCTCCCGCCGTTCGGTCCCAGTGCCTGCCAACCTATCAGTTCGAAAGCACCCCCGGGTGCAAGTAGATAAATAGGGACCGCTTACCAGCGGGAAGGTAAACGGCGTTCCGTGTGCTGCGCTGGCTCGCCAGATGCAGCTTGTCACACTGGCCACGTGACTTGGAAGTGTCTGTGGACAGCGCTGGCTCCCGGCCTCTAGAGTGAGATGAGCGCACAACCCTAGAGTCTGGCAAGACTGGCCCATACGGGCAGGGGTACCTTTACCTTTACCTTTTTACTAGGCTTCAGAATAATAGTGTCTTTCAAGCAAACCTAAGGCTTAGCTCAATTGCTCAGGCTGGTGAAAATAAAGCAAGTGTCCTTTTTCACAGTTAATAAGTAACTTACAAGCCTCCCATTTGCAATGTGTTATGCTGCCCACAGAGTAAAGAACTCTAGTCCATCTGTCTGCCTTTGGTGGTGTTTTGGGTTGTATAAGGCAAGACAAACAGTCTTTAAAAAGGAGCTAGAGATTAATGACCAAACACACATTTCCTCTTTTGAAAAACTCCAGTCAGTAACTAGTGATCCTGTTGTGTAATAACATTAGCCTGTTATCTCCCCATGGGCAAATTACCACTAAGCTCTGCTATTCTGACAACACTGAAAACTTGTTGAAGAACATACAAAGGAAACAAGTACGTGATTTCAGACATCCCTCCTCACATATAATAATAATAAAAAAATTATTATACCCCACCCATCTGGCTGGGTTGCCCCAGTCACTCTGGGCAGCTCACAATACATATAAAAACATAATAAAATGGCAAACTTTAAAAACTTCCTGATAAAGGGCTGCCTTCAGATGTCTTCTGAAAGTTGTATAGTTGTTTGTCTCCTTGACATCTGATGGGAGGGCATTCCACAGGGTGGGTGCCACTACTGAGAAGGCCCTGTGCCTAGTTCTCTGTAACTTCTCTTCTCGTAGTGAGGGAACTGCCAGAAGGCCCTCAAAGCTGGACTGCAGTGTTCAGGCTGAAGGACAGGGGTGGAGACGCTCCTTCAGGTTTTATGTTCTATCAGTTCTGATAATAACAACCCCTTGTTTGATAGGACAGGAGAACTGCCCAGACCTCACACTGCCCTGGATGGAAGTAATTTGCATGTATCTGAGCATTGAATCTGGCACTGCCTTGAATTAAGGAAGCTTCCTAAAAAAATAATTATGCTCAGAAATTTAAACCCCAGGATCGCCATCCTACGCATCTCTACTGGGAAGTAACTTCACTGCATGCAATGGGATTTTCTTCCAGGTTTAAGTGTGCATAACACAGATTGGCAACCTGTTATAAGGGGTCACATGTGACTCGAGCTTCACTTTACATGGCACCCTTCCCCCGCCACCAGCACCTTCCAAAGCTACCCAATTCTTCCATCCCATCAGTTCCACACCCCCCATCCTGTTCATTTTCTATTTATTTTTCATTGATTTATTTTTTTAAAAAATGGTTTTTTTATGCATGCATTCTTGGAGAAGACTTATTATCTGGAGCTATTCCAATCAGTTTCAGAACTGAATCAATCTTGGTCTCTATCAAGAGACAGAGACAAAGAGACAGGGGAAATGAGACCTTGTTGCTGCTGCATCTTGGGCTCTTGGTGGCTTTGGACACCATCAATCATGCCATCAATTCTGAGTCAGTACAGTGGGGTGGATATTGGGGGCACTGTTTTAAGGTGGTTCTGGTCCTACCTAGAGTATCATGTCCAGAGAATAGCACTGAGGGAGAGCTCCCTGGCCCCCTGGTATTTGCAGTATGAGGTGCCACTGAGTACCAAACTCTCCCCAAATTCTCAGTGCTGCTGCACTCAGGCCCTGCTAGTGGCCTTCCAATAAGCAAGTGGTTGGTGTTATGTACTGAAGTTCTCACCCTGGGCCAGCAGGGGGATACTGTAGATAGTTATGCAAATGAAGGATTGAAAGTGACGTTCAGTGATTGGATAGTTTTAGAAAGTTGCTACAGTAACGTGGTACTGGAGCTCTATATAAGCAGGCTGACTGAGCCCTTCAGCTCAGTTCTGTTCTGGCCTGTGAATAAACAAGAGCTGTTTGAAGAATCGCTGTGTCGTCTGATATGTTCACCCACAACTTAACACTTGGTTACTGAGAGTACAGGATGCTGGACTTGGCCTGATCCAGCATGGCTCTTGGGGTTGTTGTTGTTGTTTACATCTATGTAAAGCCAGTGGGAGCAGTCATTAGCAGTTTCGGGACAAGGTGCCAATCACTATGCTGACGACGCCCAGCTTCATTTCTCGATAATATCTGAGTCAGGTGTGGCTATGTAAGCACTGGATGAAACAGAGGGCTGGATGCGGGCCAATAAACAGAGTTTCAATCCTTTCAAGATGGAACTGCTGTAGATGAGAGACATGCCAGTTGCCTGTTCGGGATGAGGATGCGTTCCCACTAAAGGAACAGATCAGCAACTTCATGTGCTCCTAGATCCAGATTTGACTACGTTATCTCAGTGGTTTAAAAAAGTTTGTTTGTAATGCCCAGTGCTGTCTTTCTAGAAAAGGAGTTAACAGAACTAGGGTTGCTATATCTCAAAAAGTAAAATTGTTGACACCCGCAAAATTGTTGAACTTTTTTGGGGAACAAACCCAAATTGTTAAGGGGAAACTCCCCCCCCCCCATTGTGATTTTAAGCTTTTGGAGCTGTTTCCACTGCTTTTCCCATACATATGGGTTTTCCCTGACATTTTTCTGTTTCAGCAAAATTCCCCCCAACACCATTTTTATACCCAAAAATTGGGACGTCAGGAATTTTCCAGACGTATGTCAAGTCTAGCTGGAACTCACCATGAACACCTCCCTCATTCTCTTAGAATGGTAATGGCGCCCATCTGAGAGGTGCTGGAACTGAGTTCTAGTGAGTTCTGGCTGAAAAAAACCTTGGTTATACCACATAGATCTATTTACATGATTATTCAGTATAAAAGTTGCATATTTTTTTTAAGTAACCCCATAAAATTTTGTGGTGCTTACTTTTCTGGCGACCTCCATAGGACTGGAAAGTCTAATCTGGTGTAGCCATGGTGAAAATCAAAACAGGGCAGCCTTTATTCTAGATTAGTTAATCCAGAACACTTTTGTCACTGGTTCTATGCATTATCAGCCTTACTGTGCCACTACAGTGGTACTTCAAGTTACAGATGCTTCAGGTTACAGACTCCACTAACCCAGAAATAGTACCTCGGATTAAGAACTTTGCTTCAGGATGAGAACAGAAATCATGCAGTGGCAGCGGGAGGTCCCATTAGCTAAAGTGGTACCTCGGGTTAAGAACAGTTTCAGGTTAAGAACGGACCTCCGGAACGAATTAAGTTCTTATCCCGAGGTACTACTATATTAGCATGAGGCTTTTGATGGATTATCCCTGAGGGAATGTAGGTCTCAAGAGAGACAGACAGACAGACAGACAGACAGACAGACAGACAGAGGTTCTTTCCCCTGACTGTCTTTCTGGAATTAAATGTTGAATAAAAGGACATTATCTTTCATTAATGACTGCAAATTAGTGATGTTTGTTCATCTGTACAATGAAGGCTGAAAACACACTATATTTTTAAAAGTACACTCATAGAATCATGGGAACTGTAGTTTACCTCACAAATAGCTATAATTCCCAGCACCCGTAACAAACTATGGATATGTGCTTTAAAGCTGTGATGTGTTCATAGCCAAAGAATCAGTGAAGAACTGTTTGTTTTCAAGAGATGTCTAATTCTTTATTCTGAGTAAAGATGATAAATTCTTATAGACAGAGGACATGGTTATCAACAGCTGCTTCTACTCTCAGATATATTATGCCTCTGAATCCCAGTTGCTGGGAATATCCTATGCCCAGAAACAGTGGTGCTGTTGTGGACTTTGAGGCAAAAGTCCAGGCCCCACTCAGCTGAGCATCATTATTACCACATTATGAAATAAGGGCATCTTATAAAAAAAAGAGCAGGTATGGGAAACCTTTGGCCCTCCAGATGTTGCTGAACTACAACTCCCATCAGCCCCAGCAAGTATGGCAAATGGCCTGGGATGATGGCAGTTGTAGTTCTGAGACAT